TGAGTGTTTTACTGGTGTGTGTCCCACAATTGCCGGTTGCCCTCCAGTGAATCACTGGATCAAAGTTTGGAGTGGGTCTGCTGGTTGATTTTGCCCTCTCTAAGGCCGGTTGGGGATGCCCCAACAGCTGCCCAAGCTTAGATCAGCTAATTCAGCATAGACTAACCTTCTGATCTGCTTGTGTCTTTATTGTTGTATTGCTGTCATCCACAACTCTATTGAGGAAGCTCTCCTGCCACAGTTTCAGAATTCATGGCTCGAGTATGATTTTCAGACATTTTAACCCAAACTGAGTACCAGCTCCTGCTCTCTCTCAGTCACCCCAGTTTCCGCATTGATTATTTTTTGGTCAGCTGAGTGTCAGATACATGCGGCAACCTATCACCATGCTTAAGAGTATCTAAACTAACCATTGAATTTCATTGAATTCTGCATTGAAATTCCATCCATCCAGAGGACTGTCTATCAACTCAATCTTGGCTCAACCCTGTGTGGAGTTGTATGGAGTAAATGTATGGAGTTCTCTTAGGCCAAATCTAAAAATAAATTCCTGCTACAATAGTGATACTATGTGTCTCAGTCTGACTCAGTGACTTGGCATTGACTGTTTTGCTCACAGGCAGTGTAAAATGCCACAATACAAGATACATCTGATTGCATTAGGGATTGAGAGGAACTACCCCTAAAAATAAAACTATAATAGTAATCCTTGCCTTTCATATAGTGTGTTTCACGTCTTGAGGCTTCACAGGATTTACTGTAAAATGTAGTGACTGTATTTTGTAAGCTAAATATTCAACTAAAAAGGGGTGAAAACAAAAATAAATATTTTCTCCACACTTTAGCCTGTTGACAATTTGAGAACAAGGTGGAAAAAATATCCCTATTGTACCTTTGGTGTTTTAGTGTATCATCAGGTCTATTGAAATACTGCCAAGCCACTGCCTAAAATGAGATTATCTTACTAAAATAATAATAATAATCCTTGCTATAGTGCCTTATCACATTGTTGAGTTGAATTCAAGATCCTCATCCTCACCTACAAGGCCATTCACGGCCTTGCTCCCTCCTACCTCTCCGACCTACTATCCCCCTACCTACCCGCCCGTACTCTCCGTTCTTCTGTCTCCGGTCTGCTCCACATCCCCCGCCCTAACCGTCCTACCATCGGTGGCCGGGCCTTCAGCCTCTCAGCCCCGAGGCTCTGGAACTCCATCCCCCAGTGCCTTCGCCTTGCTTCCTCCCTTTCCTCCTTCAAGGCCGGTCTCAAGACCTTTCTCTTTGACTGTGCCTTCAGCTCCCCTCTCGACTCTCTACCCCCTCCTCGCTCCCTTCCCTCCCCTCACCCTGACCAGTTCCCCCCCTGCTTGGGTCTTGACCCAACTGTCCAGTGCCTTGGGACGTCCTCCTGACGTGAAAGGCGCTCTATAAATGAAATCTTGTTGTTGTTGTTGAGTCGTCTCAAAGTGCTTCACAGGATAAACTGTAAAGTGGATTGACTGTGTATTTTGTGGACAAAGCACAGCAGTCAGATATGCACAGCAGTGTCCCACAAACGGTCATGGAGTGCGTGATCAATTTTAGTTGGGAGATTGTTGGTCAGGACACCGGGCGAAATCCCTTTCTCTTTTCAAATAGAACTTTAATGTCCATCTGTACAGGCAGATGGGACTTCAGTTTAACATCTCATCTGAAGATTGGCACTCAAACCTATCTGTATGTCTTAGTGCTTCACTGAGCTGTGCTTATCAGGGCCACCTTTGAAGCTCAAGTTTATTTCTTTCAAATCTCTGAAGGCGAATTGTTCAGAACAAATTAATTTGATACATTTTTCTTTCAAAATAAAGGTTCGCTGTTTCATTTTGGTACTTTTCATCTCATGCAGGTAAATAAGCAACTAAATCCAAGTGAAGCCACGAATGTCTGAAGGACCTGGAACACCGAGGCAAAAGGTGGAAGATGACATGTCGAGTGGAGACTTGGGCGATGGCCTTCGCAGGAAACCTGGCGGCATCTATGAGCAAAAAACAGATTTAAATGTGGAGAGCACAAGATCTCGACAAGGATCAGATGCCACTGACTGTGGCCCGGGTAGAGATGCTAAAGAGGGTGAAGAAAACGAAAACATACCATGTTTCCGTTGGACCAAATACAACAGTTTCCCTCATTCAATGCACAAACTGACCTCCGCTGATGCAATGTATGCCCACAAGCGACGCAGCAGCGCTGGTAAACTTCACTAAGCTTTTGCTTTGATATCATCTGTCCCACAATAAATAGCTATAAAGCTTGTGCAAGCAAATACGTTTAGATTTCCTAAGTTAGGAAACTTGTAAATTTGTAGCAGTTCTCAATATATGTTGCTGAATGAACTATAGGAGAAGCTGAGAATTTTATAATTCCTCATATCAATTTTACTGCAGTCAGTCACGTTCTGTTTTAGCCAAAATCACTTGATCAGCTGTTGGGAGTTGTTTCTGTTTCTTTACCATCAGTGAAATTGTTCTACATATCTTTTGGAGCGGTTTTATCAGTTGTAAGGAGAATTTGTTAGAGCTATTGTACTCCCTCTGATGGCCTGGTAGGTAAATGTATCGCTAGGTGTATTGTATTAAGTCATACAGACCAGAAAGATGCAGATTGAATCTCTGGTGTTAGCTGAGTGAGCTGATCTGAGTTGATAAAATAATTGGTTTGCTACAGTTGATCTCAGAGCGCCCCTGGACTAAGGAGGGGGTGAATGAAATCAGCCAGAATTGCCTCGCTTGATGTTACGTAAAGTATTTACAGGATCAAGCTTCTCTGTAATGAATAAACTGGCAACACTTTAGGATCCAGGGTCACACATAAACATGCACTTGGCTCAGGTGAAGCAGAGGGTGCTGGAGGAACTATAGCTTGGCAGTACTCGGCAAGAAGAAAAGGAAGAGGTCGAGGAGGAAGAAGGGAGACAATTGGCCACTCCCTCCCTCCCCCCGCCCCCCACTCCCCCCTCCCCCCGCCCCCCACTCCCTCCCTCCCCCCCCCCCCCACTCCCTCCCTCCCTCCCCCCCCCCCCTCCCTCCCCCCCCCCACCCTCCCTCTCCCCCCCCACCCCCTCCCTCTCCCCCCCCCACTCCCTCCCTCCCTCCCCCCCAGTGGAGCTGTTTCACACCGCCTCCGGTTATTCCCGGGAAAACCACCGCACTTTACTGATTTAAAGACAGAAATAGGGGCGTTCCAGAGAGACGGAGACACTCAGCAATAACCTGCACTTGTGGAGGTGCCCCTTCATGTGGGTCAATGTACCCCCAGTGCTTCGGAAAGACAATGAGAGTCAACAACAACAACCAACAACTTGCATTTATATAGCCCTCTTCACGCAGGGTAGTGTCCCGGAGCGCTCGGCAAAGGCGGAGGCTGACCCCGCGCCCGGGGCAGAGGGAGATCACCCAACACTGAAGGAATTTATTGACCAAAGTCATCGACAAGCGGATATGTTTCGTGAGCATTTTGAAGGCACTAGGCAAAGGGAATTTAGAATATCTCAGAATATGCAGCACAGAAACAGGCCATTCGGCCCAACTGGTCAATGCCGGTGTTTATGCTCCACATGAGCCTCCCTCCTCCTGCCCTTCTTCCTCAACTAAGCCTTCAGAGAGTTGCAGAGAGCAGAGTGTACAGTAGTATCTGAAGTCTCTGCTACTGTCGGGATGGAGAGTGAGAAAACACCAGCAGATCAAATCTTAGACTTGCCCTCTGGGAATCACACTTTCTATGTAGCCTTGACCCTGATTATTCGGTCATATCTGTCCAAAGAATATAAACAGAGTAAGGGAATGCATTTCATAGTAATTTAATAGTCATCAATGGCACAAGAGAGGTAGAACTCCAGAGAAATGCAGGAAGATGTGGCAAGCCATTTTCACACACATTCTTACAGTTTGAACAGAATTGTAGGTGGCGTGGGAGCAAGTCAATTGAATATTAATGTACATTTACTTGAATTAAGAAATAAAACCATTGAATTAGTGCTAACTATTACTTTATAGTTGGGGATACTCTTGAGTTAATTATTATACCATAGCCAATTTTCATCTCTCCAATCCTTGACTTCTGCTCCACAGTGCTGGCATCCCTCCACTATTTGACCCAAATAACATTTCCTGTTAGAGGTGATGCTGAGCATTAGCAAGAAATTCAAGCTTGGGGGCTTGATCCTATCCTTGACTGATTTCCATGTGCACATACACCACAGATCACTTGACAGTGATTACACCAGAAATTAAGGTTAATTTCCCCTTCCATGCTGAAGCATGTCAGGGATCCCTGTACCCCTGCCAGCTGAGATGTTAGCTCAGCTGACAAAGAAACAAACCTGCAGTTTTTTTGATCCACATGGCATCATACTACAATGGTTACCTAACCAAAGGTCTAATTATATTAAAATGTAAGGTGTTTCTCCTTTGCATTGCCAATCATCATCCTTACTGACAAAAGGTCACATGTTCAGGGCTGCAAAGAACAATTTTAATACAGGCACAGGCGAAGTGTTTACTTACATAGCAAGCGATCGACAGCTGCTATGGGTTATCACTTAGGAAGGGTGATACAGGCAAGGACATTGGCCTCATGTAAGAACCAGCTACAGACTACGGTATAAATGGAAGACAGGTACGATTGGAATTTAGCTTGGATGAGATCAAATAGGCGCAAATAGGTATATGGATGCTTTTTATATTTAAGAGCGGGATGGTTCTGGGCTGCGCATCTCTTTGTAAATCAATACCACTTGTTGATTAGCAGGCAGGAGCAACAGGTCATGTATGAGTGTAACTGGCCACCTGAAGAATTCCATCATTTTCCCCTTTTCCACAAATACAGTGGAACTCTGCTTTACAGTGCTGTGCTCCATTTAGTGGTTTGGTTAAGAACTGACAAAATCTCTTAGCTAAAGCCATCAAGTCATCAACCCCAACTTTCGAACTCCCAACATTTGGTCTGGGCTCACACGCCTATATATAGTATCATTTATTTTTTGAAAAATACATTGCATCAGCGTCTCCTCTAAATAATTAGCACTCATAGAATACAGACAATAGTTCAATTTTCACTTCTGGAAAATATTCCATTGTTCTGTTTCAGCTTGGATCTTATATTCCTCAATTTAAGCACCCAAACAAACTTCTAGTAACCCGTACTATGTTGCTAAATATTTCTCAAGATAAAATTACATCTATGTAGTCCAAAATTCATGGTCTTTTTCCATTGCTTAAACACCGGCAATGTTTCACGGGAACACAATAGCAGTTGTTTCACTGTCACATTATTGCCGTCATTCTACAGCAGGTTTGCCCTTCAAACACAAATTGCATTTGCAAGGCCGTCTGCATTTCCCGGAGTTCAGTTGTTATCTTTCATCCACTGTTCAATCCACTGCACAATCTGCTCCAAGTTGCTTTCCAGGTCCTCGGGTGTGTTGCTGGGGAGCTGGTGCACTATTTCCTCTCGGTACGACTCTCTGGCCTCTTCATAAATTGTCTGGAAAATCTCACACTGAATGTTGTCCTGAAGCTTCTTTCCTTGATAGCCCCTAAATTGAATGTGAATGAAAAGCAGGAAAGCAACAATCATTATTTAACAAATTGGCTTGAATTGGTCTGAAACAAAAAGACAAAAGACCCTCCTCCCAGATGCTATCTTTGCATTTGATAGGACATCATATTATCAGGTCGTCAAAATGTCTCAAACTAGTTCTGATTTTATTGTACAGTAGTGATTGTTTTTCGTAGGCAAACTACGTATATATACACAGCCAATGGAACTGTCAGGATGCACATTTTCAGTACCTGCTTTCTAGTCGGTTATATAGGAATGAATTGTCCGTGCGAAGGACAAACACGATATCAAACCATCTCTCCGGGAAGAATTCACAACTGTGGTAATCTACTATGATCCCACCTTCACTCATCTTAGTTTCGAGTTCATCAATCACCTGCAAAACATTCCCAAACGTTAAGACTGGGATAGGAGAAGTAAATGAAAAATATTTCCAAACACACACAAACTATTCTTTTAGGCATCTTTCTTCAAAGCCATTATTTTTATTGTTGGGTATATAATTACTGAATATATTTTTTTAAATAAAACTTTTATATAGTTTCCTCTTGAAATGGAATACTAAATTATTGGGGAGGGGTTAATACAAGAGGTACTTTGTGGATTCTCCACCAGCTCAGTCCTCAAAGTGTGGTGAGATTTAGTTTTAATACAAGAATTTTAAAAGAATACACAAAGAATACACCAAATATTACAAATCATCAACAGCATTTTAGAATATGTATTCATCCTTCCTGGGACACTATCTTTAGAACAAAAATGGACATTACGGGGAAGCAAGGAAATTATCCACAAAACCTCTTGAGACAATGAACCATTAAATTACATCCTTTTTCAGAATTGCAATAATAAAAGGTAAATTTACCAGAACAAAAAATAAACTTGGAATGACAAAGGCAGGTTAAAAAACTGTGTTATGTATTCTAGTGAGTAAACCAAATGGGTTAGAATTTAATAGTATTTCATCCAATAAAATGGATTGCAAATACTCTGTCTTGTTTTCCTGCCCAAGCTTAATATAATAATAATCCTTGCATTTGATATAGTGCCTTATCATGTCTTCAAAACATCTCAAAGCACTTCACAGAATATACTATAATGTGAATCAGCTGTATATTTTGTGGGCGAATGGCTTTAAATGAAGATATTTATTGGCTTTAAATGAAGACATTGAAAAAGTTAGCAGTTTAGATCTCGATAATCAGGCAAAACAAATTAAGAAACTTGCACTTCATTCTGAAAATACAGTGCAAATTTGTAATTCTACTCACCCGATCATCATCCAGAATAGGACATGTATATTCTTCATCAAAGCCCTCATACAGGTTTCCTATATATGAACAAACAGAATAGCATTGAGCAGCAACTATTATGTTGCTATCTGACAACATGATAATTATGCATTATTTACTTGGAACCAATATAATTTTAATATAATTATAAACTAAACTGTTATATTTTACAACATTAATACTTGCATTTAATACTTGCTTTATCATGTTGAAATGGCTTAAAGTGAATCACACAATTAGTTAATTTGCAGTGCAGTCACTGTAGTTATGTAGGCAACAACAACAAAAATTACATTTATATGATGCCTTTCACGTCGGGAGGACGTCCCAAGGCGCTGGACAATCAAGTATTTCGGAGGTAAGCTGGGGGTTGGGATTCAGGAACGCAGAGGGGGGAAGATGAGTGGCCATAGGCACTGTCGAAGCGAAGGGTCTTAAGACGGATCTTGAAGGAGGCAAGGCGAAGGGACTGCGGGACGGAGTGCCAGAGGCAAATATGGTAGCTCATCTGCACCTGTGACAACCCACAGTCGCCAATGAGATAAGTGTCCAAATAACTTGTTCATTTTGGGTCAATGTTGAATGAGAATGGCTTTGGATTAGAAGGTGGCTTCAGCATCCTAGAATTCTAAATTTTAATCTAAGTAATTCTGTAAAAGAACACTTTATTTTAAATTGGTCCTTTTAAAAATTACTGCTTGGCTTTGAATTGTATCAACCAGTACAGTATCAAGCCAGCTAAGCACAGCCAAGAGTGTAGTAGAAACATTGCAATTAGTCTCAGTGACCACTGGCTAGGGAAAGAGAGAAAACAAAATTAACCATTGTTTCCTCTTCTGAACCCTTTCCATTAACTGCTAATAGGAAGTGTACATGTTTGAACACTGGGTAAGGATACATTTAATTGTGGTACTTTCCTACTGCTGAACAGCCTTCCAACAATCACTGCCTCTAGGATCACAGATGAGGAATGGTACTTGGGCAAAGACTGGGTAAGGTTCCTGATCGCTATCAGGACCTGTGAAACACAATTGAGAGAAGGCGAAAATAAATAATAATAATCCATGCATTTGATATAGTACCGTATTACATCATTGAGACATCTCAAAGCGCTTCACGGGATTTATTGTGAAGTAAATTGACTGTATATTGTGGGCAAAACACGGCAGCCAGTTTGCGCACAGTAATATCCCACAAACAGCCATGGAGTGAGAGACGGATTTAATTTGGGGGATTTGTAGGCCAAAACACCTGTAGAAACTCCCTTCTCTTTTTGAATAGTGAACAGACAGACAGGACCTCGGTTTAACGTCTCATCCAAAGGATGGAAAGTCACAAAACTGAACAGAAAAAACAGAAAGAACAATTTTGACAGTTGAAAATACATTAATGATAAGATCACCATTCCATCCTGTTGCAGCAATGTGAAAAGTCCAGGTTTTTAATATCTTCAGATTATTTCAATCTAAGCTCACCTTCTTTTGCCAAGTCCCCCACGTTGATATATGTCAGCCCAGTTCTGGCAGCTAATTCTTTACCAAGCGTGGTCTTCCCAACACCTGGAGTACCTGCCAGAGAAATGAATTCAACTTGATTATCTCCATTAAAGTAACAACATGAATGCTTGCATCAGCAGAGAACTATTCTAACAACAACAACAACAACAACAAGATTCCATTAAAAAAGCGCCTTTCACGTCAGGAGGACGTCCCAAGGCGCTGCACAGTTGGGTCATGACCCGAGCAGGGGGGAAATGGTCAGGGTGAGGGGAGGGAAGGGAGGGAGCGAGGAGGGGGAAATGGTCAGGGTAAGGGGAGGGAAGGGAGCGAGCGGGGAGGGGGAAGAGAGTCGAGAGGGGAGCTGAAGGCTCGGTCAAAGAGAAAGGTTTTGAGACCGGCCTTGAAGGAGGAAAGGGAGGAAGCGGCGAAGGCACTGGGGGATAGAGTTCCAGAGCCTGGGGGCTGAGAGGCTGAAGGCCCGACCACCGATGGTAGGGCGGTTGGGGCGGGGGACGTGGAGCAGACCGGAGCCAGAGGAACGGAGGGTACGGGCAGGTAGGTAGGGGGATAGTAGGTCGGAGAGGTAGGAGGGAGCAAGGCCGTGAATGGCCTTGTAGGTGAGGATGAGGATCTTGAAATCAATCCTCTGGGGGATGGGGAGCCAGTGGAGGCGAGCGAGGGTGGGAGTGATGTGGTCCCGAAGCCTGGTGCGGGACAGTATACGAGCTGCAGAGTTCTGAATGACCTGCAGCTTGTGGAGGGAGGTGGCGGGAAGGCCGGCGAGGAGAGAGTTCCCATAGTCCAGCCTTAAGGTGACAAAGGCGTGGACCAGAGTTTCAGCAGCGTGAGGGGTGAGGTAATGCCGTAGTCTGGCGATGTTCCGGAGATAACCCTTTAGAACTGTTCTAACCTGGGTGTCTTGTTTGACCCTGAACTGTCCTTTCTCCCCCACATCCGCGCCATGACTGGCACTGTCTACCAACACTTCCGCAACATTGCCAGACTCCGCCACTGCCTCACCCCTCAGGCTGCCGAAACTCTCACCCACGCATTTGTCACATCAAGGCTCGATTACAGAAACTCTCTCCACATCGGCCTTCCCAACTCTTCCCTTCACAAGCTGCAGATCATCTAAAACTCTGCAGCTCGTGTACTCTCGCACACCAGGCTCCGTGACCCCATCACTTCCGCCCTCGCCCAACTCCATTGGTTCCCCATCGCCCAGAGGATCGAGTTTATGATCTTGTCCTCACTTTCAAGGCCATCCATGACCTTGCCCCCTCCTACCTCTCTGACCTGTTGACTCCCTACCAACCTGCCCGTTCCCTCCACTCAGCGGGCTCCGGTCTGCTCCATGTTTCCCGCCCAACCCGCCCTACCATCGGTGGCCGAGCTTTCAGCCTCTCTGCCCCCACACTCTGGAACTCCATCCCACGGTCCCTTCTCCTCGTTTCTTCCCTTGCCTCCTTCAAGGCCGGTCTCAAGACCTTCTCTTCGACCGTGCCTTCGGTCACCCTCCAACCTCTCTGCCTTCCCTCACCCCTACACCACCCCTCCCCCATGCTCGGGCCCCAACACCTGACTGTTCAGCGCTTTGGGACGTCCTCCCGACGTGAAAGGCGCTCTATAAATGTAATTTTGTTGTTGTTGGACAAAAGTGCATAGAATTACTGTTTATACAAGAGAAAATTGGGGTAAGAATTTTACAGACATCAATCCCCCCAATAGATTAGGTAAACATCAGGGTATATTTTGTGATGTGTGTACATTTCTAGAACCGGTATTTTAGTATGGCGAATTTCAGAACGTGCATGCACCATTACAGATGTTGAAAATAAAGAAATAAAAATCAGTAAATTCAGGTAACATTTATTTAACTGACTAACTTTCACCCAAAATGGCTATTTCTTAGCAAAAAAATATAAACCTACTTTAAGGTCCTAAGAACAACTTGCATTTCTATAGGGTAATATCTCAAAGTGCTTCACATCAACTGGATGGACAATAATAACAATATTATTATTAAGGCTACCTAACAAGGGAGCAGGGAGGAGCTGGCTTATAGGCACATTCAAAGAAGTAAGACCTTGAAATTGATTTGTTGGAAGCCAATGGAGACTGGCAAGGACTGGAATGATGGGTTTGTGGAGTTTGGGGCGGGTGAGGATGCAGGCGGCAGAGTTTAGCAGTCCAGTAACTTATAAAATGCATATTAGTACTTGGGCTCATTTCCCAATGCAAAATATGTTACATGCAAAATAGCTTTCAGATCCTGACCCTAATTCAATAGACAACCAATTTTTCCAATGCAAAATGTCATAATTATGCAAATAATTACTTTAACCATCTCCATCCTGTCGGAATTCACCCCGGAATTATTTTTGAAGTTTGTTGACGTACATTTACCATATTACTAATTATTTTTGATGGGTTGAAAGGAAAATACAATATTTGTGACCAGTAAAATAAATTGCTTTATTTCAACATAAATCAAAAGGACAATATTTTTCATGAAATGCATTTGCCACACATTTTTGGTTGGTTTACAAACACATAACTTTTCATCCTGAATTGTACTGGGATGCATCAAGTCTTAGCTATCCTTCAAACCCCACATTCATGCTGTGACCCATTCCGACTTTCCACATCTCTGCAACATTGCCTGCCTCCGCCACTGCCTCACCGTAGGCCGCTGAGATCCTGATCCACGTTTTCATTACATCCCGGCTTGACTATACCAACTGCCTGCTCACTGGATTTCCCAACTCTTCCCTCCACAAGATGCAGATTATTCAGAACTCTGCAGCTCGTGTCCTCTCCTGCACCAGGCTCCGGGAACCTATCACCCCCATTCTTGCCCGGCGTCACTGGCTCACAATTCCTCAGAGAATCGAGTGCAAAACCCTTATTCTTCCTTCAAGGCCCTCCCACTGTCTTGCGCCCCCTTACCTCTCCAACCTCATAACCCCATATCAACTGTCTGCTCCCTCCGCTCGGCGGATACCGTCCTGCTTCAGGTCCCCCGCATTTCCTGCCCCACCACTGGCAGTTGGGCATTCAGCACCTTTGCCCCCACATTCTGGAATTGTTATTTATCCCACGCTCTGTTCCTAGGAAACAGTTAATTGTTTTCGGCTGAAGCAGCAGTGACAGATTATACAATGGGACTCAGTGCTCCTATTCCCATTTGTTATCCAGGGCACATGGATAAGTGTTGGCTGAGGCTGAGATCACACTTGATTGTGATCTCAACAGTCAAACTGTCTGGTAGTGAACTCTATCTGGGCACATCCTTCAAGAACAGTCACATGGGCGAGATATCAGACTGCTAGTGTCTGTGGAATATACACCGGATATACTCAGGAAAGAAAGTAAAAGTACAAAACCTGAAGGGAAAAATAAAGCAGTTGGATGTAAGCATTACCAACACTCCCAGATTCTGGACTCCTGTGTGAATGGGGCCCTCTATTTCTTTTATTCTTCACTGTGTAAAAGCAGCACAATAATAATAATCCTTACAGCATGCTAATAATGCATAGCACCTTTCACATCGCGACAACGTCTCAACGCTCTTCACATGATTCACTGTAAGATATGGTCACCGTGTATTTTGTAAGTAAATATGCCAGCCAATTTGCATGCAGTAAATGTACCACAAACAGCCATAAAGTTTCACCCACAAAAGATACAGTCAATTCACTTTACAGTATATTCTATGAAGCGCTTTGAGACGTCGAGAAATCGTGATAAAGCCCTACGTCAAACGCAAGGATTATGATTATTATTGTTATAAAGTGAATTACCAATTTTATCTGGGAGATTGCTGGTCAGCAAACCGGGAGACACTCCCTGGTATTTTCAAACCGTGTCAACGTAGACCTGAGACCTGAGCAGGGAGGCAGGACTTTTAACCAACCGACACTGATGTGCACGAATGCAAACACAAGACAAGTCGGGGACTCGCTGCGAAGCTTCCAAAGAGTAAAATGGCAAATGAGAGACCAAGTCCCAACCGGGTCAGTTGGAGGAAGCCGGGCAGCCTGGGGCTGTGTGCTGCCAGCCTCAGGCAGAGGCGAGAGGTGCGCACCCCCCGCCCTGGCCCGCACCCCCCGCCCTGGCCCGCGGGCCGGAGCTCCGGCTCTTACCTGTCAACAGGACATTCGGCCGCTTCTCCATTTCCATCCACGTGCGGCGTCAAGGGGGGTCCTTCACCACTCCTACCCGCGTCACTCAGCTCTTTGCCGTCCGCCTGCAAAAAAAAACTATTCGCATCAAATGTACTGTCTTCAGCTTCGCCGTATTTCCTCTCGGAGGATTCTGGCCTCGTTGTTGTTCCTCCGGGGTTTGGGGAAGGGTAAGTGGCGTAAATAATCCCAAATAAACAGCCGTGTTCATTTCCGGCGGCTCGGGAGGTCGCTAAAAGACGCTAAAAAAATAGCGTCAGAGGCAAGGAGGACCCCGGGCGCTGTTGTTATTTTTCCCGTTTGGATTAAAGTGGAGATAAGATTCCAGAAACAGCGAGAGTCAGGACAGCAAGTGAGTCACACACACACACACACAGAGAGTGGCTGAGAGAGGGAGGGAGGGTAATAACAGAAAAGCAGATTATTTTCTAGAGGTAGAGAGATTAGATAGTGTTAGTGTTCAGAGGGATTTGGGTGTTCTTGTACACCAGTCACAAACAGTTAGTATGCAGGTACACAAAGCAACTAGGAAGGCTAATGGCATGTTGGTGTTTATTGCAAAATGGTTAGAATACAAGAGTAGGGAAGTTTTGCTGCAACTGTATAGGGCCTTGGTGAGACCGCACCTGGAATATTGTGTGCAGTTTTGATCTCCTTATTTAAGAAAGGAAATACTTGCCTTAGAGGGGATGCAGCATAGATTCACCCGTTAGTTCCTGGGATGAGGAGTTGACCTATATATAGTTGAGTAAACTAGGCCTATATTCTCTAGAATATAGAAGTAGGGGTGATCTTATAGAAACATATAAGATTCTTATAGGGCTTGACAGAGCATACAGTGTGAGACTGTTTCCCCTGGTAGGAGAATCTATAACTAGGGGTCACAGTTTTAAGATTAAGGGTCAGCCTTTTCAAACAGAGTTGAGGAAACACTTCTTCACTCAGAGGGTAGTGAATTTATGGAATTCTCTATCCCAGAAGGCTGTAGATGCTCAGTTCTTGAACCTATTCAAGACTGAGATTGATAGATTTCTAAAGGATAGAGGGATTAACGAATATAGGGATAAGGCGGGCAGATGGAGTTAGGTTAGAAGATCAACCATGATCTTATTGAATGGCTATTTCTGCTCTAACTTCCTATGTTCCAGTGTGAGACAGAGTGAGTGAGTGAGTGAGTGAAGCAGCGAGGAGTGAGTGAGGGCGAGAGTGTGTGAGTGAGCGGCAGCGAGGCGGCAGCGAGGCGGCAGCGAGGCGGCAGCGAGGCGGCAGCGAGGCGGCAGCGAGGCGGCAGCGAGGCAGCGAGGCAGGGAGCGAGCGAGCGAGGCAGCGAGGCAGGGAGCGAGCGAGCGAGGCAGCGAGCGAGCGAGCGAGTGAGTCGCTCGCAGCGAGCGAGTGAGTCGCTCGCAGCGAGCGAGCGAGCGAGTGAGTCGCTCGCAGCGAGCGAGCGAGCGAGTGAGTCGCTCGCAGCGAGCGAGCGAGCGAGTGAGTCGCTCGCAGCGAGCGAGCGAGCGAGTGAGTCGCTCGCAGCGAGCGAGTGAGTCGCTCGCAGCGAGCGAGCGAGCGAGTGAGTCGCTCGCAGCGAGCGAGCGAGTGAGTCGCTCGCAGCGAGCGAGCGAGTGAGTCGCTCGCAGCGAGCGAGCGAGTGAGTCGCTCGCAGCGAGCGAGCGAGTGAGTCGCTCGCAGCGAGCGAGCGAGTGAGTCGCTCGCAGCGAGCGAGCGAGTGAGGCAGCGAGTGTGAGGGAGAGAGCGAGCGAGCGAGTGAGGCAGCGAGTGTGAGGGAGAGAGCGAGCGAGCGAGTGAGGCAGCGAGTGTGAGGGAGAGAGCGAGCGAGCGAGTGAGGCAGCGAGTGTGAGGGAGAGAGCGAGCGAGCGAGTGAGGCAGCGAGTGTGAGGGAGAGAGCGAGCGAGTGAGTGAGGCAGCGAGTGAGTGAGTGAGTGAGTGAGGCAGCGAGTGTGAGAGAGCGAGCGAGTGAGTGAGTGAGTGAGTGAGTGAGTGAGCAGCGAGTGAGTGAGTGAGTGAGTGAGGCAGCGAGTGTGAGGGAGAGAGAGAGAATCAGTGAAGCTGAGAGTGAGTGAGACTAGAGCGATAGAGAGTGAGTGAAGCTGAGAGTGAGTGAGACTAGAGCGATAGAGAGTGAGTGAAGCTGAGAGAGAGTGTGAGGCTAAGCGAGCAAGAGAGTGAGTTTAGCCCGGAGACTAGTGAACACTACTAATATAATAACTTTATTTTTCTTACTGAAGGTAAACGTGTGAGAAGAGATTTTGTTGTTTGAGTGCATAGAACCTTGGTCTGCTTATGGGATTTACTAGAGTTGACAATGTCAAAATCTAATGTTGGCAGAAAGATTGTTTCTGCTAAGGTAAGGAATTATATTTTACTCTTAGTATTCTGTGATTACAGTTTGTATATTATAGGGAGCTTTAAAACTCCCAAGTACAGGACAGAATATGCTTTTAAGACTTCAAGTTTTGCAGTAATAAAACTTATTGTGGTTGCATTTTTAAAAAGCAGAAGTTCAAGTTTCAGTCTTGATAAAGCAATGGCTTCAATTCTGAATTTTAAATGCAGAATTTGCCAAAACTATCTCATCGTTGATAAAAAATTGTATTCAACACATTCTGATTAATGTTTATGGTAATTTGAGCAGCTGAATGGATGTATGTACCATCTGATATGATGGTGAAAGTCCTAGGTTCAATTCAGGTCTGTGTTGACTGCTGATCTCAGCAAAGATAGTGATTTGCTGTGTCAGAGCTATGAACAGTAATTAGACTTGTTATGGCTCTTCAGTGTTGAATGGAGGAGTTTCAAAAAGGACCGTGTAGAGGTGTATAATATTTTACAGTCAATCCACTTTACAATATATTCTGTGAAGAACTTTGAGACATCTTAACAACATAATAAGGCGCTATATCAAATGCAAGGATTATTATTAATGAATGGGATTGAGAAAGTAAACCTAGAACAATATGTTTGGATGGTCTGTGACAGCAGAACAAGTGGATATAATAATAATAATCTTTGCATTTGATATAGCATTTTTTCACATCTTCTCGACGTCTCAAAGCGCTTCACAGAATATACTGTAAAGTGAATTGACCGTATATTTTGTGGGAGAAACACTGCAGCTAATTGCGCAGAGGATAAGAGTTGCAAAGAACAATTTGAGGACAGACAGTAGGAAATGTTTCTTTATCCAGAAGGTGATTAACAACTTGACTAGTTCTCAGGAAGGCTGGTTGAGGCTAAGATGCTGCACTGATTTTTTGTTAAAAAAAAGTTTGATGCTCTAATGGGAGCACGATAGAGATGGTTGAGATCAAATAGCACTGAATAGGTGATTTTTTTTCATCACTTGGACCTGTTTTATATTCTATTTTTTGATATTGATATGGCAAGACATAGGAACCAAGAGGTTGAATGAGAGGACATAGGACCAATTAGCTTGTTGAATCTAATCTGCCAATTTATAGGTCGTGGCAGATCTTTTACATTGAAAGAAAAATTGCACAAATACAACAACAAAATTACATTTATAGAGTGCCTTTCATGTCGGGAAGGCATCCCAAGGGGCTGGACAGTCAGGGGTCAGGACCGTTAGGGGTCAGTCAGGGTCATACAATACAAAATTACATTTGTATAGTTCATGTCGGGAGGACATCCTAAGGCGCTGAACAATCACGGATTTGGACCTGAGCAGGGGAGGGGATTTAAAGTAGTGGAGGGTAGGAGGGTGACCGAAGGCAAGGTTAAAGAGGAGGGTCTTGAGACGTGCCTTGAAGGAGGCAAGGGAGGGAGGTGAAGAGAATGTGGGATGGAGTTCCAAAGGGTGGGGGTAGAGAGGCTGAAGACCCGACTGCTGATGGTGGGGCAGGAGATGTGGAGCAGGCCTGAGCCTGCTGAGCGGAGGAAGCGGACAGATTGATAAGGGGTTAAAAGGTCACTGAGGTAGGAAAGGGCAAGGCCATGGAGGGCCTTGGAGGTGAGGACGAGGATTTTGAACTCTATCCTCTGGGGAATGGGGAGCCAGTGGAGCCAGGCAAGGCTTGGGGTGATAGGGTCACGAAGCCTGGTGCGGGAGAGGAAGTGAGCTGCAGAGTTCTAGATGATCTGCAGCTTGTGGAGGGAAGAGTTGGGGGTGCCGACAAGCAAGGAGTTGACATAGTCAAGCCTAGATGTGATGAATGAGGGTTTTGGCAGCCTGAGAGGGAGGCAGTGGCACAGTCGGGCAATGTGGGGGAAGGCAAAGTGGGTCATGGCACGGATGTGGGGGAGACAGTTGAGGCTCAAACAAGACCCCTAGGTTCCAGACTGGCTCAGTGAGGTGGAGTGTGCCTCCATGGATGAAGTCCGTGTGGAAATCCAACATATTTTCAGTTGATATAGGTTGAGGTAGTGTGAGATGAATAGTTTTGCCCACAGAATACACAGTCACTATACTTCTGTGAGGAGAGTTGAGATGGCTCAAGGATGTGATAAGGCGCTCTATCAAATGCAAGCATTACTGTTATGAATATATAGTGAATGGCATTGTCTTCTTTTGCTTTAGTTGACAAACTGGGTTCAGCCGGCTTTTGATGATTTTCTCAGTGACTCCACCATCACCTCAGTGACTTCCCACGGAAAACCATCAGGCCATTCATTGTCGAGTAATGGTGGTCAGAAAATTTTCCAGCCGGAAAGAGACAAAAGATCCAAGTTCTTCCCCTTAAACAGCACAAAGAATAGAAAAAGAACCAAGACAACTAACAAGGGACTGCTTAATTACCGCAAGAGTAACCCACCTTCAAATCGAACTGAACCCTGGGTGGATGAATACATACCTCGGACACAGGTAGCAGAGTTGTGTAGAGTGAATTCTATAGCCTGCTCTCCTGGAATATGGGTGTATGGGTGGGAAATTTCCATACATATTTGGAACTATCAGTGGTTTTGTTTGGACGCTCTTAAGTATGGTGACGTAGTTCCACGTGTGTCAGACACTAAAGAAAAGTGCTGCTTTTGTAGGATATTTTGCTCTGAAACACACCCCTGTTTGAAGAGCGCTATATAAATGCAAGTTGTTGTTCATTGTTGTTGATGCTTTGCATATCATTTGTGAAGTAGATTGATTTCATTGAGCCAAAGTTGCCTTTTTCTGTTTGATATGTTTGTTATGCAATGGCGGAAATTCAGTCAAGCTACTTTGAACACTCTCCCTCAATCCTTCCGCCTTGCCCCCTTTCTCCCTTTTTCAAGTCCCGCCTGAAAACCTTCCTTTTTGACGGTGTTTACAGTCACCTCACATCTCTCCTGCCACTGTTAAGCACTCTAAATAAGTTACCATGCATGGATAGCTAGACAGTATTTCACTTAAAACTGCTATCCTATATTCTCTTCCATTCTATGTTCTCTTCTGCTACAGAGTGAGCTTGCAGTTCATAAGAAGAAAATCGAAGAGGTTGAAAATTGGTTAAAAGTCCATATACGACAGAGATGCCACCAGGTAAGTCGGACTGGGTCACTATAGAGCACTTTGCTGCAAAAAAAATTAAAAAAATTAGCTGTAAAAAAACAAACAGTTTTCACTTGATCTGACCACTGACTTCTTAATTTATAAATGTCTTAATTTAGACAATAGTTTAGAATAAGAATCCAGGGGTGAAAAATATGGTAAAACCACATTCTACCCACATCACATTGTGGAACATGCTGCTTATGGAGACATCTCAACTGATGTATACCCCATAGAACCAGCTTTGTTGAAATAATTAGGGTAAAAAGCTGCTTCCCACAGTTCATTCTTTTCTAGCCCAAATGCAGCCAAAACCCTCGTGCATGTGTTTGTCACCTCCTGGAATATGGATTACTCAAATACACTCGTCACCCCAGCTCCATTATTCCAAAAATCCCGCTCATTCAGAACTCTGCTGCTGCATAATTACCCGAACCAAATTCCATACCCCCATCTCAACAGTTCTGGCCAGGCTTCACTGGCTCCCCGTCACCAAACAGATCGACTTCAAGGTCCTCACACTCGTGTTCCAATCTGTTCACTTCATGGCACCTCTGACTTTCTCACTACCCAATCTACCACCAAGGGCCTCCTGCTTGTATCTCGCTCCCTCCACTCTACCAATGGAGCCCGTGCTTTCAGCCATTGCGCCCTGCAGCTCTGGATCACTCTCCCTCAATCTATCCGCTTTGCCTCTCTCCCCTTTTTCAAGTCCTGCCTGAAAACCTTCCTTTTCGACCGTGCTTACGGTCCCCCCCACCGGCTCGAAGTCAGGCTCCACCACTGTTAAGTGCTCTTGAGACGCTACCCTGCATGGAGGGCTCTATATAAGTGCAAGTTTTTGTTGTTCCTTTGGACTTAGCACTGTGTAGATCTCAACATTATGGTGCCAATTCAGGGAAAACGTACAGGCTTAACTCAGTATTAGTTCTTTCATATCCACTATTGTTGCAAAGGAAAAATAATTACTTATATTGAAACTGAATTACAATTGTTTTTAACTGATTTAAAGAGATTATTAAAGGAAGATTCTTTTATGCAAAACTGTATTACTTTCTCATTTTCTTCCCCAGACTAGATATTTGGTAGAAATTTTAGTTGCTCTTTTTCTTATGAGTGAATAATAATACATGTAATTATTTTGCGTTTCAAAGGATGGTTCCATCTTACTACTGACAGGTCCTTCAGGCGCTGGCAAGACTGCCACACTACAAGTACTTGTAAAGGAGCTGGAAATTCAACTGCTTGAGTGGACAAACCCTCTTCAAAATGAATTTAAGAAGCCTGAATTTAGGGACTCCTTTGATATTGGTAAGAACTATCAGCTTTTGGACTCCAGGGATAATGTAAAACTGTTGAGAGCCAGCCACTTTCTTTCATTAAGGCATCCGAGTTCTTGTATACAGAAGCAATAGGCAACCCCATTCTCAACAGAGTCTAGGGAAATCTGGCATTGAGAAAATCGGATGCTTAAAGAGTTGCCTTCAGACTGGTTTGCATCCAGAGGGAAACTCTTAATGTGAAAGCAGTATTATATCCTTTCTCCAGCTACATATCTACCCCAGGCTTAGATGCTGTGCTCTGCTGCTATTGTTTTGTACAATTGAATCGAGCTGCAATTGAAATCCGTGGATATATTTGCTCTGCAAAAGGGAAAATGCTGTGACAGAGGTTCTTAATCAATTCTGTGAAGGACTTTGAGATGTACTCACAACATGAAAGAGCTAAATAAAGTTTAGTCAAAGCCAGTTATTGTGTGTGGAATTGGGGTGTCCAGCCTGCAGACGAGTGTAGACCAACTCATTTATGTGGACATACATCTGTTTGTTATGGGCCAAACAGTTAAATTGACCTATTTTACAGTACAAATTTACATTCATATACTTTTTTGTAATTTCATTATTAGATTACATGTAGCAGAAATAATTACATGACAAAATCTGTTGTTATCCGATGGCCTTTATAGTATTGGCAATTTAATATTTCACCTGAAAGCAAATGCAAACAGATGGGTTAGACTCTATTAATCAACTGTTTAATATTCTGGAACTGTTCCTTATTTTCTTCTCCAAATCTCCGACTATTCCTAATCCAGTGATGTGTGGACAGTGCAAAATCTTTTTGTACTTTTGAAGTTAGAACTGCTGACCTTCTGGAGGCTTGATCTGCCAGATTGCCATAAAAGAGCTGTTGAGTGAATATGCCCTTGAGCTATCAATAGTGTAGGAGTTCAACACTCTACCCCGTTTGCTGCTCACTCACCCAGTGTAAAGGCCACAGTGAAACAATTCTGTATTTTATTATGTAAAGAATGTAAACTCGGGTTTTCTCAAATCTGTAAATAAATCCTGTGATTTACTTCAGATTCAAGTTTCCAGCAGTACACCAGCACGTCACAGTCTGTTCTATTTCATGAGTTTCTGTTACGAGCTAACAAGTACAATAAACTCCAGATGTTGGGAGATTCCTTTCAAACGGACAAGAAGGTGATTCTTGTGGAAGTAAGTCAAGCTTTTCTCAGCTCTGATACCTGTTCATTGAGGATTAAACATCACAAATGTTGCAGTTTGATAAATTAGCTTTAATGAATACAGCAGGAATCTGGGGCAAAATAAAAATGTTTTCTTATTTTCTGCATTTTACAATATTCTGTAATTCTGCCATTTCTTTACTTAAAATGGCATTATTTTGCCCACAAATATACAATTCACTTAACAGTATATTCTATGAAGCGCTTTGAGGCATCTAGAAGAAGTGAAAAGCGCTATATCAAATGCAAGAAGCAGGGAGATCGAAAGCACGGTCGAAGAGGAGGATCTTGGGACGTCCCAAGACGCTGGACAGTCAGGAATTTGGACCTGAGTGAGGGGGATTGGGGTAAGGGAGGGTGGAGGGTAGAAGGGTGGCCGAAGGCATGGTTGAAGAGGAGGGTCTTGAGACGTGCCTCAAAGGAGCAAGCGAGAGATTGAGGCAAATGGAATGTGGGATGTAGTTCCAAAGAGTGGGGTGGTATTCAGCCTCAGTACTTAGGTCCAGAGTCCAGCTTTGACTGCTGAATGATGACTCCTAATCGATTAATCTCTATACTTTTCTGACTAGGCTTTTCAAGTGATATTAAACGATTGAGTTGCAATTGTACATTGCTTTCATACTGAGAGAAAAATGTAGGTTTTTTTAACCTTGTGTAATAGATCATTTGTAAACTATTGATATACAGAAAAAATGATTCAAACTCTGGTTGTATTCCACAGGATATTCCAAATCAGTTTTATAGGGATCCTTCATGCATGCATGAAGTCTTGCGGTAAGTTCATCAAAATCATTTAAAAAATACACTCCTCACAGAATAACAACATAAATTCCTATACATTATTCTGAGCGGGTTATTCCAGGAATACTAAAAGTGGTTTTATTTTTAACATGAAGCTGTAGACTTCTTACTGCAGTTAGGACTATGATTCAGTAAATAATTGGAGCATGTAAAATTGTTTCATTACAGATACACCATTAGTAATTTGAAAATGTCAACTAATGTGAAGAACAAACATGTCATGGAGTAAACAGAAATCTTTAAAAGATATATTGTATTTTTTTTAAATTTAGCCTGCAACCAATTATGCCAATGACCATGTGAATGAAATATGAATACTTTTTTACAAGCTTGTGGTAGGAACTTGAGTTCAATCTTATTTCCTTTTTAAGAAAGTTGACATACAAGTACATTTATCCTATACACATTTTATCGAATGAAATTAAAAAATTGAGCATTTTAATAAATGAATAACAACTCTAGATTACAGGAAGGGTATTACAATTTCTTTTTATTCTATTCCATTAATGAATATTGTACATATTCAGATTACAACTGCGGCATCTGTGTTGCGTGTGTATGTAACGATTTGCTGGAATATATAGATTTGAATTGTTGAAGTTTTTTTGTTTAAATAAACACTAACTTGGTGAAATTGGAACATACGAAGAAAAGTCAGCTTGATTTTTGTTTTAAGCAGGAGGTTTGTACAGACAGCAAGGTGTCCACTAGTGTTCATCATTTCTGACAGTGTAAGTGGAAGCAGCAACCAGAGGTTCCTCTTTCCTAAAGACATCCAGGAAGAGTTGTGTATTTACAATATCAGGCAAGTACTGACACTACAGTGTTAAATATGCCAAGCCTGGTTGTTTGGTTCTTCTTGACTTGAGGTTATTCACTTTACAAAACTCAGGTCTTGTGCAGTGAGAAGCACTGCAATTATAAAGTGAAAGAACAGACTTTATAGGAAATAATTGAGATGACAGAATTGCCAATGCAGTAAGCATTTCTTTTTTTAAAAAAATAATTTTGCTTGTTTCTGCAAAAATGGTAATAAGGGTGAATTCTGGATCTTGAGTTTCTGTTCTGCATCCATTTTAATTCATTATCGTAATTGTATTTTCAATTTATTTGCAGTTTTAATCCTGTGGCACCCACAAACATGATGAAAGTTTTAAACAGAATAGCTTCTCAAGAGGTCAGTAGGGTAAATTTATATTTTACAAGCAAAATAATTGTTTTCCCTCCTTTCTTGGTTATATAAGCACTGGCAGACCATAAACACTGTATCTTAATGTGCATTCTTTGTATTTGAGCCTAAATGACAAATATGTCATATTTTCAAGTGCTACAAAATGCTACCCTGCATGAAGGTTGCTGTACAAACACAAGTTCTTGTTGCTTTGTTTTACTGGTTGTTTTGTTTCAATCTGGGTTTGCAAAATGAACATTTTGCAGTGGACTTCTTTTGCCCAGGAATGATATCCAATTTGCTTTACTTGTTTATTGGAAATTCACTTAAGACTGAATGAAAATAGTGAACATTTTTTTTTACCATTCGCCCCAAAATGGAACATTTAACTTGTTCTTTGATGATCTGTGGAGTCCTGTAGCTCCGTGGTTAGAGCACTGAGTTTGATTCTCCTCGGGGTGAAACCTTACTCCACATGCCTGATAATAATCCCTCAAGAAAAAATCCCAATAATAAATTGGTAATTTCAATCCACGACTGTTTGTTGGACACTGCTGTGCGCAATTGGCTGCCACATTTTGCCCACAAATATACAGTCAGTTCACTTTACAGTCTATTCTGTGAAGCGCTTTGAGACGTCTAGGAGACATGAAAAGCTCTATATCAAATGCAAGGATTATTATCTAATCTGCAGAGTGGTGGAAAGACTGTTGCCCCTGACAAGGCAATGCTGGAACTGGTCTGCCAAGGCAGTGCTGGAGACATCAGATGTGCAATAAATAGCCTCCAGTTTGCTTCAGCACAAGGTAAGTTTTTAACCTGGGAAGAAATAAAGTTACCTCACTAATTTTCTAAGTTAAACGGTTCATACAATACTGAACTGAAACAAGGCTGTGTTTTAGAAACCTAATAGTCTAAAAAAAATTAATGACTGGTGGGGCGCTACAGTTAGTGTCTGTATCCTGTATGTGCGTGTTTGTGTGTGTTGCGTGTGGATGTTGGGTGGCAATAGTATCTGGGTTGGCTGTGATTTCTCTTCTTCTCCTTCCCCCCACCCCGCCCAGTGGGATAGCTTTCTGATGACATTGAAGAAACTGTATCCTCATAATAGTCACTGCCTTCAGGGTGGAGAAGAAAATTGGAGACAAAAACTTAAATCTCGTAGTGTACACTGCAGTTTTTCACATTAGTTGTCTTGAGCTGTTTCTAAATATGATGTAATGACGGATAACTATACCACCACTTAAATATGTGCACCTGTTAATGAATTTGTTGTATAGTTTAACATTATAGATCCCAAAGTGGTAACACTCTAGTTTTAGTATTTTCCAGTGTCCTAATGGTATGCTGCTTCATACTTTTGTATCTTTTCATTCTTTTTATGCATACATAAACACAATTTATCTCATGACACGTGTGTGCACAAATACTCAATTCAGGTTCTTCATTGGAGCAAAATCAGCTGTCATTCAGCAAAAGAAAAATTCTAGCCAAAGCAGGCACATTTTCAAAAGGAAAACTAAAAGGAAAGGCATCTGAGAAGGGAGACTGCCTGCAAGCAATTGGAAACAAGGATCCTTGTCTCTTTCTGTTTCGAGCACTGGGGAAAATACTTTACTGTAAACGTAAGTTGGACAAGTTTTGTTGGAGTGCAGTTTTGAGGCGAGAAAGTTGGCAAGAAGGAAAAAAATAATCATCTCCTATTGCAATTCACAAATCAATTTTCTATTGTGCTTTTTACTTTTCTAATACCTGTTATCTATCATCAATGAATTTCCATAGAATATCCAATCAATATGGAGCTGTAGAATTGTCTTAAGAAAAAAATGTCTGCGACTTGACACATTTTGTTACAAGTTTTTTTTACCACTAGGTGGGAGAATTCCATTGAAAGTGGCGTGATCAGAATTTGTTTTCTGTGTTTTCAAAATTCAAGTGCAGGGGAGGGAAATTTATATAGTTTTCTTCAAGTTAAAGATCCTAAACCAGTCCCCCAAATAAAATTGCTGTATGCAAAATTGGCTGCCACGTTCGCCTGCAAAATACACAACCACTCCCCTTCATAGCAAAATTCTGTGATGCACTTTGAAACATTTCAACAACAAGCTTTTTAGCAAATGCAAGGATTATTGTACAATTATTTTTTTGAGAAAAGCATTTCAGTACAAAGATGGAGTAGAATATTAATAACTGACAAAATAAAAACAGATTCCCTTATTTTGAAGGAGAGGCACCAAATGGTGTGGATTTGAATGATTTACCAACTCATCTATCTGAACATGAGAGGGATCCACTGCTAGTTAATCCTGAGGTAAGATTAATCATTGTCCAATGCTTTGCTTAAGCAGGGAGACCACATACGGTATATCCGAATTTGAGATCTCAAATCTACAAGCGTCGGCTGTGACTTTAAGTGTGCTCAACAATGCCGTGCTCCCATCTCCAGTGACAGTTAGCAGGGATTCTCTTTGTGGAGATTTACTGCCTGGCAGATTATGTGTTAGTGCCAGGTGGGCTGCCTTCTTAGGTGAAGCAGCAGCACAAATTTGAGAAGATTCAAATGAGATAAAAGCAGTCATTGGTGACGACGAATCATTATTTGTGATCACTTGTCCACCTTTCATTTCAGGAAGTAATTGAAAATTCACATATGTCTGCAGAGTTGTTCAATCTTTACCTTCACCAAAACTACCTTGATTTCTTCAAAGAAATAGAGGATGTTGTTCGAGCAAGTGATTATCTAAGTGATGCAAACTTCTTGATAGCAGACTGGAATGTAAGTAACGGGTTACTCCGTGACATGAAGCAATATCACAATAATATGCCTATGCAATGGGTATTTGGATGGTTTAAAGTATAAAAGTGAAAGTAATAATCCTTGCATTTGATATAGCGCCTTATGTGGTTGAGACGTCTCAAAGCACTTCACAAAACACTAACTGTCCAGCGCCTTGGGATGTCCTCCCGATGTGAAACGCACTATACTGGAGTCCTATAGCTCAGTGGTTAGAGCACTCGCTTTGCAAGTGAGAGACCTGAGTTCAATTCCAGGCAGGGCGAAACCTTGGGCAAGTTTCCTTACTCCACACGCCTAATAATAATCCCTCCAAAAAAAAACAATGATAAAATTGGTCATTTTCAATCCATGACTGTTTGTGGGACATTGCTGTGCGCAATTGGCTGCCGCGTTCGCCCACAAATATACAGTCAATTCACTTTACAGTATATTCTGTGAAGCGCTTTGGGACGTCTAGAAGACGTGAAAGGCGCTATATCAAATGCAAGGATTATTATTATTTATTATTATAAATGTAATTTTGTTGTACTGCTAGGCAACTAGGATGTGTGGAGTAAGGTTTCACCACCGCCCGGGAATCGAATCCGGATCCTCTCGCAAGCGCACTGTCCACTACCCTACGTGACGGATACAGATATCTCTGTAATTTTCTTTCCCTCAAAAAGTTTCTGCTTTAATTGAACTTACTTGACCAAGTTCAGAATCTCAAATATAGCTTAATTTCATATATTTAGCAGTTGCCCTACCTTTCCCTTGTTTTCTGAATGGAAAATTTGAAGAGAAATTCTTTGGGTGATGTATGAAGGTGTTTCAGGCATTTATCATTTATCTGATTCCTACCAGCAGCGTTCAGTTCTGACTAAAGGTCATAGACCTGAAACATTAACTTATTTTCCTCTCTGCATAGATGCTGCATGACCTGCTGCGTGTTCCCAATGACTTCTGTTTTATGTGAATATCAATGTGTTCTCTATACCTCTGTGAGCTCTAATTTGTATGGCTCAATTTCACTCAAGTCAGTAGCTTTAACTACTTTTAATGGATGGCATATTGTTCTGAAAATGCAGAGCCAGAGAATACCCAAATTTTTAAATGTAAAAATTAAATCTTGCAAGTGTTGGTCATTTTGAAGTCTCTCTTATATGTTGGGTTTTGCAACGCCTAATATTTCCCTTCTCTTTTGCATGATTTTATAGCATCATTCCACCATGATGACGTACAGTGCATCTGTAGCAACTCGAGGCATAATCCATGCAAACACAGCTCGAGCTCGGGCTAACTGCCAGGGAGGAATTGGCTTTAAACCTTTTCACAAACCACAGTGGTTGTTGATAAATAAAAAGGTATGGCTGAAGAGCTGATTGTGTGGCTGAACAATTCATATCAGATTCAGTTTGGGATTGTTTTTTCCAAATTCTGTTTACATGTTTTGAGGTTTGAAGTAATTGATCACCAATGCACATGATATACACTTTTCCTGTTGTAGGTTATCAAATCTATGACTTGTTATTATTGTAACATTCCTTTTTATTTCACACAAGTTGAACAATGTGCCAAATCCTAAGGTGCTGGACAGTCTAGGGTTTGCAACAGAGCTTTGGGGGTGGGGGGGGACACAGGGGGCCGTGAGGGGAGGGGGGAAAGATGGCCGAAAGCATGGTTAAAGAGGAAGGTCTTGAGACAGATCTTGATGTGCATTGCACTTGTCTGATTTACATGGATTGTACAACACGGAAACAGGCCATTTGGCCCAACTAGTCTGTGCAGGTGTTTATACTTACCATAACTCTTCGCCTGTTCCTTACTCCCTCCCTTAACCTTCTATTCCCTTCTCACTCATGTATCTTATTTAAATCTCAGTTGTGGGGTTCAGATGATGTATAAATAAATGCCCTCTTCATAACTGCTCATTTGAACTAATTTCCTGGCATACTGTAATACTGCTTCCTGTAAAACCGCCTGATCACTCAAAGTTAAAGTGCTTGTTTGTCTTTCTGTTGCAGTACCATGAGAACTGCAATGCAGCCAAAGGCTTTTTTTCAAATTTCTGTTTAGCACCAATATGTCTTCAGACTCAGTTGTTGCCATACCTTGCTCTGCTGACAAACCCCATGAGAAATCAAGGTAAGAAATGTGCAATAACAACACATGATATCCCCACCTAACAGTAATCATTCTGAAAATCTGTGAAGTTGTAATAGGTGAAAACATAACCTCACAGTTTTTGATCGTTCCTCTGTCATAATTCAATTTCAGAACACAATCACAGAATTTAAAGTCCCAATATAGTTTTAATTATCTTTGGCTTCTCCCATCTTCTCCCTGCTGTATTGAAGACACTGACATAGGCTGGGAATCGGCTCCTCAGGCCCCTTTCCTTTCATATCTAACTTTGTTAATGATACGAAGCTAAGTGTTGTAAATTGTGAAAAGAATAGAAAAAGGAACATAGATTGATTAAGTGGAACTATGGGCAATGTAGCAAAGTACAGTAGAACCCATTATAACCCAATAGTTGAGGTCCATAAAATCACTATCATCCTTGAAATAAGGCCCAATATTGGTCAGCAATTGTGCATCATGACCAATCACATAATATAGCACATAGATATTGAAGTTATTGGGTCCTGATGATTCAAATCTTACACACTGTGTTATAATAGGTCTGCATTATGGCCCCACTACCACCTCACTGCTGACATTCTTTTTGATATGTTTAGTATGGTATGTTCTGGTTGCCAACCAAACAAACCAGCAGTGTACCAAACTTCAGTAACGGCAGGTCCACAAGGGACTATGGTTATAGTTGTACTCCAGCAAAATAGTTTATAACAGCATCACTCTATACTCCCCTCGAAAGCATGAAAAGCTGTAGACCTAACACCACTTCTTGGGGGACACCAATTTGTCAATGTCTGCTAACCGGGCATTGTTTCTCAGATTTCCACCTCCCAATTCATTTCCTATATGGGCCGCAAGATTGCCTTCAATTCCATTCAACTTCATTTTAGCTAATAATCATTTAAAACAAAAAAAAATAATAAATTGGTCATTTTCAATCTACGACTGTTTGTGGGACATTGCTGTGTGCAATTGGCTGCCGCGTTTGCCCACAAATATACAGTCAATTCACTTTACAGTATATTCTGTGAAGCACTTTGGGACGTCTAGAAGACGTGAAAAGCGCTATATCAAATGCAAGGATTATTATTATGTAGTATATAAGGGATTACTAGCTAAAATTAGCAAGCTTTTTTTAATTTGATCCACAGTTTAGATAGGACAAAGCAATTTGGAAAGATTTCTTTATCCATTGTTTACTTGGAGATGAATTGTAAGATTGAAGGAGCTAAATTTCTTGCAATAACACAGAGAATGTGCTATTGTGAAAATTAGGTTTATGAATTGTTATTATATGGTCGAGAGTTAACAAAAATATTTCTGTTTTATGCACAGCCCAGATTAATTTTATCCAAGATGTGGGAACGTTTCCTTTTAAAAGATACCCTGCTAGGTATGTGAAGCATTTATACTCCAGTTATTAAAGTGTAACCATAATTTAGGGCTTGCCTCTGCACCCATTCTGCTTCAAACCCCTCATGTTTAACTGGATTTCTAAAGCTACAAACAACCACCACAAAATTACATTTGTATAGTGCCTTTCAGGTCAGGAGGACGTCCCAAGGCGCTGGACAGTGTACAGTGTTTCAGACCCGAGCTGGGGGTCGGGATCGGGGAGGGTGAAGGGCAGGGGAGGAAGGAGGGTGATCGAAGACACGGTTGAAGAGGATGGTCGGGTGAGGCGGGGGAATGTAAAGCAGGCTGGAGCCCACTGAGCAGAGGGAGTGGGCAGGTTGGTAGGGGGTTAGGAGGTCGTAGAGGTAGGGGGGAGCAAGACCATGGAGGGCTTTGAAGGTGAGGACCAGGACCTTGAACTGTATCCTCTGTGTGATGGGAGCCCAGTGGAGTTGGGTGAGGATGGGGGTTATTCAGGTCACGGAACCTGGTGTGGAAGAGGATGTGGGCTGCAGAGTTCTGGATGATCTGCAGCCTATTGAAGGAGGAGTTGGGGAGGCCAACAAGTAGGGAGTTTGCATAGTCAAGCCTAGATGTTATGAATGTGTGTATGAGTGTTTCGGTGGCCCGTGGTGTGAGACATAGAATAAATCAATAAGGAACTTGGTTTTGCAGTAATTTTTTGTTTCATCAACTGAACTATTAAATTTGTCAAAGGCACTATGTAAATGTATATTTTTTTAAATAGTGTGTGAAAAAAAATTCAAGTTCTGGAGATATATTTGAGCTAAGTCTGGCATTCTGGTTATTTTTCTGATTTTCATTGTACTTCAACTTAACTTGTAATAGCAATGTAGAGAAAAACAAGGGAGTGTTTTAACTGCTCTTATCACTAAATGTTTTCATATTTAATGTATGTTTACTTTGGCAACAGTTGGTACTTTTGATTCCAAGAATATCAATTGTTCTGTCAGATAGAATTCTGTAAATCATTCAGAATTAAAACTAAATCAAGCTATATAAATGCTGAAAAACACTAAACATTTAAAAGGTTCCAATTTCTGAATATTTTTCCACAAAAAGAAAGCAACCCCTGTTTTCACAAAAGTTTAAACAATATTCTGAAATTTCCATCAATAGAAGTGACCTACATTAAATATTAAAATACAAAATCTTTTCACAATCTGCACAGTAACTCGTCAGTGTTAAAACCCATGAGAATAGCTGCTGGTTAATATTTGTTTCTCTCTTTTTTTAAGACTAACATTGGAGACTTTAACAGATAAAGATCCTGGAATTATGGAATTGGATAATGATGAGAATTTTTCTTTGGCAACATCATCAGTGGGGATGGAGACCCAGAATTCCGCTGTGTCAGCAAGCCAGACTGGTAGTGGAGATCTACCAAACAGCCAACCACAACCTACCATAACACAATCCATTCTTGAAGAGGAATTCATAATAGAGGAATATGATAGTGATTAAGACTTGCTTTTGGCTTGTGTTTTTGAAGTGTACAAATATTTATTTTTTTCAGATGTCTGGAAACCCAAGTAAATAGCTGGTTAAAGCATTGTTTCAATAACACAAGTTTAGTGTCTGCTAAATCCACAATAACTGGAACAACCTATGTTTTTACAATCATATGGAGTGCCTTTGAATCATTGGAAATTTACAGTTTCCTGTGTTTGCTTCACTAAGATCTACTGAAATGTTGCAGTCTTACTAAAAGACTCTATAAGAACAATTTATTTGAGTAACTGTACCAAAATAATCAGAGCTTCAGCCTGGTCAGTTGATGGGATTCTTGAGTCAGAATGGTTGTGGATTTAAGATCCATATCAGGACTTAGAACTCAGTCTAGGCTGACATTCAAATACAGTGCTTGGGGAGCACTGCTTTGATGGTGTTGTCCTTCACATGAGTTGTTAAACTGAGATTCAGTTTGCCTGTTCAGTTGCACATTAAAGATCCTGTGGAACTATTTGAAAAATTCAGTGTCCTAACCAACAATTCCCCAGATAAAATTGGTTAATCACTTCATGGCTGTTTATGGGACACTTCGTGCAAATTGGCTGCCATGTTCGTCTACAAAATGCAGTCACAAAACTTCACTGTGAATCCTTATTTTGAGATGGCTTCCTGAAGTGATAAGATGCTAGATAAATGCAATGATATTATAAAATAATTTGTTTATTATGACTCACTGCAAAGTAAATGATTTTGTCTGATGGTTTTGAGGATTTGTCACAATTCTATCAAATGTTTTCTATGAATTTTCATACATAATTTTGAACATTTGTATTGACCTTAAAGTTACTGAGTCAGTTTCCAAGTGCAGCTCTGCTTTGAACATGTATATGAAGTTTCTTTATCCAGATGCAGAGCCAAGAAGAAGAAAATTACTTATGTTTATATGCTTAGCAAACGTCTTCGTGAAGAGGACACAACAAAGTCTACAAAACACAAATAATTTATGCTTTAATAGGATGTACAGTTGCCATTTTTACTAGTTGGCTGTAGAATTCACAAAATTAACCTGTTAATGCTATTAAATTACCAGTACGGTTGCTACTTCACATGTTTTTATGCTTAAGTAAGTGTTTTTCAGAGTACACCAAAACATGACTTATTAACATAAGATAAATCACATTCAGCTTGCATGCATTTTATTCCCAATTTTCTACTGAAGCTGTTAATGTATGGTGGGATATGGATCCATGCGCACCTCTGGTACATTTGTCATATGTAAATCTGGGTGTGGTAGGGGGCCATTGAGAGAGACATTGAAACATTATTATAAAGCTCAATCCTCCATCAGCATCAAAGGTTGAGCATTCCTGCAGAGTTAGTTGGAAAGCATCGGGAGCTAGAATCCTGTCCTATCTTTATTATTCCATATCTAATTCAATGCTAAGATAGTTTAGTATCAGTGTTGCCAACTGGCAACCTTCCTTAGGTCTGCTAAATGCACAGACTGGGAATCAAATGTGCAACCCTTTGCCTTGTTACATCAGGCTGCAGCTTTATCCATTGACGGCCAGGGAAGCTGCATGTGTTCAGTTTCTTCTGTTGTCTATATATTAACCCTGTTTTATGGACCAGTTTATTTGGTACATCCCATAGCACATTTCCTTTAATAAAATGAGAGTACAGAACAAATGGAACTGCCAATTGCAGTTACATAGTCAATGCTTATATTAATTTAAAGGTATTTTTAAAATATATCTTTAATGCTAAATGTTCATGTGTATTCTAAAAGCCGCATTCCTACAGGATTTATACAGGGTTAAAAAGCAGTATACATCAAGATTAGGTAAAGTTGTGTTGCACATAGCTTTAAAAAAATATGTACAGAATAAAATAGTTTTAAGTTGAAAGATGTTTAGTTATTGAGAAAGGATTAAAGAGCTTTCAATCATAGAAATATCTACATTCAGATCTTTGCCATGGTTGTCCTCATTTATTTTAAAATGAGGCTACCACAAGGTGTCACAGTGGTTAGGTTGTGTCCATGGAGGATTCAAAGATTGAACCTAGTTAAGATAACTGTAGTTACTTTAACACTGAGGAAATCCCATTCTAAATGGACATTTCCAAGTAGCTTCACTTGATCACTCCTTCCCCTTTTATTTCCCTTTTCCCTCTCACACTCTCCTCGAGGATTTTCCTACACCTACAGACCATCCCTGTCTGAGAGTGTTCCTGTGCTTGTGGCTGTGTGATTCGGTTACTCAGGGGTGCCTTTGTTGCTTCTCGCTAGTGGAACCTTGATGTTATTACCTTGATATGTGCCTTTGCAAAACTGTGTCCCTTGCGATCAGGAGGGGTGAGGGGAGGGCAAAGAAAACAAGTAGGTTTCTTTTCTAGCACTTTACTGTTTGTGTTTTTCGTGCTTTTCAAGACCCATTCGTGTTAATAAAAAAGACAACTGACCATTGAGAATGCACAACAGGTTTGACAGAACAATTGGTAACGGCTAATATTTTTGAATTGACCCTTCGGGGAGGCTGACAAAATAGTATGGGGGAAGTAAAGATTAGGGGGTGACTGCTGTTTAAACGCTGGCATGGAGCAGTTGGGCTGAATGGTCTGTTTCCATGCTGTGCAATCCATGAGTTCATTAGCAATATTATTGAGAAATTGAGAACCCAGGTGAAGGTTTAAGAACACAATGTTCAGTATGCTTCCCAAGAGTGAAAAGAAGTAATGGGGGAACGTGAGGTTTAAAAGCTTGGTTCACTTCACATTTCACAGTTTATTTTATGAAGATGAAAGGTTCCAATGATGATTAATTTCACAGTGGCTCCCGTGCTGGTCCTCATCTCATTCAACTCTTTGCAGTGCTGTCAGGCAGTTAAATACAGTGTGGATTTGCCTTTCATTTGTCTCCCAATTTGTTGTGAAGTGAAGTGTCGCATGACCTGAGTAAACTATGCCTCTATTACACAGGGCAACACCCATTAAAATCTGTAAATAGGCCAGAAAGTGTTGGCTCTAAATATAAACAGTTGATTTTTATGGAGCTGAAAGAAAGCTGCTGAATTGTATGAAGGGCAAATAGAGCTGACCTGTCATATTTTAAAATGAATGTGTATGCCACAGTTGTCAACGGGGAATACTGGTCAGTCAGAGGACAATAGTACCATATAAAAGAAAATAATGCTACTGTCCTTTATTCTTGGGGTGGACCAGAATTAAAGCAAAACTACTTCTAGGAAGAGGTAGAATTCTGCTTCCCACTCGGGTGAAATTCCTCCATTCCCTTTGTTCCTCTATTACTACAACAACAACAAGATTCCTATTAGTGACTTGTACCTCTTGCCTCACCTTTTAAAAAGAAACATAACTGCAAACCTAAACCTTTCATGTAACCCCCAAGAAAGAACAAACTTGCAACTTTAAGAGATGAGCAGTCTGAGACTTTATCCTGTATGAACAATGTTATATACATGCAAGCTGCTGTATTTATATTGCCTTATCACACCTCAAAATCCTCACCAAGTGACATTACTATTTTAGACACAGAACAGTCTCACAAATGGCTTTAAGTAAATGACCAACTAGAGGATTGTTAGCCAGGATATTGGGAGAAACTGCCTCTCTGTGAGGCAATTTAGTGCTTCCCAAATACTCCACTGCAATACCCGGTCCAGACAATAATCTCAAGTCCCAATGTGGAGCTCGAATCCAAAACTTTCTGACCCAGAGATCAGAGTGTTATCACTTCCACCACCACAGAGAGAAAAGGTTCCTAATCTTTAGTTTCTCTTCAGGACAGTTTTGAATCTCTATCCTACAATTAACAGAATGTTGTACCAATTGAGAAGCCTCAAAGTTCAGCTTCAGGCTATTAAATTCCTATTAAACTGAATGCAAAACAGAATTCCCAATGCTCATCCAAAACTTTAAAAAAAATTGTTTTGGTACAGTGGCTTCTTGTCAAAATGTCAAAGTGATTAATAGATTTTTTTTATAAAGTGTAGAGCTGTGTAATTTATAGGCTTAATTTAGTGATAAACAATTGTTTAACTATTAAAAAAAAGTTCAAACAACTTCCTAGCAAAGCATCTAGCAATCCTGTTCTTTATTAATTTGCATCACACATGTCACTTCTTAAACATTAATTTGTTTCCTCACCAGGCAAATCAGTCACCTTACCATCAAAGTTAGTATTCTTCATGCCAGTTGTGTAGGATTTTGTATCTATCCTCATTGAATTCAATCATCAATGCAGCTATTGAAAGATTTAAATTTCCCTTCAATAAAATATTACCATCTTTCTATATAAGTTATTTCATCAGACGAGAGCTAATTGTTTTCATATTCTCACAGTCCCTTTATTGCTTTTTCCTCCTTGATTTTTAACCATCATTAGCTCTAATTTTAAATTATGTTCTGAATTTCCCCCAACTCAAGTAAATAGTCACTCCCCATTTATTTTGTAAACTGCCTTTATTATAATTAAAGAGCTTAATCAGATCACTCATTAACCTCAGCTCTCGGGAACACAAAGTTCACTCAGCCTCTCGTCATAGCTGAAGCCCTTCATCCCAGATATCATTCCGGTTGAATTGTGGCTGGACCTCTTCCAAGAACAAATATATCCTTCATAAAGTGGGTGCCCAAGAAATGAACAATAGTCCAAATAACAACAACTTGCATTTATATAGCACCCGTCACGCAGGTTAGTGTCCCAGAGAGGAGCACAAAGCCGAGCCAGAGGTGGGGGGAGGTGAACGAAGGCACGGTCGAAGAGGAAGGTCTTGAGGTGCGACCTGAAGATGGGGAAGGGTACATCAAATGATGTCTGACCCCCCCAAAAAAAAATCTGTGCAATAACAGTTCAAGCGCAACATCCCTTTGACCCGAGTTTCAGTGCGTGGGCTGACTGACGGCGCGGCTGGTTTTGGTCTGGGAGTTGGGACAGAGCCGGAGCTTTGTGTTTGCAGCCCTCTGATGACGAAGGTATATTACTGAGAGCCGCTCACCCACACCCACAGGCCGCGCCGCGCTGCGCCACTGATACCTGTGCAGGTGGTTTCGGCTCTGACGTTATCCCTGTGGGAGGGAGGGTGGGGTCCTGGTCACGTGATACGGTCCCTGAGGATTTCCGCCATTTTTAAAATTATGATTTTTTTAAAAAAAAGTCGCAAGTTTCAACAGGTGTGAAATAAGTGAGTGAGTGAGAGAGAGAGAGAGAACGAGGTGAGAGAGAGCCCGCGGAGCCCGCACTGATACACAGCAGCCAGAGCCCAGTCACTGAGACCAGGGGGACAGTCTGCCGCTGACTCCATGTTGGCGACAGGTCCTGGGCTTGTGGTTTGAGGGAAAGGGGGCGGGCGGGCTGGGGGGGGGGGACGGGCGGGCTGGGGGGGGGGACGGGCGGGCGGGCTGGGGCTGGGGGGGGGGGGGGGCAGTGAGGGTTTGGGAGCGACATGGCTGGTGTGGAGGCCGGGATGGTGAGGGGGTTTTGCTGTGGTGTTGGGGGTGACAGGACATCACACTCTTTTGTTAGAAGTGTGTGTTAAATACTGCGGCGAAACTGCTGGGGGGGTGTGTGTGTGTTGGGGTGTTGGGGTGTGTGTGTCTGTGTTAGTGTGTGTGGGTGTTGGGGTGTGGGTGTTGGGGTGTGTGTGTCTGTGTTAATGTGTGTGTTGGGGGGGGGTGTGTCTGTGTTAGTGTGTGTGTTGGGGTGTGTGTGTTGGGGTGTGTGTGTGTGTGTTGGGGTGTATGTGTGTGTGTGTGTGTTGGGGTGTATGTGTTGAGGGGTGTGTGTGTGTGTTGGGGTGTAGGTGTGTTGGGGTGTGTTGGGGTGTATGTGTGTGTGTGTGTTTTGGGGGAAAGAGAAAGGGGTTTTGGAGAGTCAGGTATGAAATGGCTGGTGTTTGAGGTGAGGAAGTGGCTTCACTCTCACTCCCTCATTCCCTCACTTGGAGTTGTTCCCCGAGGTGGTGCCCAGCCTGGCCTGGCCTGGCCCCACCCCCACCTCCACCCCCACTTTGGGTGGGTGTCCGCAGGGAGAAGAAAAGAGGAAACGGGGGAAAAAGGTTGACTTTTTTTTTGCTGCTACTTTTTACTTTTGTTAAAAAAACATTTTTAAATATTTTTTTTGCCCCTTGTGAACATGACGAGCAGCTTAACCGAAGTACAATACAGGGTTTCGTTTCGTTTTATGGGTGGAGGTGTTAAGAGTTCAGAGTGGGTTTGTTGGTCTGTTGCTTCGTGCCCTTGAAATGTGAGTGAGTTTTTCTATCAGGTGTTTTTTTACACCCAAATTCTCGGTTATTTTGGTCGTTGATTTTATTTATTCCTCTCTCATTTCATAAAACTGGACTGTGTGTGTGTGTGGGGGGGAGAGGTGTGTTAAGCAAGTTCAATACGTGATCCTTGTGGAGGGAACTGCCACAGAATCAATTTTGACCAGATAACTTTTTTCGTTTTTAAAGATAATCTTGGGACTTTTGTGGAGTATTGAGGAAACCTGGAAATCTTTTGTCTTGACTTGGTTTTGCACTGCAGGCCTGTACCTGATCAGGGAGTGTCGCTTCATGCCTCTTAGTTTCTCCCACAGTTCACCATGAGTACTGGCAGCTAAATAACTGGGTTGTTTTCTTACCCTACCCCCAACGAAGTGTGGGGGGTAATTGTCCAGTTAGTTACCCTGAGCAATACTTCTGTACCTAGTTACACCACCCAGTTACTCTGGCTTTGGGAGGCATTATTCTAAATTTGGCATTTTACTCGGGAAATAGTCAGAGAGGTAGAATTCTCTCTGGTTAAGTGCTATCAATAATAATGCGTCAATAACGAATGCATAATTTCCATGTTTTATATTGGTGATGAGCATGAAGACCCTCAGGGAGTGTAGAGATTCATTGTCTACTCTTAACGGTCTGAACCATTCAAAATTGATTGATTCACATCTGCAGTGTCTTGTTCATTGTTCTCAATATTAAATAGAAATTGTGTACATCTACAAAAAAAACTTTTGGAAACAAGCATGGAAAATGCTAGATGGCTAAGTTTAGTATTGTCACTTTTTTTTAAAAAAAGGCTGAAACTTTTCATTTAATGTGAAATGATTCAGCTGCTTGATTGTTGAATTTAACCAATTAAAATGAATGAATGAGCATTCTATCAATATTTAGTGTTGAGATCAAACCAAAATGCTATAGATATGTGGCAAATTTGATTATATTTTGATTGCTGGTCATAATGGGCGCTTTAGCTATAAATTATAATTTGGAGTAGTTGGGTTACTGTTGCGCAGAAATAAATTGCAGATCTTTTGACAAAACGCAGTACTACAACAACAACTTGCATTTATATAGCTCCCTTCACGATGGATGGCGTCACAGAGTGCTTAATGCCTGTGAGTTCCCCACACAGCCAGTTCACCGCATACTAGCAGCTAAAGAATTGGGTCTTTGGAATTGGACATCATAAAGAATTACTACTTGAAAATGATTTTCATATGTGTTGATTGTGTACGTCTGATCTCTCCTCACATTTCTACAGTTTCCACTTTGGAATTGACTCTCCAAAACAGCTGGGCTGGCTTTTAATGTAATAGCACGGAAATCTAAATTTTAAAAATAGACTTTGCTCTGCACTAAAATGACATGACTCCTGGTGCAACTCTAAGTTGTGTGAAATGGATGGCTACAGATTCAAATTGTACTAGGCTGCTCTTTCTACTATAGTCGAATCGCCTGCTAACACCGTGTCTCGGTGTATACGTGACAGATTGTTATTTAGGTGGAGGGTCTTTGGAACTGGACATCATCAACAGGCAGCACCTTTTAGGAGAGGACAAGAGCTGAAATGCAAAAATTGGTAAACTTATTTTTTTAAAAAGTGTATTTATTTTGGAGATGCTTTTTTGGCAATGTTGAAGTCCACAGTTTCTTTAAAGTAATATATAATATTTCTAGGACACAAAGTATGATTGGCATTAAAGGAAATCTTGAGATACTGGCAATTAACTTTGTACAGTTTGTGATCTGCTTTGTTTTATTTTTCAGTTAATGCAAGAGTTTGAGACTTTGAAATCCAAACATTACAAATTCAGCTTGGTGATGCCAGAACTGCTGAGTGGCAGTGTGAGAGGTACCTATCCATTAAATAATAATTCTTGCGTTTGGTGTAGCGCCTTTCATGTCAGGAGGACGTCCCAAAGTGCTTCATAGGAACTGCCAGTTTTAATGTCCCACTGCCACCTTAGGTGAGATCAGTGAACTCAGCAGAGACTAAGCAAAGAATCAGAGACCTTCCTGCTTGAAAAACTCAATACTACAGAGAATAGGGCAGCGGGGGCAGCTATTTTTGATTCTTAATTGCTATCCAGAGACTTGTACTGAAAGATAAATGTGAGTGTTAAGTAAGGACAGGCGTGAATTTGACAATATTGTATCTGTGCCAATGTTAACTATGAGCATTAAATCAAGGTCATTTATTTTCAGGGAAATTAAGTATCAATGTCTTCGGGAGCATCTTCAGGTCAGAGATCTAGAGCTTTTCAAGTGGCTCAGAGAAATCGTGAACCAGTACCCCATTATGACGAGGTCCCACGTGAGATTAGGTCATTCGATCCATATCTTCAGGGTAACCTAACTTCACCAGAGCCTAGATTTCTACATGACTGTGAGTTGGCAACCAGTGCAGACCCACTGCCACCACCTCCGCTACCCCTGCAGCCTGCTGTCGGCCCCGAATTCTACTTGCCTGAAGATGACGACCCAGTCACTTCTCTAGAGTTGAAACCAGTCCGACGATTTATCCCAGATTCTGTGAAGAACTTCTTCAAAGCTAAAAACGATGATCAACAAAATGACATGACTTCTACCAATTACATAAGTGATGGAGTGGAGTGCTCCCCACCAGCCTCTCCTACTGCTTCTGCGAAAGAGCTATCCAAGAGCAATCAGCACAGATCGGCTGCCAATTCCTACATGGATCCATACGGGGGATCCGGAGGAAGCTACAACTCGCGGAAAGAGGTCGAAGCCATGCTTCCTCGAGACCCCTACGACTCACTGGATCGTCATACCCGCACTGTGCAGAGCTATAGTGAGAAGGTGCAGGTGTACCACATGAAGTATTCTTATATGAAATCTTGGGCTGGCTTATTAAGAATCTTAGCTGTAGTTGAACTGCTGTTTGGAGCCGCAGTTTTTGCCTGTGTGTCTGCTTATATACACAAGGACAATGAATGGTACAATATGTTTGGTAACTCCCGCCCATATGGTTATGCTGCCAGCAGTTTGCAAGGAGGATACTACTATGACGGACCAAAAACTCCTTTTATTATTGTTGTTGCAGGCTTGGCATGGGTAATCACCATTGTTTTACTTGTCCTGGGCATGTCCATGTACTATCGCACCATCCTACTTGACTCCAACTGGTGGCCTTTGACAGAGTTTGCGATTAATGTTGTCCTATTCATTCTCTTCCTGGCTGCTGCAATAGTGTATTTGAATGATATAAACCGCGGCGGCCTTTGTTATTACCCTCTCTTCAATACTCCATTAAATTCCACGTTTTGCCGTGTGGAAGGAGGACAGACAGCTGGGGTCATCTTCCTGTTTGTTACCATGTTCCTGTATCTAATCAGTTCCATCGTGTGCTTAAAGCTGTGGAGACATGAATCAAACAGGCAACATCGGGAAGCGATGGAACAAGAGGTAAGTATTTGTTTTAAGAATAAGAAGTGAGGTTTGAACTCCCCTGAGTGTTCATCAGGAAGTGCTTTGCTTGGTTGATACTGATCCACGCAAACCACGAAGATTCCTGGTTCATTCTCGCCTGTGCTCAATTAGGTTGCCTCAACCAAATAACTTAGGTTGCATTAGACATATTACAGCTAATTTCTGAACCCTTAGATTACACTGGTGGAGGACAGGGGTCAAATCAATTGGGATTCTTGATCTTGGAGGGTGTTCCGAGAAGTATGAATGTGGACACTGGAAGGGTGAAATCTCTATTGGCGTAGCTTAAAAGACCTTTCTTAAAATTCAAGCAAACAAATATTTTGTGCATTACATGTTTTTTTAAGAAGATTGAACTAAAAATCATAAATGGCTGGATAGTCTGATTTGCGATCCTTCACAAAATATAGATTAAAAGTTTACCAACCGAGCTCCTCAGTGGTTTAGTCGGTAAGGGTTCCATTTGATATATCACTAAACTATACACACTGGAGATCTTGGGTTTGATCCCTGACTTGTACTGAGTTGCTATTAGTTGGATCGTGATTTTGTTTAACTCCCTTGGGTTTGGGAGATTCAAAATCTGCCTGAGTTCCTGATCACTATCCTGTGAGTTCCAACTGGAAAATGCACATGCAGGAATGTTGGGTGAGAGATCCATACTTGAATAGCCCGGCAACACTGCTCATAAAGAGCTACGAGCTGTATACAATAGATTGGTACTAGATGGAAAAACACCGCAACATTATCCTCTAAGTTTGTACATTTAGGCTAGCTAGGTATCTTTGTTTGGAAGCAACTTGCCTTGTTTCAGCAAAGCCCAAAACTTCGCAAATTCATTCAAACTGGTGTAACTTTTTGGCATTACTCCAGTGTCCAAATAACCTACCAAATTCAAGTAGATTGCCAGTTTTAAAATTGCTTTAATGAACAGGTTGAATCGTAACTTCCCCTTTTCCCTGGCATTTACATCTGATCAATACTCTCTCCATGCAAAATGTTGGATTAATAATAATCCTTGCATTTGATTGTTATCATGTCGTTGAGACGTCTCCGAGAACTTTACATGATATACTGTAAAGTATATCCACAGCTATGGGGTGAGTGATCAATTTTATTTGGGGGATTGTTGGCCAGGATACCAGGAGCGAGAAACTCCCTTCTCTTTTTGAATAATGCTATAGGTTCTTTAACACCCACCTGCACAGGCAGATGAGAACTCGGTTATACATCTCATCTGAAGGAATAAAATGAGTTGTCAGAATTTCACTTTTATATTTCAGCTCTGGAGGCTTGAAATTCAAGAGTCGAGCCATGTTATAAAAGCAATGGTTTGAGGGAGTGGGGGGGGCCATAAAATCCTAACCAGTGCTATAATATGGCACAGTTGTTGATCGGACCTTTTACATTCACTAAGCGTACAGTCCAGTCTTCCATCCCCCCAAAAAATAGTTGTTTCTGGGTCACCAAATCGCGCATGTGCAGGAAGTGACATGAGCAGTACCCTGATGACCTTGCCGTCGGCCATTTCAGTAGCGCACTGCATGTCGGTATGTGGGAAATCAAGATGGATGACTTCCGTGGTGTCATATGCTATCGCCAGTGAGCTGATAATGTTTGTAAAATAGGCTTTTTTTTAAAAAAAAACACTTGGTGATCGCTTTCTGCCCGCATTTTGGATTTTCGTAAGTAGATGTCAGGGTCCACATGACAATTGCATTTTAAGCGAAATCACATTAAAACGTGTCGTAACTGGTCTCTACTGCAGTTGCCAAACTTCGGGCTGCTGTTATTTTTACATTCCCTCTGCATCGCCAAAGGGCATTTGCAGCAAAATGATATTCAGGACTAACTAACATCATGCAGGTATTACAGATATCACGTGTAAAACATCATTAGAAATGTATTTCTCGTGACTCTCACTTTCACAAAATACAATAGAGGCCCACATATGCACCTGAATACTTTGTTCCTGTTTTTTTCCATAGATTGACCACAGTTATTTAATTAAGAATCAAATGGCATTATTTGAAAAGAGAAGGGAATTTCTCTCTCCCAGTGTCTTGGCCAACAACCTACCAAATAAAATTGGTCACTCACTCCATAGTTGTTTGTGGGACCTTGCTGTGCACAAACTGCTGCTGCATTTCTCCCACAAAACACATAGTCATCCCACTTTACAGTATATTATGTGAAGCTCTATGATATGTCTCAATGATGTGATAATGTGATATATCAAATGCAAGGATTAGTTATTATTAAATGTACCTGACTGCTTTTATTGGTGTACATTTCCATAGCTGTTAATGTCCTCCAATACTTTATCTAAGCATCTATGAGGGAGTGTTGTCAGACTATTTGACTGTGGGGAACATGACAGCTGAGCCCTAACTTGTCCTCATCTGAAATGTATACACTTTTCAGCAGAGGTTTCTGGATGCTAATTGGCATTAGAACCTGGCTGATTTTGTTATTCACAAACACTCCCTGACTCCCAAGGTGCTGTTAAAATTGGTGAACTTAGCTCAGATAGAAGTCGGAAACCTTTGCTTTGTTGTATGGCCCAATGGTCATCAGGCTGAACCTTTCCACTTTAGGTCATCAATGGAGGGTTTGTTTCACTTTTCGCTTCTTTTGTTCCTCGTTTATTTTCCTTTTTTTTGTTCTGCTTTACTAATTTCTGCTTGGCTGTCTAAGGATTGCTTTTGCTTGTGACTTCATCTCTTTGTGCAATTCAGTCATTTCTTGTTTTAATTCTGTGTGTCTCACCGACCATTCGTTTCTGACTGACTTTAAATTGAGGGGGAGTGTTCGGTTTCATACCAGAGTAATGGCACCATGTTTTATCCACAATCCTTAGTGAAGAACCACAGTATAGCATATCACTGGAGGTGGAAGAGCAGTTTCATGCTGACATAGAAGCATTGACCTTCAAAACATTGAGCTGTAGGAACTAATCCATTGAACTATAGAATAAAACATGAACCTTGCCCAAAATCACACCGAGTGAATAAGCTATGGTGGTTCAGATTTTGGATTCACAAAAATATGGATATGAAAGCAATTCCCTGTAGTGGGTAATCTGGAATAGGAGTATTCCCTCTAATATTGGAGAAAATAAGGAGATTAATACCAGTGAAGAGCATTGATTGCTGTGTGTTAGAATCTTACAGCACAGAACGAGGTGCCTGTGCCGGTTCTTTGAAAGAGCTATCCAGTAAGTTCCTCTCCCCGCTCTTTCCCCATAGCCTTGCAACTTTTTCCTTTTCAGATATGTGTTCAATTCCCTTTTGAAAGTTATTATTGATTTTGCTTCCACCACCCTTTCAGCAGTGCATTCCAGATCGTAACAACATGCTGCATTTATAGATATATATATAAAAAAATCTCATCTACCCTATAGTCCTTTTGCCAATTATCTTAAATTTGTGTCTTTTGGTTACTAACCCACCTGTTGATAGACTATACTAATTACACTTATCTGTTGGTACCAAGTGTAATTTCTCCATGTCTGTCTGACCTCTCTCCAGCCTTCCATCCTGTTTTTCTGTGACTTCTGCCCCAGTTTCGGATGTAACCAACTGTGTCATGTTCTGCTGCCAAATTTGCAATTTTTTAACCATGTGGTGGCCTGAGGCACTGTGACCTGTGGAGAAGAGGAGGGGAGAAATTGTGTACGTTTACAATATCCTTGCCTGTTCAGGCATACACAAAAGATCTCATGGCAATATTTGTAAAGGGAAAGGAGTTCCTCCCAGTGTCCTGGCACCAATCTCCACCCACCCCCCAATAAAAATGCATATTCACTTCATGGGACATTGCTGGTCATAAATTGGCTGCAGTGTTTCGCCAACAAACAAGGTGTGACTAATCCTTAACAGAAAAAGTTATGTGAAGTGCTTTGAGATTACAACAGTGTAATCTGAAGTTTTAATCATGTTTGAATTTGGGTCAATTTAACCTGATTCTGATGTTTCCCAAAACCTGCGCTGTGCACCTTCCAGAAGTGTGTTTGCTGGTTAACAATCCAGGGAAGGAGGAGGTGCCACTGTTTTCTTCTCCGTCCCCCTTTCTCCCCCCTATCCCCACTGTCTGGACTTGGCAAAGATGCGTGCAGTAGTCCCTAACTTTTATTGCTCATCACAGTTATCTATGCTGCCCCTCTTTCCTCCCTGCCCCCGACAGAAAACACTAACTTGTTGTTTTGAACTGCAGCTCTTATATCTAAAATGATGCTCTCGATGAACAGCAATACTGACAGCTTGACATTGATTGCTCCGTAAGACACCAAACTGATTACATTTAATGTGTTCTCCTATGTTTTTCCTAGATGAGAATGACGGAAACTGGAGCACCAAGGGTAACGGTAAGTGAACTTTGTTAAAGAACTTCGTAAAGTCCTTAAAAATTCTTAATCAAACGATTAAGAATTTTTAAGGACACACTTTCAGTCTGTCTGTCTTTTGTGGTATAAGAGCTTGTTTTACTTGCTGTATTTAAAACAGAGCCTTGGTGTGTGATCTTTTTCATGTTTAATTGAGTAGAGGCTGACCTCTACCACTATGATGAGATTCCAAATAAACTTGTAACAGAGAGAAATGCTTTGTGCCAAGGTTTCTCGATGTGTTCTCACTGATCCCTTTAAGATCAAATAAAAAGAGGGCGTTTCTGAAGAATACTCGCACCCGTTGACCTTGAAAGAAATAAAGTAGCGTTTAAAGTATTTTTTGAGAAACCTTATTGAACCCATACTGCAACAACAGCAAGAACTTGCATTGATTAACTTGCATTGCATTTACGTGGTGGTGTTTCGGAGTGCTTACGTTGTAGGATGTGAGCAAGTTTGAAAATAGTAAAAGAGAAAATCATTGTTAAGCTTGAATTTTAAAAGCTGTAGATCGTAATTGGAAGACTGAGGGAGGAAAGGAATTCTACAGAATTGTGAGAATAATTTGTAAAAGACAATGTGAGTATTAAGTTCAAAAGAATAAGAAGGTGCAGCGTAGACAGAGTATATAAATTAGCACATTTGGAACTTGACTCCTGTGATTGAAAAGCCTGACAACACTTATCATCAAGGCGTAAATCATGCAATGTCTGCAATTGTCCAAGGCACTATTGATGACAGACCAGCTAGCATGGCACATCAGTGGGTCTTGGAGGAGTACACTAGGGGCAGGGATTATTTCCTGCTTGGCTCCTTACAAGCCAAGGATCTAATGGCTAAGATAATTCTAGCTGGACAAGCAGCATGAACTTTGCCAGACAGTGCTGTCGATGGCAAGCTATGTGGTTTTAGCTGGTTAAATTCCATCAGTACCCCAAACACCACTCTGGGTCCCCAAACCTTGATCTTGCGTGCCTGTGTCTAATAATCCCTGGAGTAGATCAACAACAACTTGCATTTATATACTATCTTCATGGGGCCCTCATTGGCAGAGCTTGATGTCGAGCCAGGGAGAAAGCATGGGCACCAATGGGATTTTTGGAGGCCAAAGCAAAGGGGGCAGGTAGAGGAGCGGGGTGTAAGCAGGTTGGAAAGGTAGGGAAGTGTCAGGGTATGAAATTATTTGTACATGGGAGTGAGGATCTTGAAAGTGATCTGTTCCATAATTCGGAGCCCATGAAGCCTGGCAAAGACTGGGTTATGGGTGTGCAGCGGTTAGTACTGGTGAAGATACAGATGGTGGGAGTTTTGAATTAATTGGATTTTATGAATGGGGGGCTCCGAGATGCTACTCAGCATAAAGGGTGCTTTTTAAATGCAAGTTGTTGTTGTATGGCTCTCCCTTTCCCCTCTACCTGCACCCCCCCACCCCCGCAAGCGATTGCGCACATCTAATTTATTTTGGTTTCATTCTTAAATTCTAGCATAATGATGCTCCTGTGAGAGAAGAGAGATCGATGGCAGCTGATACGAACCACAAACAACTGAGACCTATTGAAACCAGACCAGAGGTAATGAGTGGCTACATTCCTGCAGGGCATATTCCAAAACCACTTGTGATGGCAGACTACATAGCGTGAGTATAAGTTCATTAACATCAACTCCACATTAGATAGTGTGTCTTGCCTGAGTAGGAGGGGTTAATTGGCAAAAGGAATGATAAACACACGGATAGTTTTTTCTGTAACCTTGAGCTGAGGGTGTTTTATAACTTAAGATATATGCAACGGGATCTCCAGCTTCACACCCAGTTTACGCGTCTCTCGACTAGATTATCCAGTCAGACACACAGCTAAAGGGCTGAACTCTTACATTAAGTTACCACAGAAACTGGTTTTCTGTTCCACACGGAATATGTGATAACATTCAAGGAGTACGATGATGCCATACATTCTAGGCATCGTTTACAAGATTTTTATAGATCATTCTAATGGTAGTAATGGTAGCAGAATCAAGGAAATTTGCTTTAATATCAAGTGACTCTGCTCCAGGCGTTTCTCTGATATTTATGACAGAGTTAATGGGGGGGAGGGTTATCAAGTAGTTTTAAAAGCCCTGTGCATGCTGAAGTTAACATGGCCGTTGGTAGCTGAGAAGTTGAAGCAGCTTTGCTGCCTCTGGAAATACAGTCCCAGTAGCTCAGCCAGATATTGGCCTTTAATGTATGGAGAAAACTTGTTTCAATGCCAATCCAGCTGTTCAGACATGATGAGTTCAGTAAGTTCCATCTGTGCTGAAAGTTTTCAATTATGTGATTGTAAATCAGAACAAACAAAAAAAAAGGATGTTACGCTATTTGTTGAGTAGTGGTTTTTGCCTGATGCTATTAATCTGATAACATCAGCAGTATGGTGCTTTTACAAACTATGGTATTGAAACTCAAATGTTTTAAATATATGATTTTTTGTTTAGTAAGTACCCTACAATTCGCTCACCTGAGGAGCGGGAAAGCTACAAGGCTGTGTTTAATGACCAACATTCAGAGTACAAAGAGCTTCACGCTGAGGTGCAAGCTGTAATGAAGAAGTTCAATGACATGGATGTCATGATGAGCAGACTACCTCGACACGCAGGGAACCAACAGGTCAGCAAACTGGATTGGGGAGTGGGTATGAAATCAATGATCAGATCTGATTTTTTAATACTGCGTGAAATGAGATCCATTTTCAATCTAAAAACCTGACATAGAAAAGGCAATCCAACTAATCCTGATGGATGACCCTGTATTTCAATAGTAGGCTGTACTGCTGTCTGCCCACCAAGCTTTATGCAGTGCTATCGTAGTCTATGGGTTCCCATGATTCTGGTGGATTAAGGAAGTCTTTAATAGTGTTTATTATTATATAGGAATGTTGCCGATCTACCATCTATTCTTTACATTAGAATATGAAGCAGAAATAAGCCATTCGCCCCAACTATTCCTTGTTGCCCAAACGTTATTTGGATGATTTGTCAGATGGAGCTACTTTCCATAGCTGGGGGAGTTGGCACCTGCTCAATTTCAGTGGTATGTACAATGTGACAACAGTTGCTAGGAAGTCCTGGAAGATCAATAGGTGGGCTCAATGCCAATTTCTAAGCAAGGCATGACAATGGCCAATATCCTATGGTCTATGGGCCAGAATCAACTTCACAAGGTGACATTACTGACACATTCTGCACAATGCACAGGAAATAACATCAGCAGTGACCTCTGATAGCTCCCGTTTTCCATTGTTGACCCTTTTTTTTAGATGGGAAAGCAGGTACTTGTGCCTGACACCAGGTGTTATAATGGGGAGAGCGTAGATTCATGCTATAAGTGATGCTATGCTGTACCAAACGGCAATATAATGGGATAATAGATTATTTCCACTGATCAGTGAGTCAGTAACAAGAGCACAAATTAAAGATGATCACAAAAAGAATTAAAAGGGAGGCGCCCCAAAAATGTCCTTACACAGAGGATAGGTTGGAAATAGAATTTTGTGCCACAAACTGCTGTTAAAGCAGAGTCCATAAATTTGTTTTAAAAGGTAATTTTTTGATTAAATAATGAGGAATGTTGAAAGTGCATAGGGAATGAGCTGCATAGTTAGTATGTGCTCTGAACCTTTGAATAAAAATATACTTCAGAAATCCTTCAAAATACCAGTCCATGGATTACCTCCTAATACCAGCAGCTAAATCTATCTAATTTGAAGTTGATTATTCTCGTTCTAGAGCACAATGAAGAAACAAATTTAACACTTGCTTGGACATGTAGTTGTTTATTTTGAGCTAAAATCTATGATAAACTCATGCTGTCTGTTCAAGTAGTGCCGATGTATCATTCAGTTTTAAACTAAGATAATGCAAGATCACTTCCTACACAAATCTAATAGACAAAAACAAATCTATTACAGAAAAAAATAATTTAATACAGTAACAACCAATTTGTATGCCTGGAGCCTTTCACATTGGAAGAATGTTCCAAGACTAAGTGGAAAGCTGGGTGCTGCTACGGCACTACGACAGACTACGGCATTACCTCACCCCTCACGCTGCTGAAACACTGGTCCACGCCTTTATCACCTCAAGGCTGGACTACGGGAACTCTCTCCTCGTCGGCCTTCCCGGCACCTCCCTCCACAAGCTGCAGGTCATTCAGAACTCTGCAGCTCGTGTACTGTCCCGCACCAGGCTTCGCGACCACATCACTCCCACCCTCGCTCGCCTCCACTGGCTTCCCATCCCCCAGAGGATTGAATTCAAGATCCTCATCCTCACCTACAAGGCCATTCACGGCCTTGCTCCCTCCTACCTCTCCAACCTACTATCCCCCTACTTACCTGCCCGTACCCTCCGTTCCTCTGGCTCCGGTCTGCTCCACATCCCCCGCCCCAACGGGCCTTCAGCCTCTAGGCTCTGGAACTCTATCCCCCAGTGCCTTCGCCTTGCCTCCTCCCTTTCCTCCTTCAAGGCCGGTCTCAAGACCTTTCTCTTTGACCGTGCCTTCAGCTCCCCTCTCGACTCTCTACCCCCTCCTCACTCCCTCCCTTCCCTCCCCTCACCCTGACAAATTGCCCCCTGCTCGGGTCCTGACCCAACTGTTCAGCGCCTTGGGACGTCCTCCCGACGTGAAAGGCGCTCTATAAATGGAATGTTGTTGTTGTTGTTCCAGAATACCCATCCCATTGCCCACTCCAACCCCCCCACCCCCCATCACAGCATCAAGCTGTTTTTTAAACAGGTTCAGTTTCCGAGCCCCAACCATCCTTCCTGGCAAAAAGCTGTTAATTATCCTCTGAGTAAAGAGGAACTTTGCAACTTTTTACCTATGTCCTCTTGTTCTGTTGTCTTGTTGCATCCTAAAATATTGTTCTGGGTTTACTTTTTCAATCTCATTTAAATGTTATACACCTCTATATGGTCCCCTCTGGCAGATCCTCTCTGAACTGTTCTAGCTCTTAGCTCGTTCCTCTAACCCTGGGGATCATCCTCGTTGCTCTCCTCTGCACTTGCTTTAGGTCCTCATGTAACCTTGACCTGAGCTGTATGTAGCTCTCTTAGTGTGACCTGACCAGAGCACGATATAACTATAACCTGATATCTGGGGATTTAATCTCAACTGATTTAGGTGCGGGGAGTAAAGATTACAACCAATGCTCGCCCAGTATTCAAAATGTGTCTCCTTTCTAGCATGAGCTGCTAGGTAACTGTCAGGATTATAACAATGCCAAAAACAGAAGTCACTGGAACACTCAGCAGGTCAGGCAGCATCTATAGAGAAAGGAAAGTGAGTCAATGTTTCGGGTTCATGACACTTTGTCACAACACAAATTACATAATCACTACCCTTGAAATCCTGTGAAGTGCTTTGAGAAGTCTTCCTGACATGAAAGATTTTTATCAAATCCTATTATTGTAACTGCTGAGGTCAACTGCAGTTTATACCAATATGTTTTACGCCTGCAACCCAGATAAGGTCCATCAACTCATCACAGCAAAGTAAATATTTATGGATACTGGAAGCTATTTGTAAAACATTTGTCTTGAGTGAAACGTTTGAGTTTGCTTATAAAATACATGGCGCAACAATTTACAGTAAATCCCATGAAGTGCTTTGAGACATCTTCCACCCCGACTTCAAAAAGTACCACACAACAGAGCCACTCCCTTCGCTCAGGGAGCGCTGGCCTGCTTCATGTGCTCTGCCCTCCCCTCTACCCGCCACACCATCCATGGCTGGGCTTTCAGCCTATCTACCCCATCTCGAAGACCCTCCCTTCCTCACCTCATTCAAGGTCTGTCTCTTTGACCATGCCTTTGTTCATCTTTCCCGTCGGCTCCCATACCGAGCTTGGGTTCACTGAAAGTAAAACATATCCAAAAATGCTCCTTTCCCCTTGTAAGTTCAATTACCAATACTGTGTAAGGTTAAGAGCCTTTGAACATCCTCATGACATGAAGAGCACAAGATAAATGTTAATTTGTTGTATATTAAATGAAAGTTTTATTACTTAACTTTGGTTGTTTGGCACGTTCACATGGCATTCAGCAGCAGTCTGGTGATATCGTGTGCAGCCCTAAATTGCTGAAGATGTGAAACGTTCACATAGATTGATACTGGGGAGAAGGTGGGGATTTGCCCTTTTCCCTTCCAATAGATAACTGCAACCTATTAATAAATTGATGAATGTTGGAGGTTTCACTATTGTTTGAAGCTAGTGCTGTGCTTCCTGGATGAATACCCAATCGTGTGCCCTTTTATTAATGGTGTTTTTCTACAATTTAGGAAGACGATGAGATTGTAAATAATAAAAATAAACTTAACTTTTATGTTGCAGTTTTCTACCAATCTGTTTTTTATAGTCAATTCACACTTGACCAAAGTCTCCAACTTTGCAGACCCGATTGTGTGCCCTTTTATTAACATTACTTTTCTACATTTTAGGAATACGATCGGATTGCAAACGTTTTTCATGAGTATCAGAAGAAAAAGAATGTAAGTATAAAAGAATTTTAAACAAGGCAAATTTTGTTTGTCCAATTTGTTTGATAGTGGGATTGATACGATCGTGAGATTCTTCCCATTGTGCTCCTGTTAACCCTGCTAGCTGTGACAAGCAGCAGGAAGCATGCCAGAGAGTGTGTTTAATGGCAAGCTATGTGATTTTTCATAGATTAAGCTCCAGCAGTATCCTCAACTCATCACACCCCACCCTTGCCAATCTGCACCTAATATTCTCTGCAAATAGTTAAGCAGGGTGCTTCTCTTCGGGGGAGAGCAAACATTCCATTTCAACCGGGAGAATTTCCATGTATAGGTGGGATGCATGGAACTGTTTAGTTTGATACTCTTAAGTATGGTGATGGGTTTCTGCATGTGTCACATACTGGGATAACCAAAACAAATTAATAGAACTCTTTGGATCGGAAGGTTTTAGGTTTCAGCCCTATATCAGAAGTTGAACTTACTAGGGGAGAAGCAGCATTTTTGGAGATCTTGTCCTTTTGAAACCCTGTATGAAACCCACCACCTGCTCCCTTAACCCCATCCCTACCCCACTCCTTACCTCCCAGCTCCACCTCCTTGCCCCTCTTCTCACTGACATCGTTAACCTCTCCCCCTGTCCTCTGGTACTGTTCCCACCCCTTTAAAAAATGCTGTCATCACTCCTATCCTTAAACAACCTTCCCTGGACCCTTCTCTACTCCCTAACTTACGCCCCATCTCCAACCTCCCCTTCCTCTCCAAGGTTCTGGAACGAGTTGTTGTTTCTCAGCTTTGCTCATTCCTCTCCTGGCACTCCTTCTTGAACCCCTCCAATCAGGCTTCCGTGCCGCCCACAGCACAGAAACCGCCCAGGTCAAAGTAACAAATGACATTCTGTCCCTCAGCCTCCTTGTCCTCCTCGACCTCTCTGCTGCTTTTGACACCGTCGACCACTCTATCCTCATCCACCACCTCTCCTCTCACCTCAACCTTCATGGTGCTGTCCTTGATTGGTTCAGATCGTACCTCTCACACCGCCTGCACTTCATCTCCTCAAACGGCTTCTTCTCTAGCCCCCGGACCGTCTCTTGCGGCGTCCCTCGGGGCTCTGTCCTTGGTCCCCTCCTCTTCAATATCTATATGCTCCTTCTTGGTGACATCATCCACAGACATGGGGTCAACTTCCACATGTATGTGGATGACACCCAATACCTCTCTGCCTTCACCCTTGACTCTGGGACCACTGCTGTCCTGTCAGAATGTCTGTGAGACATCAAGTCCTGTATGAGAGCTAACTTTCTTCAGTTGAACGTCAACAAGACCGAGGCTGTACTGATTGAGGTTGGGTGACATTAAAGTTCCCAAGACATTATCTGAAACTGGTTCCTCTTGACCTACAATTCTCTCACTAGATGTATACATAAATTCATAGATTCGTAGAAAGTACAATTTAGAAACAGGCCATTCGGCCCATCCAGTCTGGCCAGTGCTTATACTCCACATAAGTGCCTATCCTAGATCCTATCCCTAGTTCTCTATTCGGTCCTTTTCCCCATATCCCTCAATTTCATTCTCCCTCGTCTGTGTGTCCAGCATTTTGTTTAAATGTGCACTCTGCCTCCACCCTCGATTTCAGGATCACTGCTGTCCTTACAGTGGACATCAAGTCCTGGATGAGAGCTAACTTCCTGCAGTTGAATGTCAACAAGACTGAAGTCCTCCTGCTTGGCTCCCATCAATGCCTCCATACCTTGGGCGCTGAAGCATCTCCCTCCACGGATGCACTCTACATCTCATGGAGTCAATATAGAACTTCGGCGTCCTGTTTGACCCTCAACTGTCCTCCATACCCTACATCTGTGCCATAACTTGCTCTGCCTTTCCTCATCTCCACTTCACGTCCCTGCCTGGCCCAACCCACCATTGGCGGGTGGGCCTTCTGCCACTCTGCCCCCACCATCTGAAACTCCATCCCGCAGTCCCTCTGCCTCGCCCCCTTCCTTGCCTCCTTCAAGATCCATCTCAAAACCCTCCTCTTTGACCATGCCTTTGATCTCCCTGCTTCCCCCCCCACCCACTTGCCCTTCACCCTCCCCAATCCCGAACCCCAGCTCGGGTGCGATACATTGATTATCCAGCGCCTTGGGGTGTCCTCCTGATGTGAAAGGTGCTTTACAAATGTAATTTTTGTTGTGGCAGAGAATTCCACTCTCTCTACCCTGTTTCCAATATCTGGTCACTGCCATTGACAGCAATTATTTTGAGATGTTTCAGCAGGATAATTTGCTATAAAATGTAAATTCTTTAATGTTTAAATATGTTTGTTTACAGGATCCTGCTTTCTTGGAGAAGAAAGAACGATGTGAATATCTGAAAAGCAAACTCTCCCATATCAAGCAAAGGATTCAAGAATATGACAAAGTTATGGACTGGAATGATGGATATTAGACACTCAGAATCTGTTTAGTTTTACTACTTTGACTTTTTTTGTTTCATCTGAACAAAGTTCCATACTCTAACTGCTATTTGAGAAACTAATGTTTCGAACTTTAATGTAACTACTTATTTGGTTATTGAATTGTAATTATGACTACTGAATCTGTTTTATCTTATAAATATGGCTTAAATTGATCAGATTGAAAGAATCTTCGAATTGGACTGCCAGGCACATTCCAACTGGTCCTTAGGTTCTCCTGAGGTAGGGAATGGGAACAGTGCGCAGGCTTCCTGTTTGCAGTCATTATCATGTGATTGAAAGAGCATAATCTGATTCAGAAGAGGAGGGACTTATTTTCTAAAGATTGATACTTTTGAATCTGTATGTAATTAGGGAATTTATCAACCTACCTAGCATTAAAGCAATAGAGCTGCTGCAATCTAATATGTTGGTGGTTTGATGGGCCGTTCATTACAGACCATCAGCTCTCGATTTCTTTGCTCTCTCAACTCTATTTTGAATCATCATTACCAAAATTAGTGGCATTCAAGAGGCCTTATTACAATGCAATTAACCCTTTACCAGGACAGAACCAAAGACTGTCTGTGTTCTTAATAGTAGGATGTCCAAGTATTCATTTCCTCCAATTTATACAGTTCTGTGAACTCATAATTGATTAAAAGCCTTAAGATGTTTTGTATAAAAAAGCAATTTTAATGTTTTGCAGGTATTGATGATTTGTTAGTTATCTGTTGATTTAATTCTCATTGACTTGAGCCAGCCCATTGACTTACAGGAGTTGAATGGAAGTTTTTTTTTGCACTACTTTAGCTGTGCACATCTAAGTGCCTGACATGCAAAGCTTTATATTTCCCTTCCCTTGATCAAATACTTTAAACTGCAGGTTTAACTTTCTTCCAATTATTGTATATAACTTTTTTTTAAAAATGGAATCCAATTCGAATTACCATGCACCACAAGAACTCTACTCTAGAAGTGAGAAATGTCTTGTGTAGTGTCCTTTTTTGCATAACTCTGATTCTTTATTAAAAGGGGTTAAGAAATCTCACAAACTAGATCCCATTATGTGCTACACAAGTTGACTTTAATATTTTATTAAAAAAAGTAAAATCTAGTTTTTAAACAATTCTTTTTATGTATGATTGTAAATAAATTTTACAGAAAACAAATTGCTCTGTTGACCATATCAGTACCTTTCAAGAAGTTAACCAACTGTAGTTTTTAGCTGTTTATTATGCATCAAACTCAGTTCTCCTTTCATTGGTAGAGTATACTGTATTATGGGGTGTGGGTACAAAAGAAACTAATATTTTAAGTTTATGGTTTACAACTGGAACCAGTTGATACAATACTGCTCATAACATCAGCTACATCTGTACTGAGAAAAATAAATTGTATCATGGGTTTTAAATAATTCTTAATCATCTGTCCTGTCTTATTTTGCTCATTTGAGTTTCATACTTGTATTGGAATTCTGTATAGTTGTATACCACAAAACTGAGTTAATCGAGTTCTTCAATACTAAATATCTTAAGGATGTGTCCTGCTAATGGCCACTGAGAGGGTGCTTTTTCGGGACAGTTAGCATTGAGTGAAGTTTCCATCATTCCATCAATTTATTTCTGGAATTTCCATGTATAGTAGGATGCATGGAATTCTCAGTTTGGTTTGGATGCTCTTGCATGGTAACTGGTTTCTGCATGTGTCTGTCACCTGGCTGACCAAAAAAAGTTTCCACAGGGAAAGAATGCATCTTGCCACTTGTTTAAAAGATGAGAGAGAACCGCTATACCTTTTTTGTGGCTGGATAATCTAGTGCACTCACATCTCAAGGGATCCATATTTGTAAAAGGTATTCCTGTGATTGTCACAACTGACTAAAAGGGAAATGGAGGCTCCTTGGTAGGGCAAGATCCCTTGCTCTGTCATTAAGAAATATTGAAGATTAGATCCTCTCAACTAGTACTTTAATGCATTCTTTCTCTCTGGAAACTCCACTCAGTGGAAATTCCTTGACCATTCCTTCTTCTCAGTGATCATCAGTATGACACTTCCTTATAGATCTCAATTTACTCCATTTGTGGTTTATAACTTTATTGCAAAACAAAACCTCACAATTCTGCTCAAGCACTGCCAACTTGTGCTAGGCTCAGAAAATCACCTGTTTTGAGAAATAAATGAACAATGGAAGATCTGTTTTAATACTCAAATGGTGTTGCTGTATCTGGGAAGATGTTTGCTGTGTTCCTCACGTTCCTGATCGTGCTTTTTTAAAAGTCCGGCTATTTTATAAGGTGATCCTTTCTCTTGTGTATATCCACCACTGTGTCTTTCCATTGCAGCCTTTTTTTCATCAACCGATAAGCAAAATATCCAGGAATTTCAGCCCAGTGCTCTATTTCCACTGCTTCCATCACAGCCCCATGTCTTCAGATTCCAGTCTGTTGATGTCATTCAAAATGGAATAACAGAACCTACTATAAAATCCAAAAGACTCTCATCCCACACTGGGATCACTGACACTCACTGTTCTTACCACCTTCAGCTGACATTTATCTGATCTGACAATAAAATGTCTTGACACCGTTTCCAAATCCTGGTGTTTGATTAAAATTTTGAGACCCTAATTTCCTACCGTGCTTTCTATCCCTCTGCTTCCTCATCTGCCTTCCCCCCCTCCCCCACTCCGACCCTCAGCTCGGGTCCATGACTCTGACTGTCCTGCGCCTTGGGACATCCTCCCAACGTGAAAGGCGCTATATGAATGTAATTTTGTTGTTGTACCTCCAGGAGTCATTTCCAGGGGCCAAGGACTATTCCCCACCCATCCCCCCAGCCTTGGCTCCTGCACCTAATACTTTCCGGAATTAGATAAGCAGGATTTGTCCCTCCAGCGAGAGAGTGCACATTCCATTCCAACAATCTATCTCTGGGATTTCCATGTGTAGATGAGAAGCATGCTAATCTCAGTTTGGTTTGTATACTCTTAAGCATGGTTTCTGCATGTGTCAGACACCTTGCTGACTAAAAAATAATAAAAAAAAGTGAATATTCAGTAAATATTGTGTATATGTTTATATACTCTTTAAAGTTTTGAGACTTTAAATACAATTATTTTAACATTTCACTCTTGGTTTTTAACAATTGTAACATTTCTTAACTTTTTAAAACTTTTTAACATTTCTCTTTCGTAATAGCCGGGGCAGGTCACACCCACCCAAAATAATGTTAGTTGATTGGTGGATAGCTTTTCTGGGGACAATAATCTTTTCCAAAAAAATGTGGTCACTCAATTCCACAGTTGTTTGTGGGACACTGCTGCGTGCAATTGGTTGCCACATTTCACCGAAAAAATATACAGTATGTTCTGTGAAGCGCTTTGAGATGTCTTGATGTGATGAGGTGCTAATTCAAATGCAAGGATTATTAGTAATATGTAACCTGGCTAACAATCCTGCAGATTCCAATTAAAAAAGTAATCAAAACTTCAAACTAAAATTCCCTTACCACCTATTGACAAGACAAGACAGCTATAGTATGTGATGTCTTTGCTGATAAATTCACTATTGTGTTAAATTTAGCTCGATTGGCTCCAGCCTTCTGGATGTCTCTCATGTCCTCTGTTCCACTATTGGTGGCCGCACTTCCAGCCACTACGCCCTGAAACTCTGGAACACTCCAACTCTATCCCTCCACCTTGCCCCTTCCTTCCCCATCTTCAGGTTGTGTCTGAAGACCTTTCTATTCGCCCGTGCCTATGGTCACCTCCCCCTCCTCCCCCCGGCTCAAAGTCGTGCTTCACCACTGTCAAGGGTTCTGGGACACTACCCTGCATGAGGGACGCTATATAAATGCAAGTTGTTGTGGGATCATTTAAAATAAGAACCTGTATAATTTTCAACAGGGTTCACCAGATAGTATAACAGCAACAAATTACATTTGTATAGCGCCTTTCACATCGGGAGGACGTCCCAAGGCGCTGGACAATCAGTGTTTCGGACTCGAGCTGGGGGTTGGGGAGGGGGGAGGGCTGGGGGGGAAGGAGGGTGACCAAAGGCACAGTTGAAGAGGAGGGTCTTGAGATCGGTCTTGAAATAGGCAAGGAAGGAGGTGAGGCGGAGAGACTGCAGGATGGAGTTCCAGAGGATGGGGGCAGAGCGGCTGAAGTCCCACTCACCAATGGTGGAGCGGGTGAGGCAGGGAACGTGAAGCGGGCCAGAGCCCGCTGAGCGGAGGGAGCGGGCAGGTTGGAAGAGGGTTAGGAGGTCGCAGATGCAGGGGGGAGCAACAACAACAACAAGATTACGTTTATATAACGCCTTTCACGTCGGGAGGATGTCCCAAGGCGCTGGACAGAGTACAGCATTTCAGACCCGGGTTGGGGCGCGAAGGGGGGGAGGGGAAGGGGGGTCAATGGCATGGTCAAAGCGGAGGGTCTTGAGGCGGGACTTGAAGGAGGCTAAGGAGGGGGCGAGGCGGAGTGACTGGGGGATGGAATTCCAGAGGTTGTGGGCAGAGTGGCTGAATGCTCTTCCGCCAATGGTGGGGCGGGTGGGTCGGGGGACGTGGAGCAGGCCAGAGCCAGCTGAGCGGAGGGAACGGGCGGGTTGGTAGGAGGTTAGGAGGTTGCAGAGGTAGGGTGGGGCGAGGCCATGGAGGGCTTTGTGTATGAGGACCAGGATCTTGAACTCGATCCTCTGAAGGATGGAGAGCAAATGGAGTCGGGCAAGAGTGGGGGAGATGGGGTCACGGAGTTTGGTGCGGAAGAGGATACGGGCTGCAGAGTTCTGGATTACGTGCAGCCTGTGGAGGGAGGAGATGGAAAGGCCGACAAGTAGGGCATTTGCATAGTCGAGCCTGGAGGTGATGAAGGCATGAACAAGAGTTTCAGCGGCCTGAGGGGTGAGGTAGTGGTGTAGTCAGGTGATGTTACGGAGGTGAGGGAAGGCAGAGCGGGTCATGGCTTGAATGTGGGGGAGAAAGGACAGTTGAGGGTCGAACAAGACACCTAGGTTGCTGGCTGGCTTGGTGAGTTGTAGTGTGCAACCATGGAGGTTGATGTTGCCAGAGCCTGAGGTGCAGAGGCGCTGGCGCGAGCCAATCGGAAGGGCATCAGTCTTGTTCACATTCAACTGTAGGTAATTTGGTCTCATCCAGGATTTGATGTCCGACAGGCAGTCTGTCAGGACAGCAGTGGTCCTGGAGTTGAGGGTGGAGGCAGAAAATAGAGTTGGGTGTCATCCGCATTACATGTGGAAGTTGACCCCATATCTGCGGATGATGTCACCAAGGGGAAGCATGTAGATATTACAGAGAAGAGGGCCAAGGACAGAGCCCTGGGGTACGCCAGATGTGACAGTGCGGGGGCTGGAGGAGAAACCGTTAGAGGCAACAAAGTAGAACAAGGCCATGGAGAGTTTTGAAGGTGAGAACCAGGATCTTGAACTGTATCCGCTGTGTGATGGGAAGCCAGTGGAGTTGGGCGAGGATAGGGGTGATAGGGTCATGGAGCCTGGTATGGGAAAGGACACGGACTGCAGAGTTCTGGATGATCTGCAGCCTATGGAGGGAACAGTTGGGGAGGCCAACAAGCAGGGAGTTTGCATAGTCAAGTCTGGATGTTATGAATGTGTGTATGAGGGTTTCGGTGGCATACGGTGTGAGACAGTGGCAGAGCCGGGCGATGTTGCGGAGGTGGGGGAAGGCAGAGCGGGACATGGCATGGATGTGGGGTAGAAAGGATAGTTGAGGGTCAAACAAAACGCCAAAGTTCCAGACTGGATCAGTGAGGTGGAATGTGCATCCTTGGATGGTGATGCTGTCAAAATTCAGAAGGTTGTGGATTCAAGCACCATATCGGGTCACTTTGAGCTTTAGGCTGACGCTCCAAAGCAATGCTGGGAGAGTGCTTCTGCAATGTCAGACGTTCTTTAGATGAGATGTTAAAGCAAGGTTCCTTCTGCTTGTTCAGATGGACGTTAAAGATCCTATGGCACTATTTGAAAAGCGAAACAAATTTCTCTCGGTGTTCTGGTCAACAATCCTCTAGATTTTCAAAAAAAGTGCTTTCACTTCATGGCTATTTGGATGCTCTTCATTTTCCCACAGGCATTGAAAATACTTTAATTAGGTTTGTTCATATGCATGCAAAATAAAGTTGAACCATTTTCAGTGGCAGGTGGAGAATCTTGCAACAGATAGAAATAATTGCCTTGTATATAGCAGTGCATTTATTGTTCAAGTAAAAAGAATATTTTAAATGTTAGGTGAAACAGTATATAAAATATAGCTTTAGATAGACTGCTTATTAAGGAAAAACAAGAAGCTGCTTTAACACTCAGGTTGGAGATGGCAACATATAGAGCAGGTAAGTGTTTGAGACACACCCACAAAGATTCAAGCTCTTTTGTTTGGTGTTTTGAGAGTGGTCCAACCAGTTTAGCAGCAACTAAGCCAGTTGGAAAGATACGATCTCTGGTTTTCTGACAACCTGTTTATTCCCAGAAACACAGGAGATTTTGTTTGGTTGGGGGAGGAGATGTAGTCTGTAGGGAACAAATGAAATCAAAATCAATAATTCATTTGGAAATAGATTAAAATTTACAGCAGTAAAAAGACTTCAATGAGTTGAGAGATTTATGGATATGGATTTTATTAGAATTTACCTTAAGGTAGAATGGATCTTAAAAATCTGATTTTTTAAAAAAAAACATGTTGGCAATATAGAGACCAAAAATGTGCTGCAGGGGCTTCCAGTAGATCTGAAACTCACGTTTTAAGTTTCCTCCCCCCTTTTCCCAGGGTGTGAGAGAAACTATGGTAAAAAGAGAATGATTTATCTCAAACTGGTTTCAGTCCATCCACCTTTCCTGTTTGGGTGTTTTGGTCGAGTCCTGTAGCTCAGTGGTTAGAGCACTCGCTTTGCAAGTGAGAGACCTGAGTTCAATTCCAGGCACAGGGCGAAACCTTGGGCAAGTTTCCTTACTCCACACACCTAATAATAATCCCTCCAAAACCAAAAACAATAATAAATTGGTCATTTTGAATCCACGACTGTTTGTGGGACATCGCTGTGTGCAATTGGCTGCCACGTTCGCCCACAAATATACAGTCAATTCACTTTACAGTGTGTTCTGTGTATATCAAACGCAAGGATTATTATTATTGTTATTATCCATTGGGTAATCCTCCACTCATGAGTCTCATGTGTCATGATCTCTTGAGGCTGATCAAATGATTATGCTGAGACACTCCTACCAATCAGATATGTTTTTGTCCTTCAAACATTTTTAACAAACATAGCAGCACTGTGCACTTCACAATCCCAGACTATACTGTCCTCCTGATGGTGGTGTTTTGTGGAGTTTTTCCAAGCCACAGTGAATCATTGTGTTGTTAGTTGCGTGTGGTTGTGTTACCCAGGATGAGGAGACACCTTCAGCACAAGTGATTCACCTCAAAGGAACAAGTGGCAGAGTCGCACTAAGTAAGTCACGGGGCGACAAGGAGAGGAGCAACTTATATCATGTACATATATGTATTGTATATATATATACATATATATATATATACATACATAAAATAGTGGTTATATCAGAAATACTTCAACACTGGCTATTTGGCTTGAAAAACTCAAATGATAAGCGGTTCAGGTCAAAATGTGAACCATTTGTTGAATGAATAAATAAGTGGGGGCTGTGGGGTGATTGGCAGCTTCAGCAGCGATACAGTGCTGGTGTGGGGTGGAGAGGAGAGAGCGGATACCTGTGTGGCAGAGCAGAGAGGTGCGGACAGGGAGGGAGGGGCTGCACGGCACCGCTGGGGGGGGGGGGGGGGTTGAGCTGCACCAGGTCGCGTTGGAGAGCGGGTCTGTGGGGGAGCAGCAGCTCAGCTTTCAGTGGCGGCTGCAGGTGCGCCACAGCGAAAGGTAATGTTTTTACATTCTTGCACCGTGGACCTGAGTGGTGCACAGTCCGCGCACCGAGAGAAGCCAAATAATCAGCGGACACCTGTGTGGCACTCGTGCACTGAGTAAATGGAAGGATTATGAGGGCTATTTAAAATCCCAACAAAGCTCTCTCTCTCTCTCTCTGTGCCCTGTACTGCAGGTTTTGGGAGGAGAGGAGGAGTTGGTGCATCTGTTTTCCTCGGACTCCGCTGAACGTTTTGCTGCTGTCTGTGGAGCGGTGACATCGCCCCCCACACACACAGCAGAAAAAAAGGATTCGACTTGTTTTTGGCCCCAAAAAAGTTTATTTTCCGACTTAAAAGATGTCGGGGAGGACATTGGGCAGTCCCCCGCCCTACCACTCGGGCAGCGAGTACCAGTGAGTATCAGTTTACATCCTTTTCTGACCTCCTTTCCCCCTTTTAACCCTCTTTTTTCCTTCTTTAACCCTCTTTTTTCCTTCCTTAACCCTCTTTTTTCCTTTTTTAACCCTCTTTTCCTTCCTTAACCCTCTTTTTTCCTTTTTTAACCCTCTTTTCCTTCCTTAACCCTCTTTTTCCTTCCTTAACCCTCTTTTTTCCTTTTTTAACCCTCTTTTCCTTCCTTAACCCTCTTTTTCCTTCCTTAACCCTCTTTTTCCTTCCTTAACCCTCTTTTTCCTTCCTTAACCCTCTTTTTCCTTCCTTAACCCTCTTTTTCCTTTCCTTTTTTCCTTTTAACCCTCTTTTTCCTTCCTTAACCCTCTTTTTCCTTCCTTAACCCTCTTTTTTTTTTCCTTCCTTAACCCTCTTTTTCCTTCCTTAACCCTCTTTTTCCTTCCTTAACCCTCTTTTCCTTCCTTAACCCTCTTTTTCCTTCCTTAACCCTCTTTTTCCTTCCTTAACCCTCTTTTTCCTTCCTTAACCCTCTTTTTCCTTCCTTAACCCTCTTTTTCCTTCCTTAACCCTCTTTTTCCTTCCTTAACCCTCTTTTTCCTTCCTTAACCCTCTTTTTTCCTTCCTTAACCCTCTTTTTTCCTTCCTTAACCCTCTTTTTTCCTTCCTTAACCCTCTTTTTTCCTTCCTTAACCCTCTTTTTCTTCCTTCTTTTTTCCTTCCTTAACCCTCTTTTTTCCTTCCTTAACCCTCTTTTTTCCTTCCTTAACCCTCTTTTTTCCTTCCTTAACCCTCTTTTTTCCTTCCTTAACCCTCTTTTTTCCTTCCTTAACCCTCTTTTTTCCTTCCTTAACCCTCTTTTTTCCTTCTTAACCCTCTTTTTTTTTTCTTTTTCCTTCCTTAACCCTCTTTTTCCTTCCTTAACCCTCTTTTTTCCTTCCTTAACCCTCTTTTTTCCTTCCTTAACCCTCTTTTTTCCTTCCTTAACCCTCTTTTTTCCTTCCTTAACCCTCTTTTTTCCTTCCTTAACCCTCTTTTTTCCTTCCTTAACCCTCTTTTTTCCTTCCTTAACCCTCTTTTTTCCTTCTTTAACCCTCTTTTCTCCTTTTTTTAACCCTCTTTTTCCTTCCTTAACCCTCTTTTTCCTTCCTTAACCCTCTTTTTTCCTTCCTTAACCCTCTTTTTTCCTTCCTTAACCCTCTTTTTCCTTCCTTAACCCTCTTTTTCCTTCCTTAACCCTCTTTTTCCTTCCTTAACCCTCTTTTTCCTTCCTTAACCCTCTTTTTCCTTCCTTAACCCTCTTTTTTCCTTCCTTAACCCTCTTTTTTCCTTTTTTAGCCCCTTTTTCCTTTTTTAACCCTCTTTCTCCCCCTTTTTAGTCCTCTTTTGCCATCAGAGTGTGTTGTAACCCAGAATATCCAGCTGGAGTTTCTGATGCTTTTCCCCCCTCCCCACTCAATCAAGTGGTTCATGTGTTTTCAAACTGGATGTTAACAGGTTTAGGTGTAGCAGTGCCCTGGGGTGTTGATCATATGAGCAGGTAGTTACATGTAACTAGATTTTTTATGTTTTACACTTTTTTCACCTGTACGGTCAAAATAACTGCCTTTACAACAAAATCACATAGAGTGGATTAATAGCACGCAGATAACTGGCAATATTGACTAACTGACAAGATTTGATATCTCACTTAATGAACTTTGTTTCAAGCTTTTGCTGCTCTCAACTCAACCACTCAAGGTACTGTATATCACACAGTGCACAGTCAAGATGGCTGGCTGCATGCCATTGTGTATTATCCTCTGGGGTCCACACCTTGACTCGCAGTGTTTGGTTTCACTGCCAGGTTAATATTGCTTGTGGATCCACACCTAGAATGAGAAACTGCTGCTGGAAAGCTGGATCATCGTGCGATTGATCCGTTTAGTATATTGTCACATTTAGTAGAAAGAGGAGTTTCACCCCTGCCAGGCCAGAAATTAACACCATAACAATCATTGTCTAATGGAATACATTTTGCTTCCTGCACCTTGTTCAGGGGGGACTCAAAACCTAATATGTTGATAGCCCCTTCCAACTGTTTCTACAAAGGTATTTTAACCAACTAATTCAGAAGTCCCATGAAGTAATATTTTCTCAATTTCCCTCATAATATTTGTAAATAATATACAGTATGTTCAGTGCGCATTCCCCACTTCCCCCAGGCTCACATAAGAATGCTCCAAAAATTCCCCGAAATAGGTTTAATCTTGCTTAGTAAGCCATATAGGTGAAAAGATTCCAGGTTATGACTTTTGATTTGTGCTGAGTTATTTGATCTCAGGATGCAACAACAAATTACATTTGGATAATGTCTTTCATGTCAGGAGGATGTCCCAAGGTGCTGGACAGTCAAGGATTTGCACCTGAATTGGGGGGTTTGGATTAGGAGGGTTGGAGGGCAGGGAGGGTGGGAGTAGTTGATGTGTTGCAGTTGGTTTTAGTGCCTTTGGGGTTAGAGAGGTCAACCATTGGCTTGGTTTCTTCTCCTGAGTACTATCTAGTGATGACTATCTGTAATCTTTTAATTTGCATTTCGCCCACAAAATACAGTCACTCCACTACAATATATGTGAAGCGCTTTGAGATGTCTCCACAACATAAGGCGGTATATCAAATGCAAGGAATATTATTATTAATTGTAATTGCAAGTCTTTTATGTATCCTTTATCAACTGTAATGACTTGGGATGACCTGCTTCAAAGCTGGGGTAGACAATGGTCCATTTAGGTTAAATGCAAAATATCAAAGGAGAATTAATCATTGGAAGGAGTATTTGGATTATTGCATGTTTTACCTTCTGAATTATGAATACTTGTTCATTTTTATTGTTTCCCACTCCACCATTATAGCCAAGCTTCAGTCTATGCACCAAGCAAGGATATGTATGATGGAGAGATTGGATCCCAACCTGCTGGCTCCTATTATCCAGATGACACGCAGCACTATTACAAATGGACCTCCCCTCCAGGAATCATCAAAATCTTAGCAGTTATCATCGTTGTGATGAGTGTGGGCATTTTTGCTTGTGTGGCCTCCACTTTGCCCTGGGATATGGACTATTACGGAGGAGGGATGGGAGTAGGAAATGGGATGGGGTATGGGGGATATGGATCTTATGGGGGAGGTCATGTTGGATTTGGTTCTGGCACAGGCTATGGATATGGCGCTGGAGTTGGTGCTTATGGATATGGAGGTGGCTACACTGATCCACGAGCTGCTAAAGGCTTCATGATTGCATTGGCTGCAGTCTGCTTTATAGGACTACTGGCTGTGTTTATCATACTTGTTTCCAGGGCTAATTTTTCAAGAACAAGGAAGTTTTATTTAATTCTCATCCTTGTGTGCACAGTCATTGCTTTCCTGAAGTTTGTGGCTACAATAGTCTACATTATGGGGGTCAACCCTACAGCTCAGGCTGCAGGATCTGTGTTCTACAATCAGCTATTGAATCTCTGCAACCAGTTCTATATCCCATCTACTAGTGGAGTCTTCACAAATCAGTATCTCTACCATTACTGTGTGGTAGAACCACAAGAGGCAAGTATATTAATGATCTCATTTTCTCTCTCTCTCATGCGAACACCCATTTGTGCAGCACCGGTCCATACGGACCAGAGGATTACAGTTTCAAACCTGTGCTGAGGTATCAGATCTTGGCAGCTGGGTGTTGTTAACTGGTTTTGGTTCCGCTGGGTTTGGAGGGGAAATGCAACCAGACTTCCTCTTTTTGATCACTGCAACAAAATTACATTTATTTTGCGCCTTTCACGTCGGGGGAGCATCCCACTATCTTCTGGTACCTTGCTGGAAGTTGCATTTAAGTGGCTGTTGGGTGGTAACTGATTGGGCTTGACTGTGGAACCACTCACCAGTAAGAGAGAGCCATCATAACAGTGAAAGGATGTAGGGATTGAGTCTGAATGACTTGTATTTATTACCTAATAATGTGGAACAGGAAGTAGAGTGTTATACTATGGCTGTATTTATGAGATTACTTTGGAATAAAGTATATGAAGTAGTTTTCAATGAAAACCACTCCTAACCAATAGTTGGTCCTGCAATTACAGTTAAATTGAACTGTCATAATGTCTGATAGTCTGATAGGGATGGAAAGGAAATATCAGATTTAAGAACAGAGGATCTATTGAAAGTAATTGGACTTCAGAAAATTCAGAGTAAGGCGAAAAGGTTAAGTAAACAGTGGCTTCAAAGATATTATTTGGGTATTAGACTGTATATATCCTAACTGTTTGTTGGAAACAAACTTGTTGTTTTCAAAATCATCACTGAGAATATTAAAATTTAGGAACTTTATCAAAACCAGCTACTTCACTATTCCCCTGGGAAATGTGCTACTGTCAAAGCTGAATGCTAGTAATAGGTTTTTGCCCAACAGATCTGTACAAGTGGTAACGTATCACTTATTAAAGGGGAAATGTATTCATCTGAATTACCAAAAAAATAAATGTTGTAAAACGAGGTATCCATACACTTAACTGATGTCTTTCCCCATATTTTAGACCACCCCCCACCCCCATTTTGTGAAAGAGCTGACATTTTACTGCAATAGGTTGCATGTCTCCCAAGACACCTAGAATGCTCAGATGTGTGCCTTGACAGTGATTGCAGCTGAGCCCAATCCTCTAATTATCTCTGCTATCCATAAGAACATGAGAAGGAAATGCTTTCCACTGGGTGGGGTGGGCACTGGATAGAGCTCAAGACTGGAAATCTTGGCTTTGCAGTTTGTTTCTCCCCAACTCATACAGTGGTCATATGTAGGAGTGAGTCTTTAGCTGAGATGCAGCTTGTCACAGATCTGGCATTTTATGTTATAACTACTGGAGATGGGCAACTTCTTCTTCAGAATACTTCTTCAGAATGTATTGCATGTGGACATGGTCAGTTTCTGTCTGTGATTGACCAATGTCACAACATCCGTACACTAAATTCCGTACAGTAAATTCTATACAGAATGTTTTTCCCCCCAAGATCGGGAAATGCAAAAATAAAAACGGATTGACTAAGACCATCAATGCTTGTGCAGATGTCCCCTGTGTGACATTTTCTCAAGACCCTCCTTCGACTATACCTTCGGTCACCCTCCCCACCCCTGTCACCTGGCCTCTGCCACACCTGACCCCAACCCCCTGCTTGGGTCCGAATCCCTGATTGTCCAGCACCTTGGAACGTCCTCCTGACGTGAAAGGTGCTATACAAATGTAAGTTGTTGTTGTCTTGTGTGATTAATAAGTTCCCCTTGAAATTATGTACAAGCATTATGTCGTCAACAAAATAATTTTGTTATTACATAAATAATTTCTGAAATTTCTTCAACTCACCAGATTTTTAAATGCCAGAATTGTATGTCCTCTATGAGCTAAATTCAATGTTTTTAAAAAGTCCAGACTGATTTCTAATATCTATATATCTATGTGCTGGATTTTAGCAGTACAATATTGATAAATCAGTGTCTAAACCTATTCTTTTCTACCTTCAAGGCCCTTGCAATAGTGATGGGATTCATGATTATAATAGCCCTGGGCTTGATTATTTTCTTTTCCCATAAAACACGAAGTAAAATCTTGAAATATGGCAAAGAAAACGTCTTGTGGGATAGGATTCCCATGGCCGAGTCTGATCCTAATGTGGCGGAATGGGTGAGTAAAACAGTTTATTTCTCCTTGAAAGTACTAGAAATGTTTCAAATTATCGTGTGATCTGTGTTAAACTTGTTTAAAATGTTTTTCTGATGTAATAAAATATTTAGAATGATCCATGCGATATGCATTTTCCCAATTTTTGAAAAAACATGTTTTGCCTTGTTACAGCTATGTTGCTTTCATTTGTTCTGCTGAGTTGACTGACCCACTTGACTTCCCAGTGGGCAGTAATTTTGTGCTCTGGAATTTCAAACTCTGGGAATGTAAGAGATATATTTGATAACAAGTGTGAGGCTGTGATTTTCAATCTTCAATGTCTTTAGCTCTGGGATCTATTGTGCTACTTTTTAAGTTGTTTGAAAATGTCTCTGGTTACCATTTTGTCTCTGAAATACAACAACTTGACTTGTGAAGTGCCTTTTCATGAGGGAAAATGTCTCTTGTGTGCTTTATGGAGGTAGAGTGGGTGCTAGGGGAGGGGGGAGGTGTCTGAAGGTTTTAGTAAAAGGACATTTTTGTGAAAGTGTATGTGGTGGTGGGGTGGGGGAGGCAGGACACTGGGAGAAATTTCCTTTTATTTGAATAGTGTTGCAGATTCTTTAACATCCGCTTGAACAGGCAGACAGGAGCTCAGTTTAAAGTCTTTATCTGAAACTGTAAAACTGAACCCATTTACATGAGTACTTTATGTATATATTGTATTATCAGATTTGAGCCATACTTGTTGCATTGAATTACCTAAGCGTTTTGAGATATTTCTCTTTTTTAAAAGAATGTAAGAAAACTGCATGCTGGCTCAATGGGGCAAATGTACTGATTGAAGGTTTTCTGGGATCAAATCTTTGGGACTTATGTGTGTGTTGTATGAAGGGGGTGGGGGAAGAAAAATGTTTCAGTGTTTCTGGGCAAGAGAGGTGGAAAATAAATCTTCAGGGTCAAGGGTTCTGCTTCTGATCACTAGAGTGGTACGACTTCTATAGTAAATATGTTAGCCAAAGGTAGCACTCACACCTCTGAGTAGAAGATTGTGGGTTTGAACCCCACATCGGGAATTGCAATCACATAGTCTAAGCTGACACTGCCTGGCTCAGGAACTGGATTACCGAGACCACCACAGAGGGTCGGCGCGATTATGACATTCCAGTTCAGTTTGAAGGAGATCCCTCTTGGGTGTTATTGCCTGATATTCACATCCAGGATTCCCTGCTGTAAAGTTCATGCGTGTGGACATCATCTGAAGAAGCATCGACTTCTTTCTGATGATTCTTCTCCCTCCTTCCCACTGCACCTCAACCTTTTCTTGTATCTTGGGATTTCTGATGCCAGTATTAGCGATTCTACTGTTGTCCTAGCTGCTCTCGGCTTTTTTGTGAAAAAAGGAAGCTTTTTGCTTTTTCACAGCACAAAAAGGGAATCAAACCTGTGGGCGTGTTTGTATGCTGTACTGGAGGGTGATTTTACTGAGGGGTCAGCCGAGGGGAGCTCTCCATACAGAAATTCCAGTTCAATCTTGGCTCGGGTCATGATGGGAGGTCAGCCTTCCAGGACAAGCGAGAGGAAACATTGTCCAGATTTCCTGATCGCGCTAACTGCCCAGTCCTCTTGCTAGACCTGGTCACAGTCGGACTCTGTTATTATGGTCTTCACAGTTGGTTTGCAGCCCAAGCTTGAAATGAGGGAGGACCAGAGCCAGTGTGGGGAAACTTGGATCACTGAATTTAGAAGGAAGAACAGGGAGAAACTTGGGGTGGGGGGGTGGTCTGACCAGTTTGGATTTCTTAAAATGTTCTATTCAGATTATTTGATACCTAGTTATGTGAGAAATAGACTTTGAATGCTGATTTATTAGCTGTATACATTTCTGCAGACTTATGTCTGAAGTCATATTACAGCAAAATACATTGGTTCAGTATATTGATGTAAAATGTGAATTCCTGCTGACTTGGCGAGCTCTTTTGTGCGATGTTTGTTTGATACGATGGAGGTTTCAGGGAGTAGGTTTCTGGGTGTGTCGGTGACTGAGTTTCGAGCGATGACTTGTAATTTGACACCAATGTTTGTATTCACGGTTTTACTTTACACCTGCGTTGAACGTACTTCGAGTGGGAAGCCAGAGGCTAATTAGTGTCGTTTTTAATTGTGTTAAATAAGTGTCTTTTTTTTCGCTCTCTAGATGTGGATTTTAAAGTAGTGCACAGTCTTGTTTATATATTGATAACTCCATTTTAGCCTGGCTAAGGCTGAACCAAACTGATTACCTCTGTTCTGACGTTGTTCATGTGCTGCATGGTATTAGGTTACCAGTGCAGTAAAGTTCACTGTTTCCCCTGCCTCTGTGAGTTCAGAACTCCTTTTTAAACCAAGTGAGATGTGGAATTTAACTGGAATTGCTATCTAACCATTTGTTCATTCGAAGATTTCTCAGGGTAAACTTCCACATGTATGCAGGTGACACACAAATCTACTTTGCCTCCTCCAGCATCGACTCCAGGTCTGCCAATGTTCTATCATCTTGTCTGGCAGACATCAGGGCTTGGATTAGTGCAAACTTCCTGCAGCTGAATATGGACTAGACGTCAATGCCTTCACTCCTGCGGATCTGAACTCCTCAACCTCCCTGGGCTCCACTGTTCCCACTAAGCTGCGCTTGTGTTTGGCCACACAACAGTCTGTTGAGCGCCGTGCACTGTTTTTACGGCGGTGCACACAGCCTTTAAAGATTAGAGGGAACATAGCTGGGCTCTCCCTCAGACTCACCAAACCACCAAATCTAGGTCCAGTTCAACCCCCAGCTGTCCCTCCTCCCCCACATCTGGTCCCTGACCAGGACCATCTTCTTCCACCTCCACCACATTGCCCGCCTCCAACTGTACCTTACCCCAAATGCAGCCGAAACGCTCGTGCATGCGTTTGTCACCTCCCGCTTGGATTACTCCCAACACTCCTCCCCGGTCTCCCCAGCTTCACCATTCACAAGATCCAGCTCATTCAGAACTCTTGCCACCCGCATACTGACCCAGACCAAACTCCGTACCCACATCTCACCAGTTGTGGTCAGACTCCACTGGCTCCCCATCACTGAACGGATCGACTTCAAGATCCTCACACTCGTGTTCAAATACCTTCACTTCCCTGGCACCTCTCTACCTCTCCACCCTCCTTATTCCCCAATCCACCACCCAGCTCCTCCACTCAACTGGCACTGGCCTCCTGCTCATCCCTGGCACCCTCTGCCCCACTATTTAAGGTTGTGCTTTCAGCCACTATGCCCTGAAACTCTCCCTCAATCCCTCCACCTTGCCCCCTCTCTCCCCTTTCTCAAGTCATGCCTTAAAATCTTCCTTTTCAATCGTGCTTACGGTCACCCCCTCTGGCTCGGAGTCAGGCTCTGCCCCTGTTAAGCACTTTGAGATGCTACCCTGCATGGAGAGTGCTGTCTAAGTGCAAGTTGTTGCATCTGTCTGTGGCCTTTGATACTTTCAATCACACTATTTTCTTCACCAACTTCCCTCTTAGTTCCACCTTCACTGTTCTGTCTATTCCAACCTCTCCACTTTGTTTTCTCAAATAGCCACTCCACCGACCCCCCCCCCCCCCCCCCACCTCTACATGTTTCCACTCTGCAAATATCACCTTCAGGCATTGACTCCTTTCTGATGATTCTTCTCCCTCCTTCCCACTGCACCCCAACCTTTTCTTTTATCTTGGGATTTTTAATGCCAGTATTAGCGATTCTACTGTTGTCCTAGCTACTCTCGGTTTTTTTTGTGATGGAGGTTACCCTCCATCTGTATGCAGATGACTCCCAACGGTATCTCTTCGCCTTCACCCTTGCTTCTAGGCACGTAGGGGGCAGGAAAGGAGAGCAATGGCAAAGGCACAGTTAGGGTGTTTTTTTTCTACTTGTCCATCGTCCCCTGCAAGAAAATACTTGTAAATGGATAGCATTGGCTGCGTGTCTCATGCCCCATCGCATTAAATAGGGAATGGGGAAAGTTTAAAGGCATTGCCATTATAGTCCAGTGAGTGAAATGCTGCATCACATGTAAAATAACTCCACTTTCAATGACTAATTTGCTCTGACCCATAGGGATCAGGAATTCTTGTCCAGAGAATCCATTCTAAACTGATTTCTATTGTGCAAGTGCAAAAAGGGCCTGAAATGGCAAGTATTTACATTTCAAAGTCACCTCAGAGGGAAACCAGAAAAACTGGTTTGTTGGCTGTTGGGAAGCATAAATGTGCTCAAACTGCTTGTGATCCAACTACATTGAAAACCTTAATCTTAACTGCTCAATCTCTGTTTGTAGTTGCTCAATAAAGCATTTAAGTACTAGTTAGGAAATCCTTATCAATCAATAAATGCTTTTGTTTATAAATGTAGATGAGGTAATGTTGCTCTATTGACTGGTAGGTGTCAAGTTGCCTAGAAATGGGTGTGGAATGGAGAAGTAGCAAGATAATGCATCTCACTGCTGCAAAGCAACTGTTTATTTTGGTTTTGGCTGCAGTTGGAACAGTTGCTGCTAAGCAGTGCAGTTCTTATTTTTGTGGCTTTTCCTCCCGCTTGTCAAAGGCCAGAAAATAGTGATTTATGACCTTTGAAACTAGCATAGCTAAGCAATTTTTTTGTTGCTCAAAGTGTTGGGAATTTTGTTCCTCACTGTAAATGGTGCAAATCAATAACTCTGCCACCCTTGTGGTATTAGGGCCAACTGTGCAATACAAATTTACATTTATATAGTGCATTTCACACCAGGAGGACGTCCCAAGGTGCTGGACAGTCCTTATTTGGCACATGAGCTGAAAGTGATAGCCAAAGGGAGGGGCAAGATGACCAAAGGTGTGGTCAATGTAGAAGGTCTTGAGGCTGATCTAGAAACAGCTGAGGGAGGGGGCAAGTCAGAGGGACTTCATGATGGTGGGAGTGGGAGCACATAGGCTGAAAGCCTGAGCACCAATGGCAAGACGGGTAGGACAAGGCGACATGATGTAGGCTGGTGCCTGCTGAGCGAAAGGAGCAGCTGGTTTGTTGTGGTTTGAGGAGATTGCATAGTTAAAGCGGGGGCAGAATCATGAGGAATTTGAAAGTGAGTATGAGGATCATGATCTACCAGATGGGGAGGCCAATGGAGCCAGGCAAGGATGGGGATGATGGGCTTGTGGAGCCTGGAATGGGAAAGAACACAGGTTGCAGAGTTCGAGACTGTATTTGATGCTCGTGGCCTAGGCTGACCGTCCAGGGCAAGGTTGGGAGGTGTCATTCTTCAGGTGAGATGTTGAACTGAGGTCCAGTCTATACTGGTTCTTAGGTGACCTGCTTGGCAATGGAATGTCAGAATCGGGCCAGCCCTCTTTGGCAGTCTCGATAGTCCGCTTCCTAGGCCAGGTAGGTCTGCAGTACTCCACAGCACAGCCAACCTGGCTCATCAGTAGGACTTCGAAGCGCAGATTAGTCACTGGGGCCAGGGATTCTTCCCACTCAGCTCTGTTAACCCTGCAAGCCAAAGCCTTATCACGTAGGGTGATCCTAGCGGGAAAGCTTACCAGATAGTGTTCTCAATGACAAGCTATGTAGTTTTAGCTAGCTGGACTCCGTCAGTGCCCTGATGCATACTCTGGTGTCCCCAAGTTTTGTCTTGTTTCAGCCTGAGCCTAATACACTGAGGTAAAGCAGGATGCGTCCATACAGCGAGGGAATGTGTATTCCATTCCAATAAATGGGAATTTCCATGTGTAGGTGGGAAGCATGGAACCGTATTTGGTTTGGATACTTTTAAGCATAGTGATGGGTTTCTGCATATGTCGGACACCTGGCTGACACAAAAAAATTCAAATGGATGTTACAAGAGCCCATGACACTATTCAAAAAGAAAAGGGAAATTCTTAATAATAATAATCCTTGCATTTGATATAGTGCTTTTCACGTCTTCTGGACGTCCCAAAGCGCTTCACAGAATATACTGTAAAGTGAATTGACTGTATATTTGTGTGCGAACGCGGCAGCCAATTGCGCACAGCAATGTCCCACAAACAATCGTAGATTGAAAATAACCAATTTATTATTGTTTTTAGTTTTGAAGGGATTATTATTAGGCGTGTGGAGTAAGGAAACTTGCCCAAGGTTTTGCCCTGCCTGGAATTGAACTCTTCTTGTGTCCTGGCCAACAATTTCCCTGTTAAATTAATCATTCTCCTCCTGGTTGTTTATGGGACATGGTTGTGTGTAAATTGGATGCTGTGTATTTACAAATAGTCACTATCCTTTATAGTAATTGCTATGAAGTGCTTTAAGATGTTTCAATGTGATAAGGCTCTATCAAGTGCAAGATTTATTATAAAGCTGGCAATTGGTGAATTCTTTCTTGCTCACCCCCAGTTTACAGCAACAGTTTGTGTGCTCACATGAATTCTTTGTTGTAGGAATTCTGGCAGGAACAGAGGAAGAGATTCTACTGTGTGCATTTCAATGGAAGGAAGTATAGTTTGTAAATCGTACTGCTAGTTTCTCAGCCTTAAAAAAAACTCTAACCAGCAGCACTGCAGGTAGAGTGAGAAGCCTCCATGACTTACCCTGCTGCCTCTGGCAAATTCAAAGAACCCTTCTTTAAGGGCTTAACCACTCCTCTCGATGCAACTAAAGTGAACATAAATCACTGTCTTCAAGATAGCTGAAGTGTATGACTTCTGCATATGTCAAAAATACCACGCTCAACTTTCTAAAATTGAATAACAACAACTTGCATTTATATAGTGCCCTTCACCTGGGTTAGCATCTCGGAGCACTTAATTGGCAGAGCCTAATGTGAAGAGGAATCTGTGCACTGTTCACTCATGTAATACACTAGGTTTGTGAATTTTGTGTATCTTAAAGTTGGATGTTGGAAGAAGTGCTGTCTGAAGATGTGCTCCAGCCATGGCACCAATCTCCTTAGTCTAGGGGTAGTAACATTTTCAATGGTTCAAGGTGCCACATTAGGGTCAAAGGATACAAGTTTGCACTGGGGGCATGGGAGATGGGATAGAAGCTGTCTGTTTTTAAATGATTCGTTCATCGTTGATTATGAGCATCAACATTCGGAGCTTTGTATTGAGGCGATAGATTTTACTGTCTCCTCAATTTCTAATCTCCGTTCAGCAGGGAGTGAAATTTGGAAGAGTTTGTTTTAATCTGAACATTCCCTGGGTGCATTGGCAATGGTGTGGGTTCAACATTCTCCAATAAACACTGAGGCCAAGTGAACTCCTTTTTAAAGGTTCTGTATTTTTCCTTCCAATTATTCATGTTGGTGTACCATTCCACTGCTGTAGATTACCTGCATGAATCATGTATCGTCCTAGACATTGAGTGTCGTAAAGGTATATCAGCTAACTCAGCAGTGACTGGGAATTTAACCTCTGACTTACTGGTGTTTACAACTAAATGCACAGCAGGAAGCAACTTTACTAAATGAAACTTTTTGAACTGAGATTGAGCAATCTTGGAACCATTGTTTTCAATTTTAGTTTCAAAGATTTAAATTTGTTTGGGATTTCTCTTGCGCTGTAATTTTTTAAAAATTAAGTTAATTTGGAAGAGGTAATGAGGAGAAACCTTTTTTTAAAAAAAATCAATGCACTTGGAACAAGAGCTTTTTTTACTTGTAAATTGGCAGGGGAAATATGAGGAGAATGGTGTGCTTTATCTTCTTAAATCAATTGGTTACATGAACGAGCAGCGCTGTGGCTGTTAACCATCATGTGAGAAAGTGAAAGGACAATATGTGCTCAACGTGGTGAATATCTAATGAGCTGTTACCTTGTTCCTCTTCCTCCTTCAAGGTGAACAATGTATCTGGTATTCCTGAGGAACTAGCCACAAATGATGACTATCCAAATAAATTCAATGGTTCCCTGAATTATCAACCTAGTAATGACTACAGAATGCCGCCAGATGATGTCCGATCAACTCCGTAAGTATAAGTTTACTCCAACATTGAATACAGTAGCGCTCAAGAGCTCAATATCTGGGACCAGCCGCATTGCTGATGTCCAACAATGTGGATAATTTGGTATTTTGATCTGATCGTTACACCTTGTACTACCAGTTAATTGAACCACTATTATTTGCATAGATATACAATTTTAAAAAAATCCCTGACATTGGTGCCCATATGTACAGTCAGACATTGGATAATTACAATCCAAAATTACATTTCTGTAGCAGCTTTCACATTGGGAGGAGGTCCCAAAGCGCTGGAGTGCAGGTACATGGCTTTCTATTGTACAACCATTTCAAAACGATCAGGACCTCTGCAAATTCCACTAACTGAGATCCAGTAAAGCAGGAGCACTTAGGCAAATTGCACTGCCTGAGCCTTGGGATGTGCTCCCAATGTGAAAAACACTACATAAGTGTAAATTTGTTTGTTTTCCACCATTTGAGATGCAGTTTTGTGTAATCCAAACATTGCATTTACCCACATGATGGAGCTTAATTTTTATATCCTTTGTGAACCTAAAGAGCATAAGCTAGCTCACGATTACCAACTGTTGATAACATGGCCAATGAATCATTGGCAGAGTAGAGGACAAAGCAGCAATCTCTGGTGAGACTGTTTTAATTACAAGTTGAATATCTTTACTCAGCAACAAGTGCACTTGTATCTGATTATGCAAGATATCTAAGAGGGCAGACTGAAAGGTAGAGTGAGGAAGTTCAGAGGGTGAGGGCATAATAGCTGAAGGCTGGTCGATTGGCAGTGGGGGGTGTGGCTGCTATACCAGAGTTTGCTGGGCAGAGAGGGTGAGCTGGAGAGCGAGGCTGGAAAAGACCTGAGGTGGGAGATTCAAGTGCATACCTCACAGATTCTACTGTACAAAGGAAAGCGGTAATTTTTAAAAGATTGTCTGACTGTTCAGTGCTTTGGGATGTCCTCCCAACGTGAAAGGCACTCTATAAATGTAATTTTGTTGTTTAAAAAGGTAAATAATGGGGTTAATTTACTGTGAAATAAGTTTGTGTATTAATCTTTCTCACAGAGTTCCTGAAGCTTTATTGCCATTGATGAAGCAGCCACCACGTGCCATGAACAGCACAGGGTCTGACGAAAGCAGACCAGCCCCCCAGCGCAGACCACCAAGGAAGAGGAGGCCAGGAAGAGCAAAAAGACCAGAGACTGAGGACTATGAAACTGATTACACCACTGGTGCAGAGTCCTGTGATGAACTTGACGATGTTGATTTTGAAAGGTGCTGAGAAATTGTTTTCGAGCTATTTTTTATCAGGTCTAATCAGGCTTTGTGATAATTTTACGTCTTTTCGCAAAACAAGTTGTAGTAAACGGGTTTCTCCTTTGCAGTCAGTACCCACCGATCACATCAGACCAGCAGAGACAAGACTATAAGAGGGAGTTTGATAATGATCTGCAGGAGTACAAACGCCTGCAGGCTGAACTGGATCAAGTGAATAAACAACTCTCGGACCTAGATAAGCAATTGGACAAGCTGCCCGAGGAGACTGAGGAATACCAGGTACACCCTGTGTGTGTGTGTGTGTGTGTGTGTGACTGAGCTGTGGGAAGACATTTTAAAAGAATTGATAGCAATTCCTTGCACAGTGGCAGAGTGATCCAGGCTGTGATTGAGTGCCTCGGTCTCTAACCTTGGAGAAGCAACTCCTGTGACAGTAGCTTTGTTCTTCTTTCCCCATGTTGTGTGACCTTATTAATTCCAAATGTGTTTGAGAGTAGGTTTGTGCTGTATATTATAACCAGGACTGAAGAATGATACAACTAGCAGAATGAGATTAGCCATCTGAGATTTTGATTTGCCAATAGTTTGTTTAGAAGTCTGTTCAGCAACATTTTACCTTCAGCTTCTCTGCACTTTGGTGCTGTTACTTGGGAAAAGTACGAAGGCTTTGATAGAACTTTACTGCAGTCAATCAGCATTTAGAGGAGAGATGGGGGGGAAAAAAACAAATTTACTGGTATAGATGTTTTCATTGGCAGAAGAGTAAATTGCTTACTTGCCCACATCTCAAATGTTTTTTGGTTAATGTTCAGTTTTCGCAAGAGGAAGGAGCAAGGGAAGTATTGTACATATTTGATGATCTCACTAGGCATTAAGAAATTAAATTACTAATAACAATAATGATCCTTGCATTTGATATACCTAATCATGTCATTGAGACATTTAAAGCACTTCACTGGGTATATTGTAAAGTAGATTGAGTAGGTATTTTATAATAATAATCCTTGCATTTGATATAGCGTTTTTCACGTCTTCTAGACGTCTCAAAGTGCTTCACAGTAAAGTGAATTGACTGTATATTTGTGGGTGAAATGCGGCAGCCAATTGTGCACAGCAGTGTCCCACAAACAGTTGTGGATTGAGTGACCAATTTATTATTTTTTTCTTGAGAGATTATTATTGAGCGTGTGGCGTAAGGAAACTTGCTCAAGGTTTCGCCCTGTCTGGGATCAAACCCAGGTCTCTCGCTTGCGAGGCAAGTGCTCTAACCACTGAGCTACAGGACTCAGTGGGCTAGACTAGGTGGATCTTCTAGTAAGAATAAAATTCAAGGTATAGAGTTCAGTAAAAGGATGATTCAAGACTAAGGAATAAAATGTATAAAAAGTTAATCCAGTGCTGCACAAATCGTTTACCTTCAGTTTCTTGTTTATCTGTGCCTCCAGGCTGCTGCTGATGAATATAATGCATTAAAAGAAGTAAAGCAGGTAAGTGGTCGAATTTCAATCTGCTAATCATTTGTTGAATGCTTCAGTTGATCATGTTCTTTTGATATGACCTAAGAATTTTCCACATATAGCGGGGATGACAAATGCAGGATGTAATGGGACTGTGGGATGCTCTATATTGCTGGAAATATTAGTGTGGGGAAACCCATTCAAATGGCTTCAGCCAAAGTTGGTTGGCTGACTGTGTCTTTGATACTTCTGCCTCACAGATTTCAACATTCATTGTTGGCTGGGGGAATACTGGCCTAACAACTTTTAAAATGATAGTGTGTGTGTGTATATATATATATATATATAAAATATATTATACTCAACATTTTTTTTTCCATTTTAAGTCTCCTGGTCATAAAGCGAAGAAGCAGCAAAGCAAGCAACTTAAGTCTAAACTGTCTCACATCAAGCAGATGGTCAGCGACTACGATAGCCAGAGATCTTAAGTACAAAAATGAGCGACAGGAAATTCAAACCGAACATTTATTCCCACTGCAGAATGACCTCTTGGGTTTATTTCATCAATACAATGCAACACACTTCGATGGGCAAAATACAAACTTGTGTGATTATTACTCTCCTACACTTTCACCAAATCATGTTTCTTGCCTTTTCATGAGGTGTGGTAAGAGGGACATTTTTAAAGATAATCAGAGACTGACCAACTTTTGCAGTAACTTGGATTTTGTTACCTTGCGTAATGTGTTCAAAGCTTGTAAATAGCCACAAATTATGTGTTCTTTGTGTACTAAGTCCTTTGATTTTAAGGTACGTAAAATAGTAACGAATGTCATAAATATATTTGCCATAAACTCTGTACATCATGTAAATTTCAATATTGAAAGTAATATGTAATGCTTTGCCCTTATATGATTTGGGGTTAATTCCATGCCAAACTTGTAGTCATCTGCTATGAGCAGAATTGGTGGGATTTTTCACATTCCACTCAGGCATCAAGAATCTGTTGATGTCGGAGTTGATGAAAGATGGAAGGTAACGAGAGAGATTTAACTTGTTTTTAAGTTATCATTAAAATGTTTGCGAATGTTTGTATATGGAATGATTGAGCTACACAGTTTCCTTTAACAAGCTTTTGTATAGGTTCAGATGTGTCATCTTAATTTAATGCATGATGCTAGTCAGCAGTGATTTTAGGTTTCTGCCACATTTTTAAGAAGTGTGCCAGGTGTACAATGAGAAATTGCACGGCAATAGCCTTTGCATGCAGAGATCTTGCTATTAAAGCAGTTTCTTGTTGTAATTCTCTGATCAAAGATATTTTTTTGTTTGTGGATTTTTTTTAATGTGGGAGTGTTCATTTTAGCGCTGGTGCAAGCACTGTTGATTTATACTTGCAAGTAAATTTGCAGATCTCACTGTGAAACCATGGATACAATGAGCGTTCAAATTGTGTACTTTTATAACTACCTTCTGTGTTTACACATGCCACATAGACCGAAGTTATAAATTTCTTTGTTTTTCTATGTATAACTTTGGTGTGGTGATATGCATTTATTACTTTGTTTTTTAATCTTTTAACCATTAATTAAATGCTCTTGTTTATTCCCGTTCTTGTTTTCTTTTGTGGGTTAATTACAATTGTCATGAAAATAAGTATCTATTAGGGGTGCAATCTCTACCAGAACCCAAACTAGCTGTTATTTATTTTCTACTTTCTTCCCCCACCCCTCTAGCCAGTTCTATTAAGTGCTTTGGGATATTGTCCCAAAAAATTTTTTCTCACATAGTTTTGTAAACGTTTTAAGGTACATGTATAGGAATGAACGTAATTTTGCTGTAAGATCTATAAATTGTCAATTTTTAGTAGCCTGTAAATAATGTTTTGGCCCCATAATTGGTAACTTATTTGGCAAAGATATTTTATTCAGGTCCTCATTGCATAATTGGGAATATAGGGAAACGGGAGGAAGCCGGTCAATCCATTGAGCAGGTTCCACCAGTTTATTAGATCTTGGCAGATTTGTAATCTCAATGCCCTGTCCTTTCACCATACTTCTATATAACCATACCCCTTAACCCCTTCGCCTCACCTCCTCCTTCTCCATCTTCAGATCACACCTGAAGTCCTTCCTCTTCGACCCAGCCTACGGTCACCTTTCCCCTCCCGTGCCTTGGCCTCTGGCTCCCCCATTGTTAAGCACTCTGAGACTCCGCCCGGCTTGGAGGGCGCTATATAAATGCAAGTTATTTTTGTTATACCTCAACCACACAAGTATCTGTTTCTCAAACAACCCTATTGATCCACCTCTGCATCTTTCTGGGATAGAACATTGCACATCTTCACAACCATCTGTGTAAAGAAATGCTCCTAGATTTTTGATCTATCTCAGTTCTGATTTTAAGTTTATGCCCCTTGAGTTTGGTATTCATTACATCCAAAGGGTTATTAATGGCAACCTATGTGGTTTTATTATAGGACTCCAGCAGTTACCCCAATGCACAATCTGGCATCCCCAAGTCTTGGCTCTTGCCAACCTGGGCCTAATACTTTCTGGAATTAGGTAAGCAGCTTCCCTCCAGGGAGAGAGTGCGCATTCCATTCCAACAATCTATCTGGAATTTCTATGTGTAGGGTGGGATGCTTGGAATTCTCAGTTTGGTTTGGATACTTTTTAACCATGATGATGGGTTTCTGTGTGTTATCAGCTCACCAAAAAAAGGGTGATGACCACATATGCTTACAAGTATGCAAATTAACTCTGGGCACCTGAATGCTGAGTTGCCCAGTGATCCTAGTCTCTGAATTAAAAAGATCCACTTGTTGATGATTCACTTCTAAATCCTGCAAGACAAAAGATGTTGGCTATCACCCTCTCTTGACTCCATTCCACAGTCCCATCGCTTCGCCCCTTTGCCTCTTGCAAGACCCTCCTCTTTGACTGTGCCTTCAGTCACCCTCCTCCCCTTGTCCTCCACACCTGATCCCAAACACCAGCTTGGGTGCAGATCCCTGACTGTCCAGAGCCTTGGGATGTCCTCCTGACGTGAAAGACACTAAACAAATGTAATTTGTTGTGGTTGTGGCTTTCTTCTGTTTGTCTGGCATATATTACCTGCTCTTTTCCTCCTTGGACACCGTGAAGGAATAGGTGGAAGAAATCTTTTTCCTTAAAAACGATAAACAGTTATTGCATGTGACCATTGTGCTTGTAGAAACACGAGTGTGGAATGCTTGCATGCTGCACTGTGATCCAGCAAAACATGATCCTGTTTGTATAGTTAAGATAACCTGATTTATCAAGTTAAGCACTTGATGGTGCAATATAATTATAAGATAAATTGGGCGAACTTTTCAGCCATAAGTCAGCAGCGAACATGGGTGTCTCTTAAACTACAAATGTAAACTTGGCTTAAAAAGTATCTGGCTCCAACTCTACAATATTTCAGTTGATTAAAGTTACCGGCTCGAGTGAGACAGGCTTGGGTCCAAATCCAATCCCCTACGTTGTGCTCAGTTAGCTAATCTGACGAGGGATGTGTTGTAGTTTGCCTCTTCAAGGGAGGAGGACCAAAACAGCTTCCGAATAACTCATTTCCCAGTGCTGGGCAATCTCTCCACCTCATCTGACTGTTCTGTGTGAACCCACACAGTGAGCACACTATTTGACAAGGTGGAAAAAATCACAACTGAACCTGATAACACCTGCAATTTCCAGCAGCAGTAGTTTTTCTCACTGATTTTTTTCAATTTCAATTGTGCCCCGGTTGAGATAAGCTAATGAGCATAGACCGAATCTGCAACCTCTGGTCTGCATATCCACCTTTGACATTTCAATGATAGAAACAGCTGACCATCTTGTCAGCTGATTGGTGTACTTATTAAGGGTTCAAGGGGCCTAATGGCCTCCCTCTGGACTGTAAATTTCTATGAGTATGCCCTGAAATATTGGTATTTTCACACAAAGGGTAGTGGAAATCTGGAACCCAGATGGAACTTTCAAGATGGAGACAGATAGATTTTTGTTAGATAAGAGTATTGAGGGATACGGAGCAAAGTGGATAAATGGAATTGAGGTACAGATCAGCCATGATCTAATAGAAGGGCAAAACAGGCTTGAGGGACTGAATGGCCTACTCCTGTTCCTATTGGAGAATAGTATAGAGTGAGTGAATTACTTTTTTTAACAAAGCATATATATTTATTTGTTGATATGTTTACTCTAGTCTCTGACAGTATCAAACCTGTTACAGAAAAGAAGATGCAACATGTTATTATCCTGTTGCACAATACAACAGACCCGGCCCTTTGTGGTGGGGTGTGGGGATCCTCTACACACTCCACTTTAGTGAAGGGACCGAGGCCTTGGGGTTCTGCCGTCCTTTGTAGGGCACAGTTACAATTGGGGCCTCCCTATCCGCCACTCTTAGTAGGAAGTGCGGACAGGTTCACAGCACACAGGATGTGCACACATTTTTTTGGATGCTCCCTTTAAGACCGTCGGAATCGCCCCAGTGTGTACTATGCGTCCCCGCATACTGATAAGGCGCACTTGTCGCTTTTGGACGGTGCCCTGATTTGCATTGTATGTGTACATGTTTACCCAAACACACACCCAGAAACCTCACAAACACAAACCCATTACAGTGGGTGGATGGGTGAATGACATGCTATTTAGAATTGCCCCAAAATATACGGTTGATTCACTTTACTGAATATTCTGTGAAGCGCTTTGAGATGTCCTGTAACTCAGTGGAGTCTTGTAGCTCAGTGGTTAGAGCACAAGATCAAAAAGATCATGGCAAAAAGTAATCCATAGCATGCTACTCTCTCAACAACACTACTCTCACTCATACCATTCAACTGACTTAAATTCTGACATAAAATACAATGATAGAAATTTCCCTCAGTTATGAACTTCTTATTGTTTTTATCCTTGAGAAGATTCCTTCCAGTGAATTATTCACTCGTCAAATATTTGTGCTTTGTGCAATAATTTAGCTTTTTTTCCCAAAGTTTTTGCATGGATTAGTACTGAGTAAAATTTCCTTTACTGTCCAACAATGCCAAACCCAAAAAAGTTTGCCTTCTGGAGGAATATTTGGGAAAAATAGTTTCCCTCTAATTTCTTTTTTTTTCAGATTATTATCACCAAGAATCTTCCTCAGGAACGGGCTGGTAATCTGCTTGGAGGTCCATTTTGTGTTGTAATAAACCTTGTGGTATTTGCATAGTTTTGTTGTTTGTCTCACTGTCTGAGCTAGGACAGGATAGAGTTCTGCTTGCTGATCACTGTTGGGTGACTCCTGCTGGATATAGCAATACTGCACAATATCAGGAATGATACAACAACTTGCATTTATATAGCGTCCTTCACGAAGGATAACGTCTTGGAGCACATTACAATTACTGGTTTGAACACCAAGCTAGTGGGGGGTGATGGTGGGAAGAGGTGGCCATAGATAGGTTTCAAGGAGGGTGTCAATAACAACAACAACTTGCACTTATATAGGGCCCTCCGTGCAGAGTGCTTAACAATGGCAGAGCCTGACTCTGAGCCAGCGGGGGTGGGAGGGAGGTGGCCCTAAGCACGGTTGAAGAAGAAGGTTTACAGGCCGGACTTGAAGAAAGGGAGATAGAGGGCAAGGAGGGATTGAGGGAGTGTTCCAGAGCTTTGGGGTGTGGTGGTTGAAAGCGTGACTTCGAATGGTGGGGCAGAGGGTGCGGGGGATGAGCCGGAGGCCTGTGCCAGTTGAGCGAGCGGTGGATTGGGGAGTGAGGAGGTCGGAGAGGTAGGGAGATGCTAAGGAGTGAATGGATTTGAACAAGAATGTGAGGATCTTGGAAGTCATTCCGTTCAGTGATGGGGAGCCAGTGGAACGGGCCAGAACTGGCTCAAGGATGAAGAATGGCCATTTGGATGAGGTACCAGTTGCTTAGGATACTGCAAAACCAAGCTCCTTTTGGAGAGATTAATCCCCTCTCTTCGGTCGGCCAGGTATCCGATGTGAAAATTGCCACTACACGTGGACATCATGCATACAATATGTGGAAGTCTGTCTGATTTGAATACTGTTATATATGGTGATTGATTTCCATGTATGTCAGGCAACTGGCTGACCAATAAAAGATTAACCCCCCGCCCGCCCGTGTCCCTCACCATCCACGACCTCATCCTGGACAAGCACCTTGACATTCTTGGGCTCACCGAAACCTGGCTCTCCCTCAATGACTCCATCACCCTAGTGGAAGCCTCCCCTCCAGGTTACACCTTCCATCACACCCGTGGTCCAAACCAACGTGGCGGCGGGGTGGCCCTCATCTCCAAAGCCTCCCTTGGTCTTACCCCCTACTCCTCTGACTGCTTCCCATTCTTCGAGCACCTCACCCTCTTCCACCCCTCTCTCCCATTGGAAATCTTCCTTGTCCACCGCCCCACTAAGCCCCCCGGCTCCTTCCATACAGACATCTCTACTCTCTTCCCTGTCCCTCTGCTCCGAGCATCTGCTCATAGTGGGCGATTTCAACCTCCACCTACACTCCCCTTGCACTACGTCTGCGGACTTCACTACCCTCCTCTCCTCCCTAAACCTCACCCATCGAATTCAAGATCCTCACCCTCACCTACAAGGCCATTCACGGCCTTGCTCCCTCCTACCTCTCCGACCTACTATCCCCCTACCTACCTGCCCGTACCCTCCGTTCCTCTGGCTCCGGTCTGCTCCACATCCCCCGCCCCAACCGCCCTACCATCGGCGGCCGGGCCTTCAGCCTCTCAGCCTCTAGGCTCTGGAACTCTATCCCCCAGTGCCTTCGCCGCCTCCTCCCTTTCCTCCTTCAAGGCCGGTCTCAAGACCTTCTCTTTGACCGTGCCTTCAGCTCCCCTCTCGACTCTCTACCCCCTCCTTGCTCCCTCCCTTCCCTCCCCTCACCCTGATCATTTCCCCCCTGCTCGGTTGCTGACCCAACTGTACAGCACCTTGGGACGTCCTCCCGACGTGAAAGGCCCTCAATAAATGGAATCTTGTTGTTGTTCATATAAATTCACCCACCTACAACCGTGGTCATGCCCTTGACCTCGTTACTACTCATGGCCTTGACATTTCCAAATTCAGCATAGTGGACAAGGCCATCTTGGACCACTTCCTCATCTCCTTCTCCTCTCACATCCCTCTCTCCTCCACCAAGCCTTCAACTATCCTCTACCACCTTGGAAAAGGCTATCCCTGAGACCCTCACAAAGGCCCTTGCATCATCAAACATCCTATCCCTCTGGCTTTCCACCCGCGGAGATCACGAAGCAGCCGTCCAGCTGCTCTATGATTGCCTCTCCTCCACCTTCAACTCCCTCGTCCCCCTGAAATCCAGGACCATCTCCAAACCCACCCGCTCCCCCGGTACAATATCCATCTCCACCACCTAAAAACCCAAACCCGGCTGCTTGAGTGCAGATGGCGGAAAACTGACCTGACAGTTCACCACCAACTGTGGCTCATACATCTCCACAGCTACCTCCGTTTCTTGACACGCCCAAAAACAGCCTTCTACTCCCAACATCATCTTGGAGGCTAAACACAACCCTAAAATCTTTTTTTCCTCCACCCACTACCTCCTCTGTGCCCCCCCTCAGGCCTCCTCAATCTTCATATCAAATGCCAAATGAGAGGAGATCATGGAACTTCATTTCATCTAAAATTCACAACATCCACCAGGCAGCCTCATCCACCTGCCTCTTGTCACTCACCACCACGCCCTCTCTGTCCCCCTCACCCTCCCCATCATCTGCTCCTACCACCAATCCCATCCTACATTCCTTCCTCCCCATCTCTCCCTCCCTCTCACCCTCCCATCACCTCCATGAAACCCACCACCTACTGCCTCAACCCCCTCCCCACCAACTTGCTGGTCACCCAGCTCCCCCTCCTCTGCCCACTGTTGGCTGACATCATCAACCAGTCCTCCAGATCAGTCCCTGCCCCCCTCAAAACTGCTGTCATCCCCCTCCTCAAAAAATCTTCCATAGATCCCTCAAACCCCAGACACTACTACCCCAATTCTAACCTGCCCTTCCTTGCAAAACTCCTAGAACGTGTTGTTGCCAATCAACTTCTCGCACACCTCTCTCTCACTCCCTCTTCGAACCCCTCCAGTCCGGTTTCCGCCCTGCCCGCAGTACAGAGACCGCGCTTGTGAAAGTCACAAACAACATCCTCTCTTTCTGTGACCAGAGCTCCCTCTGCTCCTTGTCCTCCTGGAGCTCTCCGCCACGTTCGACACAGTCGATCACGCCATCGTCCTCTACTGCCTTTCCTCCGTCATCCACCTCAGTGGGATCGCACTCGCCTGGTTCGAGTCCTACCTCACAAACCGCCAGCAGTACATCTGCACAAACAGCTTCTCCCGCTTTCACCCGGTTAACTATGGGGTACCCCAAAGATCCATCCTTGGCCCCCTCCTCTTTCTGATCTACATGCTCCCTCTTGGGGATGTCATCCGCAGACACATATGTGGACGATACCCAACTCTATTTTTCCACCTCTCGTTGCGACCCCCAGTCCCCTGATGTTCTGTCAGCCTGTCTGTCAGATCTCAGGGGCTGGATGAGCGCAAATTTCCTTCAGCTAAACGTTGACAAGATGGAAGCTGTACTCTTTGGCTCTCGTCAACATCTAAAATCTCATGGCTCTCACCTCCTCCACCTACCTGACCTCCCCCTAAAACTCTCCGAACCCGTACGCAACCTAGGCGTCATGTTCGACCCCCAATTATCCTTCCTCTCCCACATCCGGTCTCTCACCAGCACCGCCTTCTTCCACCTCCGACGCATCGCCCGTCTCCACCAATAACTCTCTCCGAAAGCTGCTGAAACCCTAGTCCATGACTTTGTCACCTCTCGGCTGGACTACTCTAATGCCCTCCTCACCGGTCTCCCATCCACTACCATCCATAAAATCCAGATCATTCAAAACTCTGCCGCCCGCATTCTCACTGGCACGAAACTCCGCTCCCCGATCACCCCAGTCCTTGCCAGACTGCACTGGCTACCTATCCCAGAGAGGATCGATTTCAGGATCCTCAACCTTGTATTCAAATCCTCTGCAACCCCTACCACTCTGACCTCCTCTCTCCTCAAATCAATATCCATTGCCTTAGTTCCTCCGGGTCTGGCCTCCTCCTCATTCCCAGAGTTCTCCGTTCCACCCTCGGCGGCTATGCCTTCAGTCACTATGCCCCAAGGCTCTGGAATTCCCTTCCTCACTCCCTTCGCCTCGTCCCCTCTCTTCCTATTTTCAGGTCCTGCTGAAGACCTTTCTTTTCGACCGCGCATTTGGTCACCTTCCTCCCCCTCCCCCTAGTTCGGCCCCGGGATCCGTTACTGTGAAGCACTCTGAGACACCATCCGGCGTGGAGGATGCTATATAAATCTATGTTGTTGTATATAGTTCAGATTCAATTTGTTTGCAGAGTGATGAAGGGGATGAGGTGGCAGCAAAATCCATGAGGAAATTAGATGACTATTTGATAAATAATTCAATTGAGGGGTATGAGAGATGTTAATAGTTTAACATTATTTATTTTTCCCCTTCAGAACAGGCTGCAAGTCTTTTCCAGCCCTTGCGTTTTTGTAAGATTTTTTTTTTGTTTTGCCCACAAAATATGCAGTCAATTCACTTTACAGTATATTCTGTGAAGCGCTTTGAGACGTCTCGAAGACGTGAAAAGCGCCATATCAAATGCAAGGATTATATATTAGGGTTACATTTGTAAACCTATTGCGACTTTAGATTAGTGGTGACCACACGGCTGCGATTTCCAGGGAAAGTCCCCGCGTGAGGTATTGTGTCGCTGGGGCCACATTTGCCCCGTCTTGAGATCCGCCAGAGACTGAGCGAGAAGAGTAACATTCTGGAACAGATACAATGGTCCGAGAAAATACAACCATTAATCCAACAAGCTTCTCCAGTACTATTTATTTGTATATATATATACATATATTTATTTATGTGTCTGTGTGTGTCCCTGGATTTGGTTTACAAAATATGGTCATCTTCTTTGGACACAGGGACATCATCATGTGAATTGAAGCTGCACAGTGGTACCCAGGCCACGTGACTGGCTCAGCCTGTGCCGCGGCACCAGGAGTCCGGGCGGCCAGACAGGAAGCGGCCGAGCCGGAACTCTGGGCGAGGGGCGGAGCGCGGGGGGGGAAGCGTTTGTGTGAGGCACCGAGAGGCTCAGGCTCCCAACTCGTGAGTCAATCACTGAGACTTTGTGTTCCATAATCTATACATTACACACACACAGAGGGTATGGTGTGTGCAGAGAGAGGTTACACACAGACATGTGTATATATATATTATACAGAGAGAATATAGTGCACATATATGTATATATAAAGAGGTGCAGTGTGTCAGGGAGACAGTGATACAGTATTTACACCGTATATAGAGACAAAGAGAGATTATCGTGTCATATATATATATAGACTGAGCACAAAATATACAGTCAATTCACTTTACACTATATTCTGTGAAGCGCTTTGAGATGTCTCGAAGACGTGATAAGGCGCTATATCAAATGCAAGGATTATTATATATGGAGGGAGAGGAGGTCTGAACTTGCTTATATATACACACAATACAGTATGTTATATGTATGTGTGCACAAATATATATATTTAATATATATGCATAATATATATAGAAAGTGAGAGTGTGTGTGTTTGTAAGAGAGGGAGGGATAGAGTGTGAGAACAAAAAGGTTCAGTGAAGGCACAGGATGGGGATGTTCATGAAAGCTGGGGCACAGGAGATGTGAGAATTGTTTCATTCAATGAAAATGCCAGTGTTTAGATAATAGTTTTGTATTGTTTATTTTAGAGATTTACAAAAAAAACGGAACTATGTATGACGAACCAGAAAGAACAAAACGGTGGGAAGGAGGTTATGAGAGGACTTGGTAAGTTTTTAGTTTCACCTTTGGATGAGAATTCTTTAAATATTGCTTATCTCTAATTTATTTAAATTTTTGTTTGAATTTATCAGGCAAAAAAACAGAACTATAATAAACATGGCCCTTCTTTACTGAATTACATAAAACCGAAGAGAATGACACTGGACATCACATAACCTTCAGTCACCAGACATTATCAAACAGCTAGAGTCTGGGAGTTTGGTGTGTGTTATACAACCTTTTTTATACTCTTTCAGAGTAAAGGATAGCTATTATTTTGCAGAATGGTAATAAACTGATATTATGAATTCCTGCATTTTGAAACTTAGTTCGGCTGTATAGATGCAACTACAAATATAGCATTTATCTAGTGCCATTTACGTCAGGTGGATGACCCAAGGTGCTGGACATCCTCCCGACGTGATAGATAATACAAATTTATGTGTTAGGAACTACTTAATGACACTTGTTCTATATATACAATGAAAGTTTTGAACCTGGATTTTCTCTTGAATGACCTCCATACTTTCTCTCCACCTCCTACATGGAGAAGGAAAGTCAATGGAACCATTTTTTTGTTCAAAGTACTTTCTTTTTCTACAAAAGAAGAAAATATCAGCATAAAATGTTATTCTGCCAGTAACAAGAAATTTGTGAGACTGATCCACATGTGTCTACACTTGGAAAAGCATGTAACATTGAGTATGCAGCGATGCCCAGTTGGTGCCATGCTTTCCAGAATTGGATAGCTTAAGATTGACTCCCAGACCAAAGTATTAAACCTCTGTTGAATTAAAGAGAGACACTTATGAACTCATAACTCATTACCAGAGTATTCTGGCACTCGAGGATGTGGACCATGGGAATGCTTCGAAAGCTTTTGATGAACATTGCTCTCTCTGTTTCCAGGGAAGTCCTTAAAGAAGATGAGTCGGGTTCACTTAAAGCTAGTGTTGATGATCTCCTCTTCAAAGAAAAAAGGAAAAGGTACAGCAGCATCCCAATTATTGAATTTTGTATTTAATTATCGTGACAAAACATTGCTCATGTAGGTCCTCTCTTCTGGGAGTGAGGCTAGGCCGGCTAGCTGCCTACCAGATAGGTTTGTGGCAAAGGCTCATACTAATTAACATAACCCATGTTGGACTAAGGTTAAACATGGAAGATGCTCGAAACCTAACTATGGGGACTCCTGCATTTTTATTGTTTGTGTTTGGCTAGTTTGGTAATCCTTGCATTTGCTATAACGCCTTATCATGTTTTTGAAGTGTCTCAAAGCGCTTCACAGAATATAATATAAAGTGAATTGACTGTTTTGTGGACAAAAAGCAAAAGGTTTAGGTGCAGTTTGCAACCCCAGTACTGCTGGATTTTAACTAGCTAAAACTGCTCCGATTACCATTTTTAACACTTGCACATCCCACAGCCCTAAGTGACTGCTCTGATCCTCCAAGTCATGCTAACAAACTAAGCTAGTTGATTAATCATCAACAGTACCTTCCTGAAAGGTGTTTGTGGACAGCAGATGACAACAGGATTGGGCATGATGCCCTTACAATCAAATATCAAATGCGATTATAAATGTTGTCCCAACACTCATTATCTGGATTTGTACATGGAGAATGACTGAGTAGGTAGGGGAGAGTGAATGGTGTTTATGGATCTCTTCCCCCCACCCCCCTCCAAATTGAATGGGATGAAAAAAATGTGAGAATTTAAAAAAAACTGTAAATTATATAATTGCTTCCTTCCTTTATAGAGTTTGTGAGCACTATGGACAAGTTAGACTTGGAATGGTAAGTGTTTTAGATGACCATTGTCTTCTTGTTGATGGACATACCACACAGATTAAGTCGGTTCTCAGTGTTTCTGACACTGACCCTCTTCCCATTTAAACATAGAACTTTAGAAATTTAGAGAACAGAAGAAGGCCATTTGGCCTATCATGTGTGTAGTGGCTCTTTGAAAGCAATTGATTCTGTTCCATTACCTGCCTTTTGCTCATACTGCAAATTATTTCTTTTTAGATATCTGTATATAGTTCCCTCTTGAAAACTAATTCTGGATCCTGCACCATCAGAGAATTTCACATCCTAAATATCTGTGTAAAAGAAATCCTCCTGATCTCCCTCTTTGTTCCTTTGCTAACTATCTTAAATTGTTTCCCTCTAGTCACTGACTCCCCAATCAGTGGAAATAAATACTTCCTATTGACTCTTATCAAAATCCCACATAATTTTAAAGGCCACTATTGGGTCTCCCCTTAATGTTCTTTGTTCCAATAACAATAGGCCCAGTTCTTTGAGTCTCTTCAATAGGTCAAGTCACTCATCTCTGTTATCATCCAAGTAAATCTTTTCTGCACCCTCTCCACAGTCCCTAAAGTGGAATGACCAAATAGTATAACTGCACAATAATATAACTGCAGTCTCTAATGAGTTATAATGGTTGAACATGATATGCACACAGTTTGGAACACAATACAACTCTTAAGATGTGGTCAAAGGAGGTGAACCACTTTTTAACAATTTATTCCTTGTATTGCAGATGCGACACTTGTATGTGGTAGTAGACATGTCGAGATCAATGGAAGATCAGGATTTGAAACCTAATCGACTTGCCTGTACACTAAAGGTAAAAAGCAGGGGCTTCCTTTAACTTCCCGTATTAAAATTTGTTTCACTCCATCCAAATGTAACACTATCAATGGTTATGTGAGGAAGCATGAAGCTGTGTTTATTTTGGATGTCTCTGTAAAGTTCTTGTAATGTTTCTAAGTAAAATTATTCTTGACAAACCTGGCTTTCTCTTGTGAGATGCCCTTAGTTTTTAAACACAATCTGTTTTATGCTACTCTTTAACAGGCAATAGCTTCTTAAATTGATTTTTTCTTGCTTTTCTTTTCAGTTGCTGGAATATTTTGTAGAAGAATACTTTGACCAAAATCCCATTAGTCAGGTATGAACATAAGTGTCTGGATCAACTTTCAGCTACCTCTGGATAGCTTATCATCGATTAGCCAAATTGTATGTAGCTGTAACAGTTACCTTGGGACATTCATGATTGTGTGACATTGGTCTGTTTAGCTTGGCTGCCATATTCGTCTACAAATTACTCAGTCACTACATTTTACAGTATATTCTGTGAAGCGCTTTTAGACGTGTGTTCGTAGGTGACTCGAGAGAGAGGGTAAATATGTATCTTAAAGCAATAAATCCTATTTTTAATGTAATTTTAACATGATTGAAAGTAACGATTGGATTATAGAAGCACCTTTTGTTATGCAACATTCACTTTCTCTTGCCTTTTCATTCTGTTGCATTTGATCCCAATTCTGCATAAAGAGTGTCCTTACCAGTAAATTGTGATGTGTAAAACACACTCTAGCTGTGATACTCTTTCTTTATTGAGGACAACAAGGAAAGGTGGTCAAGACCGCTGTAAGGCTGTTCACCTTGGGATTTTACTGCATTCTCTCCATGCAACCACAACAAATTACACTTACATAGCTCCCTTCACGTCGGAAAGATGTCCCAAGGCGCTGGATAATCGGGTTTTGGACCCGAATTGGGGTCAGGAAAGGTGGAGGGCAGGGTAGGTGGGGGTGGAATGGTGGCCAAAGGCACGTTCGAAGAGGAAGTTCTTCAGATAGGACTTGAAGGAGGTGAGGGGGTGATGGCGAGGGTTTGCAGGATACAGTTCCAGAGCGGCTGAATGCCCGACCACCAATGGTGGGGCAAGAAGTGCGAGAGACCTGGAGCAGGTCTGCAGTTACAGTCGGTGATGACATGATCTGTGTTTTGTTTCATTTTTAGATCGGTATCATTAGTACAAAAACTAAACGGGCAGAGAAGATGACCGAGCTTGCAGGTGATATTAGTCTTCACAGTGACTCTATTACAGTATGTATTTTGACAGTTGTATAGGTGCTAGCGGCCCTCTTCATTATTTTCTTTCTATATGGTACTTGGAGTGTGAGGTGTCTGCCACAAATGTTACTGAGCCCCAAATTAATTTTTAAAAGGGAATTAAACGGATGATGAAAAAAGAGGAATATTAAAATGTACAGTATTAAAACAGGACTGTGGAATCCTGTAGCTCAGTGGTTAGAGCACTTGCCTCGCAAGCGAGAGACCTGTGTTTGATTCCCGGCAGGGCAAAACCTTGGGCAAGTTTCCTTACTCCACACGCCTAACAATAATCCCTCAAGAAAAAAAAAAAAATTGGTCACTTCAATCCACAACTGTTTGTGGGACACTGCTGTACGCAATTGGCTGCCGCGTTTTGCCCACAAACTATACAGAGAATTCACTTTACAGTATATTCTGTGAAACGCTTTGAGACGTCTTGAATACGTGATAAGGCGCTATATAAAATGCAAGGATTATTATTACATTTTATACAGGGATGGCTAAATACATTGTTTCTAAGACATTTTGCTGTTATTTCTGGTTTAGGCAACCCAAAGAAACATATTGAAGCACTGAAGAAAGTGGTTGGTGTTGCATGCAGTGGGGAGCCGTCACTTTATAATTCACTCAGCTTGGCAATGGAAACTCTAAAGTAAGTATTTTATGAATTTTGTTATTTTTTTTCATACTGTATAAGTTCCCCTCTTTTCACCCTCGCAATCTTTATATTGTTTCTTGTCTCCACATACTTTTCCTACTAGTGACTATTCTCCGGGAGGGAGCGGGGGGAAAGGAGTTAACTGGGGTCTTCTTGGAGCTGACTCCAAGACGACATGTTTGGCAACGGAATATCAGAATCGTGCCAGCCCCCTCGATAGTCCAGTTACTGAGCCAGGTGGTCCGCAGTACTCCAGGGCACTGCTGATGACAATACAGCCAGCCTAGCTCATCAGCAGTACTTGGAAGGATGGCTCAGCTCCTTTTAACCCCAGTGGATTTGAACTGACTGTATTTTCACTTGAAGAATCTGCAATGTAGCAGTTGCTATTGCATTATGTTAATGAATATGACGATCTCTTTTCTTTCCATTCTTTCCCCAATTTTCAAAGGCACATGCCAGGACACACCAGTCGTGAAGTCATTGTTATTTTTAGCAGCCTTACAACTTGTGATCCATCCAACATTTATGACCTGATTAAGGTGATTGTTTTGCCAATGTAGTTTCAGTTTTTTTTAATACTGTACAAGTTCCCTTCTCTCCACCCTCCCAATCTTTGTATCGCTCTTGCCCCATGCCCCGTGCCCTGCCTTAGTTCACTTGTAGTGAACCTGTAGTGAGCCTTAGTAATCCATACTCAACGGTGTGGTTCCTAAATTTGAATCCAGGCTGTAGAGGAAAATGCTGATGATACATATTTTAATGATTTGTCAATTTTATAAAATTATATCAATAGAATTGGAGACTTCTATTACAGCTGAAGGAAATAAAATGTTAGTAACTTCTTTTTCACCTCTTAAATTTCCCCCATTTTCTGACGCCATGTTGGGTTGCAGCTGCACTATTGCCCCATTATTATTATTGTACCATTCCTAAATGGCTATTCTTCACTAGACAGTGAGCATTAGCAGGCTAAACAAATGTGACTTCCTCATGCTTTTGTGTGACCGTGGTCTTATCTGGCATTCAAACACAATTCCATCTGTGTGAATTGTGGCTGTTTTTTTTCTCACTCAAGCCTATGGTAAATGTTAATGTTACCACCATCAACCCAAATGAGCTGGGGTAGCTTGGTCACAACAGTAATTGGAGGGGGAGGCCCTCTCTTTAGTGTCCTTTACAGTATTCACCCTTGAGTCTGGTGGTAGGTAATCTGAATTGATGCATTCACTTTGCAATCAAACCTGCATGGCTCAGTAGCATCCATGTGGTACATTTACTTACTCAGTTGTTGAGAAAGCTAATTTATTTTTACCTACTCGTGACTCATGTTTTGTTGTGATACAAATGCTGGTTCTTTTTATCATTCTAATTTGTTTTTATTTTAATTATGTATGAAGTGCTTGAAGGCTGTTAAAATTCGAGTGTCAGTGATTGGTCTGTCGGCAGAAGTTCGTGTCTGTACCATGCTCACCCGTGAAACTGGCGGTAGGTAACTTGAACTGATGGACTCACCTTGCAAAAAACCTAAGATTGTTTGTGTTTTTGAGGATGAAATCTTCAATATTGTTGATCTTAACGCAAGCTCTTATCACAATATTCATGTATCCAAAGTGTTCAGGTAAAGGACTTCTTGCTATAATTCTAGTTGTCCATAAATATTATTTTGATCTGCACATTATCAGTTAATACTCTGCCAGCCATATCCTCACTGGTACCAAACTCTGCACCCAGTCCTTGCCAGGCTCCATTGTTTCCCTGTCGCAGAAAGGATCAATTGCTTCAGACTCTCCTACAATACAATTCATGCTTTTGAACCTCCCTACCTCTCCAACCTGCTCACATCCCACTCCTCGTCCCTTCGCATAGCCGGCTTGGGAATAAAGAAATGGAAGATAGATGAGAACTTTGTGTGGTTGTTGGAGCTTACTTATAGTAGCATTGTTAGTTGGTTCATGGCCCAAGGAGACAAGGGTTAAATTAAAAACAAATACTGTATAATCTAATTTAGAAAGTGTAATCTAGTTTAAGAAATATTAACATCTTTGTTTTGTTCCCCTCTGGTCCATTCCCAGGTACTTACCATGTTATTTTAGATGAGAACCATTTCAAAGAGTTGCTTATGTATCATGTGAGCCCTCCACCTGCCAGCTCTACCTCAGAGTGTTCCCTTATTCGTATGGGTAAGTACATGCTCACTTATTGAGTCTTTATACCTTGGAAACTCTGAAGGTCTTTTGTGCCTTTTGGGAAAAAAGTGCTTTAAAACTATTTTAATCAAAATCTAATGCTACTTTTTTTTAATTGATCAATTTATATCAGATCATAAGAGTTTTGGAATGTAGTATTTTTCCAAATGACCATGTGGCATTATTAAATTACTTTTAATTTAATAAATAGTTTTGCAAGGTGGCCAGATATGGTACAGTATTACACCATTGCTAGTGGAACAATTCTATATTGCAGTTCCCAATCTTAGCTGTGCGTTCTGTGAGAGGAGGAACTGAGGGGAGGTTGATGGCGAGTGCCCTTTGCACACCACTTAGTAACTGATTTAAAAGCTGACATTGCCAGAGGTATGGGAACATGCTGTAGTTTGCTGTACTGTGAAATATTGTTTATGCATGATATATGAATGCTCATTAATGTCTTATTGTAAGGTTTCCCCCAGCATACAATGGCATCATTTTCAGATCAAGATGCAAAACCATCTTTTAGTATGGCGTAAGTATGATGGGCCAAATGAGACTCAACAATACAATATATGGTTTAAAATGATATGGGTGACCATAATGTACCAAAGCTATTCTGTTTGTATAAATTGAATATTTTTTCTTATGAAAATATAGATGGCACAAATTTAACTGTGAATTCTTACTTTCTTCATATAAATACAATTAATTGACTAGTTCCATTTTTACATCGTAGTCACTCTGTTGTTCATTTTTTAGCCTTTTTTTGTTCCCAATTCTTTCCTTATCTGACATCTGCTTTCATAAAAGGTTCTGGCTTTTGCTGGAGTGTAGTTCCTGTGGGCATATCTCACCCAAGTGGCCAACTTCTCGTGTGAGCCAAGAATGTGAGAGCAGCAACAACAACTTGCATTTATATTGCGCCCTTCATGCGGGGTAGTGTCCTGGAGTGCAAGCTCATACTATCTTGAGGATCAAAACAGCCAATCCTGATCTTACCTTGCTTAACGGCCATATACATGGTCTTTCGAGAAGGGGTCATTAAATAGAAGTGTAAACCCTGTCTAATTTTGTTCCCATACTTTCCACTTTTGGCACTAATGCCATTTGTTGCACTCAACCTGCCCAGGCTGAGATCAGGAATGAACTTTGGTCTTCTTTACTCACTCTGCTATTGGGGAGATGTGTTACTACTACTAATAATAATCCTTGCATTTGGTATAGCAGCTTTCTCATTGTAATGTATTAATTCACATCATTTACTGTATTAATTCACAAACTGGTCCCTATAAACTAACTTGCTGCAGATTTCTAGAACTAAATCATATGATTATTTCAATGTAATGTTTTTGAACAGAACATTCCTACATTAATAACTTGTGTTTATGTGTTCAGACATTTAGATAGCAGTAGTGGGCCAGTGTTAACACTTGGTGGATATTATTGCCCCCAGTGCAGAGCTAAATATACTGAACTACCTGTAGAATGTAAAGTATGTGGTAAGTATGTACAGCACAAACTCCTACACTAAACTGGCATAATTTGCACGTTACAGCAATAAAATCCAGTAACATTAAATTATAGCAATAAAAATTGCTGACATTGTTCTATCACCATACTGGACATGGGTTCTGTATGCATACTGCTTCACTTAAATTTAAGGCTTAATCAACTTGTTAGAGTACTTGTTGAGTGTGGATATTGATTCATTTAAAGTGCCTCAATATTGGCGGATTTTGGGGGGGAGGTGGGGTGCAGAGTTTACCTCATTCCATTCGTCCCATTTTTCAGAACAGAATTTTGTGAAATACTGTGAGATGCTAATTTTTTGGGCTATGTGGAATATAGCCCCATAATGTTTAGCAATATTAATAGTTTTCAAACCATACTGGAATGCTTCCAGAAGCTTATGCTGTCATAGTCTACTGTGTGCTGGGACTGCCTGCTGACTGCATCCTATTAATAACTATTCAATATTGCTTTCTGTTTGCATTAGGTCTTACATTAGTGTCTGCGCCCCACTTGGCAAGATCTTATCACCACCTGTTCCCATTGGATGTGTTCAGAGAAACTCCACTGGAGAGGATTCAGGGAGAAAGGTATTCAGTAGTTATTAGACCCAGGTGCTGGGACTTAGAACAGGAGGGAATTTTTTTTTCAAATGGAGCCTGTAATCAACGGAACTGTGTGTGTGTGTGTGTGTGTGTGTGGAGGGTGGGGTGGAAGAATTGATCTTTCAATCTATGTTGTGAAATTGTGTGAATTATTTGACTTTGTATGTAAACTATGCAAGAATAATTGATTTTTAAACATTGAAACATTAAGATGTCTCTTGCACAAATGCTATATTTTTCTTTCTATTTAGATACTGTCAAGGCTGCCAAGGGGAGATGAAAGATCAGAATGTAAGTGTTGTTATATGTGTGTATATATATAGAAAACTTTTAGAAAAATGAATTTTGTGCTTAGAAGAATGTTAACAATCAAAGCCTGTATATTCGAGTTACAAAACCTGGGCCAATGCTGCTTGGTAAGGTTAATGTCGTTGTAGAGCAAATTTGAGCTGAATATCATGTAGTTAGGAATCATTAATCTGTATCTTGTTATTTTAGTATTAATGTTAACTTTCAGTACAATGCACCATTCAATGACCTGCTAAGCATTATGTTAATTCAGGGATTCACATTGTTTTGTCACCCAATGGTTTCATCAAGTGGTCTCATCCAATGGTCAACTGCAAACTAGAGAGATGTAACATTTAGGATTTAGGAACATGATTGTGTATTTAGGAACGTATAACATATTTTGAATGTTGGGCTTTAATTTAAAACCCATCAACTCTCAGAATTTTATATTTATTCCTAATTTTTAAAGCCCTCCACAGTCTTCCCCCACCCTACCTTTCTGACCTTCTAAAACCTACCAACCCGTCATTTCCCTCCGCTCTGCAGGCACTGGCTAGCTTCATGTCCCCTGCCCTGTTTGTCCCACTATCTGTGATTGTGCTTTCAGCCTTTTTGTCTCCACGTTATGGAGCTCCATCCAGATTCCTTTCCCCTTCCCCTTCAGGTCCACCTTAAGACCTTCCTCTTTGACTGTGCCTTTGGTCATCTCTTCACCTCCTCCTCCCTTGGTCCCCACCCGTCTTGTATCCATCCCCCAGCTTGAGTGTAAACCCTTGATTGTCCAGCGCCTTGGGACGTCCCTCTGACGCGAAAGGCACTATATAAATCCAGTTTGTTGTTGATGTTGTTTGTTCCGTGAACTTCCAGCGATACTTCAAATGAACCATGTACAACTGAGGAACAAAATTGCACAATGTGTACCAACATGCTGTGCTGTAGGTGATATGATTCCGGTTCTCTTAATTCTTCACTCACCGAGTTCCTTATCTTGGTTATGCTTTTGTTGAGAGATATGGTAAGCAAAAGCCCAAGTATGTCCTCTAGGAAGTTGGAGGGTTAGTCACCTATTAAATCTTGGGGATGTCTTAAATGGCATTTTGGAGCAAATCACCTGCCCTCTCACCACAATCAACAAGGAAATGGTAAATTGTGTATGTGGGGGCGGGGGGAATTTGGTATTCTTTTGTTTAATACAATATGTTTCCCTGGATTTAATTTTTTTTTTTTTCTTCCAGGTTTACATCTGCACTGTATGCCAGAATGCCTTTTGTCTGGAGTGTGACATTTTTATTCATAACACATTGCATTGCTGTCCCGGGTGCATCCACAACCAATCTGATCCTCAGTGATGGTCAAATAATGCATTTGGTTAATGGAGAGCTAGATTTGAATAACTAATTTGCAGAACTATCTTCTGTGTCTATAGCTGGGAACCTTGTTTACAAAAACGTATATTGTTCATACTATGCCTGAACTGTTCAATCCGGTTTTGTAAAAATCAGGTCTTTTCATGTCTGTGAAATGAAACGAATAGTTCATTTTAAAATCAATTTAGCAAAAAAAAACCAGCAACTGAATAGGTCTTAGCCATATGCATGTTGACCTCAAATACCTTTTCTTACGGTTTTTGTTTTCAGTTTCTATTACCTTTACCTGACATTTCCAGTTGTTTTTTCCCCCCTTCATTTTCTCCGCTTTTCTGAAGTTATTGCTTCTTGCTGTGATAGAATGATGCTCACCCTCTTGATACCTCAACAAATGGCTATTCTTTATGTGTGAACTTGAACTTTTGAGTGTTGACAAGCTATTTAATTGTGCTGGCTATCACAGTGGAACCCTTGCTGCCCTTACTTGACATTCATATGTACGCATTTCCAGCAGGAGTCAGTAGATAGCAATCATGATTGGAAAGCTGAGCTGATTATTTCCCCCCTTTCCTACCCCCATAACCTGTGGCCGATTGTAGCACCTTTACTATTTTTCAGCTAAGATTGGCTAAAACTCATCCCAGTCTGGGATCAAACCTGTAACTTTCTGGATTTGAAAAATTCTGTTGACATTAATAATAATCCTTTGATATAGCCCCTTATCACGTTGTTCTGACATCTCAAAGTGCTTCACAGAATACAGTATATTATTAATGTTAAGCAGTGGGTTTAGTAAGAGCCTTTGTCGGAAAAATTTGACTCAGTGTGGTACCCATTTTATGGTTAAATATCCTCCAATGCCTCTATCTAATCTGATGTATGAATAAGGTATTGCAGGGATGAGTGGGGCTTGCTGGATTGTAATCCAGCATGAATCACTGCCTTCCGGGGCAACTAAATTGATAGAATTGGCAAATTGCTGAATTCACAATCATTTATTTAATTGAGTCTGAGGAGCCTGTATGTGTGTGCCACTTTCAGTTGTATGTGGAGGTAATGTCTGTTGTGGCCTTTACCAAAGCGAGTCATATCAGTGATGTAACATTATACTAAATTATAATGTTATTTTATTCATTGAAATGAAAAAGCCTGACATTTTTTTCCCCCCTTCCTCTCTTTAAATGCAGTCCCATGTAAGGGAATTGCTTCATGGGTACTCTGCTCTTTGGTACATTACCCAACTGACCATTCTTTGACACATACCATGAGATAGATTTGTGCCAATCCACACATGCACTTTCCAGCGGTCCAGTGGTCACTAGTAGCTATTCAAAGCAGAAACCATGGCTATTTCCCCCCACTCTAGCTCAGCAATGTTGATGCCGATCGTAATGCCCTTCCATGCCCCAGATTAGATCAGTTTAGTCAGTATAGACTGAGGATTGAACCTGGGAGCACCCTGCTCTGTGGTGCAGTTTTACACTGCAACTGAGCTCCTGAGTTTTTTTTTAAAAAAGACATTTAAAATATGGAATAGTCAGTACGGTTCATCTGTAAAGTGTTTTGGTGATTTTTTGTGTAACATTCAATTTTCCCCAGGTTTTCACTCTAGGAATTCAACAATAATTTTCTTTTGCTGGATTTTGGATTTCTCGCAAAAAAAATCTGTGAAATTGATAAACTGAAAACAAATAACTTTACCTCTTGTCAATAGAAAAAAGTACTGTATAAATGCACTGCTTTTGTCTCAGAAAAGTGGAGTTCAATTTTGACCAACATACAAGTGGCTCCCTTTTTAACCCTTATTTGAAATATAACATTCTTTATGCTTTAAATATGGTTTGGCACTTATTAAAGAACTTTTGCCTACCAGCAGTTAGGACTATATTATCTTAGAATAGTCAATTTGTTCTTTCAATACTTTTCGACATTCCAACGATTATAAAGAACGTCAATTTACAAATCATTTTGTTACATTTGGTTGGTGCAAGCAGATGGTTTACTTTGTTGCATTGGCGTTTTGAAAATGTTACTGACGATAGTTACTGTGTGGCTGTATATACTAGATTTCATTATGTATTATTCATTTACATCAGGGAAATACAGTAAAACTCGCAGTCTGATCCTTATAAATTGTATAATTGCCTAAATTGTACATTCCCCAAGTCCCGTTCACGAGTTTATATTCTATGCAAGTTTGACATAACTCATACTTTGCTTAAGTCATATTACATGTATGGTCCCAACTGATATGACTTAGGTGAGGTTTACTGTACAGTTAAGAATGAATGGCCAATGTGATATTAAAACTGATGAGGAGAAAATGTAATTTACTGCTTATTACTAGATATTCAAGTTTGTTTTGGTGGAAAATATGAACATGCCAAAATATTAACTTGAATGTTAACTATTACATTCACAAACAAGTGCATTATTCCTAATATCGTGAAATATCTAGTGTACATTATGCAAATCCAGCATATCTGAAAATACAAACTATTATGGAACAAGTTGAGCTGTAAAATTTATTAAACTGATATTTTGACAATGTTGTAATAATTGTCTAGAATTGAGATTAAATGGAGGAATGCATAGATTTTTAGTGTTTTTTGAGCATCATAGAAATTTTCACTTAAACTGAAACTCAGCAATATTGATATGACTGAATAATATCAGCATTGAATAATTAGAAGTTTGATTGCGCTGACTCTGAAATGCACCTCTATAGAACAGCTCCTCACGTTATATGGAAGTATTAAAATAAACTGTTCACACAGAGATTGAGAAAAAAAATGCAAATCTAATGTGAATTGACAAATATCACATGCTTTTTTTAAAAAAAAGTGCTAAATATTAAAAAGAAAGGAATACTACTTTTCCTAATGCTAGTAATACAATTTAGGTTTCTTTAACAAGATCAGTTTAATGTATAACTTGCTTGTAGTTATATTACGGTAGATAACTGTTTATTGTATTTAGTGACCTCTAAATTGTGACCAAATGATGTTTTTTTAAAAAACATCACATTTTATAAGAAACTAATTTGTTCAGGTGGTGTGTGTTTTTATTATGTGACTATTAATTGAAAAAAAATGGGTGTTCATTTTGATTACCTTTTTAAAAAATAAATGACTATTTATAATTAGGTTGGTTGTGTTATTATTTTCTTACAAGGTTCAAAATCGGTCCAAAACGTTTAAATTATCTTCTGACTGAAAAAGTGGATGTTGCAGTCATGAATAATTGATTTTAAAAAGTTGCCTTGGTCAATAATAATCCTTGCATTTGTCTTGTCATGTCTTTGAGACGTTTCAAAGCGCTTCACAGAATATACTGTAAAGTGAATTCACTGTACACTGTAAAGTATATACTGTAAAGCGAGAGACCTGGGTTCAATTCCTGGCAGGGTGAAACCTTAGGCAAGTTTCTTTACTCCACACGCCTGATAATAATCCCTCAAGAAAAAAAAAGAAAATTAGTCACTTCAATCCACGACTGTTTATGGGACACTGCTGTGCGCAATTGGCTGCCGCATTTCACCCACAAATACACAGTCAATTCACTTTACGGTCTATTCTGTGAAGCGCTTTGAGACATCTAGAAGACGTGAAAAGTGCTATCAAATGCAAGGATTATTTTTATTATATTTTGTGGTCAAGCCTCCTATTTTATAAGCAACTGTGGTCACTTGTCATTTTCACAAGGCAAATGATTACTAAACCTTTACTTTTTCCGTCTGAGTTTCACATGACTTACTGTGAAGTTTAGTGGACTCAGTGGTTTGTAGGTGAACACTTAACGCCATAGCCAATAAACATCTGCTCTTTTATTCAGGTGCTATTAAAACGATAAACTCTTGTGATGTTTGTAAAATCTCACAACTATTGTATGACAGTTTGCCTCTACAATAAAATTTGCTGCTCAGGCTAAAAAAAAACACATCAACGTACAATTCAAATTTCAGTGTGAATGTGTCCCTGGACACAGGTCATTCCGCCTGAAATAAGACTCCAGAGCTTTTTTTTTGTGTAGTTTTGCTTTCCGTTGAGAAATATTTCTCACCTTCCCGAGGACACACCTGCTCGAGCCCTTCTCTCGTTGGTTTTGCAAACGTGTAAATTGTGGGGTCAAGACAACAAACGCCAACAACAACAACAACAACAAAAAAAGGTGCTTTTCTGCAGACTTTCTCTCCGGCTGGGAAAAGGTCAATCAAAACACGGATGTGTTGGCAGTAAGTTGCTGTGAATGTAAGTTGCTGTTTTCCTTACTCCACACAGAGCCTAATAATAATCCCTCCAAAAAACAAAAACAATAATAAATTGGTCATTTTCAATCTACAACTGTTTGTGGGACATTGCTGTGCGCAATTGGCTGCCGCGTTCGCCCACAAATATACAGTCAATTCACTTTACAGTGTGTTCTGTGAAGCGCTTTGGGACGTCCTCCCGACGTGAAAAGCGCTATATCAAATGCAAGGATTATTATTATTATTATAGGATTAATGGTTTGTCGGTTGACATGGCGACGCCCTGACCGACCGACCGACCGACACCCCCCTCGCCCAGGCACCGGGCGTCGCTTTGCGATGACGCAATCGCGCCCCTCCCCCCCCCCCGGGTTAAAGCGCGGCCGTCGGAGCGCGTACGCTAAAGTGGTCGCGGTGTGATGACAACCACAGAGTGCCTGGCTGGTGCTGCCTGCGAGGCGCTGCTCGACGCCAACATGGGGGAGGAGAAGGAGGTGGTTTTCAGGCGCGGCTGCGGACAGGTGGGTCCCGGTGGCTTCCCTCCCACCTCAGGCCCGGGGAGAGGCGGCTTCAGGCCTTCCTGTGACTGATCACAGCGGGGGTTAGCGCGGCTTAGAGTGAGTTTGAGAGAAGAAGGTCCCGAGCGGCCGGGGGGAGGGAGTGGGGGTCCTGGGGGGAGAGAGTGGGGTGGGGGGGAGAGAGGGGCCTGGGGGGTCCTAAGGGAGAGAGGGGCCTTGGGGGGAAAAGGGTATTGGTCCCAGGGTGAGAGAGGGGGGGGCCTGGGGGGAGAGAGGGTGGGTCCTGGGGGGGAGAGAGAGAGGGGGGATAGTCCTGGGGGTGGGGAGAGAGGGCGGTCCTGGGGGTGGGGGGTGGGGAGAGAGGGCGGTCTGGGGCGGTGGGGGGAGAGGGAGGGGGTCCTGAGGGAAGGGGGAGGTGGGATCTGGGGCCTTCTCCTCCTCCATGAGCTCTGGGTCACTAACGGCCGATTTTTCTCCCTTATTTGCCCAGAGTGATGACTCGGACATCTGGGACGACACAGCTCTGATCAAAGCGTACGATAAGGCGGTGACCTCGTTTAAGGTAAACAGCGGCTTTACACCGGGAGACAGCGGGTTTATAATGATAATAATCCTTGCATTTGATGCATTATCATGTCTTCTAGACGTCTCAAAGGGCTTCACAGAATAGACTGTAAGTAAAATGACCGTATATTTGTGGGCGAAACACGGCAACCAATTGCGCACAGCAGTGTCCCACAAACAGTCGTGGGTTGATGTGACCAATTTATTATTATCATTATTTTTAATTGGATTTTTACTCGGGGAGACAGGTTTTCATTGAGTGATTTTCTCATTGGGTGTCAAACGTGCCACTATAACGTTTAATTGAGGGATAAAATTAATAGGATGTAAATAGGGAGTTGTTAAGAGAACAGATTGGTTCACGGTGTAGCCTTGACTTGACCTTCCCAAAGGCAGACCTCGCTGGTCTCCCAAGAGCTAGGAGAATCCACAATACTCCAGGGCGCTCCTGATGACCGACCAGCTAGCCTGAGTGGGACAACGGATTCTTTCCACTCGAGTTAATTCTGGTTCCTGTTAATGATCTAAACCAGGGGTGTCAAACATAGGGTGGGGTGATATTTGGCAGCCTGCTCAATAGTCGCAACCACAACACTGAGAAACTACAGTCAGGACAACTTGTCTTCAGCCTATGTGTGTGTCTGAATGATCCAGCATTCCAATTTTGTACAACTCGGTCTCAATTGGACTTGTGCTTTGCAACTAACTGGGTAAGGGCTCCCTCTAGGTTTTCAATGGAAATGGCAGCCTGAAAACACGCACTGAATGTGGAGGCCGGCAGTTTAACAGTGCAGACGAGTGCTGGTCCTGCTCGAGGAAAATGTTATTTTGAATTAAATGAGAAAGAAAAATCTTACCAACACCTCTCCATGCATCCTTATACAGAGGAAATAATCCTTTAGGGATTTGGGGATTAATTTTACCTTCCGTTCAAAGACCGCTTTTTTTCAAAACAGAATGGCTTTGCTTGTGTCTCAATTTTTTGACCATTTATATTATATTTTAATGTTGAACGTTACCCACTGGAGCATTACGGTCTCCTGTAAAACTGTCAAATTTTAATGGATTATGCCACATTTGTATTTTTTTTTAAAAATAGCATTTTCACAGCCTGATGGTATTTTTTCTTTGATGTTAAAAAAGTAATATTTTGGAAACATAAGTTAAAAATTGAAACTTAGTATTTGCTTGTATACTTTTTTTAATGACGAGAAATTATGCAGTACGGGTAATTTTTTTTAATATTGTGTGGCCCACCAAGTGAACAGTGAACAAACCACCAGCAGTATGTCTGCACAAATGGCTTCTCCTCTCGCTCTCACCTGGTCACCTGTGGGGTACCCCAAGGATCCATCTTTAGCCCCCTACTCTTTCTGATCTGCACGCTCCCTCTTGGGGATGTCATCTGCAGACATGGCGTACATTTCCACATGTATGCAGATGACACCCAACTCTATTTTTCCACCTCTCTTTGCGAAGCGATACTCTTTGGCTCTCGTCAACGTCTAAAATCTCATGGCTCTCACCTCCTCCACCTACCCGAACTCCCCCTAAAACTCTCCGAACCCGTATGCAACCTTGGCGTCAGGTTCGACCCCCAATTATCCTTCCTCCCCCACATCCGGTCCCTCACCAGCGCCGCTTTCTTGCACCTCCGATGCATCGCCCGTCTCCGCCAATACCTCTCCCCAAAAGCTGCTGAAATCCTGGTCCCTGCCTTTGTCACCTCTCGGCTGGACTACTCCAACGCCCTCCTCGCCGGTCTCCCATCCACTACCATCCATAAAATCCAAATCATTCAAAACTCTGCCGCCCGCATTCTCACCCGCACCATATTCCGCTCCCTGATCACCCCAGTCCTTGCCAGACTGCACTGGCTGCCTATCCCAGAGAGGATCGATTTCAAGATCCTCACCCTGTATTCAAGTCCCCGCCCCCCCCACACTCCCACCTCTCCGACCTCCTCTCTCCTCAAAACTGTATCCGTTGCCTTTGTTCCTCCGGGTCTGGCCTCCTCCTCGTCCCCCGAGTTCTCCGCTCCACCCTCGGCGGCCGTGCCTTCAGCCACTATGCCCCGAGGCTCTGGAACTGCCTTCCTCACTCCCTTCGTCTTGCTCCCTCCCTTCCCATTTTAAAGTCTCTGCTGACGACCTTTCCTTTCGACTCCGCCTTTGGTCACCTTCCTCCCCCTCCCCCTGGCTCGGTCCCGGGATCCGTTACTGTAAAGCTCTCTGAGATGCCGTCCGGCATGGAGAGCGCTATATAAATCCATGTTGTTGTTGTTCTTGTTAACTTAAATGGCCCCTGCGGCCAGATGCGCTTGTCACCCCTGCTCTAAACCAAAGCTCAGGTGGGTAGGTGATCCTAGATGGACAATTGGATAGTCTTAAGCATAATGTATTTCTGTTTATCAAAAAATAAATATTTTTTGGAACAATAAAGCAGATCAAATGCTTTCTTCTGGTACATTTGCTTCCTGTTGTCTGATTCCCATTTGATTTTATACCATATAGAATACAAAACATTTGTAAAGTGACTTGCATGTCAGGAGGACGTTCCAAGGCACTGGACAGTCAGGGATTTGGAACCAAGCTGGAGGTCGGGATTGGGGAGGGTGGAGGGTAAGAGGGTGGCTGAAGACTTGGTCGAAGAGGAGAGTTTTGAGACGCGCTTTGAAGGAGGCAAGGGAGGGAGTGAAGCGAAGGAAATGTGGGATGGAGTTGCATGGGCTGGGGGCAAAAAGGCTGAAGGCCCGGATGCTGATGTTGGAGTAGGCCGGGCGGGGGACGTGGAGCAAGCCATATTAAATTAAACAGTAATTTTGTTTTCCCTACTTTGGGAAATGTATGAGATCAGGAACTTGCAATATAGAGAAACACAAGTGTGTCACTTCATCATACAATTCTAACATTGTGCTGGAACCCATAATTTTCTCCATTGACTATAATTTCCAGTGTATTTTTGCTTACTTCGTGAGGAGGAGACATTTTACTAAAACATGGTTCAATGTTGACGTGTTGAATATTTTGGTTTACATGTCTGTTCCTCTGTTTAGAATGCCCTGAAGAATGGTGAATATGTTGAGTCTGATAACAAGGATTATAGTGGCTTTGGAACAAAACGAAAAAGCAAAAAGAAGAATAGAAGCAGGAAGAAGAGTAATGTACATCTGGATAGAAGGGTAAAATAAAATCATTTATTAGGATCATTCAAATTTAAGTGGAAAATTTCCTTAAATTTTAAAACCGAAGTGAAGGCAAATAAAAGAATATAATAAAAATGTTATCAAGAAGAACATATTTAGCTGTGATATAGAGATCATAAAGAAGTTGGCTGCTATATTTTCAGATACTAAGGTTAATGGAATGCTACTATAATGAGTGTAGTGCTGGCTTTTTTTATATCTCCCACCCTACCCACCTTACCATCGATTGGTGGACTTTCAGCCTAACCGCCCCCACTCTCTGGAACTCAATCCTGAATCCCTTTGACTTGCTCCCTCCTTCACCTCGTTTAATAATAGTCATAATCTGTTACAGCGCTTTTCATGTCTTCTAGACATCTCAAAGCGCTTCACAGAATATACTGTAAAGTAAATTGACTATATTTGTGGGTGAAACGCGGCAGCCAATTGCGAACAACAGTGTCCCACAAATAGTCGTGGATTGAGTGACCAAATTTATTTTATTTTTTTTCTTGAGAGATTATTATCAGGTGTGTGGAGTAAGGAAACTTGCCCATGGTTTCGCCCTGCTGGGAATCGAACCCAGGTCTCTCGCTTGCGAGGCGAGTGCTCTAACCACTGAGCTCAGGACTCCACGCTCTGTTTCAAGACCTACCTCTTTGACTGTGATTTCTTCATCTTTCCCCCCCGCTCCCCCCACCTCCTCTGATTCCATCCCAGTTTGGGTATGCCTTGGCTATATGAATGTAAATTTGTATTGTAGTGTCTTAATCGTGTTTAAAAGGTGTAAATTTGTCTTCATTTTCTCTTTTGCACCGGTTTAAAATCAGTGGTTGGTTGGTGATGTGTGCAATGCAGTGTGGACCGAAGATGGCAACATGTACCCAGCTATTATTCAGTCAGTTAATGAAAAGCAAAGCACATGCATTGTGATGTACACTGGGTATGGAAACCAGGAAGAACAGAATCTGTCTGATTTGATACCTGTTGACAGCTCTGAGGCAGAGAGTGAGGGACTAAAAGAGGTGAGCAACATTCAGGTTTGTTTGTAGCCTCAAAAATTGTAACTTCTTTTGGCGATGGTAGGTAAAATACAGTCTTTTATGTCCTATTATACGCAGAATGATGGGGCGGACCGTCAGTCCACAGAAGAGAGTGAAACAGCATCATCTACAGATAGATGTCCTCAAAAGGAAGCTAAATTCAGACCATCAGCACCTCAACCTAACTGGACCAGAGAACCCAAAAAACATCCCCCTAAACCATCTCAAATACCAGGGTTTGGCTCTGTAAGTCTATATAGAAATATCTGTAGATTTCACTATGGACCTCCTTCACTCTTTCTCTTACCACCCCCCCCCCCCCCCTTTAAAAATGTAATGTTTGCTTTGGTGAATAGCCATCATTTTAGTGAGGTATAAATTGGGTTTAGGTAGTGTGAATGATACTGGAACCCTACTCATCAATCTAGCGGATGTAGTTTCTAGATTTAGAGCGATTCCCAGCAATGTAGAATGATTGTATTGTGTTTACTCTCCCTTTGTCTGATAAACATGCAGGAACTTTCAGTGGACTTAAATGTCAAAGAGCTGATTGTTCATCTGCTTCCATAATACAATTAACTATGACCTATTTGTGCACAATCTTGAATTTATTTATACTGTATGATGCAATTTGCAGCAGGAAGTATCTCTCCATTTGGTGGAGCTGTTCAAATTTAAAACTAAATTCTGCTCTGCATTGCATTGAAACATCTCAATATGCTTCATGGGTAATTGCTTTTGAGTGCAGTGACTACGTACTTGCATACAGTCACTACATTTAAAAATCAACTGTGAAGCACTTTAAGATGCTTAGACAGTATACAAAATAAAGAGTGATAGTCAGAGAATTAAGTGCAATAGCCAAACAAAAATTGGATCAACTATTAATGCAGACAATAGTTGGGCTGGAATATATGGTTGAATTGTTAGATTGGACCATGTTATAGACCTGGATACTGATGCTTTGAATGGTGTTTTGTCTTTTATATTTTTATACTATATTCTTAATAATTTGAAAATTTTTAGCTGTATTCCAGAAATTATAATAATCCTTGCATTTGATATAGCGCTTTTCACGTTTTCTCGAAGTCTCAAAGTGCTTTACAGAATATACTGTGAATTGACTGTATATTTGTGAGCGAAAATTACACTTGACATTAGAATAAGATGCAGTTTGATTCTGTGAAAGTTTTAATGGAATTAGATAACTATACTGTAAATTCATTGAACATCATTGAATCTGCATTTTGTTTTGTTATGCAGCCTGATGCCAAGTTTGGCCCACCTCCTTTCTTGCCTGGATGCCTACCAACAATTCCTGGAGGACCACCGGTGAGTGAGTTTCCTTTTCAGTATTAAATTTGAAGCAGCAGCACAAATTGGATAAAAATCCAGATGTGTTGTGATTTATTAAAAGCATTATTTGAGAAGTTATCTCTCCTCTTGATGAGATGGAGGAAGTGAGGCACCTGGGGGAAAATGGTTACAGTCTTTATATTCTTAAACAAAATTGTTAAGATGGATGCTAAAGGTCCCATGGCACTATTCAAAAAGAGAAGGGAATCTCTGCAGGTGTACTGGCCACAATCCCTCAGTTAAGATGAGTGATTCACTTCAGGCCTATTTGAGAGACATTACAGTGTGCCAAGTGCCATAATAATAATAATTCTTGCATTCAATATAGCACCTTATCACATCTTTGAGATGTCTCAAAACGCTTCACAGAATATACTGTAAAGTGAATTGACTGTATGTTTTTGTGGGCAAAAAGTGGCAACCAATTGCACACAGCAGTGCAGTGTCCCACAAACAGCTGTGGACCAATGACACTATTCAGAAAGAAAAGGGAGTTTCTCCTAATGTCGTGGCCAACAATGTTTGTGAGACGTTGCTATATGAAATTGGCTGCTGCCTATAATATACATTTTACAGTAAATCTCCTTCAAGCGCTTCGAGATGTAAGCCTCATGTGATTTTTATTAATACTGTAGTATAAAATGTAACTCTTCTCGATCTTTAGAAGCTTTTTATAAAATGTTACATTTTAGGTTGTAAGTGTGACAGGGTTTGAAGACTAAATTGAGGTAACTTGAATTTTTATTTAGGAACTGTAAACTTATTTATGGTCTGAGTTTTCCCCTTCTGGATTCTAGTTAATTCCTCCTCCACCGCCAATGGGCCCAGATTCAGTTGATGAGGATGATGAGGCTTTAGGAAGCATGTTAATAGCATGGTACATGAGTGGCTATCACACTGGTTATTATTTGGTAAGTACTTGTTGCAGTTTCTATGAAATCATTTTCTTAATGCTATCATTCTAGCATAATGTATAGTAGTGTATTTAGAACTATATAAGGTAGATATATGTGTGAAGGTTGGTGGTGTTTTATATTGTATCTGTATCCTAAATAAACTTAACCTTTCATACTTTTCCACATTTCCTTCTCACCATTTGAATATTTAGCACTCATGAGAACCTGCATTACTTTGCAAATTAATGTTTTTTTAAATAATAATGTGACATTGCAAATATAATTACTGTCAAACCTGTCTTCAACAACCTCTCAGGCAAACTGGGCCAAATTGACCTTTATATGAGGCTGTCCTCTGACTAAGGATTCATTGATGTGTGCTCCTGGGTAGTTGTTAATTGGGGGTAGTTGCTTGAACATGTTTGACTGTAATATTTAAGCAAAATAAGTTTTGACTTGGCATTGCTAAAATTAGTTCCCTTTGCACAATAAAAGTGATGGCTTTCTTTTAGATGAAGGTAAAGGTGAATCTGATACTTATTGCAATTTTTCTATTGTAGGGTCTTAAACAAGGCCGAGCAGAAGAGGCCTTGGGGAAAAGTTCTCATCGTAAGTAAACAAGTGGGCTCTGAGAGTTTGTTAGAATGGTGAGTTTCTCAGTATTTAGCAGATGAACAATGACAAAGTGGTTATGTTTCTTTTCACAACTCTGCCAGTTTTGCCAATAAGATTACAGATAGTATAAAACTCTTTCAATAGTATCAGTCTAGTGGGTTGCCAAGTAACTCAAGATGTAGATGCACAGCTTGCCATATGGATTAGAAAAGTCGGTGGCTTGCTGTTTACTGGGATAGATTATCTTAAGAAGGGGGGCAGTAGGGCCACTACCCATCCTTTGGCTTCGGGGTGGGAAAAGTGAGAGAAAATAAGTATTTCCTTAATATTCCCACTAATTCCCCAACTGGCAAATGTGCACACACAAATCAGGTGAGGATTATAACTCCTATTTATAATATAATGTCACTTAGATGAGATACAGAATGCTACTGTGCTCATGTTACCCTAGCACAAAACACATTTCCAGAGCTTTCCTGGACCGCAGTGGCAAAATCAAATGCAGCTTAAAAGGGAAGATTATATTCATATTAATATGAACAAAGTTTATGTAGTTGTGGAGCATTAAAATCAATTCAGATTGAAGAGTGAGAGTGTAAACCGAGTTTGGAAAATTTTCAACTTGCTTTAATGAACATGAGTTCACAATATAAAATTTACCAACAATAAATATTAATTTTTAAATCTATAAGTGTTCTAGGGTGGAGATAAGATACAATATTTAGGAAGAGTAGAGGGAGTTTTACTCAGGAACTAGCCCTTTGAGGCACCTGACTGAGGAACACTTGATGAGTAAGCTGAATGTTACAAGTGTAAATATCTCATCCCTTGTTTTGGCGAATGCAAATTTTCATGAAATGTTGCTTACGAGTGTTTCTGTTCAAGTTATATACATAACTAAATAATTGCTATCATTGTGACTGCAGTTTTGAATTAGCTGGAAAATAGGATGACTTATTTAAATTTGTTCTAGAGTTCTATGGGTATTATATTTGAAAACTGAAACTTGTAACTAATTACATTTTCCCTCTTTTGCAGGTGGATCTTTATCTCCCAAGGAGAGAGTGTAACAATTTTGATACAGATAAAGTGAAGTAGAATGTCAAATCTGTACGAATAAACCATTAGTGTGTTCTTGAGAATTCTTTGTATTGACTAAATACTTTTTATCAACTTGTGAATAAAATTTTTTTTCTGTTTTGACATCTTGCCTTTTACATTCTGTAGGAATTATTTGGTGTAAAATGGGTGAGTGGAAGGAGAAGAAAGGCACAAAATGCAGTTCAGAGTTTTTAAACTATTTCAGTTTATAGCCCAATTAATATATTTATCTACACTCAGTTAGGAAACAGTAACCACTGGATTTCTAGCTTTAAAATAGTACTCACTAAGTGTGTGCTTTTTTAATCTGACATCCAAATTAATGAAGGGTAAAATAAATAGTAAATTGAGCAGGTTTATTAGGATAAAGGCTTGCAATTGTAACCATGCTTTTTTGCCCCTTTAGGTGGAAGGTAGAGAGAAAAAAACAATAACAAAATTGGACACTTCAATCCATGACTGTTTGTGGGACACTGCTGCGCAATTCGCTGCCGCGTTTCACCCACAAATGTACAGTCAATGCACTTTACAGTATATTCTGTGAAGAGCTTTGAGATGTCTTGAAGACGTGTAAAGCGCTATATCAAATGCAAGGATTATTATTATAAGTTTGCTTGTGATTGGTTGTAGATGGTGTGAAAGAAATACTGCCTTTTCTATTTTAAGAAAAGCCACTCCACAGTGTGAAACTCATATAGATCAGAAATTTATTTTCTTCGGTCTTCTGAGTTGGCTGATCTAAACTGGAGGCAGCAACGTATAATCTCGCAACTGGAGCAAGACATCATAACAATTAGCCTTGGTTAGGCAGGAGAAAAAAAGGACGCCCAATTGCTATCTCGTGATTCCTGCTGCTAAGTAAGTTTGGAAGAGAATGGATCAGGCCAACACTCATTGCCAAGGCTTGCCAGTGATATCGATTGGGTAAGTTAGCAGTGGGTACCCTTTGAACTATACCACATTATGGAATCAATAGCTTCAAAGCACTTGAAAGAATACTGTCGCTCAGTGGTAGCCAACGTTTATGGTCGTCCAACAAAATAAATTTTCTTGATTGAATATTTCTCGATTTATGCCGTAAATCAAGAAATATTCAATCAAGAAAAACAACAACGAGTACTTACCTGGACTCCTGCGGATGCTCGGGGGCCGTTTCATGACGGCCCGCGGGCCACAGGTTGGCCACCACTGCTCTGATAACTACAACAACAACTTGTGTTTATATACTGTTATGTGGGGCAGTGTCTCGGAGCGCTGAAACATAGTCTTACTTATCCCAATGGCATTTCTCGTTGCTAACAAATTATATATTTCCAACTGGAATTTGAAAGTGAAGTTACAACATAACCCGCTGTGACCCTACATTGCTGCCGCTTTAAACACATTAACGTCATTGGTGCAAGAGCGTGCGCCACAAAGCTCCCTGGGAGTTGTAGTTCGGTGGTTCCGCCGTTGCCCGGCAGGAGGCGCCGGGCAGGACTGCAACTCCCGTGATGCCGCGGTGGTGGTGGGGGAAGACGGGAGGTGGGGCGCGCTGGCTTGTGGGACGGGGTGACGTGAGGGAGGGGGAGGAGTAGCGGCAGGAGGGACGCTGTGGGTCTGAGGTGAAGAGAGAGAGAGAGAGAGCCGCGGGGCCGCGCCAGGCCAGGCCGGGCTGGGCTGGGCTGTGAGGCCGGGGAGAGCTCGGCTCAGGCTGCACTGACAGCAGCAGCACGTGTGTGGCAGGTACTGGCGGGGCGGGGCGGGCCGGGCCCGGGGGGTGGGGGAGCGCCGGGGCCGAGGCCGAGGCCGGCTCTGGCGTTGTCACTGTGCCGTTTACCAGCTTCACTCACCCCGGGGGTGTGACCGAGGCCTGGCTCGGCTCGGCTCGGCCACCGCTGCCCTCAGGTGTAACCCGAGAGCCCCGAGCAGGTCACCAGCGGACACGGTGTCACGGACCACGTCCCCCATCCCCTCCGCGGTGTTGTACCCGCACCAGCCGCCGCCACTCACTGCTCCTGTAAACACTGCAGTTTCACTGCTCCACTTAATTACTAACAGTTCACTCCAGGACAGTTCTCAGGCCTCTGCTGTTTAATTTGGTTTCTCTGGTACTACAGGGGATATAATAATAATAATAATAACCCTTGCTTTTGATATATCAAATGCAAGGCTTATTATTATTATTAACCCTATTATTATTATTAACCCTTGCTTTTGATATAGCGCCTTATCATGTCGTTGAGACGTGGCAAAGCTCTTCATATGCTGTAAAGTGAATTGACTGCGTATTTTCTGGGAAAAATGTGGTTTGCCAATTGCGCAAAGCTGTGTCCCACAAACAGTGGTGGGTTTTAACGTTGCTGCCTGGGGCCCTGAGCTGGGGGCGGAGGCCACAGCGGGTGGAGAGAGGTAAGATCACAGAAAGCGCGGTCAAAGAGCAACGTCTTCAGATGGCCCTTGAATGAGGTGAGGGAGGCAGCGAGGCAGATGGACACCGGGATTTCGGGGCATCTTGTGTTACATCAATTACGGGTTTCCACAATTGAACTCTGTAACCCCAGTAATCTTGAAACCTTTGATTCTTAGCTTCACTGGGAAATATGGCTTTCAACAGGTTAACAATTAACCCCCAGTGCTCTGTTTACAGGATTTTACATGGTTGCACACGATCTTACTAAATGCTTTGACGAGGCAGACATTATTATGCGGATCAGGAAAAAAACAATTTAAACAAGGTATCAAATTTTACATTGTCTAAAGGATTAACTGTTATCAGCTTTATCAACTCTAAAGTACGTATATGGTAATTTACCTGTTTAAACAGCTCAGTGCTTTAGTTCTTTAAAACAACAGCTGCAGACTTTAGTTGATTAGCAAAGCTTTTAAAATACATTGAATTTTTTTATCTTCTCACTGCTTTTTGCTATGAGTTTGTCGCTTGGGCTCATAGGGATAAAGCCTCCTCTGGCATGTAATAATAATAATAATCCTTGCATTTGATATAACACTTTTCACATCTTCTCGACGTCTCAAAGCGCTTCATAGAATATGCTGTAAAGTGAATTGACTGTATATTTGTGGGCGAAACGCGGCAGCCAAATTGCGCACAGCAGTGTCCCAAATTTATTTTTTTTCTTGAGGAATTATTATCAGACATGTGGAGTAAGGAAACTTGCCCAAGGTTTCGCCCTGCCTGGAATTGAACACAGGTGTCTAGCTTGCAAGGCGAGTACTCTAACCACTGAGCTATAGGACTCCACGTATTGGTGCTTAGTGATCGACCCTCAGTAATGAGTTACTGTTTCTCAAACAGTTAAAAAAGTAAAAACGTTAGTTCTCCTAGAATTATCCTTTCTTATATCCAAGTTACATTAATGCTGCCAGTGATTTGAAAGCTGAAGAATGACCAGTTCAGTGAGATTCGGAAGGATTACTGTTTGGATGTGTAAAATAGCAAGAGTTAGTAATTTCAAAAAAGGAGTGCAAAAAATTAGCACACAAAACCTTCCACTTGTCTAAGGATGTGTTGCAAGAGTTATAAGTCCCCTGCATGTGAGCTTGTGCAGGGTTTATTGATATTCTATTTTTAGGATTTTTATTTTTATGCAACATCTCTCTCTCTCTGATCTCCACCCAGGAAGTGTGTGCCCAAATGTGAAATTAGGTGTTGGGAGTATGCTGAAGTGACATAGATTATTCCGTGCTATTGAGTAATACTGCACTCAATTCTTAACAATTAATGGTGCCTTAGAATTGCAATGAAGTTCCCTTCCTCTCCATCTCTATAAAATTTGCTTGTACCCGAGATTCGAAAAATTATGGCAATGTATATTTTTGAATTGATGAGGGCAGGTTTATTTTGTTTCACTCTTTCTATTCCCCTCAGCAGCGGCCATGGCAGATGTTGATGGCAGGAATGCTGTGTATGGTTGATGTGTGATGCTGTTCACACCAACAAGCAACATTCAGACGGAATCGAAGTTACCAGAATTTAACCTGCAGTTGATTACCGGGGAATAAATAGGTTAATCTCAGAATATTTTTATGAATGTATTTATAAGTGTTTTATAGTAACTTGTTTTTTACTCTGAAGAATACAAATATATCTGACGTGGTGAAGGACATTATTTGCATTGGGGTGCTTCTCTTATAATTAAAAATGATAATTACTAAAACTTTGGTTTCTATGATGCATATAGTGTGTATAAAATAAAGATGATCCTTGCTTTTGATATAACGCCTTTCACGTGTGGAGTCCTGGTAGCTCAGTAGTTAGAGCACTCACCTCGCAAACGAATCAAAAAGGATCTGGGTTCGATTCCCAGGCAGTGCAAAACATTGGGCAAGGTTCCTTACTCCACACGCCTCTGTTCACTTAGCAGTAAGTAGGAACCTGGTTGTTAGTCGATTGGTGTGTTGCTTTTCTGGGAGTAATAGTCCCTTCAAAAATAAATAATGTTTTGGTCACTTATTCCACAACTGTTTGTGGGACACTGCTGTGCGCAATTGGATGTTGCATTTCGCCCACAAAATATACAGTCGATTGACTTTACAGTATATACTGTGAAATGCTTTGAGATGTCTTGAAGACGTGATAAGGCGCTATATCAAATGCAAGAAGTATTATTATTATTGAGAAGATGTCTCAAAGGGCTTCACAGGATTAATTGTAATATGCAGTAACTTGCATTTTATAATCAAATGTGGTAGCAATGTCCCATAGAAAGCCATAAAGTGAATGATCAATTCTATTTGGGGGATTTTTGCCCAGGACTCTAGGAGAAACTCCTTCGACTTTTTCGAGAAGCACCATGTGTCACCATGTAAAATTTGAATTGTTTCTTGCTTGATGTACGTATGCGGTTGACTGAGATAAATCTGAATGTGGGTAAAATTCTAATGTGGAAGAAACTAATGAATTGCTTTGAAATTCAAAAATGGTTTACATTTAAAATTTTAAGATTCAGAAGTGGCAGATTGTACTCCAAAGTTTATTCGCTTAAAAGCTTTATTGCTGTGAGATCCTGCAATCCCTGATGTGTTGACGTTATATTCTTACAGAATGTTTCGCCGCTCAAGACTCAGTGTACGGCCCAATGTGAAACCTGGTGGAAGAGGTTTGGCAGGTTCTTCACAGGCACCCAAACAGGATGACAAACCTCCTGCCTCAGATCAGCAAGCAAGCCCAGAGGAAAAGGCAACCAATGAAAAAGATGTTTCTGAGAACTCGGGCACGGTGCCAGTTCCATCACCTCCATCACCACCACCTAATTCAAGCGCAGAACAGGACCAGAGAGATGGCCCAGATGAACAGCAGGAGAATGTGCCACTCAACAAGTTAGTATTGAATGTAAATACAACAGAATTCTTAGTAATCGCACTCATCCAAAGTGAGCATCATTTTAAGTGGGTACTGGGCACAATTTTTGCCATGACCGTTGTAATTAACAACTCAGTACTGCAGAAACGTGTTAGGACTGTTTAGAGGTGTTTAAGATGGTGAAAGTGGATGTCAATAGTCTGTTTCCATTTGCTGGTTAGTCCAAAAGTAGAGGGCATAAATATAAGATGGCTAGTGGTAGTTTTAACAGGGCATTTAGGAGGAACTTTTAAGAGGGTGATGAAAGTGTGGAACTCACTGTCAGAAGCAAATAACGTCAATGTATTTAGGCGGAAACTTGATGTGCACTTGTGGGAGAAGGGAATAAAATGTAAAGGAGAGGGGCTTGTGTGGAGCATAAATGCTGGTGTGCACTAGGATCGGCTGACTGGCGTCTTTAAATGCCTCTATATAAGTCATGATAGCTTCCTGCATTATTCAGTTATGTTTTGATAATATTGGTGTCAAATCACATGATTTGATCTTGAGCCCATTAGCTGTTTCTGTCTAGCATTAGCATTGGAAGATAATCAAAGAAAACAAGAAAAATAACACATGGTCCGTGATGTCCTCTCAACTCTTAGAAACGTTTCTGCCTTAATAATATTCTGCTGTGCATGTGTTATTCTTTCGATGCAATTTTGGCTTCTGTCTTGATCCCTTGAATTGGACCTTGTTCTTATTACTGGTATTGCTATGCTAAGTGAAACCTGTTTCAATTGTATTGCCACCCCCACCTCCTGCATTTTTCCAGCATATTTGATGTCTTCCATTTGAAGTCTTCTTAAAGATTTGTTTCCTTGTTTGTCAGGAAAGAGAAAAATGATAAGAATACCGAGTCGAGTGCTGGCATCAAATCATCTGCAGTGCCTTTGCAACGAAGAAAGCGGATTGCTACCATGCCAAATTTGGCAAAACAGAGATCTGCAACTCCGTCAGCAAATCAGTCAACTACCGTGACCCCAAAGTCTCCGCCTCGGAAGCCAACTCCCCTGTCTTCTGTGAGCAACGCCGTGTCACTTCAGGAAACTCCACCTCTGTCGCAGACCACTACTCCTGAGAAACCACTTCCCAAATCACCAGAGAAACGAAGAGCCTCTTCAGGACAACAGACCAAATTGCCAGAAAAGAAAACTCCAATTCCTCAAGTGCCGCAGTTCTCTCCAGTTAAAAAAAGTTCCAACAAAGATTCAACCTCAGCAGCTAATTCTCCTCGAGCTGATTCTGTCCGGAAGGCATTGGCATCACCGCTTAAGGAGAGGGTTACACCATCTCCTGGTGCCTCATCTACATCTCCCAAAGGTCCAAAACTTCCATCGGAAGTTGAACGACTGAGAAAAGCTCGGAAACTGCGGGAAATGCTGAAAGAGGAGTTGAGGAAAGAGAAGGTAAACTGCAGTAAATGTAAAAAAAGGTTGCTTTTTAAAGGGAATAAATACTTTCAACGGATAACCTATTGCCATGTCACCCTTAACTAATTTGAAAGCAACCTAAATGTTTATTGTTCCTTACATGTTGAAATATCTCAAAATGCTTTACCAATAATCACAGTGTAGTGTAGCTTCTGTTTTGTTTAGCAACCATTCGCAACAGCCAAATCCCACAAATAGCCAGGAGGTGAATGACCAATTGATCTAATGATTGTTGGCCAGTAAATGCCCTTCTCTTTTAAAGTTTCATGAGATCTGTAAGGAGGCAGAGGGGACTTTGGATTAACATCTCATCTGAAAGACAACATCTCATCTGAAAGACGTCACCTCTGACAATCCTCTTTAATGTCAGCCTAAATGGTTGATCTCAAGTCCTGACATGAAAATTGAATTGACAATCTTTTGATCCAGAGATGAGAGTGCTAATAATTGAACCAAACTGACACATTAGATGGACATGTGACACATCACTAATAATTCTTAGATTTGATAATTTATCTGCTGATCAATTGTGAATGGTGAGGCAGGTCTTGTAGTTTTAAGTTTCTGATTCACAATACAAGTATAGCGCCTTTCACGTCGGGAGGACTTGCCAAGGCGCTGGACAGTCAGGGACTTGGACCCGAACTGGGATTGGGGAGGGGGAGGGTAGGAGAGTGGCCGAAGACGCGCCTTGAATGAGGTAAGGGAGGAAGCGAGGCGAAGGGATGGAGGTTCCAAAGGGTGGGGGCAGAAACAGCAACAACAAAATTACATTTATGGAGCGCCTTTCACGTTGGGAGGCATCACAAGGCGCTGGACAGTCAGGGGTCAGGACACGAGCATGGGGGAGGGGTGTGGTAGGGGTGAGGGAAGGCAGAGAGGTGGGAGGGTTACCCAAGGCATAATCGAAGAGGAAGGTCTTGAGACCGGCCTTGAAGGAGGCAAGGGAGGAAGTGAGGTGAAGTTCCAGAGTGTGGGGGCAGAGAGGCTGAAAGTTCGACCACCGATGGTCGGGCGGGAGACATGGAGCAGACCGGAGCCTGCTGAAGGCGAGCTGAAGCCCGCAGAAAGGCTGAAGGCCCGACCACCGATGGTGGGTTGGGTGGGGGACCTGGACCAGGCCACAGCCTACTGAGTAGATGGAGTGGACCAATTGATATTGGGTCAGCAGGTCGCAAAGATAGGAAGGAGCAAACCCGTGGAGAGCCTTGAAGGCAAGGATGAACATTTTGAACTCTATCGTCTGGGAGTCAGCCAAGGTGGCACAGTACAGTCAAGGTGGGGCAATACATGCAGATGGAATGTTAAACAAGGACATCAGTTTGTCATTTCTAACTATTGTCTGGTCTTATTTTTTGGAGGGTCTATTGCAGAAATCTAATCGGGAGAAGATTTTACTTTGGGAAAGTGGCACTCCACCAGAACGCACTAAAATGACGATGAGAGACTTCATATACTACCTCCCTGAAACAAATCCAATGCAGTAAGTGCTCTGTGCTTACATTGTAGAGTTTTGAATAGAATACATTTTAGAACCATTTGATTGCTTATTAAGATGCACTGTTTACTGCAACTCCTAACAGGTCTTCGTTGGAAGAAGAAAGAAGACAATCGGAGAAGGTACCTGCACCAGTGCCTGTGTCAGTGCTGGCCCCAGTTTTAACTAAGGAGTGAGTATATCTTATTCTGTTTACCAAAAGGAAGCCTTTTAAAAATAAATGGCACAAGAAGGATATTGTGCTGTGTGCCTATTTGTTTAATCTGCCTTATCAGTTTCTGTTATAATAATAATCATCCTTGCATTTGATAGAGCTCCTTAACACGTCTTTGAGATGTCTCAAAGAGCTTCACAGAATATATTGTAAAGTGTTTTTGACTATATTATGTGGGTGAAATGCGGCAGTCAATTGTGTACTGCAATGTCCCACAAACAGTTGTGGATTGAGTGAGTGACCAATTTCTTTTTGGAGGCATTTTTACCTCCGGAAATCTATCCTCCAATTGACTAACAACCGGGTTCCTACTTATTGCTAGGTAAACAGAGACGTGTGGAGTAAGGAAACTTGCCTGAGGTTTCGCTATGTCTTGCTTACCAACACTTTGTGGAAAAATAATGAAATACTTCTTTTTGGGATACTTTGCTCATTTGACATTTTGGATGCCAGACAAAGTGAAACATACGTATAATAAATAAACCCTGCATTTGATATAGTGCCTTATCACGTTGTTGAGACATCTCAAAGCACATAACAACAATCACGATATTGACTGTATTTTGTACGTTAACATTTGGGAATTATGAATGGTGGAAATAAAGAACAAATTCCTTCACCAGTACCACAGTTTTCAGGCCTTGCATTTAAAATTCTCAGCGACACAAGTCTGCAATTTTTTCCTTGTATGAGAGTATTTGTATTTGGAATTGTACGTTTGGGTTTCTAAGTGGTCTGATATTCACCATAAAATTGCATGTCTGCTGGGTCACCCTCGTAAGGATCTCAGTCTTCATTGACTGAAGTCGCTATTTTATAACTGCTGGTATATGCAACAAGAACATGTATTTCAGTTATACGTCAAAGGAAGTTAACTTCCTGTTTATGGATTATAGACCAGAACTGGAAAATACTAACGCCTCAGGTGATGATGAGGATGACGAGGGTGATGATTCAATCTTGGGTCCACGAGTTAAGGTAGCAGAAGATGGGACTATTATCATTGATGAAGAAAGGTAAGCCTAAAAATATTAACATTTCAGACTGAAATGCTGGAGCAGTCTTTATCCTAATGAGCCAGCTGGATTGTGAATTTTGATGAGCTGAGATCTTGAATTATAATAATAAATGATAATCCTTGCACTTCAGGAGGATGGCTCAAAGTGCTTCACTGGAGTGACCGGATATTTGTAGGCAATTGAGTATCACTGCATTTACTGTATTATTATGAAAACTAAAAACTGATCAGTTTGCAGTATTCTTCCTGTAGGTGTATATTAAATGCTAGGAACTGCTTTTTAATTTCTGAATTTATTTCATAATTGATGAGAAACATTGTAGTCTTGAATTGACCCAAATACACAGTGATTGTTGGCCTCTGGTTTTAATTTAAAATGGCAGTTTTCAAACTGCCTTTATTATTGCTACTCCTTGCCAGTCATTGAACTCGGATAGGTCTCACATTTTTTTGTTAAATTATTTGTGTAGTGCTGTTAAGTGAACACTTTTGATCATTGAAAGCATTGAACACTCACAGGTCCATTATAGCATAGTTAATTGAGGGGAAAGTTCCCTCGATGTCTCCTATCTTGGTGCCATCATTTTAAGCTTAAGCTTTATTGCAGAAGTGTGCCATTTTCTCTTCTCCACTAGATGTTATATGACGTTTTAAGTGGGTTTTTCAGGACAAGCAGTTTTTTATAGGAACTGGATTGAGTTTGCCCAAAATTATTTTGAGTGGAGCATTATGCCAGTTAAACATTTACTTTTAGAAGGTAAAATTGTACTTTGCTGAATTGTGCAAGTGTGGTCTGATTGAGCGAAATGATCATTCCTGAAATCTTAATTTATTTATTTTTCTAAATCATAAACAGTTTAACTGTTGAAGTTTTGAGGATGAAGGGACCTAATATCGCTGAAAACAATGATCCCATCTTTGAGCGTGGCTCACAAACAACCTATTCCAGCTTTAGGAGAAACACTCACACAAAACCGTGGTCCAATAAAGGCAAGTTTTAAAGCTCACGCGAACATTGTATTTAATAATAGTAATAATAATAATCCTTGTATTCATATAGTGCTTCATCACGTCGTTGAGACATCTCAAAGCGCTTCACAGAATATACTGTAAATTATAGACTGTACATTTTGTGGGCAAAACGCTATAACAGTCGACTCAATATTATAAAACTAATGCACAGAAGTTAAGTCTCTACTGGTGCCTTTTCAGATAGAGACTACAAAAAATCACATTGGGACTTAATTTGCAATATTTCTCAATAGGATTTCTTAATAAGCTACTTGTGCAGATACTTGGATCTCTTCTGTTCTGCATTACAATATTTGTTTGGTAAACTGAACGTCTTAGCAATTCTCAACTAAACTGTGCGTTGACTGATTATATAATCATTTCTTTGGAATATAAAATCTAATAGGAATATTTTAACCTGTTCTTGAAAAGGTACCAGCAACTGTTCTAATCATCACTTTTGCTTCATATCGCACAGTCAACATGTTTGAGGACAATGACATATTGACATGTTAACCTTTTGTCTTTTAGTGTATCGGTCCCATTAGTAATTCCGAGTATTTATTCTTTCTGCAGAAACGGACATGTTCTTTTTAGCGATCAGTATGGTAGGCACCGATTTCTCTATGATTGGTCAGCTGTTTCCCAACAGGTCAAGAGTGGAGATAAAGGTAACCCCCCCCCCCGCGTTCACTTTAATAGGGCTAAATGCTACATGATGGATATATTTTCAAACTGTTAAAGCTACAAAGTCATAGCATAACAATACCAAGTATTTAAGTAGAATCATAAAATATTACAGCACAGAGGGAGGCCATTTGGCCAATCATGGCTGTTATGGCTCTTTGGAGAAGCTACCCAATCAGTCCCACTCCCTCGCTCTTTCCCCATAACCTTCAGATTTTTCCTTTACAAGTACTTATCTAATTCCCTTTTGAAAGTTGTTATTGAATCTGTTTTCAACAAACTTTCAGGCAGTGCATTCCAGACTGTAACAACTCTGGGAAAAAGAAAATGTCTCCTCACCTCCCCTCTGGTTCTTTTGACCATTATCTTGAATCTGTGTCCCCTGGTTACTGACTCACCTGCCAGTGGAAACAGTTACTCCCTTTCTACACTATCAAAAACCCTCATAATTATGAACACTTTTATTAAATCTCTCCTTAACCTTTTCTGCTCAAAGGAGAACAATCTCAGCTTCTCTCGTCTCTCCACATACCTAAAGTCCCTCATTCTTGGTACCATTCTGGTAAATCTCCTCTGCACCCTCTCCAAAGCCTCGATATCCTTCCTATAGCGTGGTGGCCAGAATTGGACACAATACAACCAGCGATTTGTAACATAACTTCTTAGGCCTCTATTTATAAAGTCAAGGATCTTGTATGCGTTTTTAACAGCCCTATCAACCTGTCCTGCCACCTTCAGGTGTATGTGAACCCCCAGCTCTCTGCTCCTGAGCCCCCTTTAAAACTGTAGATTTTTTTTCAAATATGAAACCAATTAAATGTCATTACAAGATAAGATTTGCACAAGGTAAAAGATGATCAGCACTTGTTTTTCTTTTTACCAAAGAGCCACAGGAATATATGTCACAGAAGGAGGCCATATGATCAACGTATTGGTACAACAATCAGTACAAATTTACCTTCATTTAGCACTTTTCATGGTAAAGTATAGACTTTACCAAGTCAGCATAAGTTAAATTTACAGTTTAACAATGCAGCCAAAAGAATTTTGGTTCTGCTGATACTTTCTGCATTGAAAAGTTGGTTGATGGAAATCTATCACACTCACAGAGAAATGTGCACTTTTGGTAGTAAGGTTTTAGTAAAGGGTTTTGGTGACTTGAGTGAAATTTCAAAACTGTGAAAATGCCATCTGTGGGAAAACACCTGACGTCTCTCTGCCCCCCCCTTACCCACTTCAAGTTTGCTTTGTATTTGAAGAGTGTTCTGAGCTGTATGACACTAAAATCACCACATTACAGAATTGGTTTGGATGAAGAAGGCCCTTTGGCTCAACCATCTTCCCATCACTGAGGGCTTGAAGAACTGGTGTTGGCTGGTTTGTCCCTGGTGGTGGTGGTGATAGTGGAAGCGATTTCAGGACGTTGATGAAGAGGAGACAAAGCATCTTGACTTAGATGCATTTTTTTCTCTCCTAAACTGATTAGTTACTAATAAGTTTTGTGACAATATGATGTATTGATAGTTTTATTTTAAAACCCCTGTATAACAAGGCTTGCTGGTTTCTGATTTTAATTGGTATAAATTGGTACTCATTCCAATTTTTTCCAAATGCCGGAAAAAATTCTCATTGTTAACCATGTGTTTTTAAAAACAATTTTTATTATTTTGAACATCAAGAACAACATTAAGAAAAAAGGCCTTCCAGACCATAAGATTGCCTTGGGTATCATTTCCTGTGACCTGTGCATGCGCATTACAGAGGAAGTGACTTTAGTGGCATTGTCTGCACATTTACCTAAGTGCAAAATATTTTTTCATTGACAATTTTCTCTTCTGCAGAACAAATTCAAACGTGAAGAAAAGCTAAATTCATGGAGGATAGATAAAGCATTCAGTGAGTATCCAGGAGTATACTGCTTAGATGGGAATAGTACATTCTCTAATTTCTGTACTGACTTAAACAGTGTTTTTATTTGCAAATGGCAGAATGTACCAACAAAGACTGTCTAGCCAGGAATAGTACATGATAGCTGCGGAAATTTTGTTTCTCTTTTTAAAGCAGAAGTGTGTCGCAATTGAAATCTACATGTATTTTTTTGCTGATTTTCAGTGAGAAAGCGCTTAACCAAAACAACGGAAACTGATGTGTGTTTACTACTGTTTCTCTTTTAGTGGCCTCCCTCCCTCCCTCCCTCCCTCCCTCCCTCCCTCACTCACTGTCTGCCCTTTGTCATGCAGAGGAGACCAAACCTCTTGATTTGGAATTCTTTGGAGAGCTGCTAACAAAGGTTCTGGAGGCAGAGACGAAGAGGAAGAGAGAAAGGAATGGGAAAAACAAACACCAAGCCCCAAGAAAATCAAGTGTCAAACAAAAAAAGAAAGGTATGAACCAGAGGTGCAAGAAATCTCAAAGCTCTTTGCAGAACGAAGTGTAGTGAATGTGTATTTGTAGCCGAACACAACAGCCAATTTGTGCTCAGCAATTCCCACAAATAGTCACAAAGTGAATGACCTATTTTATCTGGGTAATTATTGGCCAGGACACAGGGGTGAAATCCTTTTTCAAATACAATTGATTACAATGCCTTGGGATCCTTGACATTCACTTGAATAGACAGACAGGACGTTAGTTTAACATCTAATGTGAACGATGGCTGCTCCACCAATGCAGCACTTCCGAGCACTGTATTGAAGTGTGAGCCTGCACGAGGAGCTAAAGGTCCTGATGTAGTGCTTGAACTTGCAACCTTCTGATTTGGAGGCGAGAGGGTACCAACTGAGCCACTTTATGTCAGTATAATTTGTTATGTCAAATCTAAGGATTCTACTTCTAATTCAATATTGGAAAGTCCCTATCCTAGAATGTATGAAGCCAGATTGACGGGGAAAGTTGCTGGGAAATGTCCCGCTTGCCAGTGTCACCGATGTACACGTTTTCTTAAAGCGAGGTGCTTATTTTTCACACTTTCTTTAATATGAATTTAGGTAAGAAACTGCCCCTTGGAGAAACTGAAAGTGACCCAGATGATCCTGACCCAGTTGAAGGTTCTTCCGATGAACTGGCTGAGACTGACCCCAGCGCTGTGGAAGAAAGAACTGAGGCATCACACAGTGTGGAAGAGCAGGAAGAGATGCAGGAAAAAGAAACCGCATCAAAAGCTTCACTGACCAAAGGCAAACGAAAAAGAAAGAAAAAGGATGTTGCAGAAATAACTGAGACAGAAAGTGCAGAAGGACCATCGCTAGAGGATACTGCTTTTCAGAAATCTAAACAGACAGGACGGCAGCAGAGCAAGAAAGGTAAGAAAATATTTAGTTCCACGCAGGACTTCATTTCACTTTTGGTGGAACTTCTGCTTTTCCCCCTTTATCTGGATTTCCTAGATCACTGTAGGACTGTGGCCAGAATAGACTTGCTGAGACTTGTGGTGAATCCTTTTCTTGAATAAATTATCAAGCTGATTGCAATGCCATTGTGTGTTAGTCTGGTTCACGGTAGCATGAGTCAGAAGGTTGTGGGTGCAAACTTCCTGCAGCTGAATGTGGACAAGACGGAAGCCATACTCTGGCTCCCTTCAAAGTTTTCACTCCTGTGGACCTGAACTCCTCAACTTTCCTGGGCTCTCCCTCAAACTCACTGAACCAGCGCGCAATCTAGGCATCCGGTTCAACCTGCAGCTGTCCTTCCTCCCCCACATCCGGTCCCTAACCAGGACCACCTTCTTCCGCCTCCGCCACATTGCCCGCCTTCAACTGTACCTTACCCCAAATGCAGCCGAAACGCTCGTGCATGCGTTTGTCACTTCCCGCTTGGATTACTCAAACACACTCCTCCCCGGTCTGCCCAACTCCATTATTTGAAAGATCCAGCTCATTCAGAACTCTGCGGCCTGCATACTGACCCCGACCAAACTCTGTACCCACATCTCACCAGTTCTGGTCAGAACTGAACAGATCAATTTCAAGATCCTCACACTCGTATTCAAATTCCTTCACTCTCTGGCACCTCCCTACCTCTCAGACCTCCTCACTTCCCAATCCACCACCCGGCGCCTCTGCTCGACTGGCGCCGGCCTCCTGCTTGCCCCTCACAACCTCCGCTCCACCATCGGTGGTCACACAATCAGCCACTATGCCTCAAAACTCTGGAACACTCTCCCTCAGTCCCTCCATCTTGCCCCCCCTCTCCCCTTTTTCAAGTCCCACCTGAAAACCTTCTTGTGGAGTCCTGTAGCTCAGTGGTTGGAGCACTCGCTTTGCAAGCGAGAGACCTGAGTTCAATTCCAGGCAGGGCGAAACCTTGGGCAAGTTTCCTTACTCCACACAGAGCCTAATAATAATCCCTCCAAAAACAATAATAAATTGGTCATTTTCAATCTACGACCGTTTGTGGGACACTGCTGTGCGCAATTGGCTGCCGCGTTCGCCCACAAATATACAGTCAATTCACTTTACAGTATATCCTGTGAAGAGCTTTGAGACGTCTCGAAGACGTGATAAGGCGCTATATCAAATGCAACGATTATTATTATAGTACAATACAAAATTACATTTGTATAGTCTTTCACATCGGGAGGATGTCCCAAGTTGCTGGACAGTCATGCTATTGAATTGGTCACTGTTAATGGTGCTAAAAAATCTAATATATCTTTGAACGTTTGCCATTGTTTGTGGGAGATTGCTGAGCGGAAATTGGCTGCCACGTTCACCCACAAAATGACACGTAAAAGCTTCAGCTTTGGTGTCCAATGAAGAATACAATCTATGTGCAGAAAGTTTGTAACAACTCTGAAAAACTGCTTCTTCAAACTTTTTAAGTTTCCTGAAACTGACAACTACCTGAAAGCTGATTTGACTGTAGCAACTGTGTTGTTTGTACCTCAAACTTTTGACAGGAGCATAGATTGCATGATAGATTTGTGATGTAATTGAAATTATATGCATTTGAGATTTGTTAAATATTTTGCACAGGAATCCAAAATGCTTCCGATTTGTCGTCTGGTGAATCAAGTCTTGGTGGAAAAGTTGCCAAGGATGGTGATGACATGCATACAGTAGATGGTGAAATGTCATGTGATCCAGAGACAACTGAAAACAAGCAAACTTCCCCGACCAAGAGAAAGCAGAAATCCATTCCTGAAGATAAATCCGCAAGGTAATGTTGATTTAAAAAAATTCTCCTTTGAGTTTCTCCCCTCTTTCCTCAACAGCTGGAATACACTTGGAAGAAAAATGCAGAAAATCAAAATAAAAAAAAAATAAAGATATGAAAAGGAATGGTGTGTAAGCACTTATTTCCCGTACCATCAACCATGTTAAAATACAGTTGGTGGATTGAATTGCAATGACTTTCCATTTCCACTCAACCACAGTGAAACGCACATCACATTAATTATATAAGTATAATCTCTTAGAACGTTACATGTGTTTTCAGCTAAATAACATGGGTGCACTGCAATGGTATCTTGAGATATAATGATTGCCTTGTGAAGAAATTGGATGTCACAGCTCTGACTAATGTGCAAATTCTACGCCCTCTTGTAATTGTCGAATGTTAAATTGACTAACTCAAAGTGGGTCCAGGTCCATTGCTCAATATCAGCATCAATTGTCATTCTAATCCAGTGTCTAGAATGTTGCCTTTTCTGGGAAATGGATCAAATTCATAAGGGGTTTTGTTCAGTGATTTGGGCTAAGTTGTGTTGGGACCGTAGATGTAGATTCTTTATCCTCTATATCTGAATAGAGAATACTGAATGCTGACAAGATAAGTGCCAAAATGGAAATGTATTGCTCAGCATGACACTTTAATGAGGAGTGAACATAGAAATCACAAACTTGACCTTTTGCAGAAAATTTCCTGTGAATTTGAATTATTTATTTAAATTCCAATATTAATATTAAATATAACCAACTAGATCTTTTACACTGTACTTGTAATGCATAATGAACAAGAAAATGTTTGGTTTCTGTAAAGTTTTTGAACATCTTAGAAACCACTCCTAATATGTAACCATTTGTTTCAGTGATCATGAAAGTGTAACATCCTCAGAATCATCATCAGCAATTCCAGCAGAAAACTCAGAGAAAACACAACACTCGCTCCTTCAGAAACCAAAACCCAACTTGAAGTTGACTGGAAGGAAAGGAGGTGATGGGAAAGGATCTGAGAAACCTGCTTCTGAAACCACTGACTCTTGTGATGATCAGAACAGTGACAAGTTAAACGATCAATCTGTGCAGGTTCATGATCCTCCTTGTGAAGAAGTTAATGAGATTGTGGGTAAAGAAATGCCAAATAAGGTAGGGGTGTGTGTGTGTGTGTGTGTGTGTTAGTCAATCAAGTACTAGAATATCGAGGTTTGACCTGAGTATTTTAGCGAATGATTAGGTCAAGTGTATGTTGATTGTTGTGCACTTGTTGTAGGGTGCTCAAATTGTTCTTATTAGTGCTGAGTATTGGCGCTCACAGTCAAAATGTTCCACAAATTTCTTGCTTGTGGAGCGATACTTAGTCTTATCATGTAACCATTTACACCCCTCCTATCAGCTCCCGGAAAAATAAATGTTACAGGATCCTGTATGCTGGAATAGAAAACATTATTTGCTAGATAACAAGAGAGGATAGGAGAAAGAAGTCTCCTTGGCTTATTTGAGATTCAACATTCCAGAATATAGTTTTTCCCTTACAGCATCAAGCTATTTCTTAAATGAGTTTCGAGCTAACTTAAAGTGCCTTACTGTGTCTTGTATTTTAATTGGATCTTACTTTTCCCTATTCCAGTATTTAATCTGTTGGAGTATTTGTGTTTATTCTGATTGTCTGCCACTACAGACCAAAAACAATGGACAGTTTTAAATTTTTGTTTCCAGTTATTGCAGTTTATTGTTCCTGAGGATTCAGTCGTCAAAAAACATCAGCAAAGTTCTCAACAAGAGCTGAGGCTGTTATCATTTCACATGTGTTAGTGTCCAGTTTTTGTACAATCTTCTGTTTTTATTGTCACACAGGATATTGTGAGTGTTATGCAGATGCCTGAAACGACTGAAGTTGCTAAACCCATAACTCAGGAGACTCCAGCAAGTCAAGCCCACGATTCTGGGACTGAATCAAGGTAACAGGGTAGTCTCTTTTCTTCAAAAAAAATTGGTTCTTGCATCCCTATTCAAGATGATTTTTTCACCTGCTTTAAGTGTGTTCCAACAGTCTGCATTATTGGAGTCTACCAGACCATTTCTAACTCGATTTCTTATTTGAGAAAACTCAAAGTACCTCACACCTACTCATAGGAACTCTGTTCCGACTTCAGCTATGTTTGGAGTGGACTTGCCATGAGTAGATGTAATGTGTTTGGGTTACAGAGTGGTATCTCCATTGGAATGAATCTCAAAATTTGTTCAAAATCTCTGGTTAAAAAAAGTAGGAAAAAAAGCCCCTTTGCCCATTTGATCTCATCCTTGGACAATATTCACTCTACTGTTCTCTTGTAAGACAAGTTTTTTTCATATTGTCTCTTTGTTTTAGTTCTGTGGAGAAACTGACTTCTCATGAGGAATGTAAGGAACCCAGATCAAAAACAGGACCACCAGTGAGGAGCCGGTCCCAGAGACCCAAGCCAAATTTAGGAAAAGCAGCTGGAAAGAAAGATGTGCCAGCACAAAAAAGGAAGATTGTAGCTGAGGAGGCCACAGAATCCAGTCCTAAAACCCCTGATAATGAAGGAAATAAACCGATGACGCCTGACACTTGCCTTACTCCAGTGGTAAGAACTATGAAACTATAGGAACATAGGCAAACAGAAACCGGAGGAGGCAATTCAGCCATCAAACCTGTTCTACCAGTTTATTAAATGTAGTTTAGTACCTTTTCGTAAAAGATGAATTTTGGACTCCGAACAAGTTGTGCATTTGTTTTAATGGTGCACAAATGAAGTTTGTTATTGATCCATTTCAAACTTGATCTGTAAGGAGGAATAAGGAGTGGATGGAGTCTCACGTGGAGTGGACTGATTAGGCTAAATGGCATGTTTCCATGCTGTGCAGTCTATGTAAATCTGTGAAGGTTTATTATTTATTTCCTGATAATCAAGTTTTTCGATGGAATCTTTTATTGGGATCCCATCTGCTTTATAATTCAGGTGGACATTAAAGGTCCCTTTCTCTCCTGCTTTTTAAAAGTAAAATGGAGGTTATTCTTCTTTATCTTGCTTTATATTCCTTCCTCATCCAAATTCATCCCAAAACCTTGGAATTAATTGGCTCCGTGTGTCTGTTTTTAGGAAGTTCCTGACGCAAATTAGCTACATAACATTCCTTTCTTATAATTCTTATTCTGTAAAATACTTCAAGAGATTCCTTTTTCATATGTTGTGTAAATGTAACCTGTGTAACTTTAGGAATTTGGTCAATCTTTTAATTTCCAGTCTGAAGGACCATCACTTGCATCTGTACTGGTTTCCTCTGATCCTGTGGAGTCGGAGAAACAAAATGCCGCTGATTTGGATTCTATGGTATTGAGAAAGGACAGCGTACATCCTGACAAAGTACAGCAACCAGAAAGGCCACTTGAGAGTGACAACCAGGAGGAACAAGAGGAATTAAACCTGGAAACTTTTCAGGAGAAGATTATAAACAAACCAACAAGGTACAATACATTTTCTTGATTAAATATTAGTACCAATTTTCTTGATGGAATATTTTTTGATTTATGCCATAATTGAATCAAGAAAACACTGAGAACGCACTAATGGTCGAACATAGACCTATCTAAATTTATGTGAATGTTTGGAAGGACAGCTTCTTGACGCACAAATATTTAATTGAATTTGTTTGGTGGATAATATGCTAAGTTCCTTTTTTTTAAGTCTTTTAAAAGATGCAATTTTAGTGGAAAACATACTGAAGATGCTAATATGCCTGCTAATTATGCTGCAGGACACAAGCCAATAAACTCCCTCAGCATTGTCACACCACTTCACAGTAAAAATCCTGTGAAGCCCTTTGAGGCATCCTGCCAATGTGAAAAGCCTATACCAAATGTAAGGATTATTATTGTTATTTGTGACAGATCCAGATCTGCAAAGGCGAGCTTTAATGTTACAGTAAAGAATTATAAAGCACAATAGGTTGGTAAATTGCTCGTACTTCTCCTGATTGATTGATGCATGTAAAAAAAGTAAAACTCTATAATTGTATAGGTCTGGAAGGCAGCCCAAAGCTCCAGCATTTTATAATCCTCCAGTAGAACAGAAATCATCCACCGCTTCCACGTCATCTGAAGGAGAGAATGAGAGCAGAGGCCGAGGTAGACAGCCGCGATCTCAGAAACCCAAATCTAAAGCTAGCAAAGGCTCAGCTAAGAAGGACGCACAAACCAAGAATGCTAGTAAAGGTCAAGGACAGGGTAAGATGACACTTGTGACCTTGCGAGCGTCCCAGGACGATGATGAAGACGATGAGCCTGAAGCGGAAGAAGAGGATGACATGTATCCCTTCAGTCCTGAGGAAGTCAATAAAGCACCAGCCTTTGTGCCTATCAGTCTGCGGTCTCCAGAACCTTTTCAACCCCAAGTGGAGGAATCCATGGAAGAGGTACAACACCAAATGTGCAATTCTTCCAAGTCCGCACAGCTTTGCCTCACTAGACTAAGTTTAAGATCCTTGTTGCATTTTTATAACACGTGATTATAGTTTACAATGGATGAAGGTTTTATGTGCCTTAAATGCATGTAATAGTTGCCAACCCAATCTGTTTCTCACCTTTCAGCAAGAATCTTCTGACTGTCTTGACCTAAAATTGCAATGCAATCTATTTATGTATGCTAGCTGCAATCTAACAGGATATTATACAACTTTTGGACAGGACTTTCCAGGAGATTGTGAAAGGGGGTGTTACTGAGCATCAGCCTTAAATATAGACGAGACAACATTTGGAGCATATGTACTACGATTGGGCTCAGCACCTCTGAGCTGGAGAGCAGAAATAATCACCTGGGTTCCTGTTCCTTATTGAAGCCAGTTTTCTCCCTCCTCTGCTGAAGGAACAAACTCTTTCTTGGAACAGGGTTTCACAGATGCATTCCCCTGCCCCTTTACTTGACCTGACTGGGCACACAGAGTGTCCCATCAGCAGATTTATTTGACTGGGAGGAATTATAATTGAACCCAGCCTTTTTCCCACCAAACATTCACCTCTGCATATTTTCCAACAGGGATCACTAGATGGTGATCAGGAGATTTGGCTGTGTTTTTTTTCTCCCCACCCTCATCCACCAGGTTACTGACACTTGGACACTTTTGCAATCTCCTGGAAAGTCCTGTCTGAAAGTTATATATTATATCTTGTTAGATTCCAGCTAGTATACATAAATAGATTGCATTGCAATTTTAGGACAAGACAGTCAGACGATTCTTGTTGCATAAAGCCAGATTAATTTACTGAAACAGCAGCCCATGTTCACTGCTCATTCACCCATACTAGCAACTTTACCAGTACAGGTATGAATTTCCTCTTTTTTTCACTATACAGATCCGGAGTTAAAAAGGATCTTGGGGCTAAGTTCACGTGTTTGGCCCTTTCTCAGGATCAGCCAATGTCACAATAGCAGTTTGACAATAATTCCCCGCTTCTTTATCCCCCCCTCCCCCCATCGTCGTCTCACGAATCTGTGCCCAGGCCTCTTCACACAATGTATGTGGTTGCAAACAGAAACTAGACTGAGAAAGGGGTTGAATTTGCTTCTTTCCAGGCTATGGCACAGCATGAAAAGGCTGCTATATATTTTATATTTCAAGCTGAAACAGGAATAAATTGCAAAATATCAAACAATTTGCATCATGTTTCAAGCAAAAGCCTTTTCAATGTTTTTGAGGGCACTTTGATGATATTATTCCTCATGCTGTATGTTCATGATTGATTTTATAACTTGTTTTCAATTTCACAAATGGTACTTGGCTTTAGTTTATTTAAGGCAATGTTGAAACGTTGCTAACATTTTGAAAAACTGTCCATTCTGTTTCTCACCCAGCTTATCAGCTGCTTCTCTGGACTGTGGTGCAGATGTTGGGGTCTCGTCAATATTGGTTTCTATTTTACAGTAAAGCTGGATGTATTGTGGACTCTCCATCATTGATCATGGCAATAGAAGTGAATGAATCCTTGATATTAATACCTCGGTGGGAATCTAACAAGAAATATTAATGCTCTCATATACAAACAGGTATTCATATTCAATGGACAGGGGACAACAGTGTATTCTGACATTACCTGTTTGTATATGAGAGCATTTGCACTATTTGGTTGAACCAGGAAAAGTGTTTTTGATCTGAATTCTATCAGGTCCCAGATAAGCCATAACGTTTTGCATTTGAATATCAACAAGATCAAAGCCATTTTGTCTGCCTACATCCTTATCTTACCCCATTGCTGCAAAAAAAAATTGTTACCGAGTAACTAGGAACACGGTTGTTAGTCGATTGGTGGATTGCTTTCCGGGGATAATAATCCCTTTAAATAATAATAATTTGGTCACTCCATCCACCACTGTTTGTGGAACACTGCTGTTTCAAACACAAAATATACAGTCAATTCACTTTATAGTGTATTCTGTGAAGCACTTTGAAACGTCTGAATGATGTGATAAATGCAAGGATTATTACTAAAAGTACGTATCCACTGTCACCTCAAGGATAGATTTTTCAAGTGCTCTCCTTGCTGGCCTCCCAAACTCCATTCTCCAAAACCTAAGACTGATCCTGAACTCTGCAAGCAGTATTCTTACCTGCACAAAGCTCTGAGTACCCACGAACCTAATTCTTAGACTCTTCTCCAATGAATTCTAATACCTTTTGAGGATTGAATTTAAGATTCTTGTCTTGATCTTCAAATTCAGTTTCCACCCAAGCTACCAATGTAATCTTCAGTCCTGCCTCCCATTCCATACTTCTTCTGACTGTTTGCTCACTCCACTGTCAACCGCTGTTGAATGCTCCTGTGCTCTGGAATTCTTCCAATTCCACTCTGCCTTGATAATTCTTTCTATGCCTTCAATAACCTCTGAAAGCATATTTCTTTGGCGAATGTCATCATCTTTAAAACTTTAATTTCCCCACTTGGTGTGCACCACCACATTTGCCAACCATTTTCAGATGATCTTTTCCATGAAAAGCACAATCTAAATGCAAGTTGTTGCTGAATACAGATTGCAATATTTTTAGTCTTTTAGCTTTTGTACTTTGTTAAAAGATGCTTTTTCTATTAAATTTTTAAAATATATTTTATATGTTCTGTATCCCGGCAGAGGAATTTTGCCTCCAATCACAGCAACGGTGTAACAGCATTTCTGAAATTGGCAATTAGAGTTGTGCACCAACAGGGCTACTATAAATTCCTTTCTATGGGTATAATCCTAGTCCTCTATTTCACTTGGGTGTTTGGTGTCTAATATTATTATATCGTGGATCTGTTTGTCTGCAAAACCTAATGCATTTAAATTGTACACAGTTATGGTGGATCCAGTAGCCAATGATTTAGCTCTTTCATAATCACATAGCAACTTCATTCTATTCACTAAAGTAATGAGGGGACTGAACATTTTTTTAATTTTCAGTTTTGCGTTTTATTTTCACCATGAATCTACATTACTTGATAGCAGTTGTCGGTATTTAAATAAAACTCAAAACTGAAGATAAATTCTATGCGTGACGAACTCTTAACAAGTAATGCAGAGTTGGAAACGTTCTGGTCGGAAAGTTTACCTATTCACTCCCATTTATCATTCACACAGCTTGAAATAGCAGTTAATGTCTCAGACAGGACCTATGATAGTGACCCTGAACAGCCACTCCCTGTGGTGCCTGATAAACATGACCCCAGTCAGTCAAGCACCCCAGTTCCAGAAGGAGAATGCAACCCATCAGCTGATGATCAGGTCAACCTTTTTGTTGTAAGTTGTTGTCGTCTGCTGTTTCCACATGTGTGTATCAGTAATATTTTTTAAAAAAAGTACTGCAGTTACATAATATACAGTTATCTCCAATCAACTGTGGCTTTCAATTCATAAAAAATAATTCAGCAATAAAATCTTTTCAATGTTTTGATTCTCAGTATGTTCCTTGTTTATGGCGAAATCGAATTCAAATATATTTTGTGTGCTAAAATGTAATATGTAGGTTTAGATTTCTACAATATAACAATAAGTTGTGTAAAATGGTCATTGACTTGGTATATTCAATTAATTGTCCACACTGTGTCTAATGGCAAAAAGCTACATCATCACTTCAGTGAAATTTCCTGCAGAAATTGTAGTCTCTATTTAAATGCCAAGTACAAGCCACCTTTTTAGAAAACCTCCAGAAATATAGTGAGCTGAAGAATTACTTTACATAAATCAATACAGTTTGATTACTGGAGCAGTAAGGTTTCAAACCTTTTCTGTTTTATTTACAGGAAGTTTTTGAAATTGCCAGTGAAGAAATGAATAAAGGTAAGAAAAGGCCTGAACACGCTACTCAGTGCTGTCTTGATTCAGTAATTTTGATGTGTATAATTGGAGTCGTGTAGCTCAATGGTAAGAGCGCTCACCTTGCAAGCGAGAGACCTGGGTTCGATTCCTGGGCAAGGTGAAATGTTGGGCAAGTTTCCTTACTCCACACACATGCCTTTGTTTACCTTGAAGTAAGTAGAAACGGATTGCTTTTCCGGGGGTAATAACTCCTTAAAAAAAAATTGATCACTTAATCCACGACTGTTTGTGTGACACTGCTGTGTGCGATTGGCTGTTGTGTTTCGCGCACAAAGTAAACAGTCAATTCACTTTACAGTATATCCTGTGAAGAGCTTTGAGACGTCTCGAAGACGTGATAAGGCGCTATATCAAATGCAACGATTATTATAGTACAATACAAAATTACATTTGTATAGTTTTTCACATCGAGAGGATGTCCCAAGTTGCTGGACAGTCATGCTATTGAATTGGTCACTGTTAATGGTGCTAAAAAATCTAATATATCTTTGAACGTTTGCCATTGTTTGTCTACCATCATATGTTTTAATCTACTTTCCCAGTCTATTTTAGCCAAATTGTCCCTGATACTGTACGTTAATACGTTTCGCCCACAAAATATACAGTCAATTCACTTTACAGTATATTCTGTGAAGTGCTTTGAGACATCTCGAAGGTGTGATAAGACGTTATATCAAATGTAAGGATTATTAATAATAATGTACTGCAAACCTTGGAGGTTATTCTTCCATTTTTTATAAATTTGCTGATCTTCAGTCGGTAAAAAGCGTGCGCGATGGAGTTTTTACGATAGGAAATGCAGCATTCTGAATCACTGTCATCTCTTTCTATCTTGCCTATAATTTAAGAGCTCTCCTGTTGAAATTCTACCTTTGGAATTTGCAGACCATTTCAAACTTAATTATGCACTTTATGTTTTTGCTCTCCTCACACTTTGTATGTTTCCTACTTGCCAGTCCTCTTGAGAGATTCGACTGACCTCATAAAATGCTGCTGTTGGCCTTCTTCACAGGTGGCTGGGATCTTCTTTGCTCTGGGTTGCTTTGTTCTTTGTTCTCTCTTGAGAGTGATCAGCCTTATTGGATAATATTCTATGTGTGGAGCACCTTATCTAAGTAAGCTCTCATCATATGTAAAGCTAGACAGTAAGAGTTCCCTCAGGCTTAGCCACCTGTGTCACATTTTTGTAAAGAAACAATAATAAATTGGTCAGTTTCAATCCACCACTGTTTGTGGGACACTGCTGTGCGCAATAGGCTGCATTGTTTCACCCACAAATATACGGTCATTTCACTTCACAGTCTATTCTGTGAAACGCTTTTGAGATGTCGAGAAGATGTGAAAAGCGCTATATCAAATGCAAGGATTATTATTATTATTCTCTTCTTCACCCAGTCTTCTTGTATATCTCCAGCTCTGGGACTTGCATCTTTAAATTATATTGCAGGTAACCATGCAGGAAGCTCAAAGTCTGCCATATTTGTAATATTCAAAGAACTTCCTTTTCATTCACATATCAATGCAGCTAAAGAGGAGAATGTTCTAGGTGAGACTTTTTTTAAGCTTAGGATCTGTACAGATCTTGGATGAATTACTGAACTCTATCATTAACTGGACATAAAAACAGAAGTCACGAGTATTGTGCCTAGCGCTACTCAGATTTTATTGTACATTTGATTTGAGCCAATATATTAATTCTTGCATTTGATATACAGCCCTATCGCGTCATTGAGCGGTCCCAAATTGCTTCACAGGATTTATTGTAAAGTATAGTGACTGTATTTGTAGTCCAACTAGGAAGCCAATTTGCACACATCATTGTTCCACAAACAGCCATGAAGTGAATGGCAGAACAGTCAGTTCTGCAAATCTAAAACTCCACTTAGTAACAACACAGTATCATGTATCCTCAGAACAAAGCTCCATCTTTCAATCAACCTCAAAACAGTTCAATGAATATTAAAGCTGCAGAGATTTTGTACTGGTAAACTGTTTTCTATTTGCTTCTATTCTGTCCTCAAAATAAAATTTAGGAAGTCTCATAGCGTAGTGGTTTGTGCGATTAAGACAGGACCGGGTTGATTCCTGGCAGGGCGAAACCTTAGGCAAGTTTCCTTACCCCAAATGCCTCTGCTTACTAGTAGTAAGTAGGAACCTGGTTGTTAGTCGGTTGGCAGATCGCTCTCTGTGGGAAATGGTTTGTGTGTCAGCCTGGCACAGTAGTAGTACTCGCACCTCTGACTCAGAAGGTTCCAGGTTCAAGCCAAAACGGAACTGTATCAATGTTTCTTTCTCTATAAATTGCATTTATGCTTTTAGTAAATAATGCTAACTTTTTATTATGAATGATGGTTCAATTAGAGAAGGACCCTTGCAGCGTGGAGCCCAGTGACACTTGCATCGCGGAGCCCGGGGACCCTCGCATCGCGGAGCCCGGGGACGCTCCCATAGCGGAGCCCGGGGACGCTCGCATCGCGGAGCCCGGGGACCCTCGCATCGCGGAGCCCGGGGACCCTCGCATCGCGGAGCCCGGGGACCCTCGCATCGCGGAGCCCGGGGACCCTCGCATCGCGGAGCCCGGGGACCCTCGCATCGCGGAGCCCGGGGACCCTCGCATCGCGGAGCCCGGGGACCCTCCCATCGCGGAGCCCGGGGACGCTCCCATCGCGGAGCCCGGGGACGCTCCCATCGCGGAGCCCGGGGCCCCTCGCATCGCGGAGCCCGGGGCCCCTCGCATCGCGGAGCCCGGGGCCCCTCGCATCGCGGAGCCCGGGGCCCCTCCCATCGCGGAGCCCGGGGCCCCTCGCATCGCGGAGCCCGGGGCCCCTCCCATCGCGGAGCCCGGGGCCCCTCGCATCGCGGAGCCCGGGGCCCCTCGCATCGCGGAGCCCAGTGAGCCTGGCAGGAGAAAGCTCAATGACTCTTGCAGCACAAAGCTTTGTAACCCCGGCAGTGCAGGGCTTGGTGATGGATTACACAATACTGAGGATACTCATGGAACCTGCGCAAATCAGAAAATCGTGGATCAGGCTTCTGTTCATGGTGGTGACCCTTCTTTGCAAACTGCTGAAACGATTGAAACAGAAATTAAGTCTAGGAAAGCTGACGAGCAGAACGTTTCTACAGGACGAGATGTGAAGGATGCGCTGTTATCTGAAAAAGAGAAACCAACTCAATCAAAAGAGGACTCCAGCAGTAGGAGTTTTAGGTATGTCTGGTTCAGATTTTAAGGCTTATGCCCCTTATAATGGATTCCTCTACCAAAGGGAATTAGCAGAATAGTGCAGAGATCAGTCCTCTCCTCAAAATATATTGTAGCTTATCTCCATGGATCTCATTTAGATGAGATCTAACTACGCTAGTTCTGTGCAAGGAGAACTTTCCTCTGAACTTCTTCTAAACTTCAGCGCTGCGAGTTTAAACCTGCTGCTATGTTGTATGAAGAATCGGGTGCAAGATTTTTAAAAAATTAACAAATTGTGCTTGTTCTCCATTTGTTGATTAATTGGTGTTTGGACCAGGTCTTGTGAAAGTTTCTAATTCCGATAGCTGTGAAATTGAGACCATTGCATGAATCATTCTGAGACCAAGTGCACTGCTATTGAGAAACAAAAACGAATAATATTGTCAGCTCCCTGGATAAAATGAATGATTGGAAGAGTTAGCTACAAAGTTGTCAATTGTCAGCCCACTCTAACAGTCTTCAGGTTTTTTTTTTGAGACACTCTTTTGGACCAGAAACTGGAAGATAAAATTGGAACAGTAAGAACCGATATTTATTTGTTCTCCTTCACTTTAGTGCCTCTTCAGCTATTGAAGTGAATGATGACACACAGGGAAATCGAGCCGTGGGCAAGTCCAGAAGATCTAGGTTTCTAAAGCCAAGGCCCAACCTCAGTAAAAACGCAGCTCGAAGGCATGTAAAAGAACAACCATGTTCAGGTGCAGAGATGGTAGAAACCCAGAGCTCCAATGCACCATCAGCACCTACTTCAGAGAGGACAAAACATGGTAAGCAAAATGGGAATTTTTAAAAATCTGATCAAAACAACAACTTGCATTTTTATAGTGCCCTTCAATAGCATTAGCATTTTGCAGCATTTACCAGCAAAGTGATTTGACACCAAACTGGAAAAGGAGGGGAGTGACCGAAGGCACAGTCAAAGAGGAAATTCTTCAGGTGTGATTGGAAGATGGGCAAAGAGGGGCAAGACAGAGGGACTGAGACAAGGAGTTCCAGAGATTTGGGACAGAGTGGCAGAAAGCATGGATGCCATTTGTAGTGTGAAGGGGATAGGGGACATGCAGAAGGCCTGAGTCAGCTAAGTAAAGGCGTGCGGAGTGAGCAGATTGGAGAAGTAGGGAGATGCCAGGGCGTGAACTGATTTGGAAGTGAGATTGAGGATCTCTCCAAAGAAAGACCTTTTTTGGGGGGAGAAATTGCACCTGGGACCAGATTTACTCTATTTGTGTAGCATTTTAAAGTGTCCAGAATTTGCCAAATTATTGACTTAACTTTAACTTGTTTTCTGTTGTTCTTAATCAAATGAATTCCATTTCCAGATATTCCTAATTCTTTTTAAGAACTGTATGAAGCCTAAATTTATAAAATTTCTAAAATTCCGCATGATCTTAAGGCTAAGGCACTAAAGAATTTTGGCCCTTGGATTGGTTGCAGGATGAATATTTTCAATCAAACAACTTTCAAGCAACATGTTTCTGGACCCTTTGTTGTTGATATTACTCTGGAGTCCGCTTTAGCCGGATGCATCAGGGTTAACCGGTGTCCGGCTAAAATGGATTCCACTGTATCTAATAGTGAGAAGGTGTGACCGTCAAGAGTAACTTGCCATTCATTTTAGCCTTCTCTGTTGATTAGCTTCCTGATTGAAAATAAACATTCATCCTTTTGTGTATTGTTGGCATGAGGTTGTTTCCTATATAATAGGAACCTATATTGCAACAGATGTTTGAAAGATGTTTAAAATTCTGTCTTTTTGTAGCTGATGAAATGGAAATGAAGAGCAGTGACTCCCTGCAGATTCGCCTCTTGGGAGGGGAAGGTGATGAGCAAGATAAAACCAGGGAACAGTCTCGAGCTGATCAACCAGCAGATGAGACATTGTTGATAACTGAGAAAATGTACAAATACATGGAGGATAAAAAGCAAATGATCCAAAGCGAGCCTTTAAGTGAAAGGTGAGGATGAAATATCAATAGATGTTGAGAACAAGAAAAAACAAATGCAAGTTATCTTGTTTTGCTTCCAGGGAACAATAGCACAAATATAAGCAGTAGATAAGTGGAATATGCGACATTTCATTTCAAACATTGCATGTTGTTTTGCTTCATTGTTCTTGCTATTATAAAGCGAAGTAAAATTCTCTTCAGGACATCTCCCGGACACGATCTGCTACTTCCAGTTGATCAAAACCAAGAGACAGGAGAGAGAATTTCCTCAGACTCATGGTGTCAGCAACCCACAGTCGACCTCTGTCAAACCTCCGATACAAGGTTGTCTTCAGAAGTTGCAGAGACAAGTGTAGAGGTTTCAAGCTTGGGTTACGATCAGAAGGTAAGCAGCGCTAAGGAAGATTAAATCTTTTATCGTTTTGGAAAATAACCTTGGTACTCCATTCTAGTAATATCTTTGTTCACTTTCACACTGTAATTGTGAATTGCCTTGTGCAAATCGTATTGTATTGCTAAAAAAGTCTTTTTTTCCAACAATAAAAAATCCCCCCACCCCATGTCTGCATGGAGGAAACTAGAATTCCCCCAAACTTCTATAAGAGTTAATGCAACATTGGACAGGGTAGAGATGTAGATCATCCAAATAAAAATTGAAGTCCTGTAACTACTTAATGAAGTTACAGATTTTTTTAAAGTGCATCCACTTCCCAAACAGATGGGGTTTGCGATGTGACCCGACCAGTATTTCTGTAGCCCAAACAAAATATTGTTAAACATAAACAAAAGAAACAAAATATGTGGAGAGGCTAATCAGTGTTTTAAAGCCCTTCATCCTTTCCTGGCTACACATTTGCCACATTTTTTCTGTTTTGGTTTCATATTTCCAGCATTCTCATAGGCAAAGAAACATCAATGTTCACTTCATGTTAAATAGAAACTTCACTTTGGGATTTTCTTACCTTGGTATTGATCCTGCAGTGACTCCCAAAGTATCTACCACATAGCAATTGGTTGGGTTGTGAGGTCACACTGCAAAACGCATTTTATTCTCCATCGTTGGCACCATTTGTCATAAAAGCTACAGATGAAGATAGTTTAATATATATCTTGAACGTGGATTGGTTTTAACTATTGCAGATTGACGTCATGGAAGCTAAAGATATGGAACACCAAGGAATGAACACTTTTGAGGGAGATTCTGGTAATTGTCCTGAAAGTTTTGAAACTACTTTATACATTTTTTTGTTTAAACTGTTTAATTTATACTTTCAAGCTGGAAAGCGTTGATAGTTGGGAATAAATTAAAAGTTTCTAATTCTGTTGAGAAATCAAGGTAATGTCATAAGCAAGTCTCTAGTTTGTGAATGAGACCTGAAGTGACCAAATTATTATTATTTTGTTTTTGAATATATACTGTATGTGCCCTTTTTGAGAGAGGTCACTACAGTGATCTTTGACTGAATTTAATCCCTGTATCCAGAGGCCATAAGGCCTATTGTAATGTCCCTGCTACCACAGCACAGGTAAGCTAACAGCACAGTCCTAGGAACCGTCCTAGACTAGGATATGGCATGGTGCATTTCTTTCTTGTTTGTGTTTTTTTTCTCTCAAACTATTATTGTGGTTTCCTTGCATGGATATTTTGGACCAGTAGTTTTGTTAAAAGCATCTTGAAAGGACATTTTATTGTTTTAATTGATAGTTTATTTTAAGCTTTAATTTCATTATATTGTTTTTAAATAACTCAGGGTGATAAAAAAATTAAGTATTTATTTCTCTCTGAGTAGGAATGGATAGATTGACAATGCTTTTGCATTTACCTTATTCACTAATTAATCAGTCTTGAGTTTCCTCTTTAGAAAGAATTCCAAGTTTGATAAGCTAAACATTTAAAGTCTTTGTGATTGTGGTTGCATTTCTTTCAGAGAATCTTATGGCGATTGGGAGTTCAAAGGAGGAGACATTTATATTAACCTTAGTTGAGATCCCGACATCCAGTTTAAATGAGTACGATCCATCTTCCACCTCCTTTATGCCATTACCGGAAGCTCCCCTGGCAGTAGTTGAACCAGTTATATCCCTACCGATGGAAAATATAGAAGATGCAGAAGCAGTGAGGTAAGGCTTTAATATTTGGGATGTTGAAGCTACTTAGAATCTATCTTAAACTTTCAGTAGTTGGCGGTTGATGGAATAAGTTTAGATGAGTTAATGTTCCGACACTTTGAAAGTCCATATTTTATCCAAAGAGCGATCTTTTAACCTATCATTTGTCCATCTGGTTCCTTTCCTAAAGAGCTGACTCGGTCGGGTACGGATTCACAGTACGTACCTGCTCTCCGATACCTTGCCCTAATGATCATTCTTAAAGTGTGAGCTCAGTGAGTGAGTGTCAACAGGCTAGGATTCTGTAGGGTATCAAAGCTTAGCCTGTTCTCACTTGACATGTACACGTTTGCACTTTCTAACAAGATTACTAGATAACAATCAGGAGTGGCAACCTTGGCTGATTTGCCAAGCCCAATTGTGGTTTCCTGACTGCTGCTTTGGCTAGCAACAGCCAATACAGCACAGATGGGAAATCAAACCTCTTGCTAACCTGTGCCTAAAGAAATTAAAGAACAGCAAGGAGTGTGTGTTTCTGGGAGAGACCATATTTATGTGGAATTCTCAGTAGTTTGGTTTGGAGATTCTTAAACATGGTGATGGATTTCTACTTATGTCATAAATCTTGATTAACCAAAAATATGAGCTGTCTGAAGCTGGGATTAAGGTACGTTGTGGGTCAGAGTGTTCGAGCTTTACTGTGTTGTGTACTAATACTGCTTGACTGGGCAATGCTTCAAGCTGGCTCTTTTAATAAGAGCAGGAAAGATCCTATTCCCCAGCGCTGACATTATTTACTGTGAAACGTTAACAAAAATCTAGCTTTCAGAAAATGAGATCTTGCTACAATTACTGTTTCCATTCTTGCAGTACTGAGCCCTTGGTAGAAGCTCCTGATATAGTCACTGTAGCTGATAGAACACCACTGATAAAAGCTTCACCACAGAGACGCTGCTTAAATAAGCCAAAACCTAATCTACATCAAATGGGGAGAAAAAGGAATGCTCCTAGTGTGAAGAACTGTCGAGATGCTCCTCCTGATAAAAACAGTACAACAGTTGCACCAAATACTGAGAGATGTGAAGAAATCGCTCCACAAGTTGAAGAAGCTTCTCAGTCCAGCTTAACTATCAGCACTTCACCTGAGGTAAGGCTGCAATACTGAAATGTTATGTTAATAGCTTGTAAGGTGGATTTCCTCTGCATTATGGTATGTTCATTGGCTTATACCAAGGTTGCTGATGTTAAACATTAAAGGAGAAAAGCCCAAATTATCTAACCTACAGTATCTGTTCTGGGGCTACTATTAGGTACGAAGAGAAAAAATATTGTTCTCCAGTATCATAGACTTGATTTTATTCTAAGAAACTGCTAAATGGTACAAAGCACGTCTGTTGGGTATATTAAGTTGCATCTGAAGAGCTCTAGGATTAAGTGTTGTAATTCTGCTGTTTGTCTGTTTTGCAGAAATGTCCAGTGATTTTCACAACAAATATGTCTGGTAATTATGGTAAGTGTGATTTTCAAATATAGCTATAGCATGATTGTGACTGTTGGGTCTTTTTCAGTGTACAATGACAACAACTTATATTTATATAACACCATACACAGAAAATAAATATCTTAAAAGCACTTCACAGAATTAGATTAGTTAGAAATTAATTAGAAAATGCATTCAGATGAACTAGTAGTTGGTAGTTTTGTGAACTTTGCTCAGACATTTGTATTGGGCATGTGAAATTGTTTGCTTTTTTTTAATAGTTCTACTTCCTAGGATCACTTGTGGAGTCCTGTAGCTCAGTGGTTATAGCACTCTCTTTTGCAAGCGAGAGACCTGGGTTCGATTCCCGGCAGGGTGAAACCTTGGGCAAGTTTCCTTACTCCACATGTCTGATAATAATTCCTCAAGAAAAAAAATAATAAATCGGTCATTTTCAATCCATGACTGTCTGTGGGACACTGTTGTGCACAATTGGCTGCCGCATTTCGCCCACAAATATATACAGTCAATTCACTTTGCAGTTTATTCTGTGAAGCGCTTTGAGACGTCTAGAGGATGTGAAAAGCGCTATATCGAATGCAAGGATTATTATTTAAGATAGTTTTGCAGTAATGTTTCTGGTCATGGCAATGAAAAGCATTCTAATGTAAATATCGAAAAGCATTTTATGAACTATTCTTTGTTTTAGTTTCAGGCTATTAATTTTGCAAATCTGGCAGCGATTACCAGTTGAAAAATTTGTCTGGGCTCATATTTAACCTGAGGATACAAAGGATGGGATTTAGTTGTGCTGGCAGCACCGCTTTCTTCCAACTCCGCCACATTGCCCGTCTCTGCACATTACCTGAAACTCTTATCCATGTCTTTGTCATCTTTCGGCTGGACTACACTAACGCCCTCCTCACCGATCTCCCTTCCTCCACTATTCACAAAATCCAGCTCATTCAAAACTTCGCCTTCTCATCCGCACCAAACTCTGCACCCCAATTACTCCAGTCCTTGCCAAACTCCACTGGCTCCCTGTCACAGAGTGGATCGGATTCAAGATCTTCACTCTAGTGTTTAAATCCTCCCATTCCTTGGCACCCCCCCACCTCTCTAACCTCTCTCCCCACAGCAGTCTCTGCTGCCTCTGCTCTACTGGGTCCAGCCTCCGCGTCCCCCGAATCCTCCGCTCCACCATCGGTGGCCGTGCCTTCAACCACTACACCCTGAAACTTTTGAACTTTCTTCCTCAACCCCTTCGCTTCACCCACTCCTTCCCCATCTTCAGGTCGTGCCTGAAGACCTTCCTTTTCGACTGCGCCAACTGGCATCCTTCCCTCTCACTCCGGCTCAGCCTTGGGCTCCACCATTGTTAAGCGCTCGGAGACGCCGCGTGGCATGGAGTCCGCCATATAAGTGCAAGTTGTTGTTTTGTTGTTGACAGATGAAATATGGGATGTGGTTATTGTATGTGTAAAACTGAATTTCAAAGATAAGTTTAGTCAGTGATGGAAAAAATATATTATATATATATTAGAGAAAGAAAAAGTGAACATTTCAAGGCAGAGAGAGAGAGAGAGAGAGAGAGAAAAGAGCTGGCAAAGTACGGTGATATAGAATCCATATAAAAACTGATACTAATGGAAGAAGTTTTTTTNGGTGAGCACCATTCAAGCACTGTGTAATTTGTATGATATACAATTATCCTCACTATTTACTTACCTACAATTCGGTCACTTCCAGTTAGTGCGAATAACTGTATTTTGAAAGTGATGTCATTTGTTCCCCAAAGATGTTGCTCCATCAGAACCCAATGAGACTTGCAGTTCTGCTCTGTTGAATAATGTAGACCCTCTACCTGTTGAAAATGTCACTGACCCTTGCTCGGAACTTGCTGATGAACCAAAAAAACTTGCATCGAGGATAAGAAGAAGTAAGTAGCTAATTTCAAAGTGAATTTGTTTTGCGCTGTGCACTTCACGCAGGAATGGGTTACTATAATTGGTTTATTATACACAGAAGATAATGCCTGGTTCAGACTCATCTTCATCCAGCTAATTTCCCAGGTAGTGAGTAGTAACCAAATCAAAGTGTGTGACCATCTATTTTTATTATCTGTGCACGATTTAGATTTTCTAAGCAAATGCTTTTCTGTCTTAAAAGGGATGAAAAATCTTTTTTTTTTTTGAAAAAAGCTTATCCTTAGAACTGTTCTATTAATTGAGTACAAAAATTAAAATAATCTACTTGGCAATTCAGTGGACTCTGTGGCAACCACTTTGGGCAGTCATCAAATTAAGCAGATACACTGGGGAGAATGGAAGCCATGGAGGATATCTGCTTATCAGTGTCAGTGGGATTATGAACAAGAGTAGGCCATTCATCCCCTTGAGCCTGTTTTGCCATTCTATTAGATTATGGCTGATCTGTACCTCAACTCCATTTATGCGCCTTTGCTTCATATCCTTTGATATTCTTACCTAACTATCAGTGTGTTGATTGTCAATCTTGTTTTGGATGTCTGAGCCATATGTTATGATACACTTAGGCTACAAAACCCAAAGTGCACTAGTCTGCTCCATTCATAACTGACTGGTTTCTGTTAATCTTCAGATTACATCAGTCATCTGATTTTTCTCAAATTTACTATTTGTAGGTATTGCTAAACAATTAAGTGCCAGTTTAGGTTAGGCAGAAAGATTACTTGTATATTTAAGAATACTTTTGGTTTATTATTTATTATCTGGTGTATCTCTATTTTCTAGGTAAACTTTCAGTAAAACCTAATTTTTCAGCAAAAAGAACTGCAGCTACATGTGAGCCCAAGCTACCAGCTGGAAATAAACCAACTCAAAAACTTTCAAAATCATCAGGAAACGCATCTCGCCCTCAGGCCTCTCAAGTAATGTTGGAAACTGAACCAATTTGCAATTCTGCAACTGATGTGAACTCAGAACAAGAGCCAGAATCATTGTGCCATCTTCAAGTGCCAACTGATATACAAGAGACAGCAGCTACCACTGAAACAGTTGACACCGCTTCAGAGAGGTTGGCAGAAGATGTAGCAGAACCATCTGAAATAAACGCACCAAATACAGCTTCCTCTTCCAGGGCACCATTAACCAGGTAAAGAGGTCAATGGTAAAATATGATTTACTTGATGATTTACTACAACAACAAGATTACATTTGTGTAGCGCCTTTCACGTAGGGAGGGCGACCCCAAGGCGCTGGACAGTGTACAGCATTTCAGACCCGATCTGGGGTCGGAGGTGAAGGGAGGGAAGGGGAAGGGGGGGGTTGACCGATGGCATGGTTGAAAAGGAGGGTTTTGAGGTGGGACTTGAAGGAGGCTAAGGAGGGGGCGAGGCGGAGTGATTGGGAGATGGAATTCCAGAGGTTGGGGGCAGAGTGGCTGAAGGCTCTCCTGCCAGTGGTGGGGCGGGTGGGTCGGGGGATGTGGAACAGGCCAGAGCCGGCTGAGTGGAGGGAGTGCGTGGGTTGGTAGGGGGTTAGGAGGTCACAGAGGTAGGGTGGGGCAAGGCCATGGACTTCGTAGGTGAGGACCAGGATCTAGATCTGGTGAAGTGAATGTATAGGTCAGTCTCTGCCCTGCTTGCAAGATTAAAGTACAGCCTTTAACCCAGCACATCAAAAAAATCACCCAACACATTTCAAACTTACCACATTTCAATTTTTTCTAAAATTTGAGTTTTACTGTAAGTTTTTTTTTAAATTTGAAGAGTTACAAGGAAATTTCTGTTTTTTTTTACACGTTTCTTTTTAACCAATGATTACTGATATGGGAGCATGTGATGCTACATGATGCCATGTGCCATTGTGGGTCACATGCCTGTGTTAAGTAATAATAATCTTTGCATTTGATATAGCGCCTTATCACGTGCTTGAGACGACTCAAAAGCGCTTCACAGGATATATTGTAAAGTGGAGTGACTGTGTATTTTGTGGGCGAAACGCAATAGCCAAATGCGCACAGCAGTGTCCCTCAAACATTTGTGGATTGAGTGATCAAATTGAAAAAAAATTGGGGGGGGATTATTTTGGGAGGGATTATTAAAGCGATCTGGCAATTGACTAACAACCAGGGTCCTAATTACTGCCAGGTAATAGAACCGTGTGGAGTAAGTAAACTTGCATAAGGTTTAACTTGATTAATTCATACTAATTTGCAACTGGAGGGCAATTTTTTTAAGTCATTCAAATATTCCATTAGAACAGAAAGTGTTCAACAGAAAGTGTTCAGAACTGGAAAGAAGATTGGTTTTGATTAGATATACCACCCCCCTCCCACACGCACATTGTCGAAATACAAGCTACATTTTATTGTCTTCCTTATTAGTGCTGACAGATTTTTGTGTTGGTTTATTTTTTTTGCTACATGGCTGCACCAAACTCCTGCCCTTCCAAAGCTGCAGTTAAAACATTCTGGGTGCTGTATTGGCAAGTAAGTTTAAGCAAGTAAGGTGTGATTCTGTTGTTTTTTAATAGGCCGGGACGTAAACCGCGAGGATTTTTATCTTTTATATCTAAGAAGTCCAGTGAAAGTGAAACAAAACCCAAAAGGACTAAATTTCAGAAGCCTCGTATGAATGTTCCACGTATTGCTGGAAAGAGATCAGCACCATCGCCTGAAGATACTGCAGAAACAGAAGCGAGTCTTTCTCTTACTGCAAAGAGGAAATCACTTGAGAGCCAAAGTGCAAGCCTTCCTGACACCAGTGGTGCACCTTCTGAAGTACGTAATTTGTTATTTAAGGGGGTTTGTGAACATTAAAGACATGAAGCAACAAGTATTTTAGACTATCTTTAATTCGGTCACTGTTATGAGTGTTGCTCATGTTTATAAATGTCTCATTGCAGGTAGCACATCATTCCTCGGTGCAGTGTTGGCAGTCAGAGTCGTACAAAGAAGAGGCCTTCTGTGCAGGTCAGCAGGATACTGAAGAGGCACCAACCAGGGTTGCAGAATATTTTTTTAGCGATATCTTCACCGAGGTAGAGGACCTAGAGTGAAGAAAGAAGATTACTGTGAAAGGAGTATATTTTATTGGTGCTGTTACATCACGGAACAAAGTGATTAAGACATGAACTAATCACAATGCTGAGAAAGATGTGATACGTGGACACGTACAGGCCATGACTTTTGCTTTCTTTTGCACTGATACCCTGTAAAATATTTGTCCTCCTTAGTAATATCAATGTGTAAAAAACATTTGCTGCAACCCCGTTCCAATATTCTTGGTAGGAAATATCAAGATTTTTTAACAGAATGATTTATTACAATGTGATATTTTTCTTAGTAACTGTACATTCTTCAAAACTGTGTTCTATTGTTCTCCGTATATCTTCCAATTAATTGGTTAGATAACCCTGGGCAATACATAAATGTTTCATCCACGCAATTCAGCTGCTGTGTAAAATATGGAAAAAAATCTTTGATCCCATTCAATCTAAATGACTAATTTTGTTATAAAATCAAAAATATGCAGAAGTGGAAACCATAATTGTCTTGCTGTTATACCAAGGGACATATCTATCTATTCTGATCCATACTTCAGGATTATTTTCTGAAGTGCTACAGATCTGTATAGTTAGAAAAATATGAATTTGAACAAGACATATGTATAAAATTACAATGTTTAGTGTATTGCACTTTAACATCTAAAGTAATCAGGATTATTTCTGGAATATGGAACTTAGAGTTATAAATATTAAGGGAATTATGATCTACTTGGACAATTTGCCTTTCGGAGATTGCCTTTGAATGGGATATTTTTGGTGACAATTAATTACAAATTCATCATATTGAAACAAAATAGTGGAAATTCAGCCAAAAAAATACAACCTGAAAGGAAACAAATTGCAAAAGATAGTCCTGCTGATTGCAAAAAGTGAATAATTTGTAGTGATGGGATTGGTTTCCATGGTGGCAGATGGTAGTGTACTATGTTTCAGTTTTTAAAGCAGAAGAATGAGGCTTGGGCCAGGTCACTGGTCAGAAATATACAAAAGCAGGTGCCAATGTATTGCATTATCTGAATCCAAAGATTGAGGATTTGTTTTAGATATTAGCCATCATTTTAATAGCCATAGGACAAGCTGACTGTGATTTTTGTCAGAAAATTTCCCTCAATCTTGAACTTACAATATTCCCATCACTCACAAATTTATACAGCATTGCTATAATGATAAGGATTACATCCAGACAGGTGAAAATAAGGGTCTTAATACATTAACTTCACTGCTCTGTCCCTCTGTCACTCATTGAAGATCGAAGAACATGACAGTGACATTTCATAACTTTAACTTGGTCGTTTAATTATGGCTAGAGATTGCCATTATAGTTTTTTTGGGCACTGTTAACAAGGATTTAAACTGACAAAAAGAAGCAAACATGAACAAACACCAAGTGCTGACCCATTTAACTGGATTTTAATGTATTGGATAATTGAGTGAACTCATATTTATTTGTTCTACATGTCAAGAATGAAATGCCCATGAATTTTCTTTTTGAAATTATCTGCACTTCTGGTTGAGTTTTTTTTAGTATATTTGTACATGAAATGTTTATTTTTAAGTTTTAAACTACAAATGAAAACTTTTGGTTGAACTAATTTTTTTCAGATCCATTTTAAAATTTACCTTTTTTAAAAAGCTCCATTTTCCATGTTAAAGTATGCTGTCAATATGCTGTATTTTTTTCTTCAGTGCAGTGTTCATTGATCACAAGTGCAAATCATTTCTCACTTTTTGTGTATGAACGGTTATGTAAAATAATCCTATTTTTCTTTAAAAATGAGCGCACAATTTTGTTTTGAGGTAATAATGAGCCTGTTACACTGGTAACTGACCCAGCTATTGTGGAAATCTTACTTGTGCTGCAATCGTTGCTTGGACTAATCTGAAATAGCATTACAGTAGGAACTCTTGCCTTCCGAAAGGGTGTGTGTGTGTGGACAGAAACCTCTCAGGGAGCCAAACATCATCTTTTGAAGCTATGGGTTCCAGGCTTAGTTTAAATAAAACTGGTGTAGTATATTTTGCTGGTACTCAATCAAGATCCTGGCTGGAATGGAAGAGAAATAATATTTCAGCCTTGATCATCATCGTCCATCATTTTTGTTCTCTTTCAAGCCATTCTGGAAAAGCCTAAGTGTCAGAAGCTCAATTAAAGGTCTACGCAAAACTTTTTCAATTGACCCCAATATTTGGAAATGCTGGCTGTTTGAGGAGGAGTCAATTATGGAAATATTCACAAATGCGTGAAGTGCCATTGGACAGAAAGTGCTGTTTTCAACATTGCTTGTCTCTTGAGTCAGCAGCTGGGTCAGTCACACATGCATAAATGTAATTTATTGTCACCTTACTCTTCAGTTGGTTGCAGATTTTTATGTACAGTAGTTATTAACTGAATGACTTGACTCAGTTGTCAATTCAGTATCTTCCTGGTTTGGAAGGAATATTACAGTATTACACTCTGAATAGATGGATTCATCTGTTGTAAATTTTGTAAATAAATAAATCTTATACGATTTATGTGTTCAGTGGTGCTGAAGTTGGAAGTTTTTTTGGCTACCTCGACTAACAATGTTTAGCTTTTAGGTTATTAGGTCACTGCTAATGTCACTTCTAGTGTATATGCACACTATGTACAGAAAGTGTCATTCATGTCACTTCCTATGTGCTAAGTTCAGGAAGCATTATAATTGTCGGCGGGAGAGGATACAGGTGGAGTTTGTGGGGGTGGAACTGAGAAGGTCAGTGATTTGGACGTTGGACAATTTTGAAGTGACAAACAACTCCAAATTGGATTTACATAGCTCCTTTTATATCAGGAGGATGTCCCAAGGCATTGGACAGACAAGGGTTTGCACCTAAAAATGGTGGTTGGATTTGGAAATGATGGGGTCAAGGGAAGTGGGGGTGAGGAAGGATGACCTAAGACAAAAAGAAAGGTGTTGAGACTGACCTTAAAGGAGACGAGGTCAAGAAGAGATCGAGAGTGAGACAGCCAGGCTGAACGTCGGTCCTTCGAAGGTAGGGTTGGCAGGATGGGTTGTGAAGCAGTTCAATGTTTGCTGAGTGGAGGGTGCAGGAGGATAGTAGTGTTTATCGGATCTAATGGTCTGTCAACAGATCTGGCTGGACCATATCAAATCCTACCGCTCTGCCCGCATCTCCGCTAAATCGTCGTTCTACTCCAAGACAATCTTGGAGACCAAGGACAACCACAGGCTCCTCTTCTCTCAGCTGCCTCTGCCCTTCCGTCTACTATCCCCTTTCCATCTCTCCCTCTCACCCGGCCCCTACCCATCCCTCCCTCCACACCTTCGAACCCCCTCCCACTCCTCTTTCACCACCACTATAAACCCATGTGAAACTGACCACATGCTCCCTCGCCCCCATCCCTAGCCCTCTCCTTACCTCCCAGCTCCACCTCCTTGCCCCTCTACTCACAGACGTCAAGAACCTCTCCCTGTCCACTGGTACTGTTCCCACCCCATTAAAAACCACCACCATCACTCCTATCCTTAAAAAACCCTCCCTGGACCCATCACTGCTCTCAAACTACTGCCCCGTCTCCAACCTCCCTTTCCTCTCCAAGGTCCTGGAACAAGTTACTTCCCAGCTTCGCTTCTTCCTCTCCCGCCAGTGCCTTCATGAACCCCTCCAATTGGGCTTCCGTTCCACCCACAGCACAGAAACAGCCTTGTTCAAAGAGACAAATGACATTCTGTCCATCTGCAACCAGGACTCCCTCTGCCTCCTTGTCTTCTTGACCTCTCTGCTGCCTTCGATACCGTTGACCACTCTATCCTCATCCACCGCCTCTCCTCTCACCTCAGCATTCACTACTCTGTCCTTGACTGGTTCAGATCATACCTCTCACACAGTCTTCACTTAATGTTCACAAACGGTTTCTCCTCCATCTTGTGCGGTGTTCCTCAGGGTTCTGTCCTTGGTCCCCCTCCTCTTCAATATCTATATGCTTCCTCTTGGTGACATCATCTGCAGACATGGGGTCAACTTCAACATGTATGCGAATGACACCCAACTGTACCTCTGCCTCCACCCTTGACTCCAGGACCACTGCTGACCTGACAGAATGTCTGTCAGACATCAAGTCCTGGATGAGAGCTAACTTTCTTCAGTTAAATGTCAACAAGACTGAGGCGCTCCTGATTGTCTCCTGTCAGCGCCTCCACACCTCAGGCGCTAACAGCATCACTATCCATGGATGTACACTCCACCTTACTAAGCCAGTCAGGAATCTCACCTATCCTTTCTATTCCATATCCGTGCCTGTCCCGCACTGCCTCCCTCCACCTCTGCAACATCGCCCGGCTCCGTCACTGTCTCACATCGCAGGTTGCCGAAACCCTCATACACACATTTATTACATTGAGGTTTGACTATGCAAACTTCTTGTTTGTCAGCCTCCCCAACTACTCCCTCCATAGGCTGCAGATCATCCAGAACTCTGCAGCCCGTGTCCTCCCCCGCACCAGGCTCTGTGACCCTATTGCTCAACTCCACTGGCTTCCCATCACACAGAGGATACAGTTACAAGATCCTGGTCCTCACCTTCAAAGTCCTCCATAGTCTTGGTGCCCCCTACCTCTGCGACTTCCTAAACCCCTACCATCCTCCCTGCTCCTTCCGCTCAGCGGGCTCTGGCCTGCTTTACATACCCCACCTTGCTCGCCCACCACTGCCACTATGCCCCCACCCTCTGGAGCTCCATTCCGCAGTCCCTCCGCCTCGCCCCCTCCCTTGCCTCCTTCAAGACCCATCTCAAGACCCTCCTCTTTGACCGTACCTTTGATCTCCCTGCTTCCCTCCCTGCCCTCTACCCTCCTCAATGCTGACCCCCAGCTCGGGTCCGAAGCTCTGACTGCCCAGCGCCTTGGGACGTCCTCCTGACGTGAAAGATGCTGTACAAATGTAATTTTGTTGTTGTTGTTGTAGTGCTTAAGAAGATCACAGAAGTAGGGTGGGGCAATACCATGGATGACTTTAAAAGTGAGGACAAGTATCTTGAACTCAATCTTCTGTGGGAAGGGGAGCCAGTGAAGCCCAGAAGGGTGGGTGTGATACTCTCATGGAGCCTAGTGTGAGAAAGGCATAAATTAAGGCTTTGGCTGTGTTGGGAGATCAGGTGGCGACAGACGTGAACAATGTGGAAATGGAAGAAAATAGACTTGTTTGGAGCCTCGATGTAAAGGAGAATTGAGGGTCAAACAAAAAGCAGAGGCTGCTTTAACCCGATTCTCTGGAACCCTCCCTAAATCCTTTTGCACCTTTCCTTTATGCTTTCAAAATCTTGAAGTTCAACCTTTGAATTCACCTTGGGTTGCCTTCCTCCTTAACTTTCTTCTCTTTTGAAATGATCTTGTGGGATCTTCAACTACGAGATTGTCTCATTGAAAAGTTGACAAGAGAGGAGAAACCAAACTTCTTACTGGCAGCTTCAGCAATGGCAGAGCAGATACCACTAATGCATCCCGTTTCTCATTAAACACGTCAACATAATAATAATCCTTGAATTTGACACCGCGCCTTATCACGTCATTGAGACTTCTCAAAGAACTTCACGGGATATATTGCAAAGCAGACGGTCTTTTCACGGGCAAATTGCGGCGGCCAATTCGTGCACAGCAACGTCCCGCCAGCAGCCGAATGACCGATTTTTATCTGTGGCGACCGTTGGCCGGGACGCGGGAAGAAACTCCGTTTCTCTTTCCGAACGGTGCCGCGGGATCGTTAACATCCACCCGGACGGCGCCAGGGTTCAACATCCATCCCGTCCAAAGGCCGGAACCTCCAACACACACAGCGGAGCCCGTGTCAGCCCCGGACCCTCCAGCACCGAGTCCTGAATTGGGGCTGAACCCCCAGAGTTATTATTGAGCTGCAGGGGGGGGGGGCAGCCAGTCCACAGGGGGGGGGGCAGCCGGTGCACGGGGGGGGGAGCCGGTGCACGGGGGGGGGGGAGCCGGTGCACAGGGGGGGGGAGCCGGTGCACAGGGGGGGGGGAGCCGGTGCACAGGGGGGGGGGGAGCCGGTGCACGGGGGGGGGGGCAGCCGGTGCACGGGGGGGGGGGGAGCCGGTGCCCCAGTGCACAGGGGGGGGGAGCCGGTGCACGGGGGGCAGCCGGTGCACGGGGGGGGGGGCAGGCAGTGCACGGGGGGGGGGGGGGACCGGTGCACAGGGGGGGGGGGGGGCAGCCGGTGCACAGGGGGGGGGCAGTGCACGGGGGGGGGTGGGGGCAGCCAGTGCACAGGGGGGGGGACAGGAGCGGCGCCATTGGTTGCTGCAGTGGGAGTGTTTGCCCGGGGTTTGACCGGGCGGGCAGGGCAGGGCAGGGCAGGACCGGGCACTCACACCCTCACGGCTGTCGGGGATGCTGCGGGCTGTGAGGCTCAGGCTGTGCCTGGCGGGGGCTGGGCCGGGCTGGGGCCGGGGCTCGGGCTGGGGCCCGGGGCCGGGGCCTGGAGCCGGGCCGCTCTCCTGGCGGCGGCGCTGCTACCACGGGGACACGGTGGCGAGCATTGGCTCACGGCTCGATGCGAACTCCGAGCTGTACCAGGTAGGCCGCAGCTGAAGCCTCGGAGTCGCTTGGAAAGATGAAGCGTCAAAATGGAGGTCACGCCCCCTCCCCCCCACGTTATTGTCCTGACATTGACATGGGGTCTGTGTGGATGCAGCCCCTGTGACAGTGACAGTGACCGTGTGGCGGGGCCTGGGGGGGGGGGGACGGGGGGGACGGGGGGACAGTGGGTGTCAATGGATCCTTCTCGAAAATCACCTTCATTTTGATACCTGAGGCCGAGAGGGTGACCAGTCCGCGCAATTATTGGCGGCCGCGCTTCGCCCACAAATATACGGTCAATTCACTTTACAGTCTATGCTGTGAAGCGCTTTGAGACGTCGAGAAGACGTGAAAAGCGCTATATCAAATGCAAGGATTATTATTATTATTATCAGCCACCCACGCCTTAAGACTCACCGTCACCCCCACCCCCTCCCCCCCCCCCCGGCAGACCTTTCTGTGAGCAGATGAAGTCTTGTGCCAAAGGTGTATTATTCCACCACTTGTTTGGCTGGGGAAATGGGAAATGCCTTTCAATATGCTTTTTCAGGCTTGAGACTGAAGGTAGGGCAATGATGAGGATATATGGTGGTACTGATTCTCTTGGCTGGAGATAACAACTGGCATTTATGTAGCGCCCTTCACGCGGGGTGGCGTCCTGGAGCGCTTCATACTATTCAGAGCGCTCAGAGATGTTACCAATGCCCTCTTCTGCACCAGACTCCATGACCCTATCACCCCCCATCCTCGCCCGACTCCACTGGCTTCCCATCAACAACAACAAGATTACATTTGTATAGCGCCTTTCATGTCAGGAGGACATCCCAAGGCGCAATACAACTGTATCCTCTCACGCAGAGGATACAGTTCAAGATCCTGGCCCTCTTCAAAGCCCTCCATGGTCTTGCTCCCCCCTACCTCCGCGATCTCCTAACACCAACCATCCTGCTTGCTCCCTCCGCTCAGCGGGCTCTGGCCTGCTTCACGTCCCCCACCTCGCTCCCTCCCTTGCCTCCTTCAAGACCCATCTCAAGACCCTCCTCTTCGACCGTGCTTTTGATTACTCTGCTTCCTCCCCTGCCCTCCACACTCCCCATCCCCACCTCCAGCTTGGGTCCAAAACACTGACTGTCCAGCACCTTGAGATGTCCTCCCAACGTGAAAGACACTATACAAATGACATTTTGTTGTTTTTGTTGTTACAGTATTTGTAGGAATAAATTACTAAAAAGGACAAGGAGAAAAGAGCAAAACAACAAATTACATTTATACAGCGGGAGGACACCCCAAAGCACTCAAATTATGTACAAAATACCCCAAAAAATCATTTTACTGACTTTTATTTACATCTTCAAGGAAAATCATGACCGAATGAAGGCCATAGTAAATGAACTAAAGGAACGAGCAGAGAAAATCAGATTGGGTAAGTATTTTGAGAATTTAAGATGTATTTGAGAAAAATCAATGGAATTAAAACCAGTCTGGATACAAATTGGTTACAATGCCTTTTCTCCACCTCTAGTTATTTGCCAAAGTCAGTAATTCAAATTAAGCTTGCTCCTCAATTCTTTCAGTATTATTGATTTAATACTTATGTTTAATTGTTCTCTTCAACCGTGCCTTCAGCTCCCCTCTCGACTCTCTACCCCCTCCTCGCTCCCTCCTTTCCCTCCCCTCACCCTGACCATTTCCCCCCTGCTCGGGTCCCGACCCAACTGTCCAGCGCCTTGGGACGTCCTCCCGCCGTGAAAGGCGCTCTATAAATGCAATCATGTTTTTGTTGTTAACAATGATTTGTAGTATCCTAAATGGGCCTGCTTTTCATTTTAATTCAGGAACGTTAAAATTACTCTTGTGTCATAACCCTTTTTTTACAAAAATATTCTAAAATCATTCTTTTTTGTGGCCCATTGCTTTCCCTTTTCTCCCTTTGTTTGTCCCTTGTACCCTTTGTTCTACCATTGGTGACCGCACTTTTAGCCACTACACCCCGAAACTCTGGAACACTCTTTCTCTATCCCTCCGCCTTGCCCTTTCCTTCCCCAACTTCAAGTTGTGCCTGAAAACTTTCCTCTTCGACCATGCCTACTTTCACCTCTCCCCTGGCTAGGCATTGTGCTCTTCCACCATCAAGTGCTCTGGGATGCTACCCTGCATGAGGGGCGCTGTATAAATGCAAGTTGTAGTTGTCGTTGTTTCCTGAAAATGGTGACATGCTGGGGTACAGGTCCATGGGAACCTTTCCAGAGTTGTGTCCAAGGGGCTATTTCTATCTGCGAGTCTTGATGCTTGCTTCCAATCTTTGCTTCTTTTGAATTAGGTGGAGGAGAAAAGGCTCGGCGATTACACACATCCAGAGGAAAGTTGCTGCCCAGAGAACGCATTGACAGACTGCTTGATCCAGGGTGAGTGAAGTGGGAGACAATCAATCAGTGTTTAATAACGTTCATTCATTCGTCCCCAGATACACCTGTATAGGCAGACCTTCTAAATCTAAAGAAACAGAAAAGGGGTGATGTGGAAAAGTAAAACACTGTCCTTTTATGATTTTCTCCCCTTTTGATAGCTTACAATCCATGTTGCTGCTTTGATCAAGATATTTCCCTGTTCACCTTAAGAACTGTGTTGCTTGTTTCTCAGAGTTTACTATCAAAAGTTGCACTCTCTTCTTGAGCCTTTTGAAAAAGCAGCAGATGACCACCACTGGTGCCTTTGCTGTCTTCCAGTTTTCGTGATTTCTTTCATTGCACAACACAGCCTTTACAGGTTTTATTTTTGCTTTATTGTTTTCTGAAGAAGGATAAGTTTGTGATGCTGGAAATGATTAGATTCCGTAATTTTTTTAAAAACAATTTTAAATATCACTCAATTCATGACTGTTGGTAGGACACTGCTGTGCGCAATTGACTGCTGTGTTACACCCACAAAAGGTACAGTCAATTCATTTTACAGTATATTCTGTGAAGCGCTTTAGATGCCTCGAAGACATGATAAGGCACTATATCAAATACAAAGTTTATTATATTATTATATTACATCCTTAACACGCACAGCCTCCTTTAGTGCCCACATCTCGCCTCACTCACCAATCTATCTTGAAAAGTCGCCTGAATACCTATCTCTTTAGCCATGCACATCGCCACCTTCTTCCTCCTCCTTGCCTGGTGTCTGGGACTATTTCTGTAAAGCACTTTGAGATATTACCTTATCTGAAAGACACTATACAGTAAAACTCACATAAGTCCTATCTTTATAAAATCGCCTAAGTCGTACATTACCCGAATTCCATTCAATTTCCTATTAAACCACTTAGATTTCTTTGCACTACTCATATTAATCACCCACTAACTTGGATCGCCTCTCCCCTACCCTCCACTACTCCAGCACTTACCGGTCAACTCCATTGAATGGAAACGTAGTCTTGATCTATCGACGCACGTGCAGAAGAACTTCATTTCCTGCCGTTAAGTGCAATTCCAATGCTTAAGTGCCTTGGGACGTTATGGTCCCGACTGATACGACTTGATGTTTTACTGTAAAATTCATCTAATTAATCCTAACTTGAACCAAACCCTAACCCTTATATGGAGAGTTAGTCAGAGGAAAAAAAAGTATGGTGCAACAGTGAAAACCACAGGCTTAGCTTTAAGATCCTCATAAATTGTAAGATCGTACAGAATTTTGGAACATTTATAAGTGCAGTCTTAAAAGAGTAAGGAAGCCAAACTTCCAAATTAAGACTGAAGTTAAGATTTTTACAAAAAAATTGCATGATCTTACAATTTATGGCAAAACTATAAGAAATTTAGGGTTTTTGAGAATCCTGCTTGAGATCAGAGGATGTATGCTTCCTGCGTAAGTTACTGTTGCCTGACAAGTACTCTTTTCTCTTTCTTATCCATCTAAATTTCCTCAACATTCCTTCAATACATCTATTTGAGTCCTGTAGCTCAGTGGTTAGAGCACTCGCCTTGCAAGCGACAGACCTGGGTTTGATTCCCGGCAGGGTGAAATCTTGGGCAAGTTTTCTTACTCCACATAGCTGATAATAAACTCTCAAGAAAAAAACCCAATAATAAATTGGTCACTTCAATCCACAACTGTTTGTGGGACACTGCTGTGTGCAATTGGCTGCCGCTTTTCGCCCACAAATATACAGTCAATTCACTTTACAATATATTCTGTGAGAGGCTTTGAGACGTCTAGAAGATGTGAAAAGCGCTGTATCAAATGCAAGGATTATTTTTTATTACTATCTATCTCATCCACTACTATCCTCGTATCCTTTTAATTTCCAGGAACCGGTCTAGTTCCTTGTTGAAATCCTATGTAAATCTTTGTTCCACATACCCATCACCCTTTTGCTAAAAGAAACTCATTTGATTTATTCAGCTTTTCCTGATATTTAAATTTGAATTGGATTTTCAGGTCTCCGTTCCTGGAGTTCTCCCAGTTTGCAGGTTATCAGTTGTATGGGAATGAAGAGGTACCAGCAGGGGGCATTATCACCGGCATTGGAAGGGTATCAGGGTAAGTCTAGTTACATTTATCTTTCTCTTCCCATTGCCCAAGAAATAAAACAAGATCTCACAGTATTACTGCCTCTACATTCCACTGTTTCTGTAGTACTTTTCTCCACTCCTCTGAGGTCTGAGGCAGGGAATTCAAGGGCAAAGAGCTATCCCACCGCTTCCTACTTGTTGAGCAGCCACTTGTGACTTTAGCCCCAAAATCCTGACTGTCCAGCGCTGTGGGACATCTTTCCGACGGGAAGGGCACAATACAAGTGTAATTTGTGGTTGTTGTGATTAGCCAATCTTGACACCTGATCATGTAGCCTAAATGTGTTACAATGTATTTACATTGTTATTAGGCTCTAGTGTCTAGAACTTTTTTATTTTTACGAGAATCTTTTTTATTATAATTAGAGTCTGCTTTGATTGATCTCCCATAAAGCAGTGGTTAGCTCGCTCACCTTGCAAGTGAGACGACCTGGGTTTGATTCCCGTGCAGGGAGAAACCTTAGGCAGGTCTCCTTACTCCACACGCCTCTGTTTATCTAGCAGTAAGTACGAACTCGGTTGTTAGTCGATTGGTGGATCGCTTTCCGGGGGTAATATTCTCTCCAAAAGCATTTGGTCACTTAATCCACGACTGTTTGTTTGCAATTGGCTGTTCCGTTTCGTCCACAAAATATACAATCAATTCACTTTACAATATATTTTGTGAAGTGCTTTGAGATGTCTCAACGACATGAAAAAACGCTGCATCGAATGCAAGGATTATAAGATCGAATTTACCACTGATACAAAATGTTCAACACAAATAATATAGTAATCCTTGCATTTGACAAAGCGCCTTTCAAAGCGTAGCGGCTGAACATTTTGTAGGCAGACACATCAGCCATGAAGTGAATGACCAATTTTATCTGGGGCATGGTTTGCCAAGGACATCGATTTCTTAAAACTCATCTCTTTTAGGAACACAGACATGCAGTTTCAACAGCAGTTTCTTCAGACTTCACAAGAGGGCGCCAGTGCAGTGGTAAACTCCAGCATTAGTGAGAGTGAAGGCAACTGAGCCATGAGAAATATACTCTGCTATTTGTAACAAAACAGCATACAGAAAATAAATATAGCAAGTCCTTTGGACTGACATTGGAATATACCATATTCTATGGAAGATGAAGTATTTTTTATCCGGCTGCAACAGACACGTATAAGAATTATTGTTTAATCCATACGCATACCGGCTTTATGTTGCATTTTAATGTCCCTCTGAGATTTCCTTGGTAGTATGGTCCTGCAGAATTATTGTCCTCTCTACCATTGAAATTTCTTCCTGCTCTTTTCTCCTGTATTTACCCTCTGCTCTTCTGACAACTGCTTGTTTCTCACTCCCACTGTCCTATCATCGGTGGCTGACCTGTTAGCCACTGAAGACCTCGTTCTCTGCAACTTTTTTCCAAGATCCCTTCATGTGATCTCCATGTGTTCAAAACCCTCTGGTCCGAATGATGGTTACTAGATAATTTTCCGTTAAGTAACATTTGGCACACTCACAACAACATTTAGTGCTTTCAAACTGTATCTCCTGTAAGGCACTTTCGATTGTTAGCCCACAGTATTACATTTCTAATGGCTTTTTTGAGGCCGAAATTTTGGTATACCTTAGCAGGAATTCTGTTATAATTTCTATGAACTTCAGGAACTCCACTTTGGAAATAGATCATGCAGGCCAGCCAGCAGTGTTGAGTGCTTCGAGATGTCCTTCAGATATGAAAGACATCTAAAAAGTCGATATTAGATGTAAATTGTGTTTCATTGTATGTTATTTTTCCGAACTGCAGAAAACCTGCTTCGAAATCAACTACACAATCTCAAATTTAAGAAATGATCTTAAAGCTAAGGCCATAGGTTTTTGGGGCATTTGTTGTCTGTGAGGGAGTTAGCTAAATATCTGAAAAGGAGAAATATAAAAGGATACGGGGAAAAGGCAGATAAATGGGATTATTCTTTCAGGGAACCAGCGCAGGAAAAGTGAGCAGCAGGATGGCCTCCTGTGCTGTAAATATCTATGGTTCTGATTCAGTATTTTGAAGCCAACAGCCCACTGTTAACCTCTTATTCTGGCAGTTTACTATTGCTAGTACTCGCTTCATATTGCTACGCACAAATTGGCTGCCGCGTTTGGCTGTGAAATACACAATCACTACACTTTATTCTGTGAAGGGCTTTGAAATGTCTCAATGATGTGATCAGGCACAATACCAAATACAAAGATTATTATTACAACCTTTAATTCAACTGATTGGCGACCAGGAAAACTTACCCAGTGGTAGTAGAGGAGTCCATATGTGGTGGAGCCTGCAATTGCTTCTCACCATATCGCAACCGAGAGCCCAGTGCTGCAGCCATTTGGTTTTTAATAAGATCACAATATTGTCTTTCTCTGTTGTTTCAGGGTTGAATGTTTGATTATTGCCAATGATGCAACAGTGAAAGGAGGATCATATTATCCCATTACAGTCAAGAAACACATACGAGCGCAGGAGATTGCACATCAGAACCACCTACCATGCATTTATTTGGGTGAGACTTTATTTTTTGTTGCAGTATTCTCATCTTTGTGTTTTTCAGAAGGTTGCGATCATTTCCATACATTGGTGTGACTAATTAGCTTTTGCCTAAAAGTACATTGTCACTACATTATACAGTCAAATCCTGTGAAATGCTTTGAGGGATTTCAATAAGGTGCCAAATCGATTGTACAGAATATTATTGTTGCAGTTTTCTGCACTGTCTGGCAAGCTTTCCTGCTGCTTATCCAGCTGAGACCATTCTACCAGTTAGGGCTTTGGCTCACAGGGATAACAGGAGCTGAGTGGGAAGAATCCCTGCCCCAAGTGACTGTTCTGTCCTTCCAAGTACTACCAATGAGCCAGGCTGGCTGGGCTGTCATCAGCAGTGCCTTGTGGTAATGTAGATTGGCTGGCTCAGAATTCGGACTACCGAGACCACCGCAGAGGGTTAACTCCACTCCAACATTCCCTTAAGAACATAAAAAATAGAAGCAGGAGTAGGCCATTTGGCCCCTCGAGTCTGCCCCGCCATTTAATAAGATCATGGCTGATCTTCTAACCTAATTCCATTTACCTGCCCTATCCCCGTATCCCTTAAACCCTTTAGTTTTTAAAAATCTATCGATCTCAGTCTTGAATATATTCAAAGACTGATCATCCACAGACTTCTGGGGTAGAGAATTCCATAAATTCACTACCCTCTGAGTGAAGAAATGTTTTCTCAACTCAGTTCTTAAGGACTGACCCTTAATCCTGAGACTATGATCTTTAGTTATAGATTCTGCAACCAGGGGAAACAGTCTCACACTATCTACCCTGTCAAGTCCCTTGAATATCTTATAGGTTTCTATAAGATCACCTCTAGAGAATATAGGCCTAGTTTACTCAACCTCTCCTCGTAGGTCACCCCCTCATCCCAGGAACCAACCTAGTGAACCTACGTTGCACCCCCTCTAAGGCGAGTATGTCCTTTCTTAAATAAGAAGACCAAAACTGCACACAGTATTCCAGGTGTGGTCTCACCAAGGCCCTATACAATTGCAGCAAGACTTCCCTACTCTTGTACTCTAATCCCTTTCCAATAAACGCTAACATGCTATTAGCCTTTCTATTTGCTTGCTGTACGTGCATACTAACTTTCTGTGATTGGTGTACAAGGACACCTAAATCCCTCTGAATACTAATACTATCTAGTCTCTCCCCCTCTAGAAAATAATCTGCTTTTTTGCTTTTTCTACCTAGGTGAATAACTTCACACTTCCTCACATTATACTCCATCTGCCACCATCCTGCCCACTCCCTTAACCTGTCTATATCCCTTTGCATCCTCCTTGTGTCCTCCTCACAGCTTACTTTCCCACCTAGCTTTGTATTGTCCGCAAATTTAGATACATTAAGCTCTACTTCCTCATCTAAGTCATTGATGTAGACTGTAAACAGTTGAGGTCCAAGCACTGATCCTTGTGGCACTCCACTAGTCACAACCTGCCAATCTGAGAAGGACCCGTTTACCCCTACTATCTGTTTTCTGCCTGTTAACCATTCTTTGATCCATGCTAATGTTTTATCCTTAATTCCATGTGGCCTAACCTTATGTAACAACCTTTTACGTGGCACCTTGTCGAATACCTTCTGAAAATCTAAGTACACTATATCCATTGGTTCCCCCCATCTAACCTGCTAGTTACATCTTCAAAAAACTCTAAAAGATTTGTTAAACTTGCCAAGCATGACCTTGGTTCAGCTCCAAGGAGACTCTGCTTACCCTCTCCCTCCTCCCCTAGAAGTAACTAATGCTGTGTTTACACTGCTGAGGGTGGTGGTGGGTGGGGGGGAAGGGGTGGGGGAGGAGGGAGAATCCCATGTGGAAGAAGATGCCCAAATTGTATCATTCCTGGTTCACATTACTCTACATGTGCACATGTGTTGAACACTTAAATTGTCTGCTTTTAAATGTTATTAGTGATCCGACCATCTCCTTAACAACATTGAGAAACAACAGTCCAGTGGCTCCCAGGGTGAGCCCAGTGTGATTCGCACTGATTTTCGTCACTTCTGAAACAAGATCCTCCTTTTAGTTACATAACTTGGGCCCCAGTTTTACACTAGACAGTGACCAGCACCTGGGCAATCAGTGGATTCAAGATGATTTTTTTTTACAACTTTGGATCGGAAATTGTCATTTATCCATGTGGTTTGCATAACCCTAAATTTCTAAAATGTTATAACATATAGAATGAAAATTGACAAGCAAGCTTATGGACTCCTGTAGCTCAGTGGTTAGAGCACTTGCCTCATAAGGGAGAGGCCTGGGTTCGATTCCCGACAGGGCAAAACCTCGGGCAAGTTTCCTTACTCCACATGCCTGATAATAATCCCTCAAGAGAAAAAGAATAATAGATTGGTCACTTCAATCCATGACTGTTTGTGGGACACTGCTGTGTGCAATTGGCTGCTGCGTTTTACACACAAAAATGCAGTCAATTCACTTTACAGTATATTCTGTGAAGCACTTTGAGACGTCTAGAAACGCTATATCAAATTCAAGGATTATTATTATTAAGCTCTGGACTGATCAGACCATTATAAAGGTATTCCAATCTGCGGTTGGATCAACAACTTCTTCCCCCGAAAGGAATTGTTGATCGATCTCTGACAGAACGAAAGATGTGGAGACTCTGAGACTTTATTTCACCCACAAAATACACAGTCACTTTACACTGGATCTCCTGTAAAGCACTTTGATACGTCTCAATAACATGATAAGGCGCTGTATCAAACGCAAAGATTCTTCTTCTTCTTAATAATGTGACTTCATTCCAGTTGACTCCGGCGGTGCAAACCTACCTCGGCAAGCAGAGGTTTTTCCAGATCGAGACCATTTTGGGCGTATCTTTTATAACCAGGCTGTCATGTCTGCTAAAGCAATTGCACAGGTATATTCACAATTAATTAAAATATTGCCATGTTGATCCATTCTTGTCATGAGCTTGGAATAAAGTAATGTGGGTACAAGAAAAGTCAGCACTGCTCAGCAATTCAGTCCTCTGGCTTTGATCACTGTTCCTCAATGATGTATTTATTCTGGGGCTTGCCATCAGTAGCTTGCACTTGTTCCCAGTTTGGTTTGAAGCCCGAGATGCAAAATTTCCCATGTTCTTAGCCTTAAGACCCTTGTTGTGAAAGTTTGAGATTGTGGACATTTTTAAAATTCAGTCACTGAATGAAGTTGGTTTGCTGGAGTTCTTTTATGGTTCCGGTATTAAATGCAATGGAAATGATTGGTGGGATTCCTTTCCGTAGTAGGTATTTTAATGTTAAATGATCAATGATGTTTTGAGCGTATTGATCCTCCTGGGATTGCAGTCCTTGGATAAAATAGGAAGAATATTTTCAAGTAATGCTTCCTATGTAAATAAAGTAGATTAGTGGTTGGTATCTTGTATTTGGCAACACGCCAGTGTAAAACTAATTGAGAATGTGGTGTTAATATTATTTTATGACTATAATTAAATTCAGTAACTGGCTTCTCCCCTGTTTGTGTATAGATAGCTGTGGTAATGGGCTCCTGTACAGCAGGAGGAGCATACGTACCCGCAATGGCTGATGAAAGTATTATCGTGAAGAAACAAGGGACGATTTTCTTAGGAGGACCACCACTGGTAGGTACATTGTAACTGTCAGGGTCAGGAAACATTGGGGTCTCTGCCATTGTCTTCCCTGAACTGCACACCCCAAGTCTGTGAACAAGATTCTGGTAGGTATTTAAGAGTTGCATTGGAGAGCTAAAAACTTCATAAATCACAGGCTCGTTGGGGAACTAAAACCGCCAAACAACACTACTGACCATTTTCTAAAGATTTTCAGCTCCTGCAGTGTGGATTTGAATTCACAATAATAAACTGAGTCAAGGGTGGTTGAAGCCGGGACAATATAGAGCTCCAAGTTCACAGAATAGGAATTCTATTTACAGGATATATTGCTCGACGCTTATGAAATTGAAAGTCTCCCAAGTTAGAACAAGGGTCATATTTAGGACTGCATGAAAATTGCTGTTTAAGTATTTGGAATGCATTTATCTTCAAGCTGGAAGATACCAATTTTGAGGTCTGCAATTACATTCAGAGCAGGTTATTTATTTCAAGTACTTCCACTTCCAATCATAATTGCAATCCATAACTTGTAATCCATACTCATAACTATTTCAAGTGTGTGTTTATATTAAAGGTTAATCATTGCCAACGTTAAGTGCAACACGCACATTGAAAGTGCTAAATTGGATAAATAAGTATTTGAAGAGGGAACAATATTATTAAGGTAAGGAGCAAGAGCAGAGAATTTGATGGGATGAATGTCCTTCTTCTGTATTGTAATTTCTGCAATTCTATTTGGTAACATCTTGTTTGATTTAGGAAATTTGTATGTCAGATTTAAGAGTTGATATGAAGGTGATCCTTTAAATGCCCAATATTTTAGTGTGTTTGTGAAGTGTTTTAACACAGGATTATCGGAGGGAGGGATTATTTTCTTTTGTTTGAGCAGCCATACTGGGCAATGAGATTTATGTAATTACTCTGTGATATGACAGCTCAGTTATTGCCATCTCATCGGTTGCAGGGTGCAAAGATGAATGAATGTCTGGCATCTTTCAGAATCTACTTACCATGGCTAACCCCCATAGGAAGTCTTAATTGTAACAAAATTGTAAGCAAGAAATTGATGAGTTCTGGCTGCCTCAAAGCATGAATCTAATCAGTAAACATGGAGCAGTCCTAGGGTTAGGCAATCAATATTGGTGCCTGAAAAATAAAATTGTGGTATATAGATCATATCGATTGCCTGCTTTTCACAATCTCTGAGATTTACTATTTGCTGATTATGTCTTTCACCATTTGTTATTTTGTCCTGCTCTTTAAGTTGTTTCTCAGTGAGGTGTACACTGACAGAAAGCTTGGCTGCTTTCTGACTCTTTATTTTTTTCTTTTGCCAATTTTCTACCTTCCTCCTCCTCCTCCTCTCCTGAAGGCATTTGACTTGTTTTTCCTTCTATCTATGGACGCCAATCCCTTTCCTTGCAAAGTGTGGAGTCCAGTAAGGTAGTGGTTAGGGCAATCGGCTTGCAAGCGAGAGGATCAGGATTTGTTTCTCTGATGGGGCGAAACCTTAGGCAATGTTCCTTACTCCACACACCTTCAGTGCCTTGGGATGTTCTCCTGACGTGAAAGGCGCTATACAAATGCAATTTGTTGTTGTTGTTTACCTAGCAGTAAGTAGTAACCCGGTTGTTAGTCAATTGGCGGATTGCTTTTTTGGCGGTAATAATCCCTTCAAAAAATAATAATAATAATTTTGTCACTCAATCCATGACTGTTTGTGGGACACTGCTGTGCACAATTTGCTGCCTTGTTTTGCTCACAAAATATACAGACAATTCACTGTACAGTCGGAACGACGGAGGGTTGTGGACTTGAAACGTTGACTCACTCCTTTCTCCATAGATGATGCCCGACTAGCTGAATGTTCCCAGCAACTTCTGTTTTTGCAATGATTATTATAATTATTATTAAAGTGATTCTTGTGGAAGCTTTGACAATGAATGCATTTCAAACACGGAGGGAAACTCTCAGCATCTACACAGATGCACCTCTAGTCAGGGTCGCTGGCTAGCGATTAGATTGGAAGCCTGACTCATTTTCCCCTTGCTAACCTGGGGCATTCAGGCCAAGTCCAAGCCAGTTGAGATCAAGCTAACCCAGCACAGTCTGGGCGTTAATGCTGGGATCTTCCCATTCGATGTTTGAACAGGATAGCGTATTTAGGGATTTACTATGTACATCTTTAACAAGCTACAAAAACTAAATGCAGTAGTATAGGAGACAAAACAGGAAGAGCCCCATTCATCATCGCAACTTCCCATTTCTGGAGGAATATGAACTGTTTTGTTGGGGAAAAACAAAGGTTCAGTTTTGCAGCATTCAATGAAGTGAGTCTCTTTTATGAATTGGACAATGGGGGCCAGACCCTTCAAAAATTTCCCCTTTGCCTTTTAGCCTGTACCAAGCCCTTACACAGTGGGACATTTCAGTTGATAAGCTCTTTCGCTCCTCCAGGGCCAGAGGTTTGGGGCAATCTCCAATGTGCTAACATTTAGTTCACAACGGCTGGGGATAAATCAGTTCCTAATGATAGCTAGCATTAGTGACGGGACAGTCTCTCTTACCGTTATGCTTGCTACTAATGCATGTCCCATGGGACTGCTTTAAGGATAAACCTTTTTGGTAGAAAATCTTCCGAGATCTTCTACCAAAAAGGTTTATCCTTAAAGCTGTCCCATGGGACATGTATTAACGTGCATCAGCTCTTGGATATCCTACCTGAAGGTTTCCATTTGATATGTTCAGAGACCAGAGGGCTCTAATGTACACTTCAGTTTATGTTATTACACTTTTACATAACCAATCAATATTGGTTTATGTGTAGACTAATTATAATGTAAATCATTCCTACAATTTACACATCAGCATAAAATACTCCAACATGTACAGTAACTGGATATAAAAATATGGTGTTTGACCTTACTGAAATACATGGTGACTGGTATGTTTGTACAGGTGAAAGCAGCAACTGGTGAGGAAGTTTCTGCTGAAGATCTTGGAGGCGCTGATCTTCACTGCAGGTAAAATACTTCTAGCTGGGTTTGCAAGAGATATTCATATGTTTGAACGAAACAAATATATCTGTTCTTTGATAAACTCTTTCATTGTAACAGATCTCATCCAATACAATTGTACAATACATTTGACATTTACACTGTGCCTTTCATGTCGGGAGCACGTAACAAAGTGCCAATGTGTATTAATTGAAAGCGATTTCTGTTCCCTAGGATAACTTGCCCCCGTTTGCATCATAGTTTATTCCCATATTGGCTGCCATGTTTTCTCACAAAATACACACACAGTCACATCACTTCATAGTATATCCCTGGAGCACTTTGAGACATCTCAACACCAAGATAAGACGTTATATTAAATGTAAATAAATGTAATATTTCTTGTCATGAAAGGTGGTTGAGGCTAGGACATTTGGACTCATTTAAAATACAGCTTGATGTTGTAATGGGAGGATGGTAAGATACGTGTTCTGGAAGGATGAGATCAGATCAGGTCAGAAACGCCTTCTCCATCCGAACCCAGCTTGCGATCTTGGGAAACCTGATGTGGGATCTATTGAACATTGCAACGGATGCAATGACACAAATCACATCAATGTCACTTGCTACCATACAACCTTTGTAAATACAGTTGTGTGAAGCCATCCTTCTGACTTGAAAGACGCTATATAAATGTAAATTTGTGGTGCCATGTGTAACCCATGCGTGACAGAGATGAGAATATTATGTTCAGTCACGTTTTGTGCAAACGTGATCTTCCACCATGGAGTCTATTTGTACAGTGATACTGCTTAAAATGATAGCATTTTTCTTTAAATATATTTAGGTCTTAAAATAGGCAATCATTCCCAAGGAGATGGAGTGAGAGCTGCTAAATCCAGTATATAGGAAATTAATTGTGGCTGATTGATTATGATCGAGCAAAACTTAATTTCACACCAGACATAAGGTCATTTTTATTTTATAAAAATGTCGTTCTTGCACGTTTCATCTGGCTACGATTCAGGTTACATTGACTTGGAATGAGGTCTTTCTGTCTGTTTCTGCTTTTCTTGACTAGACTAGAAGTCTAGAGTTTATTGTAATGTGATCTAATGGGCTATTTGCCTAAACTCAGGAATGTTTGTCATTGTTACTATACCAATTAAGAGCAAACTCAAATTTAAATATTTATATACTCTATCTTCACGAAGATAGAGTATATAAATGTAGTCTGACTTCACGAAGAAAAAAGGATTAGTCTAGGGATGGCCAACCATTTTGCTTCTCATTTTTAGACTCACATACAACCTAAAGACAGAGAAAATGCAGCACCTTTTCACGTTAGTCCTTGAATCACTTTATCAGTATTGGGAATCTTGCAAATTTCAGTTCATTTGACTGTTTTCTGTAATTGATCTTCAACATGCTGTTCCCTCTGTGCTGTTGAATGTCAGCAGCACGACAGTACAGCCGAGCCCTGCTGTCAACTCTAACAGGGTCCTGCCACAACTAATTTCATCCACTGACACGGAAACTGATTATGAGGTCTATGCCCTCGTGTGTGAGTCACTGGAGTTGACGCAAAGGCGTTTGAGAATTGCTGCTAAGAAGGTGATAGTATAACACATCTTTATGGATGTAGCAAATCTGTCGAAGCATGCTGAAGCCCTGCAGTTTATAATGTGTTATTTGAGAAGGGTGTGGATGATATTTTATCAGTTTCTTTTCCTTTTTTGGTCACCAGTCTCTGAGTTTGGGGAAGGTCTAGAAGGTACCTGTTTCTATAGCACTGTCAATGTCTGAAATTGAATTTTCACACAGCAATGTCCCACAATGACATTTGTGGGACTGCTCTGTGCAAATTGGCTGTTGTGTTTGCCTGGTTTTTCTGGGGGTGTTGGGGGAAAAGTGTGAGAGAGAAATCACCTGAAAAAACTCAATACAATTTACAATCATATAGTGCCTTTCAGGTGGATGTTTCGTAATGCTTTACGACCATCATAAGACTGAAGATCATTGTCTTATAATTTAAGATTGTGTCGAATTTTGTAAAATAGTCTTAAATTCAGTCTTAATTTGTAAGTTGATTATTTACACTGGAAAATCAGCCTCCAAATTTAAGACCATTTTCAGTCCCCTGGTTCTGCTTTCCATCTCTGTTATAGGACAGCAGGGATATTGTAGACATGTCACTTGGTGAAACATTGCATTTTACATTGTATGAGCAGTGACCTGGAGAAGAAAAGGAACCTGCAGAGGAACAGCAGAGATGGTACGGAGACTCTGCTGTTGCAATCTGGGCTCCAAATGTGCTTGAGTGAACTGGTGTTATTGCTGCTGTAATACTGGGTGCTCTCATTCTGCTCCCTCAAGTTTATTTTATCTCTGTTCTAACATGCTCACACATTTGCTAATGTGAACAAAGGGAAACAGCAAGTCAGCTGCAGGATATGGTTTGGAGGCGAGCAGGAGGAAGAGAGAGAAAGATAGACTCTGCAAATGCAATACAGTAGTTTCATTAAAACTATTCTAAGGATCAAAGTGGCAGTTTGGGCTGGCATGAAACCACCCCTCCAAGTTACTTTACTTAATTTGAGCTTTCACTTTCAATCAGACTTGCCTTCTGATTTGGGTTGATGGAAATCAGTTTATGCATAGTTTCCAAGCTGAACTAACCTCTCTGAACCTTTGCAAAAGAAATGCAATCTTCCATTATGAAATTCAAAGGCCCCAAAATATCCCATGGTTTTAGCCCTAAATTTAACACCCTACAGAAGTTTAGAAAATTCTTAAATTCCTTCTTTATTCGGAAGCTCTTTTCCTGAAAGAATGGCATTAAACCAGCCTTGAATTTAACAATTTTCCCAATTCCTGCACAAACTTAAATTATAAGACAACACATATAAGTCTTAAGGCTAATGCCATGAGGATTTGGGCCTGAGGTCTTTTGCAGTGTCAGCTTAGTTATATATGGAGAGGATTCAGGTGTGATGCGTGCCCAGAGAAACTGAAGTGAACTGGTGTTTTGACCTAATAAATCTTTGACCCAGATCTCATAAATCGTAAAGACAAGCAATCTGCGAAGAAAACTCTTCATGAAATATTGTTGTCTTATTTTGTGTCCTGCTGAAGTCTCTGAGTAATGTGTTAACTGTGGACTCTGCAGAAAGTCTGGTGTTACTGATCACTATGCCTTGGATGACTCACACGCACTCCATCTGGCACGAAAGGTTGTTCGAAGTCTCAACTACCAGAAGAAATTGGATGTAAGTACACAGCCATTGAACAGCAGGACTCACGCCTTGGTTAATTTGGATTATTAGGCAAAATTTCTGCCCATAGAGATATAAATTAATAGTAAAAATCCCTAAATTCATTGTGAAAATCTGAATTCATATTCCTAAAGAACCAAACACTAGTTTATCGCATCAGCAATGCAACTTATTTTACCAGATAATAATAATCCTTTCATGTTGGGAGGACGTCCAAAAGTGCTTCACGGGATATACTGCACAATGCAGTGACCATGTATTTCTGGGCAAATATGGCAGTCAATTTGCACTTTCTTCCCACAAACAGCGATGAAGTGAATGACCAATTTTATTTGTGGGATTGTTGGTCAGAACCCCCTTCTTTTTTTTGAATAGTGCCATGGGACGTTTGATGTCCACCTAACTGTCAGATGGGACCTTGGTTTAACACCTCAACTGATTGGCGGCAACTTCCAACAATGCAGCACACCCCCAGCACTTGATTGGAATGCCAGTTTAGACCATATTAGTTACAAATCCCAGCATGGAGTTTGAACCCACAATCTTCTGACGAAAGAAATATTCTCCCATCAAACACTGATTCCTCTGTTAGCTGGAAACAGCATGATTCAAGTGCATAGAATTTCAAACTTGTTGACAACAACAACAAGCCACAACAAAATTACATTTGCATAGCGCCTTTCATGTCGGGAGGATGTCCCAAGGTGCTGGACAGCTAGAGATGCGGACCTGAGCCGGAGGTCGAGATCGGGGAGGGTGGAGGGCAGGGGGGGAAGCAGGGTGATCGAAAGCACGTTCGAAGAGGAGGGTCTTGAGATGGGTCTTGAAGGAGGAAAGGGAGGGGGTGAGGCGGAGGGATTGCGGGATGGAGTTCCAGAGTGTGGGGGCAGAGTGGCTGAAGGTCCGCCCGCCCATATTGGGGTGAGCGAGGCGGGGAAGTGAAGCAGGCCGGAGCCCACTGAGCAGAGGGAGCGAGCAAGATGATAACAGGTTAGGAGGTTGCAGAGGTAGGGAGGGGCAGAACCATGGTGGGCTTTGAATGTGAGGACCAGGATCTTGAACTGTATCCTCCATGTGATGGGAAGCCAGCCAGTGGAGTCGGGCGAGGATGGAGGTGATAGGGTCATGGAGCCTGATGCAGGAGAGGACATGGGCTGCAGAGTTCTGAATGATCTGCAGCCTATGGAGGGAGGAGTTGGGGAGGCTGAACAGTACCAGGACGAGACGGTGCGGGGGTTAGAGGAGAAACCATTTGTGGAGATGAAGTCGAGATGGTGCGAGAGGTACAATCTGAACCAGTCAAGGACAGAGCCGTGAAGGTTGAGGTGAGAGGAAAACCAGTAGATGAGGTTAGAGTGATCGACGGTGTCGAAGGCAGCAGAGAGATCAAGGAGAACGAGAAGGCAGAGGGAGCCCTGGTCGCGGATGGACAGAAGGTCATTTGTCACTTTGACTACGGCTGTTTCTGTGGTGTGAGCGGCACAGAAACCCGATTGGCGGGGTTTGTGAAGGGAGTGGTGGGAGAGGAAGGAGCAAAGCTGGGAAGCAACAACTCAACTCGTTCCAGGACCTTGGAGAAGAAAGGGAGGTTGGAGATGGAGCGGGAATTTGAAAGTTGAGATGGGTCCAGGGAGGGTTTTTTAAGGATAGGAGTGATAACGGTGGTTTTTAATGCGGTGGGAACAGTACCAGTGGACAAAGAGTGGTTTATGATGTCTGAGTTGAGGGACAAGGAGGTGGAGCTGGGAGGTAAGGAGAGGAGTAGGGATAGGCTCGAGAGTTATTGTCGGTTTCACGTGGGTTATGTGTGGTGGTGAGAGAGGAGTGGGAGACAAGTTCGAAGGTGTGAAAATTGCAGATGTGAAATAGCCCTGAAATGCTACTCTTTACTGGTAATAAATAACATCTCACTCTTGGTCTCTGTAGGTAACTGTGGAAACCCCAGAAGAACCATTGTATTCTGCCGAAGAGTTGTATGGGATTGTTGGTGATAATCTGAAAAAAAACTTTGATATCAAAGAGGTATATGTAAAAATCGCTGTGCAAAATTTAAAGTACAGTTCGTACCAAAACATAGATGGCTTGTTCTGGGTTGGATATGACAGTCAGTCTAATTAGCTGCTTGATAACAGAATTGGGAGGAAATAGAGATAGGTACAGATTGAGATGAACTTCAACTATCAACATGATTTTCTGGTGATATTGGAAGAGGGAGACATCTTGTCTGGGAAGGGAAAGAAGTCAGATTTGAATACTGGATGAATATTCAATGGATGAGGTGGATGAATTTTTTTTCTTAATTAACTATGGGGATCAGGGATTCCAGGAGGAAGAGTGGGTGAGATGAAATCCATGGTATCCAAATGGATATTCTACTCTTTCCACGCTTTCATATTTAAATCACAATTCAACCATGTTCATTGTGTATAGTTCTACTCCTCTGTAGCTGCATATTAATATTTAGTAGTTTGATTAATTTTCCAATCAGAGCCTATTTGCCAGATATCGGTCTTGTTTACTTGTTAGTGACTGCAATAACGCTCATTGTATTGTAAATATAGATCTCTACTTGCAGGTTTACCTCCCCATTTGCTCACTTCAAATGATGGAGCATGTGGGCAATTTTGGTATTTTGTTCAACTCTCAATTCACCTTTAAACCTTTCATCCGGGCTCTGATCAAGTCCACTTTCCTCTTTCTCCACAACATCACTGCCTATGTCACTAGCTCGCCCCCTCCCCCACCCACCCACACACAGCCAAAACTCTTATCCACACCTTTATCACCTACAAAGGCACCTTTTCCAATGCTCTGCTTGCCAACTTCTCTTGCACCACCCTGCACAATCCAGAACACCACAGCCTGTATCCTCTCCCATATCTACCTCACAAGCCCATCATCTCCATACTAGCCCAGATCCACTGGTTCACTCTCCCCCAGCAGATCAACTTGAAGATCCTCGTCCTTATCCTCAAATGTCACTTGGTGATCTCCTATAACCCCACTCCCCCAGCCTTTCCCTCCACTGCACCAACTCTGGTCTGTTTCGTGCCCAATCTGCCACACCATTGGTGGGTGACCTTTCAGCTACTTTGTTCCTGCTCTCACTACCCAAATCCCTTCGATTTGCCCCTTCCCACTCAACTTTCAAAACCCTTCCCAAAACTCTTTGACTGCATTCAATCACCTACCCCCATAACCCTCCTATCTCACTCCCAGCTTGGGTTCCTTACTCAGCCTTTGTAAAGTATTTTGAGAAATCCTTATACTATATGAAGGCTTCTATATACGTGCAAACTGTTGTTGGTTTGTGTAACTCCAGTAAGCAGGTACATTGCTGAATGCCTCAATCAGGAATTGAAAGCTAAAAATTTGCTACACCAAATTTCTGTAGCACTGTTATTGATAAACATTGATTTATCAAAAATGTAGAATTGGTACTAATATTTGAGTTTCTAAGATGTTTTGCTAACTTTAACCACTGGCTGTATGAGTCTTTTGCTTTGTGAAAATGAGCCCTGCAAAGTACAGAGTATATACACACAAGAAATTTAAGATTAGTGGAAGCAACATGGCAAATAGACCGAGCATTAGCAGAACATAAGACATAAAATAATAATAATAATAAGCCTTGAATTTGATATAGTGCATTTCACGTCTTCTAGACGTCTCAAAGCGCTTCACAGAATGTGCTGTAAAGTGAATTGACTATATATTTGTGGGCGAATACAAAGAAACTTCTGTTTCAAAGGTGAGCTGAATGGATTAGTATGCTAATATGTTATTTCCTTTCCAGGTTATTGCCAGAGTAGTGGATGCCAGCAGATTTGATGAGTTCAAAGCCTTTTATGGAGACACATTAATCACAGGTACAGTTTCTGGGTGAATATGGATCTAATTATTAAAAGATTAAAAGATGTATTTCTCTTTCAGAAGTTTAAAGAAAATTGCATAGCGATTATACTGAAGGTTATCTCTTACCTTTCTTGTCCATAATAAGGAAGTATATATTTTGGACGCTAATTAGCAGCTGAAACACTATGTTTTGTTTTTGCAATTCAATCATGCTGCTTAGTGCCACACAAGAAACCAACACTTGCTACTTTGCTTTAGAAAGTTAGAGCAAGTTTGAAAGAGTGATTGAACGGCAAAGTGATAGTACAAATAGTGATTGATGTTGGGAAAAGCACCTGGAATGTAAAATGTGTCTCATACAACAACAACAAAATTTCATTTATAGAGCGTCTTTCATGTCGGGAGGACGTCCCAAAGCGCTGGACAGTTGGGTCGAGAACCGAGCAGGGGGTAAATGGTCACGGTGAAGGGAGGGAAAGGAGGGAGCGAGGAGGGGGTAGAGAGTCGAGAGGGGAGCTGAAGGCACGATTGAAGAGAAAGGTCTTGAGACCGGCCTTGAAGGAGGAAAGGGAGGAGGCAAGGCGAAGGCACTGAGGGATGGAGTTCCAGAGCCTCGGGGCTGAGAGGCTGAAGGCCCGGCCACCGATGGTAGGGCGGTTGGGGCGGGGGATGTGGAGCAGACCGGAGCCAGAGGAACGGAGGGTACAGGCAGGTAAGTAGGGGGATAGTAGGTCAGAGAGGTAGGAGGGTGCAAGGCCATGAATAGCCTTGTAGGTGAGGGTGAGGATTTTGAATTCGATCCTCTGGGGGATGGGGAGCCAGTGGAGGCGAGCGAGGGTGGGAGTGATGTGGTCCCGAAGCCTGGTGCGGGACAGTACACGAGCTGCAGAGTTCTGAATGACCTGCAGCTTGTGGAGGGAGGTGCCGGGAAGGCCGGCGAGGAGAGAGTTCCCATAGTCCAGCCTTGAGGTGACAAAGGCGTGAACCAGGGTTTCAGCAGCGTGAGGGGTGAGGTAGTGCTGTAGTCTGGCGACATTCCGGAGGTGGTGGAAGGCAGTGCCAGTTGTGGCGCGGATATGGGGAAGAAAGGACAGCTCAGGGTCGAACAGAACCCCGAGGTTCCTGACTGGCTTTGAGAGGTGGAGAGTGCAGCCTTGGATGCTGATGCTGTCAGCGCCTGAGGTGCGGAGGCGCTGACGTGAGCCAATCAGGAGGGCCTCAGTTTTGCGTACGTTGAGCTGGAGAAAGTTATCTCTCATCCAGGACTCGATGTCGGACAGGCAGCTGTCAGGACATCGGTGGTTGTGGAGGTGAGGGTAGAGGAGGAAAGGTAGAGTTGGGTGTCATCCGCATACATGTGGAAGTTAACCCCATGTCTGCGGATGATGTCACCGAGGGGGAGCATATAGAGGGTGAAGAGGAGGGGACCGAGGACAGAGCCCTGAGGGACACTGCATGAGACAGTGCGGGGGCTGGAGGACAAGCCGTTTGTGGAAACAAAATGAATACAAGGAACTCCATATATATTACACCGACTCATGAGACCTTTGTTCTGATCTGAGATGCTCTGTGGGTCGGCATGCCATATGTGGCATTCCTGCGCTTTTCACCCAAGGTTATTTTTGGCGGTACAGTTGTGCCATTCACTCTGTGGGGATTGCCCTTTGAACACCATTTAACCCCAACACTGCTCGCTGCAAAAGCAGAGCTCTAGACTGAGGTGATCTGGATTGTACCTTGTGAATCATCATGATACACATGAGATTTTGTGAGTAAAATGCAACTTGCACTTCAAGGTGGTGTTTCCAACTGTGAGATGTCAGTAACACTTTCACTTTCGTGAGCCGCAAATCTAAATCTGATACTGTATACCTTGGGATACTCAAGGCAAGTTAGAGTGATGGGCATGTATTACCCTCGCTTGTGAGAGTATGTTATTGACATTTAGTTGAACCCTTTCAGATACTGGATATTATTAATATGATATTGAAGACTTATAGTTTTAATAAAGAAATGCCTCTGTCTGTATGCCCAGGTCAAGTTATTGTGACATGTATTTGGATTCTGCGATTTGCAAACATCTATCTGACTTTGGTACATTGAACAATTCATCTTCAGTGCCTCTGTCAATTATGATTGAATTTACAATATTGTTTGATTAAATATAATCTGTGTGACCTTAGGAAACTGAATAATTAATGTCCTGAAAGCAATAGTTCAAGTCTCCTGTTTTAAAAAAACTCCATTCTGGGCACATCTCTTGTAACCTGAACCTCTGGCTTATTTCCTGATTTCATCTCTCTTTAATTAGCTTCTTTTTCTTCAAATATTGAGGCAACTATAGTTAAACACCATTTTATCAATTTTGTCCACAAAATAAAAACCTGTATATTTTGGGGGATTTTCAAAAATTGGTTTTGTCCAAAAATGGCAGAAACAAAAATTGACCCCCCAAAACCTAGTTAAATTCAGTGAAAATCTTTCTCTGTCTCACACACTCTCTCTCTGAGTTTCTCTCTCTCTCTCTCTCTCTCACTCACTCACTCACTGAATATCTTTAATTTTCTGTCTCTTTCTATCACTTTTTCTGTCTTGCTCTCTGCACAAAAGTACAGAAAATAGCCAATTATTCACATTAATTGGCTAATTAAATTAAGGTTAAATTAATTGCCAAAGTTAAATTAACAGATTTTTACTGATTTATTCTGATTGACTTTCACCAAAGAAGTGGTTATTTTTCAACGATTTTTGTTTAAAAAACTGTAATGGGTCCTTAACTCTAGTTAATTCGCAAAGAACATACCATTATCAGGAATCTGAGTCTCATAAGACAACAGAGCGTTGGACTTGGACCTCGAGAACTTCAAGGTGGCAGGCACATCACAAGTTGTCCTGTAAAGGTCCTTCCACCACACTGAAGGCGGATGCCTGCCAGATAGCTGATGAGGAAACTCTGAGGCTTGAGGTGACAGCTGCTGGGAGGTGCTATCTGGAGTCGGAGTTTGTGAACACACGTTCGTATGTCCAGTGCCTGGAATCCACCTTGATTGTCCTGCAGAGAGGTCAGCAGCTGCTGCTTAATCTCCGTACCTCCAGTTGGTGGAACCATCACTCAATGGGAGGGTATGTGTGCCCGAGCTGTGGACAGATGGCAATGCTTTCATGCATTTCCTGCTGAGTTGTGTTGTCCACCGGGAAGCTCACAGGGAGTTCCTGGTACCTACCATCCACCTAGTAAGGGCTCAAATCAGCACTTGTCCATTGTCAAACGAACAACTAGTGACTATCCTCCTTGTGGGGCGAGGTAAGCAGGGTCTCCTTGTAGCTAAACTGACTCCAAGGTGACATGCTTGGTAACGGAATGTCGGAATCAAACCAGCCCTTTGTGGAGGTCTTGGAAGTCCAGTTCCTGAGCCAAGCAGGTCCACAGTATTCCAGGGCACTGCGGATGACAGTACAACCAGCCTGGTTCATTGGCAAGATTCGGAAAGACAGACCAGTCACTGGGGAGAGGGAATCGTCCATCTCAGCTCCTGTTAACCCTGCAAGCCAAAGCCCGAATAGCTGGGGTAGTGCTGGCTGGACAAGCAGCGGGAAATCTTGTCAGATAATGCATCAATGGAAAGCTATTTGGTTTTAGCTGGTTAGACTCCAGCAGTACTTTCTGGAACTAGGTAAGCAGGATGCATCCCTCCAGGGAGAGAGTGTGCTTTCCATTCCAATAATCTATCTGTGGGATTTCCATGTGTAGGTTGGATGCATGGAATTCTCAGCTTGATTTGAATACTCTTAAGCATGGTGATGGGTTTCCCCATGTGTCAGTCACCCGGCTAACCAAAAAAAAACACGGGTTGAAATTTTTTGTGTCCCACCAATTGTATTATAATGCGGCTATCCCTGTATCTCAGTCTTTATACTGGTTAATATGTTTGTATGTTTCTTACCCCACCAATTGTATTATAATGCGGCTATCACTGTATCTCAGTCTTTATACTGGTTAATATGTTTGTATGTTTCTTACCCCCCCCACTTCAATATGTTCAGGGTTTGCAAGAATCTTTGGCTATCCAGTAGGCATCATTGGGAACAACGGAGTCCTTTTCTCAGAATCTGCAAAAAAGGTCTGTACACAACATTGGTTAACAAGCTGCTGCCTGAAGCACACTCTAGACATGGTTAAATAAGCTCTACATGAGAGGACTCTGATGTAGAATAGCAATGGCTTTAAATTACAGCCTCTCACTGCAGGATACTAATGTTTTAAAAGCAGCTGTCTTAGCTGAATGGAAAGCAGAACAGTTCAGCTGCCTTCATAGAAAATGAATAATGATCGTTGGGGGAGGGTAGTCAGGGGGTAATACTGCAGCTTCTTTCTAGATCCAACAATACAATAACAACTTACATTAGTGCCCTTCACATGGGGTAGCGTCTCACAGTGCTTGTCAAGAATGTGGTGAATGCTACTTCTAGTAGCATAAAATTTACTAATGGAAATAAGTAGTGTATGTATTCAGGTGAGTATTGTAGGGACTTTAGTGTACAAAATATAGGTTGGGCTTTATATTCACGGACCAACCATTTCAAATCTTGCTGTAGAAATGAGGCACACCATGGGTCACACTTCCTATTTAATCAGGGTGTGTGAATTTTACTCAGGGTGAGTAAAATTGTGAACTGATCGCTTATTCTGGGGTTTCAGCTTTACTCTGGGGTTTCAGCCTGATACCGTCAAACTGAAAAGTGTCACAATTGGTAGATCCCAGCTATCAGCGGCTTCTCACTTCAGGTTCAACTCATCAATACATCTGGTGAATAATTACCCACTTTAAGGTTAATGACTTTCGTGGTTGTTGATGGATGTTTTTATTAAAATCAGTAGTTGTCATGCATCCACTAGTGAGTCATTTGATTAAATTTTGAGAACCGTGGTCATTCATGTGTTTTTCTGCCTACTTTTTTCACCTCCTCTCCTGGTAGTGACCTGCGCAAAGGTATGTTTCCACAGGTGTAACCCACTGGTAGTCCGCTCTAACGGCTAGTGCAGACAGTGATTGATGGCAGGCTATTCAATCACAAGGAAGGGGGCAGAAATCAGAACACTGTGCATCAGTCAAACCCATAGTAACATTATTTCATCCACAAAATACACAGTCAATCCACTTCACAATATACAATACAAAATTACATTTTTATAGCGCCTTTCACGTCGGGAAGATGTTTATTATTATTATTATTATGTGCATGACACAGTTTCCCAAAGGATATTTTTGCTGATAACTCGAAGGTAGGTGTTAGTGAACAGGTAGAGAGGAGGAGAAAATTGGAGAGAGAGAGAGAGACAGGACTGGAGGATTTTTATATGCGATGGAGAATACTGGTGAAGTGATAACAACAACTTACATTTATATAGTGCCGCTCACGCAGAGTAGCGTCTCAGAATGCTTGACAGCGGTGAAGGCTGATGCCGAGCCAAAGGATGGGGAGGGGGAGCTGACCGTAAGCATGGTCGAAGAGGAAGGTCTTCAGGCCCGTTCTGAAGATGGGGAAGGAGGGGGCAAGGCAGAGGGATTGAGAGAGAACGTTCCAGATTGTCAGGGCATAATGGGTAATAATACAATTTAACTTAGTTCTAATACAATTTAACTTAGTTCTAAGTGTATTTTTTAGTAAAAGGATATCAATGGCAGCATTTACATATTATCTACGCAAAATTCACTTTAAATAAGGTGATGCTTTTAACAGGCATCACAGTTTACCTTTTGTTCTCTGTTCAACGTGCAGCCTTTTATGCTGAAAATGTCACATAGCTTGAGTCAAAGTGTATGATTCATCACTAAGGAAAATTGTATTCCATTAGATATTCAAAGGTAGAAGGTTCAGCCATTAGAAGAAAAGAAAAAAGCAATATAGAATTGAGAATGGGGAGCAACATTGATGATGTTCAGTGTTGTCAGTCACAGTATGCATATCCACAGAGATCAATTACCTTATTCCTAAACACATTCAGTTACGTATTAAAAAACGCATATTTTGAAATTACTACCCCCATGACTCCGACTCAGTGGTAGCCTGAAGATTTCAATGAAACCTCAATTGCAGTTTGAATGTGGAAGGCGCCGTCTGGGTTTTTCACTCTGATTGAGTTGGGTCAGTATCCCCAGTATAAATTCAGAAAGCTGTTCTTTGGTGCTGAAAACAATGTTTGCCATTAATTAATCAAGCCTTGAAGCGGGGGTGATGTGCAGCAATTTCAAAACACATTTTAATGCCATTCCTTAAAGAAAGTAAATAAGTTTGGGAATACCACAGTTTGACATTATTCCATTGCAATTATTTATTTTGAATTTGGCTGTGTGATTAGTCCTCTGGTGATTGCATTTTGCAACTTGACTTTCAGTTCATTGATTTATCCTTTTACTAGTCAGCTAGCATTTTGTGATCACTTTTCAGGACTTTTCAGATGCCTTGGAAGCGTGTATATGTGTGTATGGAGAGGGGAAGGCCTAGTTCGTAATAGTAACAAAAATAACAATCTATTCATTGTGACAAATGAACGCAAAAGATTGGGGTAAACAACATAAGAACTCATGCATTGAAGGAGGCAAGAGAGGAAGCAAAACGAAGGGATTGTGGGATGGAGTTCCAAAGAGTGGGGGCAGAGAGGCTGGAAGCCCGGCCGCCAATGGTAGGGCGGGTTGGGCAGCAGACCTGGAGCAGGCCGGAGCCTGCTGAGCGGAGGGAGTGGACAGGTTGATAGGGGCTCAGCAGGTCAGAGATGTAGAAGGGGACGAAGCCGCGGAAGGCCTTAAAAGTGAGGAGGAGGATTTTGAATTCTATCCTCTGAGGGATGGGGAGCCTGGTGCGGGAGGACACAAGCTGCAGATTTCTGGATGATCTGCAGCTTGGGTAGGGAAGAGTTGGGGAGGCCGACAAGGAAGGAGTTTCCGTAGTCGAGCCTTGAAGATATTAAGATATTGCTGAGCAGTGAGAGTCTTTTAGGAAAAACGCTGGGAGCCCTCCGCTGGGAAGGCTAAGTTTGAATCAGAGCTCCATTGATGCTTATATATCCCCACTTCCTCTTATACAGAAGCGAAAGGGATGTCTTGCACCTGAATTTACCTGACGTGTTCCGAGGTGAATCGCACTGACCTGATGTAAGGCAGTTACTAGGGGAGGTAGGGCGTGCACAGGGAAGGTGTTCTATGACCTTTGTGTTTAAGCAAGCCTTCTGGTGATTTTATAACAGAGTTGCCGTTGATATGTTTGTCGGGGTGATCATTCCCTTGTTGAGCAGGACAGACCTTAGGATGCTAATTGGGACAGGGCAAGAGAAAATAAGAGCTCCCCTTTTGTTCCAAATAAGTTGATTCGAAGATTTAAAGAATTAAAAATATTGCCGAAGCCTAGTTCCAGTCCTTGGGCGTCTACATGTTTCATGAAGTAATTTGTATATACTATATATATAAGTGTGTATATGCCTGTTTTGGGGTTACATCAACGATAACTTAAATTTATTTAGCTCCCTTCATGGGGGGCAGTGCTTGAAGCACTTAACAATAATAATAATCCTTACATTTGATATAGCAACTTTTCATGTCGTTGTGACGCCTCAAAGCGTTTCCCAGATTATATTGTAAAGTGTATTGACTGTATTTTATGGGTGAAATGCATAGTTTGATGCCAAGCCAAGGAGAAAGTGGAGGTGACCTTAGGTACAGTCAAAGAAGAAATTCATCAGGTGAGATCTGAAGATGGATAAAGAGGAGCCAAGGTGGAGGGATTGTGAGCGAGTGTTCCAGACGTTCATTCTTACACTGTAAATCGTTTTGTGCACAATTAATACCTAATAGATGCTGACTTTATAAGATTGTCGTCTCTAAACTGAGCCTCCTTCCCTATTTTGGATGTTGTTTCTGATTTGGTTATATTGTATTTGGAAAGTGAAAAATAAACATTGTTTTATTATTATTAATTAAATATATATATTAATTATACTATAAAGAGGATTGACTGTATATTTTGTTAAAAAAATGTTGCTAATCTGTATAAAACGCATTGAATATCAATAGCCTGTCTCTTAATTCCAGGGAACCCACTTTATTGAGTTGTGCTGCCAGCGAAACATCCCCCTCATCTTTCTCCAGAATATCACAGGTAAGAAAGGAAAAAGTCACTTTCCCGTCTTTTTACCATCAGATTGTGGCTCCTCTGATCATTCTCGACTGCCTCTGACCTCACATGTTGAGCAGGACAAGAGAGCTTAAAATGCCAGAATGGGTAGTGAGGAGGGAGAAAAGGAAGAGCCCCCCCAATTTTTGATTCCAACTAAGTTGACTCAAAGATTTGAAGAAGAAAAGAAAAGGAGGGTGAACAAACAGTTCAAGAGCAATATCACTCTCGTCATTTTAGACAGCAACAACAACTTGGATTTATATAGCGCCCTCCACGCCGGAGAAGAGAAGTAAACCTGGCTAATGTAATATTAAGACATCACCAAAGACAAAGACGCACAGCTAAGAAGAAAGATGAAATTAGTTTTTATTTCAATATATTTTAATTCACTTTTTTTAAATAGGACTTATTAAAAACAATGTTCACAGGACACTTTTGTGCTATTTCCTGTGCTATGACTCTGAGCTCAAATTCCTGACGTGGGGCTTGAACCTTTTGAGTCGGAGCCGAGTGCAACCAACTGAGCCAGAGTGATGCCTGTAGATATAACATAAAAAAGTTCATCAGATTTGACCAATAAATCCGCTGGGACAGCCGGAAATATTTTTTTCCAGCAGCTTCTAATAACTATTTTAATTGTTAATCAGGTTGAAGGATCGATACGTGCCCAGAGGAAATACTTAATCCTGCAGTTTCCACACAATTAGAAACCTGCTTGAAATAATTGATGGACATTGAGTGATAGTGTGATGTATTTACGTGTCACAGAGCTTGGAAGCGAATGATATTGTGTTGAAGGTAACGGGGAGAGATACTGAGTGTCGCAGGCTTTGAAATCTAGCCCAGACTGACAACATGACATCTCCTCTCTGATAGTTGCCAGGGTCTTAAGTAAAATGACTGTGGGATAGTTCCAATACAGTTCTTATGGAGGTGCAGCACTGTTTACAATATGAAACTAACTTGGCCATTTTGTTCGTATTGTACATGTGTGACACGTTTATGCTTGTAGCTACAATTGATTTGAAAATTATAGTATAGTATATGGAAGCTCCTTTGAGATCCAATCAAGGAAGTCAACTTCTGAGGTTCACACAGCACAGTTTCAGGTGCTAATGAGCTTGCTATTGAAATTGGTGTGATTCTCTTACCCCCACCCTCCACCCCCCACCCCAGGAACTGGGGGAAACTTGGAATTCCATTATTGCAAACCATGGCAAGTATATGCCTGCAAGAGTTTTGATAAATAAAAAAAAATTATAAATATATAAAGAGGAAGAGGCTGTCAAAGGTAAATGTGGGTCCGCTACAGGCAGAGACGGGGGGAATTATAGTAGGGGACAAAGATGTGACAGAGTCATTAAACAAGTACTTTGCTACTGTCTTCACCTTAGAAGACACTGAAAACCTACCAAGAATAGAGGGGAACCAAGAAAAAAATGTTAGCGAGAAACTTGGGGGAATTAATATTATTAAAGAAATGGTTTTAGGTAAATTATCAGGTCTTAAAACTGATAAATCTCCTGGACCCGATGGCCTACATCCTAGGGTTTTAAAAGAGGTGGCTACTGAGATAGTGGATGGCTTGTCTTTGATCTTCCAAAGTTCTCTGGATTCTGGAATGGTTCCCATTGATTGGAAGATTGCAAACGTAACAACACTATGTAAGAAGGGTGGGAGAGAAAAGATGGGGAGCTATAGACCAGTTAGTCTGACATCAGTGGTAGAGAAAATTCTTGCGTCCTAATTAAAGATGTCGTTATGGGATTCCTGGAAGACCATAACAAGTTTAGGCAGAGTCAATATGGTTTTACAAAAGGGAAGTCATGCTTAACTAGTCTTTTAGAGTTTTTTTTAAGATGTATCTAGCAGGTTAGATAAGGGGGAACCAGTAGATGTAGCATATTTAGATTTTAAAAAGGCATTTGACAAAGTGCCACACAAAAGGCTATTGGACAAGGTTAAGGCCCATGGGATTAATGGGAACATATTAGCATGGATTGAAGAGTAGCTAACGGGTAGAAAACAGAGAGAGTAGGGATAAACGGGTCATTCTCGAATTGGCAGGATGTGACTAGTGGAATGCCACAAGGATCAGTGCTTGGGCCTCAGCTATTTACAATTTACATCAATGATCTAGACGAGGACATTGAATGTAACGTATTTAAATTTGCAGATGACATTAAAATAGGTGGGAGAGTAAGCTCTGAGGATGATGCAAAAAGATTGCAACGGCATATAGACAGGCTAGGGGAGTGGGCGAGTAGGTGGCAGATGGAATTTAATGTGGGGAAGTGTGAAGTTATTCACCTAGGTAGAAAAAATAGAAAAACAGATTATTTTCTAGAGGGGAAGAGGTTAGATAGTGTTAGTGTTCAGAGGGATTTGGGTGTCCTTGTACACCAGTCTCAAAAAGTTAAGTTTGCAGGTGCAGCAAGCAACTAAGAAGGCGAACGGCATGTTAGCATTCATTGCAAAAGGTTTAGAGTACAAGAGTGGGAAGTCTTGCTGCAACTGTATAGGGCCTTGGTGAGACCGCACCTAGAATATTGTGTGCAGTTTTGGTTTCCTTATTTAAAAAAGGACATAGTTGCCCTAGAAGGGGTGCAGCGTAGATTCACTCGGTTAGTTCCTGGGATGAGGGTCACTGACCTATGAGGATAGGCTGAATAAACTAGGGCTATATTCTCTAGAGTACAGAAGAATTAGGGGAGCTCTTATTACAACATATAAGATTCTTAAAGGGCTGGATAAAGTAGACACTGAGGGTCTGTTTCCCCTGGTAGGAGAATCTATAACCAGAGGTCACAGTCTTAAGAACAGAGTTGAGGAAACATTTCTTCACTCAGAGGGTAGTGAATTTATGGAATTCACTACCCCAGAAGGCTGTAGATGCTCAGTCCTTGAACATCTTCAAGGCTGAGACTGATAGATGTTTAAAAAATAGAGGGATTAGGGGATATGGGGATAGGGCAGGTAATTAGAGTTAGGTCTGAAGATCAGCCATGATCTTATCGAATGGCGGGGCAGACTCGAGGGGCCGAATGGCTACTCCTGCTCCTAATTCTTATGTTCTTATGCTCTTATTTAGCAACCCTGGTCTGAGGAATAGCCCCAGTGTGTGTAGGATTTTTTTTGTCAGCAGGGTGCCTTAGTACATGTGGAAACACATCCCTATGCTTAAGAATACACAAACCAGACAAAACTAGAATCCTACCTTTTACCTATGGAAATGTCTCTGTCTGAGATGGAATGCGCACTCTCTCCCTGGAGGGAACCGAGTGAGAAGTCGAACCTGGTTTTATATGAAATATCTGTAAAGAAACATATTGTTCCCAGTGTGTGTAAAATTGAGGTATATTAAACTATTCTGCCTTTTATTTTGATCAGGCAGGTGTTAGACTCATGTAGAAATGGAATCACCATGCTTAAGATTGTGGAGTCAAGGGAAAAGTAGCAGAATGAATAGCAAACTGGCTACAAGACAGAAAGCAAAGATTAGGGGCAGAGGGTAGAGTGGCAGGGAGTGGGCAGTGGTGTTCCACAAGGATTAGTATTGGGACCACTGTTGTTCACAATTTACAATAATGATTTGGACTCGAGGATTGAAAGTACAATTTCAAAATTTGCGGACGACACCAAATTGGGGGGTATAGTTAATGCTGAAGAGGACTGCAACAAATTACAGCAAGACATTAATAAACTTGCTGAATGGTCATTTGAATGGTAAATGCATCTCAATATAGTGAGGTGGTACATTTTGATAGGAGGAATAAGGAGGTCACGTACTGCCTGGAAAATAAAAGCCTAAATGGGGTAGAGGAGCAAAGGGACCCAGGGGTACACATACACAAATCACTAAAAGTAGCAATAAGGCCATGAAAAAGCAAACCAGGCACTGGGGTTCATTTCTAGAGGATAGAAATGATAAGCAGGGAAGTTATGGTAAACTTATATTGAACCTTGGTTTAGATATAAGTTTACCATAACTAGGAGTACTGTGTCCAATTCTGGTCCCCACATTTTAGAAAGGATATGGAGAAGGTGCAAAGGAGATTCACAGGATGATCCGGGAACTGAGAGATCATACCTATCAGGAAAGGCTGAACGTGCTTGGACTCTTCCTTTGAAAAGAGAAGGGTGAGGGGTGACCAAATAGAGGTCTTTAAAATTATGAAAGGTTTTGATAGGGTAGACATAGAGAAGATGTTTGCACTTGTGGGGGAAACCAAAACCAGGGGCCATCAATATAAAATAGTCACCAATAAATCAAATAGAGAAGTCAAAAGTAACTTCTTTACCCAGAGAGTGGTGGGAATGTGGAACTTGCTACCACAAGGAGCAGTTGAGGTGAAAAGCATAGATGTATTTAAGAGGAAGCTAGATAAGTATACGCGGGAGAAAGGAATAGAAGGTTATGCTGATAGACTTAATTGAGGAAGAGCAGGAGGAGGCTCATTTGGAGCATAAACGCCGTCATAGACCAGTTGCGCCAAATGGCCTGTTTCTGTGCTGTATATTCTAATGTATTGTTTAAAACAAACTACTAAGACATCCACACATGTATGAACATTTCTATTAATTTGGTGTGGACTAACAATTCTTTCTCAGCCATGTTATACTGGCTCCAAACAGCAGAGCTGCTTTCCCTTTCAAACAAGCATCTGTGCATGCCAGGAAATCATCCTTTTGTTTTATAGGTTATTTTTTGCTACTGCTGCAAGTTCACTTAATAAACTTCTACATGCTGTATGAAATATCTACGAAGAAACCTATTGCCCCAAAGTATTTTGCACGACTGCCTTTTCAATAAATGGCACAACAATGCCTTTGGTAATGTGATTATTCATAGCGCCACTGATTTGCTTGTGCTGATACAATTAAAACATCTTCATTTTTTTTAACTAAAAGGGTTATTAAGATGTGAAACATGTTACCACAAATATCGGTTACGGGGAATCATTTGCCCCATTTGTAACGGGAATTAGATGAATTCTTGAATGAGAATATAAAAGGTATTGGGGAGGAACAAGGACATTGGATTAGAATAAGAATAATCCATCCATTTGTGATAGCACCTTATCGTGTTGTCAAACGTCTCAAAGCGGTGCACAGGATTTTACTGTAAAGCTCAGTGACAGTGTATTTGTCAGCAAAATGCAGCAGTCAATTTGCACACAGCAACTTATGAATATAGTTATAAGCGGATATTCAGAAAGATCAGGGTAATAGGATTAGAAGAATGAAGATATAAAAAAGTATTGGGAAAGAGATGGGACATGAAACTTGAGGAACAAAAGCATAACAAGATATTGGGAAAGAGCAGGCACATGGGACTAGAGTTGGTAGCTGCAGTTGCAATGAATCGCAGAAATCCCAATGTTTTTTTTCTAACGGCTTGCTGAATATCTTGATTTACAAGCCACTTCTATCACCGGTGCAATGTTTCCTTCAGCTTGCTCACTCCAGAATGGGGATCTCTCAAAACTGGTTTTATAGAGATAGATTGCACCCAAAATTTCCGAGCTGTTTCCCCATTTTTCGTATCTCCTTTGCGTTCCTGATGACTGTTTCTACACGTATCCAATATTTGCTCGAGATTGTGGAAAGGGAAAGAAAAATGTGGTCATAGTCTATGGTCATAGTTTGCTCTATAAAACCAGCAAAAAGAGATGTGGAGGGCGCTATATAAATCCAAGTTGTTGTTGTTGTAATTGGAAGGTTCTGTGAATACAGTGCGTCAATTTTTTTAACTCAAAGGGTTATTAGGATGTGAAACATGTTACCACAAATAACGGTTACCGGAATCATTTGCACCATTTGCAAAGGGAATTAGATGAATATTTGAGGGAATTAGATGAATACTTGAACGAGGATATAAAAGGTATCAGGGAAGAGCAAGGACTTCCTGAAAAGGAAGTAGATTAATGTTGGATGTGACTTTTCATCAGATGTCGATCAATCTGCAGTACATTGCCAGAATTTTACTTCAATAACAACAAATTACATTTATAGTCTTTCACGTCAGGAGGAGTTCCCAAGGTGCTGGAAGGTTAAGGGTTTGCACCTGACCTGGGGGTTTGAATCAAGAGGGATGGAGGGATAGAGGTGAGTGGTGATGGGAGGGTGGCCGAAGCCAAGGTCAAAGTGGAAGGTCTTGAGATGGGCCTTGAGGGCCTTGAGATGGGCCAAGGGAGGGAATGAGGCGAAGGAATTCCGGGATGTAGTTCCAGAAGGTGGGGGCAGAAAAGCTGAAGGCCCGACAGTCAATGATGGGGTGGGTAGGGTGGTGGACATGGAGCAGGCCAGTACCTGCCGAGTGGAGGGAGCAGACAAGTTAATAGGTCACAGGGGTAGGGAACAGGATGACTGTGGAGCGCTTTAAAAGAGAGGATGAGGATTTTAAACTTGAACCTCTGAGGGATGGGGAGACGGAGTCAGGTGAGGATACGTGGTGATCAATTCATGGAGCTTAGTATGGGAGAGGACACGAGCTGTAGAGTTCTGAACAATCTGCAGTTTGTGAAGGGAAGAGTTGGGAAGTCCAGTGAGCAGGGAGTTAGTGTAGTCGAGCCTACTTCAGATTATTTATTTTCTTGGCAAAAATGTTCTTGCAGTGGATTCCTGAAATGCTGGCAAGGACTGGTTGGGCCGAATGGCCTGTTTCCGTGGTGTACTGTCTGTGTAAATCTGTACAGTTTCTGTCAATGGAGGTTTGAGGTCTTCATGGAGATGTCTCACAAATTAAATAACCCGTTTTACAGCCTCCTTTGGTAACTAAACTTTGGTGGTCAGGCTTGTTACAGGCAGATGTATGGATTGAATGCAACAATGACTTTATTAATGTGTTCTGAGAACTCACAGTCTGCTAATTTTTAAGGCTTTATGGTTGGAAGAGAATATGAAGCCGGTGGAATAGCTAAAGACGGAGCCAAAATGGTAACTGCAGTTGCCTGTGCAAACGTTCCCAAAATCACTGTCATAATTGGTGGTTCCTATGGCGCTGGAAACTATGGGATGTGTGGAAGAGCATATAGGTAAGTACCTTGAATTCTGCCACCTGATCCTCTTTCTTCTGTTCCAGGACTTACACAGTTTAATGCAGGAAAATAAGATTCTGCCCTTTGAGAAGAAATTTGTTCGGTTTGGGTTGAACAATGCAATGCTGATTTAAGACACCCATTCGGGAGATAGTTTAGGTTTTCTTAACACTTTATTTGCAAAAGGAGCAGAGGACTCTGGGCTCTCAGCCCAGAGCTAGAAACACTGAAATTGACACATTTTTAGCCCATTGTTAAACAAGGGCATGTTGCAAAAATAAATGTACAGAAAGTGACATGAGATATGGATGAAGGTGAAAATAAAGAGAGGTAGGGGAACAAGGCGAGTCAAGTCGCGAAGATAAAGAAAGGATTGGGGGAGAGTTGGGTACCAATAAAGACTAGAGAAAGAGGCAAAACTTCTATAGTGGAAAAAGCAAAGTAAAGGGGAAGCGTGGCTGAATGGATAACATTGAACAAAATAAATAAATACTTATATACTCCATAGTGCTGCTGATGTGATGTTTTTTTATTTCAGAGACCAAGCAATCCAGTATAGATGTGGAGCACATTTTTGCATAATCCTAGGATGTCCTGTAACTATTAAAATAAATACTGTAGTTGTAAATATTCCTTCCTTCAAGGATTGTTTGTCACCGGGAACTTGTGCTAGTAATGTCATTGACTTGTTGCAGAATCCTTCAACCATTAGGATCAAAGGCATTGATCTATAAAGCTTCTACACAGTTGATGCAGAGAAGTACAATATGTATGAACAATGAGAAGGCTAAAGGATTTTACACGGCCTGTAAAATTACCCCAGAAGTACACCAATATAATTTTAACAGACCAAATTGGTGCCCTGTGAATCAGTACTCTAAGGTGTCTGGGACGTCCTCCCGACGTGAAAGGCGCTCTATAAATGTAATTTTGTTGTTATTGTTGTCTGTAATACTGTAGCAAATTATATTATTCATGCAGACTCTGATGATGTTGCATTGATCGATGTTAGAATAATTTTATTTATTACATTGTTTTAGTTTATTTTTATGATCTTCAAGGTGAGGAATGTTAGAGCTGGGAATGGAACACTTTCCTATTTTGAGAACCTAGTGTCCATGTCAAACATTCAGGTTAGTTATAGTGCAGATAGCTGTCTTAGTAACGTATCTTAGTTTCAACCTAAAACAAGCACTCTAGCTTGCTGTGGGGTGCCATTTCTGGTTTTACGCTGACCATCATCACTCTTGAGTGAGATTGTCAAATTAAGAGCAGTTTTTTTCATGTCCATTAGGTTGAGTCAACTCAAAGTAATTTGCATTAGATCCTTATTGCAGAGCAGAGAGGGGAGAAGCCTATCCTATTAGTCTGACAGAATTGAAACCCTGGGACTAGAGTTAAAAGCATAGTGTAATGGCTCATTGGATCAACAAGTTATTCCCCACCACCACACCCCTGCCATCAAGTTAAGCAAAATTGAGGACCTGTTGCTTGAAACACATAGTTATTTAACAAAAAGTGATGTGTCTAAGTTTATTCTCTTGAGTGTTTTCAGATCTTTGGGGATTTCAACAAGAACACATCATTAATGTCTAATACGAGGCATTGTTTTCAAGTATAATACCTCTTGTATTTGATATAGTGCCACTTCACATCAGAAGGATGTATCAAAATGCTTCACAGGATTTACTACTGTAAAGTGTAGTGACTGTGTATTTGTAGGTATAGGTAGCCAATTTGCTCACAGCAATGACCTACAAACAGCCGCAAAGTGAATGATAATTTTATTTGAGGATCATCAAACAAAACAATAATAAATTGGTCATTTTCAATCCACGACTGTTTGTGGGACTTTGCTGTGTGCAATTGGCTGCCGCGTTCGCCCACAAATATACAGTCAATTCACTTTACAGTGTGTTCTGTGAAGCACTTTGGGACGTCCTCCCGACGTGAAAAGCGTTATATCAAATGCAAGGATTATTATTATTATTATTATCAGGACACTGGGAGAAACTCTTTTGGGTTTTCGAATAGTGCTGTAGAATCCTTAATGTTCACCTGAACAGGCAGACGGGTACCTCACTTTAATGTCTTGTCCGAAAGAAGGCACCTCTAACAATACAGTTCAACCCCAGTTTGGAGTGTCAGCCCAGACTGTGAATTTAATATGGGGCATGAACCCAGAACCTTCTGAGTCAGAGGGGAAGAGTGCTACACTGAGCCAGACTGACACGTGAATTTGAGAGATGCACAAAATATTTCTTGTTTTAAAATATTCGTAAAGTAGCTCAAATAATCACATTTTTGTTTTCATTTTTTTTNCTCTCACAGAAATACTATTGTAATTTTCGAAGAGTTGGGAGCTACCACTTGTAGCAGAAACAGTACAATGAATTATTTTCTTTCAAAGAAAACTTTGCAGTTCTGTGTTGATTGATTCATTTGTCTCTTAACACAGCTGTGTATATCTTATATGAAGTAAAATCCAAGTGAACGCTGCAAAATACAAATACCTCATACCAATATTCAGGATATTGAGGAATTTTATATAAATCATGAGCAGAAAGCAATGTCTTTAAATGAGCCCAGTGTAAGAAATCTGTCTGGAAGTAGAATGTGGTCAATGGGATTGACAGCCTCGTTAAAATGGAGCTGTCTAATGAAAATGTTTTTCCCAGCTCTGGGCTTTAAATCAGTGCAGGTTGTCTAAATATTCAACTCATTAATTATATTAAACCAGCTCGCTGTTGCTGCTAGCAAATGATGCTGTCAGTGATTTGGGGTTATTTTTGTATGCTCCAAGATGACGACATTTGGGACAATGCAAAGCAAAAATTTTTGTGATAAATAATTTATTTTCACAATGAAGAGGAGCACTGAGTTGCAAATGTGGCAGACCTTAAAGAATTCCATATTTATTATGCTCTTGAAATTTAAATTAACTGGTTTTCTGAGCTAATGTTTCTTAGGGGGAGGAAATGATGATTTTGCCTGAATTTGACTCATTGAATTTAACATCTCGCTTTTCCTTCCAGTCCAAGGTTCCTTTATATGTGGCCTAATGCACGCATCTCAGTGATGGGAGGTGAGCAAGCTGCTACTGTTCTGGCTACAATTACAAAGGACCAAAGAGGGAGGGAAGGAAAAGAGGTAATTGTCACCTAAAACTACAGGACCATTCAAACATGACGCATACCTCATAGAGCAAGCTTTGCCCAGCTTAAGATTCAAATAATAATCACCATTATGGTCATTTTTATTACAAACAATGAACTTACTCTGCTCCTGTATCCAAATTCTGGCTTCAGTAATGTATATATAGTACCACTTACAATACACTTCAGTTTACATTTGTACAGTAGCTTTGTATAGTCGGGAGGATGTCTTAAAATGCTTAAATACATCTGGAGAGAGCATGTTGATAGCAGAATGAGACGGCCTTACCTTACAATCCCAACTCCATGCCTTGCAGAAGCGTCCTTCTCAAACTGCCTCTGTGTACCTTTCTGATGCTGTTCTGTGACTCTGTTCTAACCAGCTGAAATGGTCCAGGGAAAGTTTGAGGAACTGGTTTTGCATCCGCCTCTTCTCTCCAACCTTCAACCCTACCAAACTGGCTGCTTCCTTTGCTCAGCAAACACGTTAATTCATATTAATATTTGGGGGGGGGTTAGCTTTCTGACACATGCGGAAACACATCACCATGCTTAAGAGTATCCAAACCAAACAGAGTTGCATGCATCCCACCTATACTTGGAAATTTGAGATGTTCATTGGAATGGAATGCTTACTGTTTCTCTGGAGAGACACATCCTGCTTACCTATTTGTGGAGACTATAACGTACCGATTGGCAAGAGACAAGGATTAGGGACTGCAGAATGTGTATTGGGGGTACTGCTGGAATCTTATCAGCTAAAACTTGCCATTGAGAGCCTTGTCTGCCAAGCTTTTCTGCTGTTTGTCCAGCTTGGACCACCCTACCTGTTAAGGCTTTGACTTGCAGGGTTGAGTGAGAAGAGTCCTTAGTCCCAGAGACTGATCTGCCAATTTTTATGTAGTTCTCTGCAGCCGATGAAGCAGCATTGAAGGAGCCGATTATCAGGAGGTTTGAGGAGGAAGGCAACCCTTACTACTCCAGTGCCAGGTAAGGAAGTATTCATATCAGTGCTTTGTATATTGAAAAATGACAATAATGATAGGTGGACTGCCTCTCAAGCTATATAAACATTGACAAATATCATGATATATTTGATGAATCTTTGGTCATAATTGGCATTGTCTACAGGTCCATTTCTAAAGAACAGCAGGTAATGAGATCTATCGTGCAAACCATGTGTAAACACGTATATATTATGCTTAACTTATAATCACGTGTATACAAAGGAAATTACAGATGACCTTAATAATGTAATTAACAAAGTAAAGGATTGCAACTCCTCCAGTCATGCATTTACTTGTGGTTTACACATGGCATATAAACCCTAAAATCCTTTTTTCCACCACCCACTACCTCCTCCATGTCCCCCCTCAGGTCTCCTCGATCTTCACAGTAAATGCCAAGTGCGAGGAGGTCATGAACTTCTTTTCATCTAAAATTCACAACATCTGCCAGGCAGCCTCATCCACCTGCCTCTTGTCACCCACCACCACGCCCTCTCTGTCCCCCTCACTCTCCCCATCATCTGCTCCTACCACCACCCCCATCCTACATTCCTTTCTCCCTCTCACCCACCATCACCTCCATGAAACTCACTACCTGCTGCCTCGACCCCCTCCCCACCAACTTGCTGGTCACCCAGCTCCCTCTCCTCTGCCCACTACTGGCTGATGTCATCAACCAGTCCCTCTCCTCCGGATCAGTTCCTGGCCCCCTCAAAACTGCTGTCAACATCCCCCTCCTCAAAAAACCTTCCCTAGATTCCTCAAACCCCAGCCACTACCGCCCCATTTCTAACCTGCCCTTCCTCGTAAAAGTCCTAGAGCACGTTGTTGCCAATCAATTTCGCGCACACCTCTCCTCCCACTCCCTATTCGAACCCTTCCAATCCGGCTTCCGCCCTACCCACAGTACAGAGGCTGCGCTTGTGAAAGTCAAGCGTCAGGCAACCTAGGCGTCAGGTTCGACCCCCAATTATCCTTCCTCCCCCACATCCGGTTCCTCACCTTCTTCCACCTCTGACACATCACCCGTCTCCGCCAATACCTCTCCGAAAGCCGCTGAAACCCTACTCCATGCCTTTGTCACCTCTCAGCTGGACTATTCTAACGCCCTCCTCGCCGGTCTCCCATCAACTACCATCCATAAAATCCAACTCATTCAAAACTCTGCCGCCCGCATTCTCACCCACACCAAACTCCGCTCTCCGATCACCCCAGTCCTTGCAAGACTGTACTGGATTCAAGATCCTCACCCTTGTATTCAAATCCCTTCACTCCTCTGCAGCCCCTACCTCTCTGACCTCCTCTCTTCAAAACAGTACCCTTTGCCTTCGTTCCTCCGGGTCTGGCCTCCTCCTCATTCCTCGAGTCCTCCGCTCCACCCTCGGCGGCCGTGCCTTCAGCCGCTACGCCCCGAGGCTCTGGAATTCTCTTCCTCACTCCCTTTGTCTCACTCCATCGCTTCCTATTTTCAGGTCTCTGCTGAAGACTTTTCTCTTCGAGCGCGCCTTTGGTCACCTTCTTCCCCCTCCCCCTGGCTCGGCCCTGGGATCCGTTACTGTAACGTTATCCGTTATGTTATATTCAAGACTGAGATAGATAGATTTCTTATTGCAAAAGGGATTAAGGGATATGGAAATAAGGCAGGGTCAGGTTATTAGTTGGAGTTAGATTAGAAGATCAGCCATGATTGAATGGCAGGGCAGGCTCGAAGGGCCGAATGGCCTACTCCTGCTCCTACATGTTATGTTATGTAAAATGCTCTGAGACGCTGTCCGGCGTGGAGGGCGCTATATAAATCCAAGTTGTTGTTGTTATAATACACCCTGCATTTATGCATGGCTTGTATAGATCTCCAAATCAATTACACTAAAACCAAAGATTGTATAAATCTGAACTGGTAGCATCAATTGTACCATAATCTATATCGATGTTTAATAACTGGCAGTCTTAGAAATGAGGTGGGCTAATGTAAGCTGTGCAGAGCAGAAAGGTACCAAGTTCCAATCCCTGGCAGGTGCTGAGTTAGCTGAACTCATTTGGGATACTGCAGGTGGCCTCTGTGTCCTTGGGGTTAAAGAGCAAAAAATCAACAAGATTTACACACGTGAGGAATGGCCACTTTGGGCGCAGTACCAATAAGTGTGTATGAAAACATTTGTGAAGCCTCCCAATAAAAGGCGTTGGAGCACTTTAACAAATGTGAAGTTGTGGTGTGTCTCAATCTGGCTGCTAAGACTGTGGTTGCCCTCGTAAACAAGAATCAATTTTGCTGTTCGATCAAGAAGCATTCACTAATAATCTAAGGCCTCACTGATGTGAAGTTCTGTCAGTGGAGGCTTCATTCCAGTTGCTAGCAGCATAAATGAAAATGTCTTGTCCGATTCTGTGATGGAATTTTTTTGTCAATATCAAAGGTTTAGGTCCACAGCCAGATCCTGGCCATTGCTGGTGCTCCAACCATAGAAATTTACAGCACAGATTAAGACAATTGGGTCTATGTGTCTGTGCTGGCTCATTCAAGAGCAATCTTTTCAGTCCCATTTACCTGTCCTTTCCCCATATCCCTGCAGCTTATTCCTTTTTAGGTATTTGTCTAGACCCCTGTTGAGTACTAATATTGGAGAATCTTGAAGGACACGAAAGATCTTTAAGGAGATGTTATTTGGTTCAAGCAGCTACTTGATTACCTTTCACCTATCAACAGTGGTTCTCTTGAGTGGTTAGTTCATTGCATTTAACATTGCGTTTAGGAGTTTCCTTGGATATTGGCCAGCATGAAAGTAAAGCCTAATCTTGTGTCACATGGAAATACTCCTCTCGTTAAGCCTTCTTTTCAGGTTGTAATGCAAAAGCTACAAAATCCCCAGTATTGTACTTGTTTACAATTACTTGTCTGTTTGTGCTTTAGGGCTCTGGAACCCAGATGTGCTGGGTAATCGCTTTGCTTCTTTCCCTTTAACCATGCATCTAGCCACAGTGGAAGGAGAGGAGGATTATTGAGGCTTGCTTTATATCCATCAATTGTTTTTAACCAACAAGCGACTAATAGCCTTTAGTTTTATCTAAAGGTTTTTTTTATCCATGATTTTATCCCTGGCATTACCAGTAAGAATTACACACTAAAGTGGTTGAAATTGACCGTATCAGCCTGTTCACTTCAGTTCAGCTGCAGTGTGTTGATTTTTTATTCTTCTTGTAACTGTGAAAAAGGAAGAAGATGGGGTCAAACTTGCAATATTTGCACAGGTTGGGAAGTGCTATTTTGAACCTCCTCAGTCGACTTGAGCCATTTGATTATTGCTTGGCAATTTCCAAAATCCACTGATGTGTGAAAAAGGGTTAGAGTGAAATGCAGGTTTGTGACTTTTGGCAGCTTTTAGCACTTCCTACACCCACTGTGAATATTGCAGAATGCCTTCTAAAACAACCCAGGAATGAACATATAAACCCATATGCGAATATTTCTTGTCAGGGAGTTGCATGTTGTATCCTTTGCCACAATCTCTCTCATCCTTGTAATTGAATTACACTCAATTTTGAGGCTTTTTTTTCTGCACAACCTAAATTATTACTTACAGTAATTGTTCTGGTGCTCAGGGACAGCAAGGTCATTGATGCATTTCCTCCTTTCAAATAACCATTGACCCTTTAACGTTTACCTTCAATTTTTCAATGGAGGTAGAGAGACTGGATTTTACAAGTGATTTGAGTCATGTCCTATTCCACTGGATCTAGCCAGGCTATTAAATATTTACCTTGCTAGTTTGCCTGCTGACGTACTGTGAACTGTTGGATAAGACTAAAAAGCGAAGGAAAATGAATCACGTTTTAAAGTTAATGATAGTTCTTTGAATTCTCATAGAATAATAGAACGTTTACAGCCATTTGGCTCATCAGCTCTATGCTAGTGCTACCTTCTGACTGAAAAACTGGGATGAAAATTGTGATGTGTTCATTAACACATTATTGGAAAAAAAATAATAATCATTCTTACATTTGGTATAGCACCTTTCACTCTGTGAGGACTTCGCAAAACGCTTCACAAAATATAATGTAAAGTACAGTGACTGTGCTTTGTGGGCAAACTTACAAAAATGCAACCATTCAGTGTCATGCAATGCAACCTTAATCTTTAACTGGTTTGTGGGTGTGACATACTCCATCCCACATGCACTGTCAAAAGGGTTAGGCTTAAAGCCAGTTGCACAATGCATTTGGAGTGCCTGGTAGCAAGATATTGGTTTAGCAAAAATGAGTGTTAAACTGGTAATTCTATGGCTTGCCAATCCAACTTGTGTCTCAACAAAGACAGTCAGTGCATTTCTTCAGAGGTATTTAATCTGCAGATAGTCATGGAAACAAATTCAGAGACCAATTCAAGTGATATAATTGTTTTCACTTAAATTCATCATTGTGCTATAAAGTGCCTCATTTTTAACCACTAGTCATGCAGGAACCTAGGCAACATTTAAACACAACCCTCTGGACAAATTGTACAGAATTGTGGTTGCCAGCAGATTTTAATTAATATAAATATTTTAGAAAAATTGCACGGTGAGTAAAATAGCATGCGTCTCGGGAGCTCTGTGCACCCTTGCACTGGATTAATTACTATCCACTGCCAGAAAAGGACAAATAGCTCTAGAGTACAAATTAGTCACAGCAATGGTGCTAATCCAGGTCATTTCTATTTAGTTTCCTGACAGGACTCCGGGTCATGTATAATTAATGATCCGAGAGCTAATTGATTCTATTGAGGAGCTTTTTGATGTTTTTAATAATTAACACAGTCACCTTCTCACCTTCTTAAGGAAGAAACGCAAAGCATCTGAATGGGTCACAACAGGCTCACTATTGTTCTAGTTTTATTAGATGCAAAAATCATTGACCTTTCCAAGCTGAAAGTTTACCTCAGTGGTTTGTGGAGTACTTTGAATAGGAAAAGTGTTTCAACAATTGAGTGATGCACTTAAACTTGCTTTGGCTTTTTTGAGGAAGGTGATGTATTTTTCGTTATGGCTTTGCCATCGCTGACAACCTGCAATGAATACAGTAAAACTTGCATAAGTCTGATCTGAATAAATCGTATAATTGCCGAAGTCGTACATCTTCCCAGGTCCCGTTGAATTTCCTATTATTTATAAGTTTCACGTAACTCATACTTTGCATTAGTGATTTTCAGTGTATGGTCTCAACTGATATGACTTATGTGAGGTTTACTGTAGAATGCAATTTCTCTGCTTATCTGAAGTTTCCTTAGCACCCGATCTCCGCTGTTTGTTGCCACCATTCAGCAACTGAAAAGACCAGCTGCAAGACGTGATGGTGTCATATATTTTACCTATTTGACAATTTGTGTTGCCTTTGAGACATTTATTTTTTCCCCCCAGTTTATCACTTCCTAAATAACTGCAGCAAAATTGCTTAATATTCAGGCACATCTCCCAGCTTTTGCTGCTGTTATTTTGGCATGAGTTGATCGGAGAAAAAACTTCTAAAGGCCTTGTGCATGGATGGAGTGTTTCACATCATTGCACCACTTAAGCAATGATATCTTCACCATAAATTTGTTTTGTGGAAGAAAAATGTACAGTGGACTATGGAGAAAATTAACATCCAGTTCATATTCTAACTTGATAACAAAGAGTTAAAATAGCCTTTCATTTAGCAGCCAGGATGGAGTATTATTAAAGACTACAGTTTTGTTTTTAAAAAATATATTGTATTTTGTATAATATACAATGTATAAAATCTGGCTTTTCTCCAGTACTTCATTGCTTTTCTCTCTTTTAGCTTCTTACTAATAGCTAAGCTGTATGTACAAAGGAGTAATTAACCTGTATTCCTTTCCATTTCACTATTAATTGCCAAACTAATTTATACCACCCAGTATGTGTACACTTCTTCCAGTTAGCTTTTGTTGAGAATAGATTTTGTGAGGCTTTTATTGGTCAGCCGAGTGTCGTTGACACATGTGGAAATCCATCACATGCTTAAGAATATACAAACCTGACTAAGCTCCACACACTCAGTGATTTGTCTGCTAAATTGCCAAGAGTAACTACAAGAATTTGTTTATTCATAATACAAACACTGCTTTAAATGTCATTAACGATTCTTAAGAATCTCAGTGCTATAGACTAACGTTGTACAGGATAATTGGGAAATTAAATCACAGCTGGCCTTAGTCTGTATGATTTGCCATCCACTTGCTAAGGCCACTATCCAATAAATCAGGAAATGTGCAGTGATAGATTGTGCTCGGTTCAGTAGCAGGTTTTTCCCATATCTCATACCAGATCTACAAATAAGTCATACCACACCATTGGATGAAAGCAGAGTTCCACAGTCTATATGACTGACTCATCTGAATAATTGTTTCTTAAGTGTACTTATTTCTTACCAAAGAAAATTGGAATTTAGGTATGTGCAATAAACCATCCTCGTCAAATGTGTTTCCAGCCTGATGTAGTTGGAAGCACTCTCGCCTCCAAATCAAGGTTGTAGGTTCAAGCCCCATGTCGGGATTTGGAACTCATATTATCTAAGTTGACACTAATGTGGTCATGGGGGTGTGCTGCATTATTGGAGGTGCATCCTTTGAATGAGACTTAAATTGAGCCCCTGGCTGGTGGATGTTAAAGATCTCATGGCACTATTCGAAAAGTGAAGGGTGTTTCTCCAGGTATCCTTGTTAAAAATCCCCCAAACAAAATTATTCATTCATTTCATAGCTGTGCACAAGTTGGCTTTTGCGTTTATTCACAAAATATACACATCAACTGCACTTTGCAGTATATCCTGTGAAGTGTTTTGGCACGTCTTTCCGACCTGAAAGGCAAAATGTAAGGATTATTATTAAATTAATTATTAAATGAGCATTTGATGGGATTGTTTGCTTCTTTCTAGTTTAAATATTTAAATGAGAATCTCTGGCATAACATTGTCAATGCGTAGATTGCACGTAGGGGTTATATATGCAAGCCAAGGGCACAAAGCTATGTATTAGTATCCCTCTAATGGCGGTGCTAAAAAGAAGTCTAACAATCTTCATTAATTGCTTGCTTTGTTTACTGTCTGCTGTAACCTTTAAGGACATTGCTTTGCAATAATCTAATTTGATTATTGCGCAGATTGTTAAGGATTCTATTGAAGGCTTTGTTAATTGTGTGACATTTTCAAGATTTGAATCTCACTAAAGTTTGCTTACTTTACGTTATTTCTGACTTTCCCCCTCCCCTTGTCTTTGCAGACTATGGGATGATGGTATCATTGACCCTGCTGATACCAGGTTGGTGCTGGGTCTGAGTCTCAGTGCTGCTCTCAACGCACCCACCAAGAGAACAAACTTCGGAATCTTCAGGATGTGACCTGGGCATTTATTTATTAACACCAAGATTTCCTGATTTGCACATATGTGATATGTGATATGGGAACTGAAAATTACTAACAAATTGTGAAATAAAATGTGCATTTTTAATAGCGCTGGTTTGTTCATGTATTTAAATGATGAAAAATACCAGAAACTCTGGCAAAGAGAGAGAGAGGTAGGTCTAAGGGCACAGGTGTCAATGGGGAGATTCAGATCCATGTGTCAATCGGTGGGGTGGGGGGGGTGGTCTTTGTGCTCACTGAATATCACAAATGGCTCTTGATGCCAAGTCCATCCAAGCATTTAAAAACAAATTGGATAATTGTTTGAAGAGCAATACTATTGTATATCAGAAAGGAGCAGGGGAATACAGGAAGAGCAAATAGAATTAGAGGGAAACTAGCACCAGCATTGACATGATGAGCTAAATGGCCTCCTCTGATGTAAGACGTGGGATAATGTCAAACTACGGCATTATTCAGTGCTCCAAAACACTGTCCTGCATGAAGGGACTACATAAATGCAAGTTACTGTTCTCAGATTCTACGTTCAGCTCACAGCATTTCACTCCAGTCTGATATGCTTTTTAATCTAGTTCTTTATCTTGTCATCAAACTAACATTAAGAAACAAAACATCTCTAATTGCCTAACTGTACAGGCTGTGTTAATATTGATTTGTGTAGGATAATATAGTTAAATATAATGGCAATAATAAATTAAAATTGAAATCATAGCACATTATATAGTTTAGTAAATCCAAGGTTATCCAATCTGAACACAGTGAGTATTTTAGTTCATTTAAGAAAGACTTTCTGCTCATGTGAATGAGCTAGCAAAATATAAATAGATTTGAGTTAAAATGGGATGATTTTCAATGCTACAATAGGCAAAACGCAGCTAGAAGGACAACAAAACATTTCTGCACACTTTGAGGTATGTTTAAAAAATAGTTTCAGAGTAAGATTGAGAGCATTTTGGATGCATTTTGGATCTATTTGATCATATTTGTGGGGTATTTTATTCATATCCGGTTACAAGAAAAAATCCTGAAGTATAATCAGTGAGGTGTTATACCATTTTAGATCTTAACCACTTGACTGATGAAGTCTCAGTGTTTTTTGATTTCTTATTTTCTTGGAAAGACTTTAATTAATCTTGTTAGAGAACCCTTAACTCCCAATAAAACCAATGACTTCCAGTTAGTCAATGACTTCCAGTTAGAGGCATAGAAAGTTTAAGAAACTTAAGAAACTGAGCTACAGGACTCCACAACAGAGGATGAATCAACAGATACAATAGGTCATTGAAGGCGGCCATTTGACCTATTGTATCTGTTGATTCATCCTCTGTTGTGGAGTCCTGTAGCTCAGTGGTTAGAGCACTTGCCTTGCAAGCGAGACACCTCGGTTCAATTCCAGATAGGGTGAAACCTTGGGCAAGTTTCCTTACTCCACACGCCTAATAATAATCCCTCCAAAAGCAAAAACAATAATAAATTGGTCAGTTTGTGGGACACTGCTGCGCAATTGGCTTCTGCGTTTCACCCACAAATATACAATCAATTCACTTTACAGCATATTCTGTGAAGCGCTTTGAGACGTCTAGAAGACGTAAAAAGCGCTATATCAAATGCAAGGATTATTATTATCCTCACATTTCAGGCCTTAACCAAGCATGCATTTCTTTCATATTGCTTTCCACTGCTCCATCTCACACTGAATACTGCCGAACCCCTCATTCACAACTTTGTGACCTGCCACCGAGACTTCAGACACATTTCTCGCTAATTTCTCAAGTCCCACCATCCATAAGCTCCCAACGAATCCCAAACTCCGCTGTCTACATCTTCGCCCACCCCAAACTTCAGTCCTCACCTGGCTCGCTGGCTCCCAACTGATTGACTTCAAAGTACTCTCCGTCATCTACAAATCCCTTTATGCCCTAGCACCTCCCTATCTCTGATCTTCTACTCCATTCTCAGCTTCTTCTTCCACTTGGCTAATAATATTGTTCTCCACATTCTACCATCGATGACCAAGCCTTAAGCTACTACACCAAATGCACAATAAAACCTATTCTAGATCTTTGGTATAAATTACTTTCTGTGTACTTGTGCTTCCATGTTCCATGTACTTAATTTCATTGCATTCTCTCACGTGATACAATTTACTCATTCTTTAGCAGTGATTTTTGAAAATGTATTTCTAGGGCAGTGAAACAACAATTGGATTATTCCCCAAACCAAATTGAGCTACTTATTGAACTGAAAAATGAATTTCAATGTGGATTCTAATTACTTTTCCTATTGTAAAACTGAATACCTTTTTGGGGTGGAAGTATGGTCAAGCCACAACTTTCCTTAAAAGACCTTAAAGAATGCTACTCCTTCCAATTTCTAAGTCAATTGAGAGAGAATATCAAATCCCTTTTTCTCTGTAATAAGTACAACTTTTAATACTATTTATTCTGTTATGTCTTTAAAGAGCCAAATCAATAAAACCACCATGATTGACTGATCAGTAAAGAACAGGTTAAGAATGAGTAGAAATAACAACAATAACTTGCATTTATATAGCGCCCTTCACACAGAGCAGCATCCTGGAGTGCTTGTATAATACTATATACAGTTGATTATACAATGCACGTGAGTATTTTAGTAAGCTTAAATCTGTTATTCTGGAAGCCTGATGATGAAAGCTCCTATCTTTTGGGGATTTGAACGATATTCATATGTTCAATAGTCTTTCTGAGTATTTTAAATCAATTAAAATAGTCACAAATACTATTGTGTATTGAAATTCACCTGCACTCTCCTAGCCTTAAATATTCCATTAAACTACTGGAATTTGAATAAACGTTAAAACTTTCTGTTCTTTCCCAGACGATGTTTTGACAATTCAGTTTCTTTGGAAACGATTCGAATTCCAAAGACTGACCACATCAATTGTAATGAGTCAGAGTTAGCAAAGACATTTGGGAAAGTGCTGAATGGAGACAAGGTAGGGCAAAGCAAGCAATAGAAAAGTGAGTCAACCTGCACCACGTTACCACATGATCACTACAATTATTATAAAGTCAGAATGCAAATCTTGAAAAGTTACGTTCTTGTTTTATCATTACTGGACTACCTTTATTTGGTATTATTTTTATACTTCTGCCTAAGTATGCCCTCCCGACGTGAAAGGTGCTATACAAATGTAATTTTGTTGTTGTTGTTGTAAGTATTCATAACGTATGAACACAAAGTAAGCTTTGGTTAAAAAACAGCTTTATTGGGTACAAAAGTCAAATAAAGGGTGTTCAGAGTTTTTTTTTTGCTCTTAACAATTCCATTTATGTCCCTTTGTAACTTTTTGATAAATGATTTGAAATCATGAGATGCCAGGTGCCAATGAAGAAGAAAGGTGTAGTCAAATATTGCAATAGGCAGAGGTGTAGGAGGAACAAGTCATCTTTACATTCTCTTGGCAGAGAAATGAAGCATTCAATCATCCTGAGGAAATAGTTGCAATATGACTTGCAATAGAGGAAGACAACTTGAGCTGTTCACATATTAAAGTTTTTCCAGTTTGTGTGGAAAATTTGCCGAAAATAACAACAAGAAGTAAGAAAATAATAAGAAAGAAGATTGGATTAAAATGACCCTAAAGATGACGTAAAAAGTTATCTTCCCCAAATAAAAGAGTGTAACAGCTTTATTGTTCAATACAATTGAATAATAGACCAATTATAAAAATATAATTTCTATATTCATGTCCCGAGCATTCTTTAATAGTGGTAAAAGAAGAAAAAAATATAACCCCAGTGTCATTAATTCAAAGTTTAAGATGATTTGCTGTAACTAAAAATTAAAACATCATCAACCCCTCCCTGTCCACTGGCACTGTTCCATCCCCTTAAAAACAGCCATCATCATCACCCCTATCCTCAAAAAACCTTCCTTGGACCCATCCCTACTCTCAAATTACCACCCCATCTCCAACTTTTCTTTCCAAGCTCCTTGAACAAGTCGTTGCTTCCCAGCTTTACTCCAGGACTGAGCCCTGAAGAACATCATCCGCAGACATGGGGTCAATTTCCACATGTGGGGATGATACCCAACTCCATCTCTCTGCCCCCACCCTCGATTCCAGGACCACTGCTGTCCTGACAGAATGTCTGTCAGAAATCAAATCCTAAATGAGAGCTAACTTTCTACAGTTGAACATCAACAAGACCGAGCCCTGCTGAATGGCTCCCGTCAGCACCTCCACACCTCAGGCCCGACAGCATCACCATCCAGGGATGTACACTCCACCTCACTGAGCCAGTCCGGAACCTTGACATCTTGTTTAACTCTCAACTGTCCTTTCTACCTCACATCTATACCATGACCTGCTCTGCCTTCCCCCACCTCCACAACATCGCCTGGCTCCGCCACTGCCTCAGCCCTCAGGCCGCCAAAACTCTCATCCACACGTTCACCACATCTCGGCTCGACTATGCCATCTCCCTGCTTGTCGGCCTTCCCAACTCTTCCCTCCCCAAGCTGCAGATCATCCAGAACTCTGCAGCTCTTGTCCTCTCCTGCACCAGGCTCCGTGACCCCATCACCCCCATGCTCATCTGGCTCCACTGGCTCCCCATCCCCCAGAGGATAGAGTTCAAAATCCTTGTTCTCGCCTTCAAGATCCTCCATGGCCTTGCTCCTTCCTACCTCTGCGACCTGCTGACCCCATATAAATCTGTCCGCTCCCTCTGCTCAGCAGACCACAGCCTGCTCCACGTCTCTGCCCAGCCCTCCTCACCATCAGCAGTCCGGCTTTCAGCCTCTGCTCCCACCTTTTGGAACTCCATTCCACATTCTCTTTGCTTCGCTCCCTCCTTTGCCTCCTTCAAGGCACGTCTCAAGACCCTCGTCTTTGACCATACCTTCAGCCACTTTCCTGCCCTCCACCCTCCTGATCCCAACCCCCTTGCTTGGATCCAAATCCCTGACTGTCCAGCGCCTTGTCACATCCTCTCTACATGAAAGGCGTTACACAAATATAGTTTTGTATTGCATTGTATTGTAAAATCAATGCAATATGAATTTCATCATTTTAAAAGATATAGAAGCAACGCTTCATTTCATTGATCAAAAATATTTATCTGTATCCTCATTCTTTCTCAACGAAAAGCAACATAAGCAATGTTTGAGTACCAATTATTTTTACCATGAAAAACATATTTCACCCGAACAATGACCAGGGTCTTGTAACAAGCAATTAATTTTTGTGCTGACGCATACAGTATTTAGCTGAACCCATGAGAGCTGTACAAAGGGCAGACAGGAATCACATCCAGAAACTATATCTATCTTGGACCTATTGTAAATATCAGCTGGCTGATCCCTTTGTCTAGACCTGTCTGCATACATGCTATGGACCTGCTACGATTTAAGGTTAAATAACTCTCACTTTATCCACCACAAAACAAAGTAACCAGACAACTATGCTGGATTATAGCAAGCTCGTTCAATTAGATCAGCCTCTGGGATTTTAATGTCTTCCCACAACAATTTAGAAGTTTGTGTGATTGAACGTACTAAAAGCAGTGAGATGACTCAGGTATTTTCACAATGCTCTTTAGCACATTTATTCATATCCTGCAAAACAAGTGGCCCTGCATTGTCATGAGCAGACAATGTAAGAATGATCGAACGCTTTCCAATTACTAAGGTATTCCATTCAGACCTCTGTAGCACTAATCTATGCGTTTATCACATCCAGGCTTGACTACATCAACTCTCTGCTTGCTGGACCACTCAACAACAGCAAGAACAACAACCACCACAAATTACATTTGTATAGCACCTTTCATGTCGGGAGGATGTACCAAAATGCTGGACCCAATTCCTCCCTACACAATCTGCAGATGGTTCAGAACTGTCTTTTCCCACACTAAGCTCTCTGAGTCTATCACCACCATCCTCGCCCAGCTCCATTGTCTCCCCATACCCCAGCAGATTGTGTTGAAGATCCTTATTTCAAATCCCTCCACATTCTTGCCCCACCCTACTTGTGCAATCTCCTCAAACCATACCAATTTAACCACTCCCTTGTTTTAGCAGGCATCGGCCTGTTTTACGTCTCCTGCTCTAGCTACCCCATAATTGGTAGTCGGACAATCAGTTTATCCACCACAACTCTCTGGAATTCGATCCATCCCTCAACAACAACAACAAAATGACATTTATAAAGCACCTTTCACGTCGGGAGGACGTCCCAAGGCACTGGACAGTCAGGAGTGGGGTTGGGTTGAGGGAAGGCAGAGAGACGGAAGGGCGACCAAAGGCATGATTGAAGAGGAGGGTCTTGAGATCAGCCTTGAAGGAGGCAAGGGAGGAAACGAGGCGAAGGGACTGTGGGATGGAGTTCCAGAGTATGAGGGCAGAGAGGCTGAAAGCTCGGCCACCGATGGTATAAAAATAAAAAGAAGTTCTCCCCCCTTCCCCGCCCCCCCACACCGATAAAGGAAAATATCTCAAACAAATCCACTCACTACACTGCTGAACCACACATACATGTGTTAGGGTTTGATTTTGTCTTTATTATTTATAGAAAATAATAAAGCAAATCACTCATGACTTACGACTATAAGACTTGTATTACGACTTGTATTCTATTTTTCTTCCTAGATAAGGATTTTGTTTTTAGCAAAATATACGACACATTTACTGATCACTATTTGCTGATCACTATTTGGTGATCGCTATTTACTAATCACTATTTGCTGATCACTATTTGCTGATCACTGTTTACTGATCACTATTTGCTGATCACTATTTACTGATCACTATTTGCTGATCACTGTTTACTGATCACTATTTGCTGATCACTGTTTACTGATCACTGTTTACTGATCACTATTTGTTGATCACTATTTACTGATCACTATTTACTGATCACTATTTGCTGATCACTATTTACTGATCACTATGTACTGATCACTATTTGCTGATCACTATTTGCTAATCACTGTTTACTGATCACTATTTACTGATCACTATTTGCTGATCACTATTTACTGATCACTATTTACTGATCACTATTTACTGATCACTATTTGCTGATCACTGTTTACTGATCACTATTTGCTAATGAATGTTTACTGATCACTATTTGCTGATCACTGTTTACTGATCACTATTTGCTGATCACTGTTTACTGATCACTATTTGCTGATCACTGTTTGCTGATCACTATTTACTGATCACTGTTTGCTGATCACTGTTTACTGATCACTATTTGCTGATCACTATTTGCTGATCACTGTTTGCTGATCACTGTTTACTGATCACTATTTGCTGATCACTATTTGCTGATCACTATTTGCTGATCACTGTTTACTGATCACTATTTGCTGATCACTATTTGCTGATCACGATCATCGTTATTGTCAACCGTCGCAGGTCAGTGTCCCCCCAGTTGAGCACCAGCTGCTGCCTCTCTCTCCCTCTGACTGACCCACAGCCCTCCCCACACAGCTGCGTCCTGTGCCGCACAGGTCCTGAGCAGCAATAAGCCGAGCGCTCCCTCTCGGCGCTTCCCTCGAGAGCTCCTCTCTGTCGCGAAGAATTAAAGCCATGGATTTTCCAGGAGCAAATTGGAAGTTTTTTTTTTTGGTGGTGTTGTTGTTTTTTTTTTTTTTCCTTTTCCTTCTTGGACTTGTCGAGCAATGCGCTCATCCTGACGTCAATGTGTCCGTGTCCCTGATTGATTTCCGAGAGGGGCAGTCACTTATTGGAAAGGTGCCGTTCGCTATATAAAGCCCCAGTGTGGCGCTGGAGGGCGTGAAGCCCCGCGTCTGCCACCGGTTTGAGGTTCAGCACCATGGAGAGCTCCCGCCTGTGTCTCCTCACTCTGCTGAGCGCCGCTCTGCTCCTGCACTCCCACTGCCAGGAATCGGACCTGGAATCCAGATCCCTGGACCACTCCTCAGCCAAAGAGGACTCCTCTCAGGAAAAGGAGCTGGTGAGTTCCGATCAGCCTTCTCCTCCTCTGCTGCCCTCACACCGTTTTCTCACCCTTACCCCACAGCAGACAACTGCTTTCCGTGTGAAAGCGCTGCAAATCCCTTTAACCGTTTCGGCTGTTTCGGGTTAACAAAACAAAATTGAACAAATGCAAGTGATTTAGTATTGTCGTGGACACAAACTGAAAATAAGGTATTTTGTAAATGTTGCCCCCTCCCCCCCCCACCCCCCCCCCCCAAAAAAACACAAAGTTATTATAACATTGAAGCACTCCATTCTGCCCAAATAGTTTTTTTTTCTAAATGGATGTTAGGAAATGAGAACAATAAACGGTAATCTCAGTGCGATCAGGTCAGTGGGAAACGAGGGCTGTGTGAAATGTGATCATCCTTTTCATGGAAACCTTTGGCGCAATGTAGGAAACTTTCTCGTTTTGCTGAGCAGGATTTGATCAATTCGCACTGCATACCCTTCCCACGGGCTTTGCACGATTGCACATTGTAAGAGGCTTTGGTTTTCACACAGATTGAAGCTTTGCAGGAAGTTCTGGAGAAACTCAAAAGCAAGAGGATGCCAACCTATGAGAAAAAGTTCGGCATGGTCCCAATGGTAAGTTGTATCCAGTTAATGTAGGTAAGGTCATATAAACAGCATTACAGTACTCTTACTTAACGTATTTTTTACATTTCCTGCACATATACAATTCTCTGTATTCTCTCTATATAACAAACTTCTTTTTCTCAATACGAACAAAACTAATTTCATGAACCAAGTTATATTTCTAAATCACTCTACACAGACGCAGTGTGAGAAAACACCCAATAGATCTAAAATGATCACTAATGTAATGTCACAATGCAGCTTTGGCTTATAATGGGTCTCGAGTCTTTCTGTCTCTCGCTCTGCTCTCTCTGTGCGAATGTTTGTTTCAATATTGTGCAAACAGACTTTTTTAAGGTACGAGATTAAAATGAAGTGAAACCTTCTGAGCAAAGAGAATGATTATGATTTAATAATTTAGGAATTCATTGCAGTAAGCCTTTATTTTGCATCCTTTATTATTATTTTCCTTTACAAACGTATCCAATTATTCAAGGTGGGAAAATATTTTACACCAAGAAGGAACACCTAAATATATCAGCAAACATAATTTACAGTAACATTTAGTCACCAGCCACAAATGTATTAGAGACTGTCACGTTTTAAGTCGGAACAGGCTGAGGAAGATAGAACATTCATCTTTGTTTGACTCATCACTGATATATAACTACTGTTGAAACTAATGATACATGATAAAAATCCAGAGATAATGTCCAGAAAAAATAAACTGTTCTTAGTTTTGGCAGTAGCATTAAATTCAGATCAATTCATGCTTTCGTATTCACAGGTAAAATATTTTTGCTGGTGAGACACAAGGAAGGAATAACTAACATTTCTTTTTACTTTAAAAACACAGTGCGATGCTGGGGAACAGTGTGCAGTGAGGAAAGGAGCCAGAATTGGGAAACTCTGCGACTGCCCCAGAGGAACCTTCTGCAACTCATTCCTTTTGAAATGTTTGTAGAGAACAAAGATCACACACATAGGCACTCATAATAAAAACATTGCTTCAAGAACATCCGACTGCTTGAAATTAATCTCAAACCAAACATATTCTACTTACCAAAAAAAAGGATGGTGTAAAAAAAAAGGTTATTTCTACTGCAATGTAGATCTAGTGTGGGAAATATGAAATAAGTAGGAGATGATGTTTTCAGCATAACAATGTTGTGTACAGTTGCATTTTTGTTTCTTATTGGTGACAAGTGTTTCTGCCTGTATTAGTTAATGAGTTTGAGTTTACTCACAATATTCTAAGTGTTTAACTTCCTTGTCACAGAGGTGTGACCTGTATTTATAAAACTGTATTTTTGTATTTAGAATGCATTAAACCTACTAATAAAATCAGTTATAGGCATCCCTTGCCTGTCAGAAGCTTGTTCATTTTGTATTGCCCACAAAGTATACAGTCAATTCACTTTATAGTATATTCTCTGAAGCGCTTTGAGACGTCTTGAAGACGTGATAAGGCGCTATATCAAATGCTAGTTTTTTTAATTTCAATCTCTTTAATGTAAAACTGCCCATAAAACAGACTAGTTAGAATAACAGCTTTTCAAATCTTTATATTTAATAAAAATAGGCATTTAAACAATATAAAAATAATGACGACGACAACAATAATAATCCTTTATTTGTTCTTGTTGGGAGGTCAAATCAAAGTGCCTCACAGAATTTTACTGTGAAGTGGAGTGACTGTGTGTTTGTAGGTGAATGGGGCAACCCTTTTAAACACAGCAATGTACCACACACAGCCATGAAGTGAAGGACTAATTTTTGTTTGGGGAATTGTAGGTCAGGACACCAGGAGAAACTCTTTTCTTGTTTCAAGTAGTGTTATGGGATCTTTAGCAGATGGGTTCTCGGATTAATGTCTCATTCGAAGGATGGCATCTCTGATGGTTCAATCCCCTCCCTCCACCACCCCAGAGCACTGCATTGAAGTGTCAACTTGGACCGTGTGAGTTCTAATCCCTATGTGGGCTTGAACCACATAGTTAGAGTCAGAGTTAGAGTGATATGTGTAAATGAGCTAGGGTAACACCTAAGATGAACAAACTTAGACATTTGCAACATGATCAGACTTTGTATTGAATAAATAGCCTCCAAAATATTAAAAATACAAATTTCTACAGCAACATTTTGCCTAGAGCATTTTGAAATACCAAATTGACAAAAATGTACATATTAAAATGTAGTTATATATTTATTAATAAGGAACAACCAAAACAGCAACATAGATAGAAGGTATAAAAACAATACATACATGGTACTTCACTTAACAAAACGTATGGATTCATGTATACTTCAATCTTACTCAGTATTCATTAGATAAAAATATATTTCTTTTAACAAAAACCTTCCAGTTGTATCACTCCAATCTGAATCAGCTTTAAAGCTGCAGTCAGTAAATCTTACACAATAAATACGTAGAAGCTAAAGAGATTCATTTGAAAGAGCTATCTTCTTGTGTTTCTTTGTGAGTATGTTACATTTCTGATAGTGGTTGGAGATCAAGTAACATATATTTACTTGCTATCAGTTTCGAGCTGTGATGTGCACCTTTCTGCTGGCTCTATGTTTATAATAATAATCATGATCCTTGCCTTTCACATCAAAAGGATACCTCAAAGAATTTCACAGGATTCATGTTGGGAGTAAACACAATAGCCAATCTGAGCCATAAAATATAGCCATGAAATGAATGACCGATTTTACTTAGGAGATTGTTGGTCAGGACACTAGGAGAAATTTTATTTTCAAATAATGCCATGGTACTGATAACGTCCACCTGAACAGGCAGATGGGACCTTGGTTTAATACTTCTTCCAAAGCATGGCACCTCCAACAATACAGCACATCCCCAGCACTGGAATGTCACTCTACAGTTCAAAGTCCTGACATGGGGCTGTGAAGAACGGAAGTCACTGGTGTAAAATTGCAAAATGACCCGGCTACAAAGAGCTAAATAGTGTCTGAACAATTTTCCTAGGAATAATCCTAATCTCAATGAATGAATGAATGAAATTAAATCCTCATTTCATCATACCTTACTCAAAAATATTCTTTAGCAAGGCTTCAAAACAGTTAAACTGGTTCACTCAGTTATCCCTTCCTTTTACAATTTGCCTGAAAGGGTGGTCGAGGCCGATTCGATAACTACTTTTAAAAACGCGGTGGACGGGTATTTGAGGAGGACGGGTTTGCAGGGTTATGGGGAAAGGGCTGGGGAGTGGGATTTACATTAATTGCTCTATTCAAAGAGCCGGCACAAACTTGATGGGCCGAATGGCCTCTTTTTGTTCTGTACGATTCTATGATTCTAGGTTTTAAACCCTAAGCTTCATATCCTCCGAGTAGAACAACTACTGATGTATCTTGTCTTTTCTCTCATTCCTTGGAAACTCCATGCTATTAGTAATTATAATAATATAATCATAATACCTCCATTTGATATAGTTCCTTTCATGTCAGTAAGATGTTTCAAAGCACTTACAGGATTTACTGTAAAGTGTAGTGACTTTGTTTTACGGGCTACCACAGCAACCAATTTGCACACAGCACTAACAATGCAATACTAAATTACATTTGTATAGTGCCTTTCACATTGGGAGAATGTCCCAAGGTACTGGACATTCAGGGGGTGAGAAGGGGTGCGAGGTTGAGATAAGGAAGGGTGTAAGGCAGGGAGGGTAGGAGGGTGGCCGAAGGCACGGTCGAAGAAGAAGGTATTGAGACATGCATTGAAGGAGGCAAGGGAGGGAACGAGGTGAAGGGAATGTGGGATGGAGTTTCAAAGGGGGAAAGGTTGAAGGCCTGACTGCCAATGGTGGGGCAGGCTGAGCGGGGAACGTGGAGCAGGCCAGAAACTGCTGAGTGAAGGGAGCGGACAGGTTGTTAAGGAGTTAACAGATCACAGAGGTTTTAAGTGAATAACCAATTTTATCTGGGAATTTGTTGGTATAGTAACACAAGAAGAAACTCTCTTCTCTTATTGAATAGTGCAGTGGGATCTTTAACATTCACCTGAACAGGCAGAGTTGGAGCCTTGGTTTAATATCTCATCTGATGGATGGGAATTCCACAATGTGGCGCTCCCCAGCACTGCACCGAGTATCAGCCCGGACTATGTGACTTTGAACTATGTGACAGTGTGGGCTTGAACGCACAATCTTCTGATTCAGAGGCAAGAGTGCAACCAACTGAGCCAGGCTGACACTGCTGTGCGTTGCCCCTTCACCCTTCACCTATGCTCTTCAATAATAGAGCATTCATGAGAAAAATGTAATTAGGAGAAAACATTTAGACATTGCTGTTATAAATCACCTCTTTCTGGTGAAGTTCATATGAGGATCTGCTCACAGAGAACGCCAATATATTATGAGATGTCAAGAAACTATTACCTTTCATCAATTGATGGAAAAGGAGCATTATTAGTCATTGTTTGAACCTAGGCAATAATAGGTGAAAGCTGTAAAGTACCAGAAAATGAGGTACTGACTTAAATGTTAGTTGAAAGTGCGACTGAATAATTATGATGACCACAGGATAGCAGGCAGATTCAAAACATATACAAATTGTCAGATACACAGATCAATACGCCAAGTATAAATTTACAAATATTTTATAGTCGGAATGCATTATTGTGCTTCACAGGATTTTTGGTATAGTAACTGTGCATTTGTGCATAATAATAATAATAATCCTTGCATTTGATATAGGGCTTTTAACGTCTTCTAGGCATCTCAAAGCACTTCACAGAATAGACTGTAAAGTGAATTGACTGTATATTTGTGGGTGTAATGGGGCAGCCAATTGCACAGAGCAGTGTCCCACAAACAGTCATGGATAGAAATAACCAATTTATTATTGTTTTTTTTTGAGGGATTAATATCAGGCGTGTGGAGTAAGGAAACTTGCCCAAGGTTTCACCCTGCCGGGAATCGAACCCAGGTCTCTCGCTTGCAAAGCGAGTGCTCCAACCACTGAGCTGCAGGACTCCAGATAATCATGGAAACCGGTTTGTGCACAGTAATAATAATAATCTTTGCATTTGATATAGCACCTTCACACATTGTTGAGTCATGTCAAAGCTCTTCACAGAATATACTGTAAATTGAATTGATTGTAGGTGAAACATGGCAGCCAACTGCGCACAGCACTGTCCCACAAACAGTCGTAGATTGTGTGACCAAATTATTATAATTTTTTTTGAAAGGTTTATTACACCCAGAAAGCAATCCCCCAATCGATTCAAGAATTCAAGATCCTCATCCTCACCTACAAGGCCATTCACGGCCTTGCTCCCTCCTACCTCTCCGACTTACTATCCCCCTACTTACCCGCCCGTACCCTCCGTTCCTCTGGCTCCGGTCTGCTCCACATTCCCCGCCTCGACCGCCCTACCATCGGTGGCCGGGCCTTCAGCCTCCCAGCCCCTAGGCTCTGGAACTCCATCCCCCAGTGCCTTTGCCTTGCTTCCTCCCTTTCCTCCTTCAAGGCCGGTCTCAAGACCTTTCTCTTTGACCGTGCCTTCAGCTCCCCTCTTGACTCTCTACCCCCTCCTCACTCCCTCCCTTCCTTCCCCCCTGCTCGGGTCCCGACCCAATTGTCCAGCGCCTTGGGACGTCCTCCCGACGTGAACGGCGCCCTATAAATGAAATCTTGGTGTTGTTGTTGTTGTTGATCCTACTTACTGCTTGGTAAACAGAGGCCTGTGGAGTAAGGAAACTTGTCCAATATTTTGCCTTGCTGGGAATCAAACCCAGGGCTCTCACTTGCGAGGCTAACCACTGAGCTGCAGGACTCCACATAGCCTTCTGAGTCAGGGGCAACTGAGCCAGGCTGACCCCTAAATAAGTTAGACGGACGTGTTACAATTTATAGTCACTTAAATACATTTAAAGTTTTCTAAAAACACAATAGCTTCATAGGGTAACTATGTCAATGAATGTTATAGATCTCTTGTTATTCACTCGAGCCGAGAGCCCAGAGTGAGCTACGTCCGGAGTGAGGCGAGGCCAGAGTGTGAGGGAATTTGGTGAGAGTGGGAATTAGGTGCAGGGGGGGAAGTGGGGGCAGGCTATATAAATTTGTATCTATATAAAGTTTGTGAAGATGATGTGGCAGGTAAACTGCGAGGTCTGTCACATATGGGAGTCAATGGAGGGCACCTTAAGTCCGGGCGACTTCTTCTGCCGCAATTGTCTGGAAATCAGAGAGCTCCAGCTGAGAGTAGCTGAGCTGGAGTCTCAGGTGGAGACACTGCGCAGCATTAGGGATGGAGAAAACTTCCTGGACAGCTTTATCCTGGAGCCGGACACTCCCCTGAGTCCAAGGAAGAAGAATGTAGCAGCG